TTATTTTACGTATTTCCCGGTTAATTTCGAAAAAAAGCGTAATATTTTTAATTTTTTTTAAAAATACTTTTTTATTATTTATAATAATCGGTAAAAAATCCGATTTTATAGTAAAATTATCGAATAAATTCTTATTATTCGATATATATTTTAAGGAATTAGTATCGTATAATTATTAGTTTTTAGGAACGGAGGTTAATTTTTTTTTCGATTTATTCGAAATATTCGAAAAAGTATGGAACGATTCGTTTTCGTCCGAATTTTCGTTACGGGGTAGGTTTCCCCGTTTTTTAGATTTCTGGTTTATGGTGGATATGGTCGAATTTGAGTTATTCGACTTATTCGAATTATTCGAATTATTCGATTTTTTCGATTTATTCGATTTATTCGAATTCTTTTTATTTCCGCTTTAGGTTCCCCGTTAATTTTGATTGGATCGGAGAAACCGGGATTTCTTATTATCCGTATAATAAGAATTTCCTATAGCCGTATCCGGATCCCGTCGGTTTTCGTTTAAAATATCCGTAATTAACCTTTCGAAAATAGGTGGATTTATAAACCGTAAAATATTACGTTAACGGTTAACCTATATAGGGTAAACTAATTAAAAGGCTATAATAAAAACCGTTTTTTAATCGATATTATCGATTTTAGCCTTAACGCTTAAAAGCTTTAAAATATATCCTTTAAAAATAGATATAAACTCGTTTAACGAATTATAATTTTCGAATTTTATAATATAAAATTCGAAATATAATTATTAACGTAATATAAGTCCGGTGCCTTAATAGGCTAATTATAAAGTCGATAAGGCTTTATATAGATTTATTTTATTAAATATTAAATTTAACGATTTTATTATTAAATTCTAACGAATTAAAAACAATACCTGGGCTTTCTAAATATCGGTTATACCGTTATATATATCGGTAATTTTAAAAAACCGATCGATTCCTAGTAATTTAAGATATAATTATAATATAGATTTCTATATATTCCAGTTTCCGGATCCGGAGAGTTTCTGTTTTTCCGGTATCTGGTATCCGGCAATAATACAGATAAAATTATTTATTTTGCCGAATTTTTGCCGTTATAACGGTATAATTATTATTAAAAACAGTAAAGGAATCGTTAAGAAAATAAAAATAAAAGAAATTAATTCTTTTATTTTATCGATAAAATATATAAAGGGATCCAGGTGTTATAATATAATATAGCAGGTGCTATAGGGTGCTATAGCAAATCGGCTATTATAATAAGGATTAGTTATAAATAACTTTATAGCCGTTATATAGCTATAACGGGTAAAATCACTATAATTAGCTATTTAACTATAATTTTCGATATAATTACGGCTTATATAGGCTTATATATAGGCTTATAAAAGATCGGCTATTATAACGGAATTCTAAAGTCTATATTAAATCAATTCGTTTAGGAGAGCGGCTATAGTTTTCGATATAAAGTCCGGTTTTTAATATAATCGATATTATACCGGACCGGGCTTATAACCTATTCTAAGGTATAATTAGTGGATTATAAACTTAGGTATAGGGAAGCGTTTATATAATTCGTAAAATCAGGCCGTAAAGGGTAGTTATAGGGCTGTATAACTAATTTATTAAAGCTTAAGGAAAGAATAACTAATTACGGAGGAATAATTACCTTTTATACCCATAAAATCAACCAATAAGAATATTTTAGAATATATTACTAATAAATTGGATTTATAATTAAGTTAATTAGTAATAAGGTTAATTTATAATCGAAAAAATTATCGACATCTATGGATTTCTATGGTGTGGGTTACCCTGTAACCTAGGGCCACTGTGGCCAGGTGTACTGGCCACACTTAGTGGGGCTGGATCCAGTGGAACGTTCCACTGGATTCCAGTGGGTTCCAGTGGCCATAGTGGCCACAATAGTTAACTGTAATGACTTATTGACTGTATAGCACTATGAACAGTGGCTATAAGTGGTGCTGTACTGACTGTAGGTTAGTATAGGGTAAGTTCCACTGATTTCCCATATATCGTTATTTAACGATATCTCGATGGGTTTTATAGCTGTTATAACGATATAATATGCGTTATAAAGCTAATTTTATGCATTATACGATGCTATATTAACATCCGTGCAACATTTAGGCATAAGGAAGCGTTTATATAATTCGTAAAATTAGGCCGTAAAAAATAATTATAAAGCTATATAACTAATTTATTAAAGCTTAAGGAAAAAATAACTAATTACGGAGGAATAACTACTTTTTATACCTATAAAATTAACTAATAAAAATATTTTAGAATATATTACTAATAAATTAGATTTATAATTAAATTAATTAATAATAAGGTTGATTTATAATCGAAAAAACTATCGAAATCTATAGATTTCTATAATATAGGTTACCCTATAACCTAGGGCCACTATAGCCAGGTGCATTAGCTATATTTAATAGGGCTAAATCTAATAAAACGTTTTACTAGATTCTAATAGGTTCTAGTGGCTATAATAGCTATAATAGTTAATTATAATAATTTATTAATTATATAGCACTATAAATAGTGGCTGTAAATAGTGCTGTATTAACTATAAATTAATATAGGGTAAATTTTACTGATTTCCTATATATCGTTATTTAACGATATTTCGATGGGTTTTATAGCTATTATAACGATATAATATGCGTTATAAAGCTAATTTTATGCATTATACGATGCTGTATTAACATCCGTGCAACAATATATTTTATTTTTATATAAAAATAATTATATTTTTTTATTTTATTATAATATTATTATAACGAATCGTAAAAATATTATTTTTATATTTTAAAAAAAAAGAATTTTAAGCGCTTTTAAATATATTATTAAACGTTTAAATTGGATATTATTTTATTATCGTTTTAATAATAAATTGATTATTATATATTTGCTTATTAATTATATTTAAATCCGCCGCGCTAGGCGATAAAATACTAATAATTAAATAATTAGCTGCTATATAACTAATTTAGCGTTTCCTTTTATACGCGCTTACGCTAATTTTAACCTTTATTAGGCTAAATTTTATTATATAGGTAAAGCGCAAATAATACTATTAAAAAATTTACGGGTGCAAATTTAGCTATAGCTAAATTAATAGCGCGCAGCCTATTAGCGCCTAAAGAATTTATTTTTTATAAGCCCTAAAAATAAAAGTTTAGCCGCCGGTATTTTTTTTTAAATTACTAAATTAGCTAAAGGACGTATTATTATAAAATGCGGCTTTTATAATAAAAAATCACTTTTTGCATTTTATATAAAATAATTTAATTTTTAAATCGGAAAAATTTATTATTTTTATATACGCTATTATAGCTATTAATTAAACCGAATATATTAATAGCTATATATTTGCTATAAAAAAAGCTATACCGGCTATAGTAAATAAATTATAATTTATAATATTTATTATTATAATAGCTATAAAAATAAATAAAACGCGGTATTTTTAAATAAAAAAATCATTAAATAAAATAATTATTAATTAATAGCGGCTTTTTTATATAATAAATAATATAGCCGAAAAAATTAAAGATTTTCGTTATAAATTTATTAATAATATTTTTACGATAATTTTTAATTTTAATAAGCGCTACGCAAAATAGGCTTTTAATTTACGCTTTATAAATAGCCATAAGCAATTTACGCGTAAAGGCATATTTATATTATTTATTAAACCCGCTTTTGCGCCGGCTATAATATAATTACCTATATATATTAAAATAATTACGGCTATACCTATTATATAAATTAATAATTTTTACCCGCTTATATACCTATTTCCTTATATTATTATTAAAATTATTTAAAATATATTTATTTTTTAAATTATAGGTATAATTAGGATTTTATTTATGCTTTATTTAGAAAATAAATAATTTTATCGCTGGCGCCCTTAATTAAAAAGGAATTATTATTCTTTAAAAAAGCAGATTTAAAAGGAGATCTAGCGCCGGTATATTATTATTTTATATTTTTTATTTATTATAATCGCTTAATAGCTAAACCGTAAAAAAGGCAAAACTATATTAGATATATTAGCAAAAAAAATTTAAAAATAGCGCTATAAATAATAAGGTAAATATAAGGTTTTTATATAATTATAATAGCAAAATAAATTATATTTATAATAATAATAAAATAAATTATATTTATAATAATAATAAAATAATTATATTTATAATAATAATAGGATAAATTGCATTTATATTAATAATAAAGTAAATTATATTTATAGCAATAAGGTAATTTATATTTATAATAATAATAAATAAAATAATAATTATATAATTATTTAAAATTATATAAATAATATTAGGTTATAACGGCATTAAAATGCAAAATGCATTTCGCTAAAATTTAATTTTAGGCCTTAATTAAATATCCTAAATACCGGTATACCTTTTTAAATATAATTGGTTTTTAGCTATTTTATAATTAATAAAGCAATTCGCATTTTTACGCTCCTAAAATTATACCGTTAAATAGCCTTTGTCGAAATAATTTATTTAATATAAAAAATAACAAAATATAATAAATAAATATAAAATTATAATTAAAAACAGGTTTAAAAACGATATCGTAACCCGGGGAGCGGAATGTGGGGTTCCCTAGGGGATCCTCCATACACAAAAACCTCTAATATTATTATAATATTTACTCGAAGTAATCCCCATCCCCCACACCCATCACCACAACTTTTCCAACAAATATAGCCTTTTTCATTAGTTTGCGTGATAAAATCAAAGATAAATTCGTGTCTTATATTTTGGTTGGTATATTTGAGGCGCGCCGCAAGAGATTGGCAGCAAGAAGGCCGTCATGGGCCGAAAACTCTATTGGATGTTTTGGCTGCGGAACTCGCCAATAGGCCAATATCATTGGCCACACACCGGATTCGTTTCCTCATGGCAGCCTCAGTCGGGATGGAGGTACGCCCCAGTACCAAGCTTGCGATCAAGTGATGAAGCATGAATCGGAAGTATCAAAATCGGAAATGCATTGAAAGAAAGTATGAGCTAAAACTTTTGCATAGAAGTCTGTGGAGTTTTCCCGTTGAGAGAGATTCTTATTGAATAAAAGCGCCAGAAGAAGCCTCGCCAGAATACCAGAATAGCCCGTGGTGGTTATACCGCCATCAACAGCAACAATTGAACCCGTCATGGACGTACAGCGTTCGGATGAGAGAAAACATACAAGCTCTGCAACTTCCTCTGGCTGCCCGCATCTGCCGGTGGGCTGAGTCTCGCGCACAATCTTTGCAGTGTCACCAAACTGGTGCATCATGGGGGTGTCAATGTTGCCCGGCGCAACGGCATTCACCCGTATACCGCTTTTCGCATACTCGAGTGCAGCTGTCTTGGTGAGACCGTTGATCCCGTGCTTGGATGCCACGTAGGCCGCGCAACCGGCGGAGGCGACGGAGCCCGCGTCAGAGGATATGTTGACAATCGAGCCGCCCCTTCCAAGGCGAAGAAAGATGCCGAGCTCCTCCTTCATGCAGTAGAAAACGCCGCTCAAGTTGACCGATATGACCTTTTCCTACATGGACGCGGTCGTGGAGTCGATTGTCTTGCCAGGGGGGAAGATGCCAGCGGCATTGACGCAGATATCGAGTTGCTTGGCCCAATTCATTGCCTTTGAAAAAGCCTCTTCAAGTTCCATAGTATCAACCACATTCACGCTGATGGCGAGGGTGCGGACGTCGAATTCCCCAGCAAGACTTTGAGCTTGAGCATTGCCATCAGAAATGTCCATAAGAACCAAGTCTGCTCCTCGCGATGCCAACATCCGAGCAACAGCAGAGCCGATGCCGCTTGAAGCGCCAGTCACTAGAGCGACTTTGCCGTCAAATTCTCGAGCCATATTAAGCTAGAAATATATATAAGGGGAATTATAAAAATGGAGCAGTTGTAAAGCGATTAATTTGCAATCTACGGGCACGTAGTGATGAGTTAAGTCTTATATGTGTTGGTCAAGATGGTGGATAGCACATGGGCTACTTCAATTCTGCCGTAGGATAGGCTTGAGCTGCTAATCCTAGAATGGCCAGAATGCGAGTTGTGAGAGTATTAGTGTTAATCAAGGTTGTGCTTTCCTCTTAGAGTTTAAATTGGTCTGATGTAAGTGTTTGTTGTGGAAGGCTGCCATAACAACAATCTATGACACATTCTTGAAAGGACGGGGGTTGGTGACCCAAGATAAGTTGGTAGATACTCCAGGTTTTACTTATAGAGTGGATACCAGCCTTGCACTCTGGCCTAAAAAGGCATTAAAGGGACATGGCAATACTATACCTACTAGGTAGGGAAATTCGACTCGCCTCGCGCTACCCCTACGAGCCCTACATGTATGAACAAATACAAGCGTCTCGCCGTGTCCCTGTCGAGTACGGACCTGGTGGGTTAGCCAACTGTTATTGGCACGCCGCTGGGCCAGTACACTGACGCCCATGTACGCTGAGCTCCTCAAGGGCGACGAACAACTCGCCATTGGACCAGCGACGGCTTGGCTGCAGAACGGGTTCAAGGTTGAAAGAGAGATTTTTGAGCAGTAGCAGGGTACCCCCAAGCAGGTTTTGGCCAAGTATGTGAAATGGACAATATGATGATCAAATTGACAAGATCAATATCAAAGGTATAACAAGATACTCTTATTGCTAACTGCATGAGATCTTCATGTTCAATCTGAAGATGGTGTTCAAAAGCCAATCGCTCTATGGCGTGAATTCTATTTGTAATTTTTCATGTGGCCAATCTGCATATACTCTATCGTGGTCATGATATATCTCGTTCTCCTTGTCTAGTAGTACTCATCCTCCAACTTGTTCGCAGCTTCACAGATCTTGGCCGTGATATCCTCAATCTATGCGTAGAAAGTGTCAGTCTCATTACCATCAATAACAATATGATCCAACAGGTAAACGGTCGCCGAGGGAGTATGGGGGACGCCATTTCTGCGGCAGATAAACTTACATATTCATCCTTGAACACAGAAAAATGATGTCCTTGTATATCCACAACCCCCCGTAAAAACCGGCCATTCTCCTCATTGTACCAGCCCCAGCCCAGCATGCGGTCGCCGCGGGCAAAATCAGCAAACGAAGGCGTCGGACCATCGACGGCCTCGTTGGCGCGCAAGAGAATCGTCGGCGGCGGGCGAAGTACCGGGCCAGCAGCAGCCTTTTTCCAGCGCGGCGGCTCCCAGCGCGCCACCATGCGGCGCGCGTGCGTCATGTTGACGTCGACCTTGGCCTTGAGGTCGAGGGCCCGTATCTCGTCTGGGGTCCGGTCCGTGACCCGGCCGAGCTCTTGGGGCTTTTGTGTGGTGTCCGTCGCGGGCGTCCCCCGCGGCGGCGGCAGCAGGCTGTCCACCATGACAATCCCCAGCACCGTAAACTTGGGCCGGAGATCCTTGTCCGTTGCAATCTGGTGTGCCATTTCCAAGGACAAGATGCCGCCCAGCGACCAGCCTGTGCGATTTTGAATCGAATCGTTATGAGCCATTCTCATGAAAGCGTGAGGGAGCCACTCTTACCTCCCAATATGATCTCGCCTCCGTTTGGCAGCGCCTTGCCAATTAGGTCGATATAGTGCCTGGCCATCTCCGGGATGCCGCCCTCCCACCAGCCGCCCTCGTGCAGACGCGCATTCTCGACACCCCAGAGCGGCCGGTTGGTGGGGTCCAGGCAGTGGTAGCTAAAGGTGGTGCCGCCGCCGTCGTGAATGAGAATGAGAGGCGCCCGCGGCTCTGGCAGCCAATCGGGCCCTTCATATATGAGGGCGGGATTTCCGAGGTAGGCCGACATGGTTGGCCTATCTCCCGTTTCTCTCTCCTTCTCCTTCCCTCTCCAGCAGAAGAATCAAAGGCAAGGAGGGCGAAGTGAGCCTTTCTATGTCCACCAGGGTCCTTTTCTGTACCGTACTATTATCATATGAACAGCCCTTGAGTGGCGACCTTTTGAGAACAGTGCGGCGCAGCGAAATATAGGGCGTGGGAGAACGAAGCAAGACCACGACCGGTAAATGAATCAGCGCATCAGCAATGTCTCAATCCAACAAAAGTATCAAGTCGCTTGTCTTATTCAGATGAATACTAGTGTGAGATTTTCCAAGGCTGAACTGCTCTTGGGATCGATCAGTTTTACTGTACGACTGCATAAGCACGCAAGCAGCATGCATGGGGGCGTTGAATATTCCTTGCGTAAGCCCGCATGAGAGATATACGCCCAGCGGTGCTGCCAGCTGAGAGCGGCTGGCTGGCATTCCGCATGTGCATTTCGAGTCTCGCATTCTCGACGAGGCAATTTTGAGCTTCAAGAAAATGGGAAGCACATTTGAGGAGACACATGGTTATATATCGAGCGAATGAAATCCAACATCTCGGGTGTATACTTTGTAGCCCGAGACACTAATGAATTGAGATTTACGAGGTTGTCACTTGCATTTCGCATACATCAACTACTAGCCTCCGACCTTGCCGTAGAAATGGCTCAAAATCACAGCACGCACGCATTGTATCAAAGTGACATGTTATTTTTACTTCTTTGTATTATTGTTGCATCTATGGCCAACAATTTATATAAAATTCCAAACGCTATGACATGACCATTCCCATTTCATCATCATTGTGTATAATAAAAATTGAGAGAAAGGATTTTCTTTCGTTCCCGTCAGGAATTGACGAGTTTACCGGCAGGTGTAGCCACCGTCAATGACAAGGTCGGCACCAGTGGTGTACGTCGAGGCGTCCGAGACGAGGTAGACATAGGCGCCCTTGAGCTCCTTGGCGAGACCGTTGCGGTTCATGGGCACCATGGACATCCAGAGGTCCTGGGTCTGCTTGTCGATAAAGTCGGACAGGCCAGTGTCAATGTAGCCGGGCGAGATGCTGTTGACGCGGGCAAAGTCGCGCCACTCGTTGGCCAGCGACTTGGCCATGTGGATGCAGCCGGCCTTGGCCACGTTGTACGACGTCTGCTCCTGCGGGAAGTTGGCAATGTGGCCAGACATGGACGCCGTGATCACAAAGGATCCGGTGCCGCGCTCCTTGAAGTGGGCGCCGACGGCCTTGGCGCAGTACTGCGGGGGGAGGGCAGTTAGTAAGTGTTGCGCTCAAAAAAGAGATAGTAGTAGTGACAGGGGGTGGGTAAGCAGGTAATGTATATTATCTATTCCCCGTACCGCGAGATCCGGGCGCTAGTCGATGATGGCGGGGAAGAGCGGGTGATGATGAGAGTCAAGGTGAGAGCAAGCAGGTATTCAACTTACAGCAGTGCCGTTCAGGTCAGTCTGGATGACCTTATCCCAAGACTCCTTGGGGCTCTCGAGGACACCACCGTCGGCAGTGGCACCAGCGTTGGCAATGAAGCCGTCAATCTGGCCAAAGTCGGCCAGGACGTCCTTGACGAGCTTCTCGCACTCCTCGTACTCGCCCACGTTGCACTTGTAGGCCTTGGCCTTGACGCCGTACTCCTTGGTGAGCTCCTCGACGTTCTTCTCGGCGCCCTCCTTGCGGGAGCTGTAGGTGATGGCAACGTTGGCGCCCATCTCAGCGCAGCCGCGGGCGGCCTCGATACCCATACCCTTGGGACCAGAGGCACCAGTGACCACGACGACCTTGCCCTTCAGGCTGAAGAGGTCAATGAGCTTCTCGGCAGTGGGGACACGCTGAGGCATGATGGCTAAGTAGTGATTGATTTGTTGTGGTGTTTAAAGGTTGGAAGAATATGAGACTGTTATCCAAATAAATGGTAACAGACGGGTATTTATTTCGTATGAGATGTGTGTAAAGAAGTTGATGTTTATGGTTCTATTCAAAATTCTAGATTGGAGGGAGACACGACGTCTTTAAAAGTAATTCACAGCATCGCCAACTACATCCAGCATTCTCTACCTTGACTACATTCAGTGGGTATACTGAGGTGCTGGTGATGTCATCGGCTGCACGTCGATGACAAGAGACCCGTTTGCAAGTCCAGCGTACATGTGGGCGGGGCTGGCGGCACTCTGCTCACAAGTGTCGAGAGAAGAAGCCGACAGTCTGGCCGAGGAGAGGGCGGGCAGTCTTAGTTGTCCCCCATTACTTCAAACTGAGCACCTTGAAGGCACTTGGGCACTTCTGGATGAGAGATAAACGGGACACGGTTCACCTTGCAGGAGACTATCTACTTTCTTCATGCGACCTGGTAAACATGGGCCTTGGCTGCCTGGCAACCTGGCTTTCTCTGCCTTGCTGACCGTGGCTTGGGATATTGACTAAGACCCATACATAAACGAAGAGGAAGCTAGCCAACAGGGTTGCACGATAGACGAGGTTCGCTGCATATTGGCCCTGTTGATCATGATTGTATGTATACGCGGTGACGGCTGACAATAGTGTAGTGTAGTACCACTATAAATGCCTCTTCTATATTCTGCAAGGACACACACAAAATAGAGACCGACCGACTGGTCCGGATGTAGCGCAACATGAACTCACGGCAAGCATTTGAACGTGACACGAGGATTAATGCACATGCCACGAGCAATACCCCGCGGCTCGTACCACCAACAACTCAATTGCCTCGCGTGGGACGGGAGTTTCCCTTGTCACGGTTTCTTAGCTTTGAGATTTTCATTATTGAAAAAAAAAAGGCTCTTTACCGTCTAAATGACGTTAACTTGATATAATGAGGGCCACGTACGATTCATTCAGTAGAGCGACAATTCCGTATGATATCTATTACACGATTCAAAGAGACCGAGAAGAAAAAAAGGTGCAGATGAAGTGAATTCCCCTTGATGACGTCGATGCTTTACATCTGGGCGGTCCAGACCCCACGTTTCTCAGGCACCCCGCCGAAATTCTCAAGGGACCCGCAGTTTCGGCCGGCGATTTTCGCATCGCTCATCTCGATCACAAACTGGAGAGCCGATTTAGCCCGCCGCCACCCGGCGCCCACTGTCAATGTTCACTTGTTGACTTCTATTTCATGTCATACAAATGGGTCGGGCCATGTTATGAACATTTTTGTAACAACAGAAAATGAAAGCTCTTCCAACACGGATCAGCGCCACTGTTTTGCTCCACCTCTCCAAAGCCTTAAACAATTGGTAGGTGGTCAGCAAAACAATGCCCGGCAACCCGGCCAACCGGCGAGCCTCTCCGACTTGGAAGACTGCGGTCAGCTCAGGACCACCATTCATCACATCCACGTTATTCCCCAGAAAATCGTCGGTCCGATTCTCTTGAATGATGTAGTTCTGTACGAGTCCTTGAAACACTAGGAGAGGCACTGAATGTTAGAAACTCGAACAAAAACGTCACAATCCAGAAACTTGTCTGATCACATCAAAGTTGTTTGCAAGTGAGCGAAGCTGTAAACGAGAAGTGAAGTCTACTAGGGTATGTCAATGTCGCTAGTTACAATATTGGTTTAGCTTGTTGGTGTATATATCGCATTTGTTCATTCTAATCATTCCCGCTCCTCCTGAAAACTTGCTGTCGCCCCAACAGAGGTTGTATACACAGCAAGCAACTGGTTCAACGCGGGCTCATGTGCCTTGCTTCCCATCCTCCTCTTTATATTACACGCCCGACCATGATACGCGCGCCGCCCCGTGAGTTTTGAGCATTTGTTTTCCAGCCAATGCGACTCGCGCAAAGTTGCTGTCAGATTAGGCCACGATATGTTACGAGGATTCGGACTACTGTCGCGCTGAAGATGCCAGTCTGAAAAGGTGGACGGCGCAATCTCGTGTGAGAATGACTGCCGTTTAAAAGTTCTCCTTACCCCAGACAAAAGAGAATCTGAGAAGACATGGGTTAGCCTCAGTCCATACATGAATTCAATTTGCTTTTGGCTTACCCAGGTTCACTGTATTTGTTACAGAAGATGTGAAGCGCACTACCCAGACCCTTGGGTCCACAGAAGAACACACCAGCTTCGGCGGGTGCATGAAGCTTTCTGATACCACGGAAGATCATGTCCCAGTTGGGGCGGCCAAAGTTGGTTGGACTCCTCAGGCCGGTAATGGTGTCCTTGTCGGCATTGGCATCATTGATCATGATGTTAGTGGCATCGTCGGCCTTGATCTTGGCTGTAAGATACGTGTGGATCTCAATACGTCCGTCGACATCCTGGGCCTCAATAGCAAGCAGAAGCGAACGGAACCACTCGAAAGAGCCGAAATCTCTGCAGATCCAGAAGAAATAGACCTTGCCGAGTCGCGTCTTCTTCTGCGGGTAGTTCATCCGGTACCAAATAGACTTCAAAATGGAGGCAAAAGGTGTGACACCAATACCAGCACCACAGAGAACTGCAACCTCGTATTTGAACACGTCTTCCGAGGCAGAACCGAAAGGTCCATCGACGTAGACACGGGGCAGGACACGCTTCAGGGCGGGGTCGACATCGCCATCCTGGGCATCGACACCGACAACCTTGGACTTGTCACCCTTCTTGCCGAAATCGCAGCCGAGAGTCGTCGCTACGGCCGTGGTAAAGTCACCAGCGACACGCATATGGATCGAGATGTAATCCTCCTCGGGCGCACTGGTCAAAGTGAAGGGGTGATACTGCCACAACGATACCTCGGGACAGCAGAAAAAGATGTATTGTCCAGCTCTGGTCTTGGTGTTCTCCTTCTTAATCTGAATCTCGCAGACGTTGCTAGGGTGTTGGATAACCTTGGAAACATAAGTCTTGTGGCGTCCACGGATTTCACGCGCGACACGCTCTGCCAGGTAGATGAAACCTCCATACATCCAGTACTGCCAGAAGACACCGATAGCTGTAGTACCGACCGAAATGCAGTATGGTGCAGTGTCAGGCTGAATCATACAGAAAGCTCCGTGGAAGGACCAGAAGAGGAAGAAGACGATAAACATGTGGTGCGTATACCAGAAGCGCTCATAGTTGGCACGGCGTGGTTTTTCGTATGACGTGATAACCATTCCCGTGAGCGCAATCAGCATGATGTAGCCGGTCCAACCGGGCCCGGAAGTGAAGTTGGCGAGAAGCCATCCATAAATGCCCAAGTTGTTCTTGGCTGCGATTTGAGCGAAGTTGTTCCAGTGAGCAATCGTGTGGACCCATGAAAAGAAGAAGATGGACCAAGCTGTAGTAATGTGAAAGGTAATGTTCTTGTCGAATTGGATAATACCATTGAGTGGCGTCTGTCGTGCGATAGAAATAAAGGTTCTGCAGACGGGCAAAAGAACCAGGGCAACATCAATGTGGAGAACCAGGGCGGCAGATCTGGCAATCATGTAAGTCGGGCCAAAAGTGTCACGAGCGCCTTGCAAGTTGTCCTTGACAGCGTAATTGACGAAACCAAAAGCAAAAACCATGGCGTGCAAAGCCATGAAGACAAAAACGAAGCTGTCATAGTAGTTAGCAAATCCTGAACTTTTCCGCCTCACCGCAATGGCAGCGACGTACAATCTTCGGTAACCCTCGTTGATCATCCATCGGTCGAACCGCTCGCTCATTGTCAATTCCTTTTGCCTCTCCTGGGTCATCTCACCCGAGAGCAAGATTCTGTTCAGAGGCGTCCATCTTGACCGCTCCGTCTGCTTCTCCCCATAGTCCATCATTCCGTATCCAGACATTTTCGGCTAGGATCCAACGGCGACAGGCTTGAATCGGGTATCTGAATGTTCTTGACAGACCAATATCCGCGGGCTCCTCCAAAGCCCACCTGTATCTCCGGAAACTCCCAATGCAAGGCGTGGTTCCTCCAATTGATCGAATATGCCGAGAAAATATTGAAAGTAGCGTATCGTATTTAAAAAGTTCTTCAGAGCCTGCTGAATTGCTGTATATCCATCTAATCGTAGTAATCCAAACGGGTAATTATGTTTAAAGAACGGAAATGAACTGAAGCCTGGAGGCGTAACGAAGCAAAGAAGCCGCGCCAGTCAGCCAAAGAACGACACACCGGCAATCAGCAACGAAAGAAAATCAAGTGAGGGTGAGAGAGTTTGGTTGGAGAAAAGGAGAAGCAGCCGTCTCATGCATGAGAACGGGAAAGTGGGAGGGGGATTGCTGTTATGGGAGGACGAATGCCAAGCATTGGAAACATAGGATCGTTCGACGTAGATCATACCTCTGATAATAGTACGTATGCCTGCACCAGGCGGCTACTTCGACGGGCACACGTGTCCTGGGGGGTGGGATTTTCGTTTTCCAGGAATACCAAGATTCCCTGGAACAATCGTGGGCAAGAAGCAAAAGAAGAAGATGAAGGATAAGAAAAACGGCAGTGTGGGAGGATGTGATTAGAAGTACAGGGGTCCATCCGCCTGGCCAGGGTACAGAGGCTTGCCCAATTCCGTACGTATCTGCGACATGCGGCTACAAGACAATGAGCTAACAATATTTGCAGAGACTCCAGACGTCTGGCATCTTGCAGCGAAGTACCATACGACAAATGGGCTACAACGGAGCCATGATGGAGCCAGGATAATGGATGCTGCCCACCAAGATGGGTAAAGAACAAGGGCGAGCCCGTCGGTTGTCAAGACAAGTCGGGCATGCAGCAAATGACAAACCACTTGACTCAGCGGCGGCACGGCCAGCAAAGGCCCAAGTGAGTGGAGAGCAGTGGTAAGATGGCCGTCAGATCTCGAAACAAAGTGGTCTCGATCGAGTCGAGGGACGGTTACAGTGTGGTTCAGAATGGCGAGGGTCCAGGCGTTCAATCAAGGTCCAGTGGAGCCAGGAAACTGTTCCTGGCAGCAGTGCCGGGATGGGCCTGCAGCTAGCTTGAGCTTGAATCCAACGCTTGTTCAGACATCAGCTGCTAAAATGTGAATACCCAGTGGATAGTAGGAGCAATGCCTAGTAACAGTAGTGGTAGGATATACCCGAGCGCGGAAATAGAGCACGAAGAACCGGTAGTCCACAAAGAGGAATGTCGATAACCTTTTTTCCAGTACGAGGTTCTCACCTTGACTTGAAGCTGCCGAGTATTCCTCCGTCTCCTGACAAATTCTGGCACATGTCCATGAGGATGACGACGAATCTGCGCATCTCAATCCCTTGAAGCTCGTTTGGCCTCGACAGTCTTGTCTGGTATGTACATAGATGATGGGCACGAGTTGTGGTTGCACAGCTTTCTTGTCAACGGCTTCAGGATCGCCACAGAAGCGTACGAGAGCGGTGGGTAATGGCGCCACTCTGGCCTGCAGCCTTCATGCCCCTTGGATAATTTACAATTAGCCATGTGCATCCATTGGGAAGAGACAAGCCGTCAACAGGCATTGGATGGGCGGCAGAAACAGAGGCTGGTTGGTTGGTTGGCTGGCTGGCTGGTGGAATAGCTTGAGAGACAGAGAGAGAGAGGCAAAGCAAAGAGACCCAAGAAGAATTGTGCGGGCGCCAATGCGGCGGCTGGTGCCCCCTTACGCGCTTGGAAGGGGTGGTCAAGGCCTGAGGCGGGCTTGTCATTGGCTAGCTCCTGGCTCTTGCGATCCAACTCCGGGGTAGGAGCGTGTCGCATAGTGTTTCGCCAGGGGTCACTTGTGACACTCGCCAGAGATCTTGGCGACCTGCGCCGTTGCGAGCGCAATTCTTCACTTCACGCTCACCACGGGAGTCGTCCTTGTGGATGAGTCCCACGTTCGGATGGTGGGAGGCGGGTGATGGACACTTGAAGTCTTTTGAACCAGTTGTGCAACATTGTTTCCACATAGGATTGTGTCTCTTCTCTCACCTTATACAGACAGATCCTCTTTCAGTACTCTCTGATTGGTTCGGACCCTTTTCTCAGGAAAAGCTGTGCACTTACATAATTACTATAGTACCTCTTTCACGAACCATAAACCTCTCGATCAAGCAAAGAACACCGAGGGAATTCCACATGCATACAGAGAACATGCATACATGATACCAGTTGCCTCCATAGTTGAGCCTCGACTTCAGACGAAGCAACCGCGCACACAAGAGCCCTATTAGCCCAAAGGCTCGGAAACGGCACTTTATTACTGGGCCTCACGGCATGTACTTTCCGTTGGGTTGCGGATAATGGCGCTAGATATCCTTTTTCATGTTGCATAACAATCTCGGCTTTCCCTCCGCTGGGTCTCCTGCCAACTGCGTCCAGGGGCCGAATGTTCTAATCATAGCTCTCTGCTTAACATTCGAGGGGCCATGGGTTGGTACACAGCAGATCGCAACACCCAGCTCGTCAGGTCCTACCTACTCGAATCCTATGACTTTCTTTTTGAACTCTTCATTCAGCGGCCCAACTCTACGGTTATCTATTCCGAGTAGTCTCGGCTTGGCACACTCGACATGCGCTGCGCAAGCTTTGCACGGGTTCTACATACTGCTACAAACAAGGCCATGTACAGATAGGGCCACATTCGATGCAAGGGCTCGGTTCCCTCTCCTTCATGAGGCTCTGCTCTCTAGTTTGCACAGATCTCGACAACGAACGAGGTTGACCCCTGTACCTAAATGTATTGCATTCTTAATTCGTATAGAGAAACTCATTTACAATTCTGACAAACTTTGAGAATGGATCCTCAACATTGGGGATTCCCGGCAAATTCGATTCTCTGGAAATAACTACCCGTTCGCAAGCTCAACCTTTTGTGGTTACGACGATGTCATACTCCAAGGAGATATAGTGAGTCACGTGTTGACTCTTCTTAACGTGCACCCAGTCTTGGGCAGTGCCTCAAGAATTGAGATATTGCCTGCGCCCAGATGAGCTTTGGCAGCATCCATGGCTTAGGGAAAACCCAAAATTTACGCCATTCTCCCTACACTTTTCACAATCATGTCGTATCAAAGCGAAGATGGCTTACATGAATCAAGTCGCCGGGCCTGAGACTGGCAAAGGCAACACCCGTAGCAAACTACTTGTTTCGTTTGATCCCATCTTCTGGCCGAGCACGCCGGAAGCCGAGAGCTGGCGCGGCAGCCTTGGTAAGGTGCAAGCTGTTTTCATCTCGGAAATCGGTATAACTGTTTCCCAACGTCATATTCGGCATGAAGTGGTGAATATGTCGTAACTGAGGGGCATTCACGGGGTCCCAGGATCTGATGTGTTGTGATTACAATGTTTCATTCTTACCCTTATTGACTCAGGAGCTGGAGGATTCGGGTCGATATGACGTTGTGGTGCCAGTGGAAACATATCAGCGAGGTATATACATTCATACTCATGCATGATCAACCGGGAGCATGATGGCAGTTGCATGCCGAGCAGATACACGGGGGTGTCTAAAATTTTGCCTCATGACCTTTCTTTCAGGCTCGCTTGGCCTCTATGTAATTAGCAACGTGCAAACCATATCCATGCCAATCCTTCTCAAGTACAGCGCAAAATGATCTGGACAAACGGGACCCAGACCAATCAAAGCACTATGTATCAGTCGTGGCATCAAGCAGGGCTTGTGGTCATGATGGCTACCCTGAAGCCCCTGCGTTGACAACCCTTCTGATGGCCAAGTATCCATCCCTGTGGTCGCTTGTGTCTATTGCTTGCCACAGCCATTTCCAGCAAATCTCTCAGACAACCCCATCAACTTTCCCAGACGATCATTAGATGGCATACTTGCGAGTCCACTCGCGGGCAGTTGCCTCGTATCGGGGGCGGTCTGTCTTGTAGACATGTGCGATCTCGGGGACAAGAGGGTCATCGGGGTTGGGGTCTGTCAACATGGAGCAGATGGACAGGAGGACTGAGCTTCAGTTAGCAAACGCTGTCAGGTTATCGATGTCACGGATATGAGTAGATGTACCTTTGCTGATGGTCAGAGCAGGGCTCCACTGGTCACGCAGGATGTCCAAGCAAATGCTGCCATTCGAGTTGATGTTGGGGTGGTAGATGCGAGTGGTGAAGTTAACCTTGGGAGGCTTGAAGGGATAGTCTGTGGGGAAGTGGATGGCGAGGAAGAATACGCCTCCAGAGTACGGCGAGTCGCTCTAAAAGACTTGGTTAGCATCGAAGCTCTACGCGGTCTGCTGAAAATGATCGCCGACTGTCATCTCTAGGCCAAAGTCTGGGAAGAGAAGTGGCTTGTAGGGTTGCGCAATCAGGTGGAACAAAGTTGGGGAAGGGATGTCGTCAATCACTTGTGATAACTTACAGGACCCATGATTGTGGCTTGCCAGTGGAACTGTACACATAATGGTCAGTAATCTGTTGCAAAAAATGTTTTCGTGATGCCGTTGTCCGCATCATTCCCTGTCCTCTTGTTCGAGTCATGCGAAGGCGGCGGACTGAGGCTTATCGGTCGGCGGGGTCGGAGTTGGGATGGCCTACCAGGTCCTCGCCGACGGGGCCGGCAGAGCATGATGAGGGAGGATCACTGTAGCAGATTTTGTTAGCATATTCACAAACGACAGCAGAGTCTCCAGGACAAAGGGATGCATGCAACGCGACATCTGAGGTGAGGCTATCGTGATGCCAGAAGACCCCTCCTCGATGCCCCACCTCGCACCCGAAAACAAAGTGGGATGTGTGTCGCATGGCCCTCGCCCCCCTCCAGACAGGGAGAGCAGGATGAACGTACCGTCCCAGGTCTGTGAGTTCCTTGTTAATGCGCTTCAAAGCCATTGTGTAGATGTGTTGTTGGAGTGTGTTGAGTTGGACGGTGTCTCTGACAAGTCGCGGAGTGCTCTCGAGGCTGGGCGTCGAAAGCTATTTATCAGGTCAGTCAAAATGGAATGCGGGAGAAAAGGATAGATGGTTTCATAGGTCGGGTGCGACAAAGAAAGCGGCGTTTGTCAGAGTCGGGATTCAACGTACCAGAAGGGGTATCGAAGTGGTGGACTAATGCAAAAAGGAAAGTGTTTGTCTGTGACGAGTGTTGTTGTTGTTGTTCTCGCCAAAAGGTGGTCGTCGACGTCAGAGTTGTAAATGGCAGAAAAGAGATTTAAGGCTTCTCTGGACGGGCGGGCTGACGATGGGTGGTGATGGTTCCAACGGGTCGGTGAATGGGGGAAGGGGAATTGGGGGGAGAAGGAAAGCAAGGACCCAGTGCAGCAGTCGCCAGGTGTTGACCCTCGAGCCTATCTGTATGGCGTGTTTGGTTGTCAAGGCCGGCCGTTAGCAGCCTTTTTTTAGTGCACCGTGCAGTTGCTAGAATCCAAGTACTGTGGTGGGTCCAAACGGGCAAGCATTGCCCAGCAGGCAAGCAGTCGGGAATCAGTCAGAGGTTGGGAGCCAAAGGACCTTGAGCACAGCGAGTGCAGCATTCAGGCACGGGGTTGAACAAACGCCACAGGCACAAAAGCGCCTGACAAACCAGGAATTTCCATTGATATCGCCCCCCTTGCCTTTCACGGGCCCGCCTTGTCCGCTACTCAGCTGCCAAAGAGCCCCCTCCCCAACCCAAGATTAGTGCATGAGAGCACTGAGGAAAAGGCACCTCGGAACTTCATATCACTGTAGTACACTGCTCCCTACGTTACGTACCTACATTACCGATTGATAATGCCCATCCTGACTGACTTGGAATTCAATGACTCGACCCGCTTCCAAAGTTTGGTTTTTCTCCCACTCGAAAGTGCATACCTAATAGGAACGAGATAAAAACATGGAGATCAACATCTCCTTGATCTGGACCCAATCATCTGTCTCCTGTTTTGCTCGGGCGTTAATGGCAAGATCCCCATTGCTCTTGATCCTTGGGTAATCATGACTATTGGCAGCCAATTGGTGCTGGGCCTTTCATTCTCCCGACCAACACAGCCACATATCGCCTGTTGCGACACACACCACATAACAGACAGACACACCGAACATGCAGGACACGCACGGTTGGGCGCTAATCAACCAGCACTGCAGATACGCAAGAGGCACTGTGCAGTGACTCGGTTCAGCCCGATAGACTTCGCCATTCGCCTCATCTTCCCAGTGCCCCCGGTTGGGACGATTGTCAGCTTCTGCTCTGCTGACTGATCGATTGGTGTATCCGGCATGCACAATGGTGACAGCTGAATCATCCAAGTGCGAACACATCCCGAAAAGCTGAGTGGGAGTGCTTTCCTTCCATGAGAGTCTCTTTTGTCACGTGTTATGCCGAGCTGAACAGCGCTGGCCACCTCTGCAACTCTTCCATCGTTCGTCTCGAAATCGCCATGCCGAAGGGATGCTACAATTAGAAGCACTCGACTAAACATTCCAAGATCCTTGTCTTGGACCAAGAACCGACCGTGTCATCTTGCCTAGGAAACACGTCCAACTTGGCAGTGAAAGGTCAAGCGCCGTCGGCGTTTCCCTGCCCAGAGTATTCTGGATGCAGACAGAGTTCGTCATCTCTCGGTGCCATGAAGACTGTATTTCCCTCTGCCATATCCTCGTAGTCTATCGCACGACTTTGCAATGAGAGCAAGAGCAACTCGTCAAGATTCGGATGAGGATGTCTACCCCTTTTAGTGTTGAGAATAACAAGTAGGTCAAAAGAAGCGGTGTTCATACCTTACTTATTACCTGATTAGAGGTTGTGTAGTCAACTTTAGCACCAAGGCCAGACCCATACCTTGCATTCGCCCAACGATCATGGCTCTTCTTGAGCCATGCCCAGGTCTAATTCGACCTTAACACTTGAAAGATGACCTGCTAAAATAGCAACCGGTCTTTGATCATCCTCAACATTGGCTTCCTAACTTGCAGCACCCCCGCTACGCGCCAAGACTATCTCAGCCCTGAATATGCATCGTACTCACCAGACTTGCCTAGACAGGCACGATATTTCTGTCATAATTCACAGGGCTGGCTGCTATGTAAAATGACAAAGAACACGCTCACTTCTTCCTGAGTTCTACTCAGACTCTATGTATATAATGTTGCAATCTGACTACCTGGCACTCTGGGCAAGACTTGGGAGGCAACCCGTCCTCCTGCAAGTACGCGCCTATTACGGCATCTTTGTGCACATCCTCACCTACCCCCCAGATGCCGAACAGCCGTTCAACACCAACCAGATGACGAGATCCGTGATGGTCAAGTCGCAAGAGTAGGGACCCATCGCTTGTGTACAGGCAGAATAAAACAGGGCTTGGACCAGGACTTTGGCCTCACTTCAGCCGCCTACGGACGGAGGCTACTGGATCTTGACCGCCAGAGGGGAACCGGACCTGGACCCGCTCATCCCTGAGGACCCCACGTGTACAACCTTGGCTCCGTTTCGAGATGGGCCAACGGGTCGGGGCTCTTCCAACACGATATTGCGGGGACCGAACGGGCAGTGTTGATCTCTAGCATTTGTCTACGTAGCATGACCGTCGACCATTGGCTTCACCTGAGCCAGCAATTCCGGTCAGTCTTGACTCAAGATGTGGAAGAGGGGTAGATCATGCCACGGCCCTTGTGATTGTGCTGTCCTTGGGCCTGGTATGAAGGGTCTTCGTCGCCAATGAGGCTACTATAGTCGAGCCGGGCAGCCGGGGTGAGCGGCTCTTCGCCGCGCGGGATCATGTCACAACAGCTTGGCAACGGACTTCCTGAGAGGTTTCTCTTACTGGTGGAACCGGATCTTCGTATAGATCAGCCACTACAAAACCATTCTAGAATAAGGATGGGCAATGATAGACTTGGGATCCCTGTTAAGGGTCCTACACGTAGTGCTATGCCGTCTCGCTACACTATGATGATGCATGAAGTGATAGGGTTGTTCTGCGGACCAACGTGGGGTTGAGAAGTGATTCACTTGAGACCTCTGGATATATAAAGAGGCAATGTTCTCGTCTGTTTGTCCTGCTGATATTCTTCTCTCATTCTCATCACTCCTCCTCAACTACTCATTACATTTACTCAACCCACAACTCCCCAAACACAAGACAAGATGGCTGGAAACTTCTTTGCTACTGCCGAGGGACTCCGTCTTGAGGACGGTCACTTCCTCAGAGCCCGCCTCCAGAGGATCGACGGTGAATGGGTTGACACCGAGATCAACCTCAACGAGCACATTGGCAACGCCGACGGTATGTTTGAACTTTTATTAAACTTTGAAATAATAACTAACATGATGGATTTTAGGCCACTTTGAGTGGAACAGCTCTGGTAAATAGATTTCCCCCAGGACCCTCGTCAGCATCGTACAAGAGAGCTCATATTCCCCCTCTTCAACTAGGCTTTGCCAACTCTGCCGAGGACATCTACCTCTCCGTCGAGGGTACCGGCCCCGTCGCCGTGCTCCGCGCCAGACTCCGCCGTGAGGACGGCGAGTGGGAGAACCGTGACCTCAACCTGAGCGAGCGTCTCGCCAACAACGACGGTCAATTCCACGTAAGCATCCTCCTTTGCCCTACAATTTTTGAACCTCGGTCGCTAACTTTGAATTCTTCAGTGGAGTAAGTTGTTTTTAAAGCCTACAAAGCCGAGAGTTGCAGAGAAACTGACCATACAATGTAGCCTAAATTTATACCCACGCAGCGATTTGATTCAAGGTCTATTCGGTAGAACAAACTATGGTATATTGTCGAGGACTAAACATAAACAAGCCAATGACTCAATAAAACAATGACGTTGCCTTGTACAAGAAGTCTTCTCCCTCGCGAGCCGTGACTACGAGAATGAGTGTTTGTTGATCCGTTTCATCTTGCTTGTGATACGATAGAAGTGTTCTGAAGCGGGGGCCTTGTTCTAGACTCTCGGCTACCATGACATGTAGAGTCGCTTTTGGCAATTGCTTCCGCTTCATCTCTAGCCTCGGATACTTCCACTGTTGCTTGTCTCGGCCCTAAATGACATGTCCTCTGAGAAATACCAGTCTTTGCTTTTCCGGTTCTCAGCGCTGTCGACTTCAAACGAACCCCCTCATGAGATCATACCAGTACACTACAGCTTAACACGTAGGCATTGTTCCTGCAATACGTGTCCGTTTCGGGGTGCTCGTGAGGTCCAGTTTTACGGATCCACTGGTGAGGTAATTCCCAGTAGGCTATGTTGTCGTGATATAGTTTTGCGGTTCCGCACAACTGGCATTGACTCCACAATTTAAACTGCTTGTCCCCCCTGGTTGGATGTGTTCCTGCGTGCAGGGTAGGGAGCAAGACGAGGCGAGATTCTCAACCCCATATTGCACTCTCCGTCGACTCATTAGTGTATTTTGTAGGTCATAGGATAAAGAGCTAAAAAGGGGTATCCTGCAAGCACCTCACAATACTTGATGTCATCAAGTCACTCGGAGGCACTCGGTGTGTTTGATAAGACATGGTGGATAGGAGCTTGGTTCGCTTCTCGGCTGATACTCTGGGAATTGAATAATGAGAGTTGGGATTTTTTCGACTACGAACACGACTCGGGGATTTAAACAATGATCAATTTGAGCACGGAATAGGGCGTGTATGCGAAAGACGGCACGTTACAATATGGGGATGAAGTTCATTACTGATTGCGTTACCTAGAGCATACGGATTGGTTTTCAGCATGGTTGCGCGAGCAGAAGCAATGGATTATATTCAAAACAACTCTAAAAGTCGATAACTGCAGCTAATGGAATTGGCAAGCGACAGTACATATTGAATTTGAAAATTGTACACTGTCAATGAGAGATGTGCAATGCATCTGCCCAATTTCACGATATCTTGCCCTCAGCAACGAGGAAAATCACACGCGTCTATCTCAATTTTGCGTTGACAAACAACGGCTTGAGACAGGCCACCGCTGGGGAGAAGTCAGCTTCCAGAGATGCCTCTGGATTCGCCAGTTCAAGCTGGAATATCTACCGTTAGCGTTCGATTACCAGATTGGTCTACGGAACAGCATGTCAGACTTACCTCGAATTTCATCACCAAGGCAGGTAGTACCTTTTTCATTTGCATCACGGCAATATTCTGCCCCAAGCATACGCGACGGCCTCGACTGAAACCCATGTGTGATGCTTCCATCTGTCTCAACACGTCCCGGTCCGACGTGAGCCAGCGTTCAGGGCGATAGACGTTGGCGTCGTCACCATAGATCCTAGTATTCTGGTGCACGGCAGATGGCAGACAACCTACACTGGTGCCTTCTGGGAAGAACATGCCGGCAATGGTAGCGCCACCGGCAGGTACAAGACGCTCCATTGGCCAGGTCGGGGTGGGAAAGACGCGCATGCTCTCTCGAATGACGGCGTTGAGGTACGGCAGCTTGTTGACTTCTGAGAAGGAAGGAATATCGGAAATCTGGGCTTGTGATAGCTCTGCTCGTAGACTCTCGAGAGCTGTCGGATTCTTGAGCAGATTGTAAATGGCCGCCGTGACGGTTGTGGCGGTCGTGTCTCCCGCACCAGAGATGGTGGACATGAGCATGCCTACGACTCCAGAGGTATCGAGCGCCTCGGGATGGTCTTTGCTGGCTTCCAGAAATCTGTGCAGGAGGTCGACATGTTCGGTATCGTATTTATCCTGTCCAGACCTCGCTTTAAGTTTCTGCACTGCGGCCGCTGCCATGCTTGACGGAGCACGCTTTTGTCGCATGGCTAGCGGATTGCGGTACACCAATCTCTCCAGACCCGGGATTGATGACCACCAGCCCCAATGGTTGAAGCGATCGCGAATCAGTTGAATCGAACCGCCCACGTCATCTTCCACCTCGAGGCACCCGAGAGGCTCACCGAATGAGAAACGTCCTGCCGCATCCATGGTGTAGTGCAAGACCATTGACGAGAGGTCAAACATTGACTTGTTCTCAATTACTTTGAGAAGCTCAACAATGGTGGCATCAATCCAAGGCTCATAATCCAACACTGCAGTGGGTGTGAATGCGTTGGCAACCGATCTTCGCAGTGCACCATGGCGGCCTTCGTCGGCGGTGCTCACCAAACTGGGAACCTCTTTACCATTTTGAATTCCAACCAAGACCTTGTATGAGTCTGCCTACAACACACAAATTAGAATGAATGCAGAATGAATCATTGGGATTGTAGTGTCTTTACCGTAATGAAACCCGCTCGGCTGCCGTAGACCACATTGATGACTTCTGGGTCGTTGATACTGATACTTTGTACCCCATATCTCACAATGGGGCCGCATTCAGAGTGCAAATCGATCAACTTTTGCCTCAGCTTGCCGTTATATTGCAAATATGCCCGCCACAGATCCGTGGTGCCAGCGATTCGAGGTCCGGGTGCTTTGCTGAGCTTTAGCCAATTGGTGAGCAAGTGAACGCAAATCAGGGCCGCTGCAAATACGGCCGAGAAGACAAGTATGGATGCCATGGTGTGTTTACTCTCCTTGACGCAAGAGAGTTGTGTTACACAACCTGCCAGACAATAAAGGCATTGTCTGAATAAATGTACTCTTTGACTTGGGCAGGAGTGGCGAGGCGTGCCCACATATTCGTGCTGCTCACATCAGATTACATATGCTGGCGCATCAGCACTATAATCCCCGGGATACAAGACATGCAACTTAACCCCTCTTTTCGCGGGTTAGTTGTTGATTTAAGACTCCTGTGATAGGTGAGCAGCAGGGCTTACATTCCATGCACATTCTTATCAAAGTTTGATCTCTCCAGAGCTACTCAAGCTTAGCAAAGAGTCTATATGACCTTTTTGTGCCACGGTCTGATGACGGGATATATTCAGAGTACGCAGTCGTCCATTTCAACAAAATCACGTTTCCGAGCGTTTTTAATATCAATCATGCCATTGCTATTGAATCAGACCATGTCATTGAGCTCTTGTGGTGCACTGCACTGGCCTCGTTTCAATCATATGATACTCGGATTGCTCTACAGGGGACCCCGAACGCGACAGGAATATGCTGACATCAAGTCATAGTATCGGAAGATCTTTGAAGTGGCCATGGCGGGGATAGATACCGAGGTCAAAAGCATGTACTCATCGTGGACTTGATGCTTTTGGTGCAGTGTTTCAAAATGTGAATATAACATTAAAAGAAAAAGAAAGAAAAAATCCAGTGAATGAAAAAAAAAAAACAAGTAGAAGAAAAAGTAAAAAAGAAAACTAGTAAGAGAGAGAAAAGAGAAAGAGAAGACAAGGAGTGAAAACCCATCATCGACACAGACTGCATTCGAACCTGGTGCATTTCGTGTCACTGAATACTGGAATTTAGTGAGCTAGGCCGCTAATCCGGCGCTAGCTGCCCCACCCCGCCCAGACTGCCTGGACTGCCCGCTTATGATTTTGCAACACCAGATCCGAATCCCACGACAGCCACAACACTTGGAGAAAAGGACAAAAAACAACAACAACAACAACTTCACGATACTTATCATCGTGTATACGGGCAAAAATTTCGACATTGGCCTGATTCGAACAGACGCTCCCGAAGGAACAAGATTGCAGAATCACTTCCAGAGAAGCAAGTTCTAGTCTTGCGCATTAGACCACTCTGCCACAATGCCTTGTTATTGGATGAAAGTTCGAGTCTTTATTTTAAACTATATGCCATTCCAAAATCCCGACAAATAGTGACTCAAAGCCCACCAAAGTCTTTCGGAATGACTCGGGGTGTGGATAGGTGAGCTTGTGTCGTCACCTACCATCAAGAATGCTTCTTTCATGCGATACTGGGGTCATGTTTGTTCGCGCCGCACGGTAGAACACAGGCAGGGGCAGAAGACAACAGTCATTGCAATAATTGCCATAAAATAATAGTATCGAGACACAGCATGAATTCTTTTCGTCAACGTATAAATCATGATATCTTGTTTCACGCTCACATACATGATCATTATGAAATTCGTAAACCTTTCCTATCCTCCACGTTCGGGCCCGTCTAGTATGATACCTAGGGTCAAGCATCTGCTGATGACAAACACAAGCCTTTGCGATAACCCGGCATCTCGTCATATTTTTTGCGAGTAATATGTGCCAGCATTAGCTATCTGCACTAATTGGACCCGTCGCCGGATGGTGGGAGTGACATTGCATTCTTGTGCCTGTTGGCTCGCTCCCACAAGAGGAATGTCTGCCCTTCACTCAAGTGGTCTATGGGGCTTGGAGGCGTCATGGCGGCACGGTCCTATGTCCCCATCTCAATTCTCAGCCTACCTGGATGGTCGGAATCACGAGTGATGACCACATGTTTTCAGCTCTCGAATAGCCGGATATCTCATAAAGTTTATTTTTAAATGCCTCCAACCTTCTCTTTCTCCGCGCGCTGTGTTGTTTTTTTTTTGGGTGTACTCCTACCCTCCTCTGCTAGCAGACTATACCCAGCGCCAAGGGTCTATAGTCTTGGGTGTGTAACTTAGGACTTGATTGGTGCATGCCTTTTTTCATTGGCGCACAATATAATATTACATCTGCGCCGGTGACACGCATCAGTATCACAGACTACATGCGCGCGGTACTGTTCAAAGCATGTCTTTGATATCAAGGCACAAACCGCAAAGGCTCAAAGTACGGGCTATTCGCGTATGTTGATGACCCTCCGCTGCGTATAGCTGTGATGCATCGCGGGTTCATAATACTTTGAAAAATTTTAATTATCGACGAATAAACAAAAAAAGTAAAGTCAAATCTTGTGGAGATAACTGCAGTGGTAGTTGAAGAGCCCAACCCTGCAAGAAGTTCAATTGCATGTCCATGATTGGTTCATCTAGGAATCATTCTGCGACACCAATATAGAAAAGGCGTGAAAAAACTTCATTTTGAGATTTGGATTAGTATTATTTTTTTCTTAAAAAAAAAATCCGGATTGAATTCCGGATCGAGTACGTTTGATCGTCGGAGAAGTGATAAGTTGGTGAAAACACTATGCCATAGGTCAAACACCATATCTATGGAGATTCCAGTGCGGCAGCCAGGCGCATTTTTGTGTTGTTGTCATTGATGGCCGGTCTTACAATTTGTCATTTTGCGTTGACTCGACTATCGTGTCGTGTGTGCCATGACACGACAGCAAACTCACCTGATGCTTATAATGCGCCTTCTGCCTCGACGCGAATTTCGTTTTTGCCCTGGGTATTATGGATCAACTCGGACATCTCCTGTGTTTGCTGACGCTACGCAGGCTGTCAACAGATCTTGGTGGCTCGACACCGATTTTATGCGCAGACCTGGAATCTCTTTTTGACTCGATTTAATCAGGGTAAATTCGGAGATTAGGCTTACACTTTATTAGACGGTATTCGAATATACTAAATGCTTGACGCTATAATTCCAGTCTTAGGTGCGAAGTTGCCCACAATCAGCACGCAAGCACATAGTATCAACCAGCGAACGGCCCCCAACACCCCATTGTCACATGTTCTTGTTTTCCAACCGCCCTTTTTTTCTTTTTTCTCTTTTGGGTTATAGGTTCTCTTGAACGTAATCTCGCCTGTCGAAGGAATACTATTTTACTTCTCTTCTTTCAATACCAACGTTATTTACCTCGAATCCTTTTCACCGATGGGCATTCTGATGTCGTTGGACTTACGTTCCATTATGCTATGTCGAGTCAAATTCGACATTTGGGGACGAATCTGTACCAAATGCGGTCTGAAGATGAACAAAATTTCCAGATGTTTACATTCCAGTATGTCTCAAAGGCTAGTGCCAGCCGGGACCAACGGCTCTCATCAAGCAATCAAGAGAACTCATGACTGCGATATGAACTGGCTGTTGCCGTAACTTTTGGCCTAACAGATACACAGTCCTGTACTAATGGTCGCTGGGAGGGACGCAGAAGTCATCCACAAAGCTTCCGTAAGAGCGATGCAGAGATACAGGTTCTGGGTCCTTGGGACAATCGTCTTCTCACCCCTATGTGGCTTCCAAATATGGGGATAGCATGAATTTGAAAAGCTGTAAAACCAGAACATGAAGGATGAGAATAACATCCGGACAGATCAGGGCAGATTGCTCTCTATGAGTCTTGAAGGTGCCTCTGTCTTCTCCGAGTAGCAATGCTGCTCGCTAGTGCGAGCTGAACGCCACACATCATTTCTCAGTAGGTTCATCGAGATGCAACTGAATTTGACGAATCCTGCCAGATGAGATGTCTAGTTGTCATGATGGCAAGCCTGGAACCAACGGAACAACAACCCGATGATGCTCACCCACCCAAGCACATTGAAAACCGATGACGGGCGAGTCAATCTATGGACATGCGTGTCGAGTCTATCTCTTTCTAATCAAATCATTCAAAGTCAAAAGGACCCGACGTAAGTTGGTAAGAGGTTGTCAATGTGCTCCTGGCATGAAGCAAGTGTCGAGAAAGTTTAAATCCCCTTTGGAGGGTATAGATCTCCAGCGGTGCCTCCAACGGCGCGGGCTATGGCACTTGGCTCGCAACGAGCATTTGTTGAAAGTCCGTGAATCAAAGCCAATCCCGAAACCTTGCAGTCTTGATATTTGTGGCATCGCTTCTGAAGAGAAGCCTGCCGAGCCTGCCTGGCCCGTTTGTCCGTATCAGTGCGCACAGCGTTTTTGGATAGACTAGCACGAAAGGCAACCCTGATCAGCCATCCGCTAAGGAATTTCCAGTAAATTCGCTGTAAATTCTCCAGGTTCTTTGTCGATCCCTATCCCATCTTTATCTAGATTGCAGCATAAGGGGCAAATTTTCGATCCAATCCCGGTAAGTACGTTCTTGGCGTCCCTGAAGAGTCGGTCCCTTGTCCGGTCCCTTGTTCACAAGCGGCCGTTAAGTTTAACCTGGTCGTTAGCATACTCGCCACTAGCATCGTTCCCGGACGTGTCGTCCGGGCCTAGACTCGTTGGTCTCGTAGACGACTGCTCGGGAGATGAATCTCATGAGTTCGGCGACGGCATGGAGAAGAATAAAGGGTAGTGTCCCCAGAAAGAAATAAGGCACCTGTGCAAGTCCCGATGAATGAAGCGAGAGAATACCAGGATTTCCATGCTACGCATGTACGTTTACTCGTTCAATCCATACGCAGCCCAAACTCAAAACCCAACATGGCCTCGAGTTATATACATAGTCACGGTACTTTGGCTCATGTCATGACATGATTCAAGGTTGAGTACTGTTATGGTGTCCAAATCAATGCACCTCCGGGACCTTGCTTTGGTGTCCGTCAATAAGCTTATCTTCACGTGGGCGATGGTGATATAGGGGCAGTCTTGACCACCTCTGAATACCATGATCATTTGCGTAATTGGAACCAATATGTGGGTATGACCTGGGAAAACAAGTTGACAGATAATCGAGTGTCTTATATATGTTTCAGAATATTGAAACGGAAGAGGATGAGCAAAACTCTCCGATTAAGCGAAGCCATCAGAAGACGCAAAGAAGAATGTTATTGGGTGCCAAGCAGCTGGATTGTCGGGACCCATGTCCCTGATCGGGACCCCTTTTCCCCCACCCCGGCGCTGACCTTCCGCACGTTCCGGGCTACTACAGGCGCCACTCTCGTCTCTCTCCAGCTTTACCTGGCGGAGACGTCAATGACAGCAACTACTCGACCTAGCGCAGTTGCAGTTGCGACGCCAATGAACTACAAGCCGTCTAAAACGTATTAGTGAACTCTATTATCGGGATCGGACTTTTGTACTTGGCCAAGGAAAGCAAAAGAGAGCATTGGCGTAGACCTAGAACATTTCCTCCTTCATCATAAACGTACGTTTGGGTTGATCAGCTTCTGCAGGTCCTGACTTTTTTTCTTTTCGGGTTTGTTGCCACGGGAATAGTGTTTGTGCGCAAGTCGGCGGCACAGCAGGCACAAGGCAGGGCAGGGCAGGCAAGGGCAGGCAAAGGCAGGCAAGCGATTCGGGCACGGTTATAGTACGGAACGAACAACTACACCTCGGCACCCCGCACCGCACGCCCCTGATCTTCTTGCGCGACATACCTCAAACCACAGTAACCCAACGATGCTAGGCAGTGTAGGGCAGCAAACCCACAACCGATGGACAGGAACAGACCTTTACAGCGGCTGTTAAGCGGCCGCGCTCCGATTTAGTAGGTAGGGTTCATGGATGTAGATGCTTTGATGAGCCCAATCATGGTTCGGTGGAGAACCGCTAGCACCTCTGGAAACTTGAAAAGTCGACATCCAGCCACTCACAAAGTGCAAACAAGCCATGACTCGAAATTTCCCCTTGCTTTGGTTTACTCGGGAAGATTTACACCCAGCGCACTATACTACTGTATATATCCCCACACATAAGTTCGCGTCCGTCCATCAAACAAATCTTTCAGCATTGTGAGAAAACACCACTCGTCATGCTGCGTGGTCATCACATCGCACCATCACAGCCATGAGTGACGAGGAAGATCGCAGTAGAGGGGTGCTCGGCGTCGCCATCACCTTCCTCGCCCTCACTTGGATAGTGGTGCCTCTTCGAATCTATGTGCGCACCGTGGTGACCAAAGCCTTTGGGACGGATGATGTTTTACTACTCATTACCCAGGTAAACAAGGGACCCTTCAGTCCACAGTCACATAAAGATGTCACCCAGCTGATCCAACTCGCAGGCTCTCTTCACGACCTATCTTTCTGCCCAGCTTGGAGGTTGGTATTGGGGTACAGGCAGGCACAGGGACAATCTCACACCTGAAGCCAATACAAATGCGCTCAGGGTACGTAGCAAACTGGTGGACTGCTGACGCCATGGCTAATTGTGTGATAGTTCTGGTTCATCTGCGAGATCTTCTACGTCCTCACGGCTACATTCATCAAGCTCGCTGTCGGCTTGTTCCTGATTCGTCTCTCCGTCATCAAGATGCACATTTGGTTCCTTCGTATCCTCATGGTTGGAAGTGTTGTTTTTGGATTCGCCTACCTCATGGTTGTCCTGTTTCAATGCCGGCCGATCAGCACATTCTGGTTGGAGGCGCCAGGCACCCCCGGCAAATGCCTGGACAACAATCCCGTCGCCATTACCACATACATTGCATCAGTCGTCAACTGTCTTGCCGACTGGGCCTTTGGTATATTACCAATGTTTATCGTCTGGTCTCTAAATATGAACAAGAGGTCAAGAATCATTGCCATGGGTATCCTCGGCTTTGCTTCCATGTATGTCACCGTGGTTTCGAACCAGTCAACTTGAAGGCGATGGATCACCCAACTGACCAATTCTCTTAGCGCGAGTACCGCGACGATTGTACGATGCTTTTATATTAAAGACATGCTCAACGGCCAAGACTTTCTTTGTAAGTCAGACGAACCTCACCAAGACAGAACACCAACTAATTCCATACAGGGGCCACGACAAACTTTGCCATCTGGAGCACAGTCGAACCAGGTGTTGGCATTATTGCGACCTCTATCGCGACACTGAGACCGATCCTGAGGGGCTTCCTGGCCCTCTTTGGTATATCCACAACTTCGCGGTCAAGGGCGACTCCATGGACGCCCTCACGCGGCTACATCAAGACTGATGATCAGTCCATATCCAATTTAAGGCCGGATATCGGCGCAAGCACTTCAACTGCAGCTGGCGGCCCAAGGAGGCAGGCCCAAAATAACTATGCAGAGGACGAACACAGCACAAGTGACCTCATCGAGTTGTCGGGCATTGTAAGGACAGTGGAGGTGTCACTTTCAAGAGACAATGACGACGTGACGCCGCAGCCAATTCTTGTTGGCAGCAAAGCATATCAGTAATGCAAGGAGTTTGATATATCAGACCAAATAAAACAAAAATGATAATAAAAATAACAAGACCCTTCCTACGAACTCTCCGGCTGGTACGATTACTGCAACCCGTCATCTTTTTTCTTTCTTTATCAACTAGCAATTTGTCGTCAATTGCTACCTCGATCATTTTGACCCGAGATCCGGCCAGCCTCGCGCTATGCTTCCGAGTTGCCACTCATTGTCTCTATTGAATCCCTGTGTAAGTAGGCGACTAAAGCGCCACCTCGGAGCAAGACAAGATCCACTTGACAATATCGTTCCATACAACAAGGCATCGGAACGGGTCCTGACTATTGTTCCATAATAAAGACGATGCAAACATGCTACTGTATGAATTTAACATACTGCACTGCATGCCTGCCTAGTCAGCACTCACTTCTATTTCCATCTTGTTTTTTTTTTAAAAAAAAAATTATGGACGTATACTTCTAAGCTGGGCGTGGCCCGGGGATTCCCGAGAAGGTACCACGAGACTGCGGGATCCCCCCATAGGGATCCCGTGGGACCCAATCAGTCAGCCCAGCACCCATCGTCAACAATACACCCTCATCATGTTATAATTCTTGTGTCTATCGGTTTCCAATCTAGGCGCTTCCATGCAATATGCAAGCCGAGCCAGGTTCCATGCAATGTCAGCGGAAGAAAATACCGTACATGCGAATGATCCCACTCATTACCCAGTTTGGTCGGATTATTGCTGACTGTTGCGTTCTCTGTCTCCCAGTCAGCCTGCGAGGCTCTCATGCTTGCAAAGTCTGAATTCTCGCCTTATGATTCGAAGATAGCGGGCCTATACTGTACGTATATTCGGTATTAATTGCTAGGCTAGCATGGCCCTGCATTGAGTCTGTCGCGTTTTCGTGTCGTGTTCTTTTTCGAGATGAACGACCAAAGTAATAGCCGTGTGATGCACCGCCGGAAAAGCCAAGACTGCAGTGTGCACAATAGTATTGATGTCTGCAAGCCGTAATATTGCCACTATTGTGACTGCGATACAAGAGATCAGAAGCATAAATGACTGCTACCCAACTCAAGAGGTCGTGTCACTTGAAACTAGACAGTAAAAACTCTGTTGAGGGCTGCCTGTATCTCTGGAGGTGGCCGGCCCGGTGAACGCTGCTGCCTGTCCCATGTGCTACGCCAACTGGGAAAAATGTGCCTCATTCACGATCAGGTGTGCTGTATAATTATTTTATTGCATATTGCCTATCTAATGAATAGGGCAATTGTCCTCTGATATGCATTTGCAAATGTATTTACTCGGGTCGAAAATCATGGCCAAGCACTGTATTATTGGATGGGAGGCCCGTGCGGGGTCGACAGGCTTTTTTATTAATTGCACAAGGCTGCCGTTTATTAAAATTTCGAGGTTTACTTCATTTTATCATTTGAAATAGATTTTCTTGTGGTGAATCTAACACAAGAGGTATCATACGAATCATGGTAAGCACTTCCATGTGTGGCCGAATATAACACAAAGAACTGACGCGACTGGCAGCCCCTGCGACAGCTCTTCGACCCCAGCAGCGCTACTACTAGCGGCAAAGCTAAAGTAGAGTTAGCACCCTTTCCCCCTTCCGTCTGACCAAGGTTTTCTTCCTCCACTAACGACTATACACATCGTCTAGTCTCATTGCGGTCCACGGCCTCAACCCTCGGAGCAAGAAGGATGCCGACCACGCGTTTGATACCTGGCGGACGCCGGCCGGTGAAACGGGGCGGCTGTGGCTGCGCGACGACTTGCCATGCGTCCTGCCAGACACGCGCATTTGCCTATACGAGTACAACGCAACAGCGGTCTACGGGAAAGACCGAGACACGTTTGTCGGTAAGGCAAACGAGCTGCTGGAGGCAATCCGGATAGAAAGGGACGAGGATGAGGACCGACCAATCATATTCCTAGGTCACAGCATGGGCGGCCTGCTGATTAAACAGGCCTTGATCAATGCACACAACAACCCAAAGTATACCTCCATCAAGAGTGCGACTAGTGGTCTAGTCTTCTTTGCGACGCCGCACAACGGAGGAGACTGGAAGTTGGTCAGCCTTGGTGGGGTGGCGGCAAAGATTGCGACGCGGTCAGGATTTCAGAAAGGCGATGATGTGATTGAAGTCTTGAAGAAGGGCAGCATGTTTTCGGACATCATGGAGGAACAGTGGCGACATCAGCTACTGATGTATGATATTGTGTCGTTCTGGGGATCGGAAGATGACGTGAGTTGACACGAATCGTCTACCCTGACGCACTTGCAAGATGGCGCGCTGACTGATCTTCTAGATTGTCCCCCGGGAGAGTGCACGGTTCGGCCTGCCGGGGGATCGGGAGAATGTCGTGAAGCTAAATGCCGACCATGGTAGCGTATGCAGGTTCGGGTTAGGCCAGACGGACCTGGACAACTTGAAGCTGGTTCGTGGCAATATCCGGGACGTGTACCGTAATGCACTGAAGACGCGTGAGTTTCCTGTCATATCTTCTGTGCTGGAAGACGGAAATGACGTTGCCGAAAAGGAGCTGCAGAGGCGACTAGTTGATCTGAAAAGAGTTCGGATGTAGTATCAAGTCGAGAGGAATGGAACAAGACCATGCTTTTCTATCTTTCTTATTGTGTTGCTGAATATCCTGTGCTAATAACACAATCTTCAGGTGCATCACCACCCGGGGAAAGCGGAGAAATCCACCGGCGACATCACTATATTCCACTGACTCAGAACCGCAAATTTACCGGACGGACCCAAGTGCTTGAACGGCTCCAAGAAAAGCTTTTCATTGAGCCAGACTGCCAGAAGCTCGTAGTGCAAGGCCTAGGAGGCGTGGGCAAGACGCAAGTAGCATTACAGTATGCATTTTGGGTAAAGGAACATCAGCCAGACTACTCTGTTTTGTGGGTTCCGGCATACAGTCGTACAGGCTTCGACCAGGCATACATGGAGATTGCCAGGCGCCTAGGTATACAAGCAACCGGCAAGGACCAAGACGCTCGAGAGTTGGTGAGACGACGTTTGGAGTCAGAAGACAGCGGCAAGTGGTTTCTCGTCGTCGATAATGTTGACGACGTAGACATTTTGTACGGACAAGCCGGCTCCAACTCCAACCCCAACTCCGATGCGGCATCCGAAGATGGTATACATCAGTACCTGCCAGAAAGCCAGAATTGCGTCCTTCTGTTCACCACGCGCTCGCCGGACGTGGCTGTCGAGATTGCTGGCCCCGATGTGATTGACCTAGAAGAAATGAGCTCCGAGGAAGCTGTCGGCCTTTTGACGACATTGTTACGTCGGCAGGAGCTCCTTCGGGATAAGACAATCGTTGCAAAGCTCCTGCAGGAACTTGCGTATTTGCCGCTGGCCATTGCGCAGGCTGCTGCCTATCTTAACCGGAACCGGCAATCGTCCATCAGCTCTTACCTCAAGCTATTGCATGGCACCGAGGAGGACATAATAGGCCTACTGAGCCGGGAATTCCGAGATGGCTCTCTATTCCAGGCATCGCAGCGGGCGGTGGCGACGACCTGGATGGTCTCGTTTGATCTTATCTCTGTTTCGGATGATGCAGCTATAAAACTGCTTTCATTTATATCCTGCATCGAGCCAAAGAGCATTCCCCTCTCGCTCCTACCGCAGAATAAGTCGGCGGAAGAGAGACAACACGCGATCGGAACGCTGTGTGGGTATGCGTTTCTGGTCGCTAGAGAAGATGAAGAAATGTTTGATATGCATAGGCTGGTGCATATGGCGACAAGGATATGGAACCAACGACATGATCGAATAAAGGAAGTGACGCTGGGTGCTCTCCATCAACTGAACGCAGTGTTTCCACCGATCGATACGGCCAATTGGGAACGCTGGAGAGTCTATCTGCCGCACGCCGTACGAGCGCTTGGCGAGAGCAAGGGGCACTGTGTTCAGGAGAGATATGACTTATTGAATCGAGTGAGTCCATACTTCTTTGAAGAAAGACGGTTCAAGGAAGTGTTACCGGCTTTGGATGAGGCAGCCAGTTGGAGGAGGAATGCAATGCCTGATACGAATCCGGATCGACTCACGACAGAACACTGGCTCGCAAATGCATACCTGGAAAATAGGCGAATCAACGAAGCGATTGTGTTATTAGAGCATGTCGTCGCGCTTCGGGAACATATGCTAGACGAGAGGGATCGCTCTCGGCTACTTTCACAATACCAGCTCGCAAGAGCATATCTGGCTTCAAGACGCATCAAGGAGGCGATTGTAATATTTGAGCATGTGGTGGCGGTTCGGGAGAAGACACTGGATGAGAGGGACCACAAACGACTAGACTCACAACATGAGCTTGCGCGAGCATACCTGGAAGACAGACGAATCAAGGAGGCAATTGTAATATTCGAGCACGTGGTGGCGGTTCGAGATCAAATGCTGGATGAGAGGAGTCAACATCGACAAGGCTCACAACACATGCTTGCACGGGCATACCTGGATGACAAGCGGGCCGCAGAGGCAGTCGTGATATTGGAGCATGTGGTAGCGGTTCAAAGGCAGACGCTGGACGAAACGGATCTTTTTCGACTGGCATCAGAACATGTGCTTGCGCGGGCATATTTGAACAACAGGCGGATCAAAGAAGCGATCGTAATGTTTGAGTACGTGGTAGAAGGCTTCAAGCAAGCGCTGGAAGAAAAGGATATCTATCGACTAAAATCACAACGCGAGCTCGCACGGGCGTATTTGGATGATGGGCGGATCAAAGAAGCGGTTGTGATGTTAGAGTACGTGGTGGCGGCTTTTGAGCAAACACTGGATAGGAGGGATTTTGATCGGCTGGTGACAGAACACGTGCTCGCACGAGCATACCTGGCGGATGGAGAGGTTCAGAAAGCGGTCGCCCTCCTTGAGCATGTTGTGGCCATGAAAGCAGAAACTCTTGCGCCCAACGATGACAGTCGACTTCTTTCAGTAGCATTGCTAGCAGATGCTAGAAAAGCGCTATAAGCGCAATTCTTTTCCTTTTCTTACTAAGGGGGTCTAGCATGTACAATATGATACGTGGCCAGAAGATTTGATTCATTATCCCCTTTTCTGGAGAAACATGAGTCCAAGCGAGTGATACAAATCTTGACCTCTACTTCTGTTGATGACAGTATATATAGAGTCAGCTGTCATCAGGCCCGTGTACAGGGACAAAACATAAGTTAGTCATAAAACTCTTGCACTTTGTCTGGTCGTTGGAGCTCGTCATCCACACCTAGGGATACCGTGTTTACGGTACTTGAGGATGACATTCAGTGCTCTGGTCGACTTTGGCTCCATCTCGCCGATATCGTCATCTTAACTCTTAAGAAGCGACTGGCGCATTTTCTCGTGCCTCATGTCTTTCAAAGTGCTTTCCGATTGCATATCCAGAAAATTGGTCATGTGATCAGGTTTTACTTTAGCAAGAAAGTAAACAGCGTGTTGCTTCGCAGGCCCTCTTGTTTGTGAACTACCATGTCCCCGCACTGTCATTAAAGCTGTATAGCTGGCGGAGCAAAGACCTTGGGCAGGCGGAGCGACACGACCAGTCTCTCATAACAAAGAAAAAAAAAATCAAAATGGTTTTCAAATACAAAGTGAATGTTTGTAAAACTGACTCTAAAACCTTTCCTGTTGCTTCCTGTTGTATATCTGCAGGATGGCTGGGCCATCCAAATAAGCCAGCACCTCTCCAAATCTAAGAGGCGGTTAATATAGATCAATGCGTTACACAATTGACACCCATGTCAGTCAAGTTTGAACCGCGATAGGAACAAACCTCCTTGATCAACACATAACAATAATTTAGGGTTGTGGGTGATCACAAAATTCAAAATTAACAACTAGATACTCGCTAGTGCCGCCCAGATGGTGTAGTCGCGCGTGCAGAGACAATGTTTCCACGGGTAGTGCTAGCTTCTTGATAACTCTGAAGCCGCAGTTCCTCAACAGAGAATTTCTGGTATGGTATTTGGAACCCGATATGTTGGTAGGACACCACACCAAGGGAGCCAGATTCTTTTTGAATCGTTGGAGAGAACAGTGTGTTCAAAGTCCCAGGCGCGGAGTTGAATTTGAATGACGGCACAGTTCCACTGTTGGATGCCTGCGACCAACCCTGTGATGCGCCGGAGCTTCCGCCGAAACCGGGTGAGACAGAATAGGTCTCAACAGTAAAATTCAGCTTGGCTGTCTGTCTCATGTATTCAGGGTCCACGTATATCACCAAGCCCATTTGCTCGCTTCCGAGATTCGACACCCTGAAGATGACGTATATTTCTGCGTCCATGTTGGATTTTGACTGCATCTATATGTCCGCAGCTTGTTAGTACAAAGGTTTAGACCAGTCAGAGGATACGCGTTTGTAAAGAACTTGACTTACCCTGCTGAATTGGCTTTTACTCATGTAGAAAGGCGTCTCATGCGGGCCAGTAGTGGTCTTCACCTCGATATAATACGACGGGCGACGACTTGTCCAGATCTTTTTGTCGAGATATCCCAATGTTATGAGTTCACTTGTCAGAGTACCAGACACATCCCAATACACGATATCCGCCGTTTCCCTCCCATTCCAGGGTATCAAATCCGAGTAGGATGGATGCTGTCTCACATACTTCCTGATGGTACTCAACCAGTTCAACCTTCCGAAGCCTGGAAGCACTGATTTCATCTTGGAGAGGAGCTCAAAGACCTATGTTGCGTTAGATGATTCCAGAATTGACCAAAAAAGACAACCGCAAAGTCAACATACATAAAGCTCGCCAGCAGCACCAATCATTCTGTCTCTTTCGAGTTTGCTGCTGCTCAAGAATTCGATCTTAGTATTTGCATCTCGCCTTGGGTAAACCCCATTTGCATCAGGAGGGGGAGATATCGTGGATGAGCTTCTCGCATTTGGGAAGTATGAACGTCCTGCTATCTCAATCACTTTTGATAGCAGTGCAATGTAGTTACTCATTTCACGTTCTTCACTCGAACTGGGCCCTTGTACACTGACAAGCTGACCAGTATGTACCAAAGTTGATGATGATGTCCCGACTCCAGACGACCTAAATACTCCAGAGAATCTGGGTAGCAAGGACATGAAGGTGCCATTGGATGGACTAGGTGATATTTGCCCGGACACATCTGCTACATGCTGGGTTCCGCTGGGTTGTAAGCAAGGTACTGCAAGCGAGGATGGAGTTGATTTTGGTGAGGATTGAACAGACACATCGCTACCTGAACCCGACCCCTCAAGATTATCGAAGACCAATGGCGCATTTCTACCACCACTGGGAGTGGGAGGTCTGTGGGAAGGTTGTGATGATGGTTCCGTGGCTTGTGCTGCAGCTTTCTGCACAGGCTCATAGTCGTCGGGAAAGGAGAGCTCCGCTATGCCGGAACCCTCCAAGATAGCTTCTGTATTGTCACAGGAAACATTGAGAGTCTGCATGATTATGCTGACGCATGTTGTGCTCTCCATTGTTGGCAGGGAACGGCCGTCCTGTTCCATGAACCAGTCATAAAGACGCTGCGGAAGTGTTTGTGAGTAGCACAGTTGTTGCTGTTTGCGATCTCGCGGAATATAAACCCGAAGGACATCTTCGCTTGCATCGATATGAAGGTGACTTTGGGAGGTCTTGACGATCACGGTAGATGTGCCTTGCTGGAGATGAAGTTCCGTGGCGATTCCATCCGTCTCAACGACTTGTGCACTTTTTAAAACCTCGTAAAAAGATTTTGGGTTGGTTCGAGCCTTTGGACTTTTGAAGTGCGTTGCAATTCTGTACATTTTTCTTCTTTAGCTCATGGCGAGAAAAGTATAGGGAAACGAGGTACTTGCCGGCAAATACCATGAGCTCTGGGCCCTATGTCGCGATGCGGATCCGACAGTGTTGTTTCACTACCACCTATGATGGCCGATACTTCCTTGGCGGCTACTGACGTGTATCGTGTATCGAGGCCTGCCCACTTGAGTGTTGACCGAAGCTGGTAGACCTCTTCGAAACTGTGATCAAGCAAAGATGCTTTCCCTGCGAATAAGAGACCGTGCGGCCGTCGATCAATTATCGCAAAGGGGGATGTGCCGCAGCAAAGCTCAACGTGTCCACTGGCGTGTTTGACAGGGAAAAGGCGCCTCTTTAGCAGTGGTGTAGGGTCCGGCTTCTTGTCGGTTTGCGACAGGAGGGAATGGAAAGCAGCCCATGTTGACTTGACTTCGGAAATTGGTGGCTTATCTGAGGCTCCCAATTTTTTGAGTTTGTCATAAGCCATTTGCAAGGTAAGGGTTGTCACCCCAAGCTCCTTCACAAATAGACCCGCCAAATCTGGATATATATCATTCAAGATAACTTTGCCTTCTATATCTGTCGCACTTGACCATAGACAGTCTTCAATCTTGTGCCATGAGTCTGCAGCAAATATAAAGGCCTCATTTCCAAAGATGCCCCTAGATCAAACTGTTAGCTAATTCTGGAGCAGGCGACCACGTATAGGACATACAAAAGATCTTGTTTGCAGGATGTATCAGAAGAAGATATCAGTTTCTCCAAATGATTGTAAACATCTGTTGCTGCTCTGGTGGTATAACAACCGTCGTCTTCGTAGAGAATGTCTTTGTGCTCTTGACTCATTTCAGCGTGGTATAGCAGTTCATCGAGTATATCGGTCAAGGTAAAGTCCTTGATACCTAGAATATTTTGAAGGAACTTCTTCAAAGCTGCGCTGTCAATCTCAGTCTCGGTTAGAACCTCACCGAACAAGTGGGCTAGCGGTTCCAGTGTCCATGCTGTCAACGGAGCATCCCAACGACATTCGTTTGGCTGCAACCATCTGCCTCCTTGGAATGTACGGCCAGGAACTAGCAACAAGCCTTTGTATGAGTTTCCGTCGGCAGGATCAACATCAAAGTATGCTCTGTATGACGTCAATGAGAAGGGATTGGAGGAAAGGTACTAGATTCGGCTTACCGAATTACTTGCTTCTGAGCTTTCCTGATGTCTGAGTCAGGCGAGTCCCGGCTTTTCCGGTAGATGGTTTCATATAGCATGTAGACTTTCTTCGATATCTCCATGTCGGGTTTCGGATACCGTGTGGCAAGGACTGACAGAATCGCCAAGTAAAACTCGACATCATCCCGTGTGCGCACACCAAAGGTTCCATTGAGAAAGGTCCATTTCGACAGATCATCTGGTTCCAGAGTATCACTCAAATCGAGAAAGGGAAATTCATCCGTGCCTGCCTCACCCAAATACTCTATCGCCCGCGCTTTGAGTTCCGGCATTGGAAGAAAACTGTTTTTTAGTTGGGCAGTACAACCTTTCATAGTTAACACAACTCGGCTGAGTTCATCCCTGATTTCCTGACATTGCTGCACTTCATTCTTGATGTCATTCCAATAGTGTCCAAGTATTCCCAGGAGCTTGCCGCTATTATGCTCAATGATATGTCGGAACATGTCAGTAAGGGAACCGTTCGCGATTAGTTTTGGTTTGTCAAGAACGCCAAGTGATGTTCGCAACCAGAACGTCCAAGGTACACTAGCTTCACGACCCGATGCTGGTTGTGGGGCATTCTCCAGATAATACGGATCCAGAAAAGCTACCGAAAACTTGGGTAAGTTTTCAAGCAGTTTTGCTAAGCCGAATTTGTGGTTGTCCTTGATGTACACATCCTGGGCTTGAGGTGCAATCAGCAGGCCCTCCTGTGTAAGGACTCTGATGAAACGCAACTCGCTCGGCTTGTCAACAGCTCCACCCTGTGTGAGATATAAGAAAGAAAGATGGGGCAGAGATATTCCAACTTGTTCAGTTGTGTTGGTTCCAAATAACCTTGACCTGTTGATGACGCTTGGGTACTGGTCAAGAATCAATTGTCGCACCGCTTGAACAGAAAGTTTCTTTGCTCCCAGATTCAAAAAGAGTTTTCTTCTCTCCGCATTAAGAGTGGCGTTCCCATCGATAATATTAAGATCTAGGGAACTCGGAATGTTTTCACCGTTGGCAGTTGGAAAGACGAGTGGCGATCCGGTCTGCCCTGCGGGAATCCATTTTCCACCCTGAACCGGAATCAGCCTGAAATCGAAGATTCTTTTCCGATGTTTCTCTGCAAAACTCTTGAATGGGCGGTTCAGAACCTGTGCTGTTCTGGTATGCCATGATGGTGATGACTGCGGTGATTTGAATCGCGACGTATCCCGTGCCAAATCAGCCTCGACCCGATCCAAAAACTGGGTCATATGAAAGTTTCGGAGGCCCCAACCTCTCAGATATGAAGAAATGGTGGAGAGATCGTAGCCACTGGAGAGATAAACCTCCGGATCAATGTCTTCCAGAAGCGGCTCACCGAGTTCGTCAAGAGCATCATCTGTGAGGTTGCACAGCTGGTCTATCCTTTTCAGAGGACCTCCGCTCTGCGGGCGCATTAATCTTTTGACTGAAACCTTTTTCTTCATATCAGCAACGACCGACTTCCAATACTTGTCCCAGGGGAAATCGTTTTCTTGAGGCAGGTACTTGATCCATTCAAACTCGAGACTCGTATCGTGGCAGAGCTCTTCCATGGCGTTAGCAAAGGTATCAGCGATATAACTGACGAGGCCGAGGTTTCTCGCAGATGTAGTTACGATATCTTGACGATTTGCTTGTGTCACGAAGTCTGAATGAATCAAAAACTAGATCTAGTCAGTTACATGACACTTTTCACGGATCTTTTCAACACTTTCACACACCTTGAAGCCCATATTGCGAATAGGAAGGAAAGCGAACACATTTTGTGTTTGTATGATGGGAATGGAGTTACGATCCAAGGGGAAGGCAAGAATGATCTCCGCAGAGCTAGTTGCAGGGGTCGTGGTGAGTTCCGATTGTACCCTGTTCTCGCTTTCGGGGATCCCATCCGCTGTATTCTTGGTGACATGATAATATGTCTCTTCTGCCGGGTTATCTGCAACAGATTTTCGCAGTGTTATACGATGTCCATGAGACAAGTTTGCCACTTCGAATGTGGTTGTGGTAGGGTTTCCATGGTGAGAGAAAATGATTTTTATGCGCCGGATCTTCCTGAGGAATAAAAGATGGGTATCCTGTATATCCTGAAACTGTTGCACAATTTGCTGATGTCGTTCCTGGATCTCCAAGGCTGAGCCTGTGTCGTGTAGGAAGAGGGTGATGCGGGTGACACGGCTGGATAGATTTGTGTCGGGATCTTCCCAGATAGGAGATATCATACCCATCCCGGAGTCTTGAGTGATGAGGGCCGATTTAATCAGTGCTAGATCGGAACAACAGTGAGTGATAATCTTGTTGCACTTACCGCCGCGACGATGGACAAATGAGAACGAAAAATTCCCAGATTGAATGTGAACCTTGTGGGCTGCCATGAACACAGATTTGAAACCAATGCCCTTTTCTCCAATGTATCCTTGTGCCCCTACCTTCGAGCTCTGACCTACCTCGCATATGGCGATCAGATCTTCTCTAGTGAATCCATCCTCATTGCACTCCAAAACGATCTTGTCAGGGAAGATTTGGAAGGATGCGTACGGCTCTATCCCATTACCTGTAGCCATTGAGTAGCTATTGTCATCAGTATTTTGTAATAATTCGAAGACGAATCGTGTGGTGCTGCTATATAAGTTCTTCGCCAGGCTGTTCGACATTTAGTATCTCTATCTCGACTAGTTATCAGCCTCGGGCTTGCACTCACGTGATGACTGATTTCCCCGACATCCGGTCTTTCTTGAGCATGACTTCAATGATTCGTTTCCGAGTCTTCTCATCCAGAGCCTGGAGCTCATCCTCGGCAAGGTATCCATGATCTTCGGAAATATCTTCAACCATTTTTTTCGCCTCTGCTATGGAGACTGGCCGACTGGACATTGCTGAAGGCATGGTGATAGATTTTGAGGCTTGAAATGAAGGAAGTGACTATATCTGACTTGAAGGGACGGTAGATGCGCGCTGATCGGCTTCTTCGACTTACAGCGACAATCGAAATCGCCACTTTGTCGTATTTTTGACTATCGCGCTACTACTTGGTTTTGATCGAATGAATTATATAGGATGGAGACAATGATATATGATTCAACAGTCCCTCATCAAGTGCGGCACAGATGAGCCCGCACAGATAGGTTCTGTTGTAAATTTCAACTTATCGAAGCCCAGCAGAGGCGCAGTGCTTCAAACAGGGGCTTTAAGATGCATCGACACGGTGAGAGCCAATAACATCAGTGCAAATTATCGTCAAGCGCTACCTTGATAGTCTGGCCAGCAGCAGCAGCCAACCTTCTTGGTATCTCGAAACAGTACCTCTAAGCGCTGGACAACTCCAACAACCGGCAGTCGGTATTGCGAATGCTTGGACCCACACTCCCCTCCCCTGGCATTCTCGGATTCTTCTGATCCTGTAAAGTTGCCTTGAAATGCCGGTACCTCCTATCAACTGGTGCAGTGTCCAGCTTTGCGTACGCTTGCTACTAACTTCGTGGCGTTAATGTGCATTAGCAGAGATATTCTGGCTAGATACACAACCCCATTATGGGTGTAAGGGATGAATAGCCCGCCACCAGAAATGAAACAAGTGGGAAGCCATGCGCAACGGCGGCCCGAGTATATGGCCTCCTCAATGTGATGTCTACCTGGGTCAGGCTGTGCCAGCACTTCACGCCTCACCACATGGTTGATTGACCGTATGACCAGGCTCCGGCCCAACTATCGACCACCAGGAAACCATAGCTTATCAGCATACCTAGGCACATAATTCGACCTTTTATCGACTGCATTCCACTTCTGCTTCCAGTAGGAATAGAGACCGACTCTTGCTCTCTCCAACTTGGCAGCGTACACCTTTTTATTCGCGCTTCTATTCACAGAATACCTAGCACATTACTGCGACCCGAAGCAGTACCATGGGTCTGCTTTGGCTTATACCACCACCATCCCTGGCCGAAAATCTATCGGCTGCAATGTGACAGTAGATACTCTGGATAGTCATTGTCATGGTCTTTTTGTCTCCCCCTTGCATAGTGATGCAGCTGTTACACTACAATATCACACCTGCGCCAAGGCCGGGCGGGTAGGATTGCAGATCCTGCGACATCCCATGCATAACAGCGGCTAGAATACCCCTGCACAGCCGTAATTCATCCAATAACCAACGGCCCGACAGTTCGGAACAGCAAAATTGACATTGCGCGGAAATCGCTTTATCCCCAACGATTCGATAGAAGTAGATTAGCAGAGCACACGTAGTGCCAGACGGTGGCTAGTGGACCCCATATACCAGGGTTTGCTGGAAGCACACACTGATGAATGCCACGGCGTCCAGAAAACTGTACGGGGGTCCTGGGGCCACCCGAGATAAGCCCGCACTGTAAGGCCAGTGCCTGGATGGTAAGTAGCAGTGACTTTACGGAAATAACGGGGAAACGAAAGTTTGAATGGAAACGATCAAGTAAGCTAGCTATAGGCCACGAGACTAATGATCATCAGGCGTTGATGATCTTCTTAATCTAGATGTTGCAAAGCATAGCAAACGTGAAATCAGAAGAGGGCGGTGAAAGATTGAATTTGTACTGGTTCGACCAACTGGTAATGATGCTTAAGAACATGCCCCACAATTAACCACCATTGTACAACCTTACAGCGGAGAGCTGTAGCAGCTGCGGGGAAAATTACCTGGGTAGTAGTACCTAGGGTGGTGCTTAGCACCTAACACGCACCTTTGAGAACTAAAGGCGGGCAATATAAATCAACACATCACACAATTACCACTGATTTCAGACCAATTCAAAGTCCAGATCCAGTAAGAAGCACCGCCCTGATTCACAATTAGTTAACATCACATACTGCACGGCCAGGCCCGAGCTTGGACCATTCCGGGACACTTAGAAGCTCATGATCAAACATGAAAGGACTCTCTTCTTTACTCTTTTTCGCTTTGTTAAGAATACTCGTAGATAGTAGGAACGAGATTGTTGAGTAAATACTTGAGCCCTTATAGCAGGCGTATCAGCAAGAGCCGATACTGCTGGTCTTTGGACTATTGGCTCAGTGGTCTTGCGCGTGATTACTAGTTACGATAAAACTAGATACAAGGAAAAAAGGTGTAGGTATAATAAAACCGAGTAACTAATTGTTATTTACAAAAGAAAATGAAATTCTTTATTTCTTATATTGGTTGAATTATGCCAAATTCGAGAGCTGAACATGTAAGAAGTTTCATCGTTCTTATCAAATTCTGTCTCGTGTACCTTTTGCTGCTGCAAATCAAAGTCTATTGTCATGTATAAGCGAGGATCATAGTTGCCGATGATTTGCTCGGCCTTGACAGATCCGCCATGTCGTCGATTCATTTTGTTGAAATGATTCATCAAAATAAAAACGAGGATAATGAACAAGACATGGAGCGAGAGCATTGCCCAGATCATGGCAGAACTTGATTGTGGGTTGGAGCTTGGCATGAGCATGAATGGACCACAGACGTGACCCAAAGCATAGCCCATTGACATGAAAGCGAGGGTAGCTTTCTTCTGAGTAGCTCCTGCGGTATTGACGCCAGACCAGGAGTATACTATAGGGACTGAGTCAATTAGCAGAATAACGTCTCCAACCCTGACAAAATCCAAACCTTACCTGATGCATGTACACTTGCTGCGAGATAGTGACCGGCGAGGACGAAGTTTGTCGACGATACTGGCTGCTGCAGTGCTCGGTGAAGAATCAAGAGACCAGTACTTGATATGCAAGAAAGTGCGATTAATACAGTTCCGAAACGAAGTTTCGTGGTCGCCAGGCCGCCACAGAAGGCCGCGATGAACTGAATCGCTCCAAATGGCAGGTTTGAAAGAGCGCGGGATGAATCGGTGGCCAAGGAAATGAGAAATCGTTGGCTGATACTTGCTGAGCCAGCGATTAGTAAACTAACCGAGTTGTTTTCAGTACATTAGCACCAGCGTATTTGTTCATTAGATCAGCACATGACAGCTTACGATGAAATAAATGTGAGGCCAAACCATAGCCAGGTCCTGACATCTTTTTTAGCTTCTTCAAAAGCTGCGTCGCTCCAGGAGATATTTCTTGGAGCTGTCAGGCGTTGCACTGCCCATGCAACCTTTTCCTCGCGGTCGCTCAGAAATTTCAGAGTCAAAGGAGATTCGCCACAAAAAATACAGGTGATAAACATGTATACACAAAAGACGAAGCATGAACAACATAGGATAACCTGGAAGCGTTAGGCCCAGATTGTAACCACGTTGCAGCGTCTTTCAGGACTAATTCACTAACCACATCAGGTCGAATCGTAGCGTCGCGCTCGACGAGGAAATACGTGATTACGCTCATTGTCTTCGAATATCAGTTGATGTTCACAACTGCTAGTATACTTGTGGAGTGTGAATTCTTACCAGATTCCCAAAGCCAATCATCGAGTACCACCAAGATAACCGTGTAGGCATCTCTTCCCTCGTCCAGTAGACCCACGTCATCCACACCAAGGCAGGAACGAAGACGACCTCGAATACGCCTTGCAAAAGTCCAGTAAGTACTGCTCCAGTGAAACTCAGATCTGGTAAGATTATTTGGCGACATCCAATAAGAACCAGACAAGCACCTAGAAACTTGTCGAGAGGGAATATGGAGTCCAACAAGATCCACGCGACAGGCAGCTGCAGCAGGATCTGGGGCAGGTGAGGCGCGGTATGGAGGCAGGAGGATTGTGTTGTGCTAAAACCCATGCTCTCCGTCAGACCGAACAAGTCAGCTTGTACAATGGCGACGGACTTTATGCCCAGCATTAGAGCTGTCATAGTCATGTATGGCAACACCTTTGTATCAAACAATTGTCTTAGTCGGAGATCATCTTGCTGGAGATGGATAAGCACGCGCTCCAAGGCACTGTCTTTTTCGGCGTCGACATCTTGTTTCCAATCGTTGGGGCTATTGGTTGGGCTGATGAGAGAGAAGCTGAACTGCTTCGGCATAGCGTTCATTGTGATATAACTGGAGTATCTCACAACCAACCATTTGTTGAGACAGCGACTGTGGGTTGTGAGAACGAATTCAGCACAGTAATTGAGAGAGGCACATTGCAGATAAACACTGCAGCCTGAGAGGTGGCTGTGCCATGTTAGGTAGAATGAGCGATGTCACGTGATAAGTTTTCAAGTGGAGTATAGATCTGTCTTGGCTTTGTCTTTACCGATGGAGTCAACTAACCTATCTAATACTGTGTTGGAGGCCGCCGGGTTTACTCAGCTGAAGCCAGGTGATGGCGTCCGTGGTGCAAAAGGCGGCCAGCCGTGACTATAGCACTCAAAATTATATCCCGCGAGCTTCTAAAGCCGCGCGCAGCCTTTGTGCAAAAGAAGTCACATATTCAGGTCCAATCATGGTATAGTGACCGCTACCAACCTCATGAAAGCGAGGTTCCGATCTGCACAAATCCTCCCAGCGGCTGAGCTGTTTATGTACCCATTCATCGCGCGAAAGTGCCGCCACTCTCAGTGGCTCTGCATGAAATATATCGATCACACTGACCGAACCTGTCGGTTCATAGTCAATGGCCATGCTCTGTAGCCCGTAAGCCACGTCAGCCCACCGAAGCAACGAAGTCTCATCTAGCACCAGCTCGCGAAATCGACCCACGTCCGCAAGCTTCATGACAGCGTGCGAAGCATCATTGCGTGCGATATCCACATTGAACGTGCCTTTCTCGAATAGATCGCGCATCTTTGCAGCTGAAATCTTGCCCAACGAACTGATAGGTATGAGGTAGAGTGAGGCCTCATGCACCGCGAAGATGCATTGTTGTGCTGCCGTGTTGACCATCATACACGAACCGATTATTCGACTATCGATATCAGCCATGTGCTTCGCCTCGAGTGGCCATTGGATCGGAATATATGCCACTGTGACTGCTATTGGCGCTATCAGGTTCATTCCCTTGTCCCTCGAAGGTCAGAAGTGAGAGAATATTTCGCAAGTACTTCAGCAAGGGGCCCATGATGTCTAGAATCAATAATATAAATAGTTTCTGCGAGACTGTTGACAAGCTGTGAGTACAAGATTTGGAAAATCTGGTTGAACAAAGCATTGAATCAATGACCAAATGTGCGTAACATCTCTTTATATCGTTAAATTGAAACGATGGGGAGCTAACTACCGTGTAAATAGTATGAAGGATGCTGCAGCTTAGGTCAGATTTACCTTGAATGGCTCTTGCCCACTTATTGCGCAGTGCGTGACTGGCTTTTGATTGCATGATCCGCTTCGTATACCGTTCCTACCAAACGATTAACCCATAGTTTTCAAAGGCTTCGCGACAACACCATTGGTGCCCTCCGTGATGACAAGGCTTGGGCATTGCGACTTGTTTTTCTCGAATAAACCCCCACATGAGATATTGTCATCTTCGGACAGTTTGAAGTCTTTTTACGGACTGCACAGTGTTATTGTCATGAACAAGAGCTGGACGTGTGTACATGCCAATTGAGCCGCATACTAGTGATGGACGCCCGCTTAGATATAGACGCTATACAATCTGTCACGGAACATTGTCGTGGAGGCAATGCTGTGCGAATGTTATGCAGGTAGTGGGCCGGCGATATGGCTTCCCAAGGTAACAATACTTAGAAAATAGGATAGCCCTAAGGCCACACCCTCCATTGATTTCTACTTCAGGTATATACAGCATGAACGTGTCACCAGAGATCTACAGGAAAATGTAGATCTTGCCATGGAGCTCGAATCGGAGTTTCCTCCCCGAGACTAGGCCCTTGGAATTGTGATGCAGACTGCCCGTTGGTGCAAGCCGCCCGTTGGTACAAACCGCCCGTTTGATGCAGGGTGGGGACGAGAGAACGAAAGGTGCGTAAACCCAGTTTGTAGCATAAAACACCAGAATACTGTGCATTGCATTCTAAGCAGATATCGCCCATCTCAAATACAAGCACACAAACATTGCTTCGCAGTCCAAATCCCTGCTGACTATCCGCTGACTCACTAAGAGCTCGATCGAGTTGAGCACGGCATCTCTTACGCCTTTATTGAATTCAATTTTATCTCGCTTGACACCACGTACGGATTTATGTAAAGAAAACTATTATGAATCCGGTATACGAGTGCAATAGACATAAGAGACCTGATGAAGAGTTTGTATCGATATATTAAACCAGGCCACTGCGCCAGCTGAACAAAATAAAAGTCTCAACTCTAAGAGATAGTCTAATACTGGATATTGACACCGATATAATAATCCTGACATGTTCTGACGTTACCCAGAGACCCCATGATCATTGTTCAGTTTGACAACACTGAGGATTTCAGATAGTGTCTTTTCCACGAGGCAAGCGCAGTTCCATAACAGCCTCATTTTCAAGAGCGTTGTAGGTGTAGGTCCGGGTCAATTCAAGACCTCCATCTTGAGCAAGCGCCTCCCAATCGCCCTTCGTTCGGTCCATACTAGCGAATGCACCTAGCATGGACACGTACGTATCTGAGGATAAGACAGTTGAAGTAAAGGAATAAATAGAATTGCAGCCGTATCCATTCTTGCAACCATCTGTAATGAACTTGAGTACGCGTATAAGAAAAAACGAAAAAAAAAAACGTAAGAACTAGGACTTAATGGCTATGGATAGTTTGTAACAGGTTTAGCATGGTGTACAGCTACCACGAAGTTCCTTCCTTTATTACGATATCTCTTTACTTGACATCTTATTCCTTCTGGTAATTCCATATACGATTTTGTGCACATATCACTCATCGCCGTCTTGGTCAAAGCTGGTTACGCAAGTCTGCAAGGCTCGATGGTTCTGGCAGGCCATCGATGTATAAAGCCAACAGTTCCTTTGCGTTTTTAAAGCTGATATCTACCACTCTTTTACCCCTCGGAGACTTCGCATTATATGATATCCACAGCTGCACAAATTGTGCAGGAGAGCTGGCCCATTAGCATCGACCTGTCTTGTTACCCCTAGTCTGAGCCCCGTCGTTTCTCCCCTGCAGTCCTTCAACATGGCTGAGATCCCTCCGGAAAAGGCTCCACAGCCGGGTCTGAACATTTTTGGCTGTGCATCTGTCAACCCTTTCAAGCTGACCATAGCAGCTGAAGAGCTTGGGTAGCACACCTAATAATCTTTCGACGCCTAACTAATATTTAAACAGCATTCCGTATAATTACGTCAACTTGGACATGGGTGCTGGCGAGCCCAAGGCCGAGTGGTACGCTTCCATCAATCCCAACGGCCGCATGCCCGCTGTGGTTCACGTCAAGGACGACGGTACAACTGTGACGGTCTTTGAAAGCGCGGCCTGTCTGCTGTATATGGCAAGCGAGTTCGATAAGGAGCATAAGTTGTCATACCCCATCGGCACGCCTGATTATTGGACTCAGCTATCCTGGGTAAGTTAATCTGCATTCACTCACAAACACGTACAAATATTTAAAATTTGGAACAGCTTTCGTGGCAGGTTGCCGGCTACGGCCCAATGATGGGACAGGCGGCCTATTTCAATCGCTATGCCACTGAACCAGTGAAGTTCGCCAGCTGGCGGTACACGGCTGAATGTCGTCGGCTCAACGACGTGCTGGATAAACGTCTGGTAAGTAAGAATCTTCTTTTGATTAGCATTTCATCATCTGTTTCCCTCGTTCTCGGCATCTAACTTGTATAGTCTGTGTCCCCATTTGTCGCTGGAAATCAGTTGACTATTGCGGATCTTGCCGTGTTCATTTTCGCCCACTCCAACAAGTGGTGCGGTATTGATATTAATCATTACCCTCATGTGAAGGCTTGGCATGATAGGATCGCGCAACGCCCTGCTATTCAAAAGGGGCTTCTAGTTCCTGTTCCTTACCCGTTTAGCGATGAGGCTGTCTCCAACCCCGATAACCAGGAGCCCTATCATATGATGAGAAAATATGGCGGCCAAATGATCAAGGGGGCAACGGCACAGTGGCAGGCAGACGTGGTAGGCGTGCCATCTGACCACTCCAACTATGAATGAAGGGCTATTATCTTACGGCTTAAAAGTGAAGATCTCTCACTTTTTTATTTTCATAGTTTGTTGCTCGTAGGTGATTACTTAACATGACATGCATAGTTTCGACATGTAAATTCAGTCTACGTCCCCTTTAGTTATAATCACTAAATTCAAGGTTCCCATGTATACGTGGAGTAGTATGCTTGTATGTCAACCTTGAATTGCCTCGTTCTCTTTACGTAAGTGATGGGCAGGCCGGAATGCCTAGACATAGCTGCGCCCAGGCTCATCCCGGGTAGCTTGAGAAATGGTGATTCGGCGAGAGGAAAATACATACCATATCACCAGCACAACAAAAGCAGGGGAAAAAAACTAAAAAACTGCCGTGGTTCCATTATTCATGGCAGTGAGCATGTGAGCCCTTTCACGGTATATTCAAACTAGTATTACATGGCTAAGATAAGCATTTCGCGCATAAACAGGCTCGTTCGAACCAGGCGGGCTTTGTGGATGTTTTGCTGCCGGGACAGTTTATCCCTCCCCCCCCCCCCCCCCTCTTGCCTTGACTTTCTCTTTCCCTCCCTCGGTCTATCTGTGTTCTTTCTTGCCCTCTTGTTAGAAAATGGTGGGGCAAAGGACGCAGGGAAGGCGTTGGTAGGAGCGCTCATTAATTTAGATTAGATCATCTCAATTGGGCCACGGCTTTACATAGTAGGGCCAACGGCTCATGCACATGTGCGCCCCCACCGTAGTTACCTACATAGGTATGTAGATACCGAGCCATGGAAGAGCCCCTAACCTCATTTACACAATAGGCTGCAATAATAAGATACCATACACCCACCTCCTTTACAATTTGCTGCATATTGACTCCAAGGTTCTCCTTTATTACTAGGATTAATGAAACACTCATACTACTTCCTGGCGCTTACCAGGAGTTTAAGTCGATGCATCCCAGCCGTTGATTTGTTTTAGTTTAGGTGGGTGTGCAGGGAAGAGAGCTAAGGCAGGTGACGCACTGCAACTAAAAGGCTCGGGACGATCCTAGCTCGATGTAGATTGTAAGGCTGAGTGAGCACCACGGTACAAAGATGTCTCAATGCTTTGCCGCATCTCAACGGATAGGGCAATTCTATCTGTAGGTCAAAGAAACTGGCCAGATGACAGTCCTGGGTGGGGGGACAAGCTGCGGCATTCACACTCTGAAATCAGCTTAATATGAAATTCTTGGGCCTATTACTGGTGGGATAAGTATCCTGGCCCTGCACCAAACATGTTGTTCTGAGGCGTGTTTGGTTGCAGTCATGTTTGTCATACCCGTCAAAAACAAACGATCAACCTTGGATCTTTGGGTTCGGGTCGTCTCTGTCTGCTTCGGTCCGAAGCAAGCGGAACGGGGTGTGCATATAACTTAGCAAAACGAGAGGGTTATTATTAGTAGGTTACATTGAATGTTTGTAGGATTGCAGCCCCGCCTGTAGCTCACCAGGAATGTACACTACTCGCGTCCCGCTACGGAAGGATAATATCGCCTTGCCACTGCGTGATAGTACTCGATGCACTGTGCTACGAACATGCACCCCAACCTTGTAAGGTCACGGAAACAATATAACCGTCTTGGAAGAAATGGGAAAGACGACAGGAGGCGCAGTGGCAACCAATGACAGACAGAGGCCAGGTGCCTCGCGTGAAGCGTTGCGTCAGCTGATGATAGCTGGAGACAGCTGCCGAAGAAATCATGTTCTTGGCGGAGTGAAGATCACTCCTTGGCATAGGAGAAAAGATACTAGGAAGAAGGGATGCTAGTACTATAGTTTATTAATGTTAACGAATGGTATAACTGCTGTCTATAATTAAAGGATGCGGAGTGCTTTATGGTCGGCATGAATGGGTGAAGCTATCATGGCTCTCTCCTGGATGTACACCTGGGTCGGCAACTTGGGTGCTCCATCGAAGGTGAGATGCGCTGACCCGGATGATCACGAACAGGCGCGGCTACTCGTGATAGTAAGTCTAATGAATTACTTATGCCACAATCAAGAGACTGTAAAGTCATTTATTTCATGTATAAAAGTCTATCGCTCAATCCAATTCCTGACATGTCCCTCCTGACACGGCCTCTAGTGCTGCTAATGATGGCGATGCAATCTAGTAATAGCCACTGTAACCATCCACTAAACTACTACCTAAACACGGCGGTATTTATTGGCAAAAACAAAAACCCGAAGTCCTTTTCTTTTCCTTTTTCATTTTCATTACTGCACACAGATTCGTTTCAAGACATCGGATACTTGGCATGATAGGCTCACAGATTCGCAGTCACGAAGGGAGGATCAGTCGTTTAAATTAATATTTCCTTAGTTATATTTTCAGTATTATCCCTGTGGAAAGTTCACTCGAGAATTTTCTTATCTTGATTTTCCATGGAGAAGTAGCTTTTAGTTTTAGCATTCATCCGAGAGACACACTTTACAGCGAGGCAAATCGTCCCACAAAGCCCATCCCCTGATGCTTCCCGTGCCGTCACGCTCATTGCACGGATTGTTATCATTGTCGTTGGGGTCCAACCGGTCGGGCGTGAATCTCTCGCCAAAAAGCTCAATCTGAAAACCACACGAGTCTTCATCAGAGAACTGCGGGCCGCTGTCGCGGAACGTGCCCTGCTGGTCGCACCAACTAAAGCTGGTGTTGTCCCTTGAGATATCGCAAAGGGGCGTTTTCTCGCCAGGGCCTCCAGCTAAAGCCTGACGATTATTGCCAGCGTCGCCTTTGAAGTTTTCAAGATACGTGTTAGTTTTTGCTTCATACATGATCTTGTGGATATAAGAGAAGAGAGGGAGGAAGGGGAGACAAACCGGGTGCATAAAAAAGCCAAATGTTGACAAGGCGTCCGGTGTTGGTGTTGGTGAAAAGCCCCAGGCACATGGAGACCGACGTCGTCGGCGCCGGAGCCGCCGATGTCGTGCTAGATGAGGTCGTCGAGGAGGAGGAGGTGGTGGGTTTAATGGTGGTCGTCGGTGCCGTGTACTCGGACGAGCTCGGATCTTTGGGGTCCTGATATCCTGGGGGGTAGCCCGTTGGGGCCGGCGCGCACCAAAAGCCCGAGCAGATGTGGCCACCGCACCCGTCCGGGTTTGCGCAGGTCGGGCCCACCGCTGGTCCCGTCGTGAGGGTGATTTGCCCGCCGCCGCCGTCTGCAGGCAAGGTGCAAGAGCCACCAGATTGGCGTTTCGCAAACATGGTCTCGTTGCCTTTGACTATTCTGGGTAGCAGTTCTGCAAACACGGCAGCCTGGCCACAGTCCGCAGGGGGCGTGTAATCATTGATGTCGGTTGGCAACTCGGGGCAACTGGTTGAATCGCCTCCCAGCAGGCAGTTTATATCTCCATCCATACCATTCCAGATCAATGCTCGCTTTTCGCCAGATCCCACGCTGACAAGGCGTGGTGGTATTATTTCTCGTTCAAAGGCCCGAATCATGTTCTTCACGGCCTTGGGCCCACTGCTATCCGCTGCATTTACTATACAGAGAAACGAAGATTCAGCTTAGTAATCCATGAGATGCGTTGCCAACACGAGCGCAAAGGCAGGACGAGTAGACTAGAGTGTGGGCAGTATACTTACATTGTCCCTGCCAATCAGAGGGTAATCCTTTGTAGTATCCAGCAACAGCAGCCACCTGCGGAGCTGCAAAGGAGGTGCCATGCCACGTCGTGTAGCCGGAAATGTCGGGCAACTTGAGGTTCTGACCTCCTGCATATGTCGTCAAGAAGTCTGCATACTGCGAAAAGGCTGCTTCTATACCGTATGGATTAGTGGCACCCACGACGATGAAGTTGGGAAGATATCCAACATCATCCGAGTCATTCCGATCTTTCCACAGTGGGTCCACAGCGTTAGTTGGGTTGGCAAATAGTTGAGGGTAGGTATCAACGGCTTTGCGACCTTCTCTGCCAAAGTTTCCAGACGCGGCAACGAGTGTGACACCTGCTCTATCCATCCACTTGAGGATGTCGTAGAGTCTATTGATGAATGGCTGGTACCAGAAGCGGGAGTCTGAGCCCCAGGACATATTGATGACTGACGTGGCGGGCGACCTCCCGTTGCTGTTCATATCTTCCCATGCGAGCAGGAGGTCCTCTAGATACCAATCCCGAGGATCAGGATCAAAGGTCCTCTGGGCATCATCCGTCATTTCACTCGCGGGAGCATAGCCGGTGAAGGCGACCTTGCATTTCCTGCAGACACCCAATGTCTTACCATTTATAAAGGCCGCCACTTGGGTTCCATGAAGCCGAGTAGGCTCTCCAATGGGGTTGCCATAAGCAAATGCATTTAAGGGACGAGGAGGAGTCGCCTGGTCGGACCACTCTTCGTGTCTGGTGTCGACACCTCCAGGTTCCCCCACGACATAGACAGTCATTTCAGGACTGGCCGAATCGTCGTAAAAGAATACATATTGTCCCTGTAGAACTCCTCCTCTTCCTGGGGGCTGAGCATCCGCGGCTTTCCATCTTTGGCCTTTTGGAAGAGATACCAAGGCACCATTCCATCTTTCTACCACAGTTGCTGATGTAGCTGCTCTTTTCCACGGTTGCGGGTTGATTTTCGATCGATCTTCACTGGTTATCGGCGAGTATTTATCATTTGATTGGTTTCGAGCCCTTGCTTCGAGATCCAATGTATCTAATCCCCTGGGGGTTATCTGATCGTTGCTCTCCACTATCATCATTCTCGGATTTCCTGGCGGCTTGTTGTTCTTGTTCCACTCCTGGTAATCTACGACATTGTCTCTCCCGACAATGGACTCGACTGCAGTTTTGACCTCTGGGGATAGGCCTTTTACCCAGAAGAAGGCCGTGTAGCCGCCCGCGAAGCTGTCAGACTTAACTTCACGGCCGTTGTCCCCTTCAATTTGTGTACCGAGCGCCGCTCTGATTTCACTAATTTTAGTCTTGTCTCTGGGATTCTCAGGATAAATCACATAGGGCACAGGTTCGCAAGCACGTTTGTGCAAAGTATGATCTCCATTTGCGACTTTCCTTCGACGTGACGTCCCGCCGGCCGCTTCAACGGTGCAGGTTTCGATTGCGGTGGTGGTTCCCTGGGTAGTTGATTGGCTTACAGAGCAGCCTGAGATGGTCTCGCACGTTTTTGTTGTCACAGTGGCCGTTGTTGAAGTTACTGTATCACCTGAAGTTACCGAGAAGGTGGTACCGATTGAACAGATGGACGCGGTCTGCGTCGTCGTGCACTCGGACGGCTCTTCCGAGTACGTGAGCTCACCACCCGGACCGATGGTGATTGGCGGCCAGGGCGGCAGTGGCCCTTCTAGTGTAAACCCAGAGGGCCATCGAATTCCTGGAGGTGGGCCCGGGGGATAAATGCCAGGTGGGAAGGACCAGAACCAGCCGCCGATTTCGAGATCGTCCCGTTTGATGCATACAAAGAAGAACCAGAGCTTGCAGGGCTGTTTGGTGCCACCGTTGGTTGGCTCAGGCTTCTCGACCGTTGTGCTGATGGGGGCTATGATCCCCGGGGGCCACGTAGTCCATACCGGCAAAGGTGTAGTTGTCGTGTCGCTATCAGAGGGCGGTGGCTCCGTAGTTGAGGTGGGAGGGAAGCCCGTCACGACACTACAATCGACAGATACAAGACCAGTCGTCGGACCCAGGAAACTGACTACCTTTGTAGTTGGGCAGTTGAATGAAATTCCAAAGGTGGTGGCCGTGAAGCACTCAACATAGATGGAGGTGGACGGTGTGGCGAAGACAATCACGTCGTCGGGCGGACATGCTACCGTTGTGGGGGTTAAAGCACCAGGGAAAGTAATAGTGGTCACAGTAGCGCCACTAACAGTCACAGTCGAGGTAACGCCAGTGTAAAAAGTGCCGCTCCCACTGGGGAGGTCGCCAGAGGGCACAGGTATAGTACTCGGGCCAGTTGGGCCATCATCGATCAGCGGCCAAGGCGGGAGGGGGACAACGCGAGTCGTAGTGCTTCCACTGCCATCAGGTAGCGAGATGGTGAATGGGGGAACGTCAACACTGGGTGTTATATCGAGAGTTGACTGGCCTGATGAGAAATTGTAGTTGGAATAAGGTATTCCCTCAACCGTCAGAGGTGCAATGTTGAGCACTGTAGTTGTCGTAGTTGTGATAAAGGTCACAGTTACAGCACCATTCCGTGTCACTGTGCTCGTGTCTCCATACTGAAACGACGTGGTAAATGGACTCGGAGAGATGGTAGCTGGATTGGCCAGGGAACTTGTGGGGAAGATCAGTAAACAGGACTCAACCGAGCACGTCACTGTCGATGCAGTCCATATTTCAGTACCGACAAACACGGTATTGATATTGTCGGCGCCGTCTAGCGGGAGCCAGACGCTGATTTCAGTCGTGAAGCCGCGTTGGTTAGAATCCTTCGACACGACAGTCTTGTCGATGCCAACGGCCATTTCAGATATTGCTACTGTGAACAAGTTCAGAAACACCACGTCGGTCGACCCCGTCACTCTCAGGACGCGTTGCTGACAGTCATTGGTTTCGAGGCAGTCTTGGTAATAGTCTTGAAAGAAACTATAAAGCCCGGCTCCGTGAACCGTGATGGAATTCGATTCAGAGACAACCATACCCCATGCAGAGGCACAAGCTGCATCTCCTTTGCAGCTAGTAAAGTCTGGGTCGCCGGGAAAGCTGGCCGCAACATTGAATGGTTTCGGAGCAATGGGTTCGGGCTGATAATACGGCGTCTCTGTCTGTATGTGACCAAGGTAGACGTCCTTTGCGCCATAAACCAGGTAGTTATACATGACTGAGTGCTCAGAACCGCCGCCGTAGAACCAGGACGGGTTTTGCGACTCAATGAGCAGACCACGAGCGCAATAGACACTGATCTGGTTGGACAGCTTATCCGGACTGTCGTATACACTCATATCATTGTCATGGTCGGCTGCCCAAACCCATACATTCTCAAAGTAACCGGAAGCCTGCTTCGTAACGTGCATCATAAGCGAGGCGGCTATACACAAATTGTTGAAATCGCGCTTTGGGCATTGCTCAATGTCAAGGTCTGTGCCCTTAGCACCGCCAACGCGGATATGTGAGTCCCACATCGCCGCGGCACCCTGAGAAACTGCATCCACGTTCCATTCCAGAACAATGGCTCCGGCTGTGTTGCCTGCGACGGTGAAGAGCATATCCGTAATTTCCATCGTGCCAATATCACCACGCTTGCCCACCTGGACTACTACCTTCGGATCAGTCATGTCGGAGAAATAATAGCCGGCGCCCTGGATTTGAGACCAGCTGGAACCCACGACTCGTGATCCCGTAGGTATCAGCACAGTACCGGCAACCTGGTAGATTCCGGCCGGGAAATAGGCAATCTTGGTCGATGCTACGGCTTCCCGGAGGAAGGAATTAAGACATTCTGTTTGGTCCCCAGTTCCATCATTATCGCAGCCTCCGTCATTCGTTGCTACAGAGAAGTCGGATGCGCCGAGTGATTCGTATTGGGGGCGCGTCCGGACAAACAACTTGCCGTCGGACAACAGGCCGGAAGGCTTGGCTGGCACTTCCACCGTCCCGGTGAAGTCGGAGCCTTGATCACCCCTATAGACCTTTCCCGTGGTCCACATTTCAATGGTACCCGAGGCAGTCAATAGGGTATCTCCGTCATCAATCTGGACAACCCGGTCCACTCCGTCGATCTCGACATTGTCAAGCACGATATGCGGAGATGTGGCGCGGTTGTTTGTCAGTATACCGACCGGTACATTACTGATGCTGGTGTCAACAACGGAAATGGAGCCAATACCCTGTCCTGTGATGCCACCGGCACCGCTAATGTTGAATCCAATGGCGCCGCCGTTAATTTCGACACGTTGCCACACCCATCCCCAGTCCCACACCATTTGTATGGCAGTCAGGCAATTGTTGAACTTCAAGTTCTGGGCTGTGTATTGCTGAGACCCGGCTCGCCACCCAATGTTTCCACCATTGAAAGTCAGGTCCGAGACGAAGCCACCACTTCCATTCTCAGTAAAGATACCAACGGCTGTGCTGTTCTGGTCATCCTTGGCCTCGGGCATGTTGAAAACTAGATGTTGGAGTGAGGTTGCCTGAGACACCTGCCAGTGAATGCCGGTTGGGACCAAGGGCTGGTCGTCATCATCGGTAGATTCGGGCATTTCCGTCAAGTCGAAAATAAAGTTTCGTATTTGACGGAAGAACTGATTTTGATTAATGTACCAGTTGGCCCCATTGCCGCCCGGAATATAGGGGTCAGTATCGATAAGCGCGATGCCTTTGAAATCATCACAGCCGAGAATAGTCGGTGGGTCATTGGCATCTCCAATGAATTGCGTATAGTACAGTTGGATAATTGGAGAGCAAATCTTATAGGTGCCGGCAGGGAAGTACACGATAGCACCCTGACTAAAGGTGTTGCCGCACTCCTCGCCGCAGCGATTGCCATCCTCCACGGCAGCATTGATGGCTTCAACCGTGTCGGAATCTCCAGTGTTGTCGGCTCCAAAGTCCAAGACGTTTCGATAGAACGCATAGCCGGACCCAGCACGAGGTTGCTGGGTACGATTAGTTCATTGTGCCTTGAGGACTGCATGGTGCCATATTCAACTTACACTACCCAATGGTCCAAGTTCCTCAAGCCAGTATGAGCCACTTTGCCGCTTCCTGATCGCTACAGGATCAAAGTTTGTAGATTGCGGGGATGTCTTGTTCTCGAAGCCACCACGCATAATGCTGCCGGAGTCCAGATTGGAAACGAACTCATCATGACTACCAGAGTAGGCCCACACGGGTCCATTCTGACTACCTATCCGACGTGTAAGTGTGACAGAATGCCATGAAGTAAAGAATATGTACATGATATGATGTCCGTATGAAGATATCATATCGTGATACAGTCGATAACATACCTTTGTCTGGGGCTACATTGTAGTAGTTTTTGGTATTGTCCACCATGTAGGATGGACCAGGCTTGAAGAAGATTAAGCACGAGTGCCATCGGCTGGGTATTAGGCATCCTCACCTTTGGGCCCGATTGTGGAACATTAGGATACCTTTCCGGATTGGAATACTTCCAGACAGCTGAGACACAAAGGAATTGAATCTGGAAAACAAGCAGGATGAGCGAACAAACGCCCATAATTCGCCCCATGGTTACAATGTGGAACAGCAATACAGTTCAGGGTAACTAGGTAAAACAAATGAGGGTAGCTTTGACCTCAAGGTATACGTGCACTGATTGATTGATGCAGGTATTCTTTTATATATGATTACAATTCAACGATATCGAAGGCGATTTGGCATCGAGACATTGAGAAGTCGCCGAGGTACAAGCAACTGGAATAGCTTTGAACGAATGCTTCCTCCAAGGGGCCCTGGAGCCGTCGTTCCCATCTCATGTTCTTAATTTCTTATGTCAGATGAAGCTAATATTGGCAGTTATACGAAACAATTGTGGTCCACCGGACCATGCGTCTTATCATTAATTAAACCCACTTATCAATAAGTGCAGCTTATTCTTCACGAAGTCTACATAATATTTGATGCGGCGAATCCTTCACCGAATCCAGTGATCAATCAATGCGACGCAATTCTCACCGGATACAGTTATATTTTAATGCGGTGTATTCTTTCCCGAGTCCAGTCGCGAAATTGAATGTCAGATGACTGAGTTGCCTTGGACGAATGTAGGCTTTGGTCCGGCCCTCTGTAAGAATGCCAAGGTGATATGTTGGTAGGGTTTCCTTGGCAGAAGTATAAACAAACAAACAGCTTGATATGAGTCAATTCCTAATACATGCTCACAGTGTCTAGCAGGAAAGTATATGATACCTCGATTCGGAGTCCACAGCAGGATCTCTTCATCCCAGACTACTTCAGCACCACTGGCTCATCCGGCTCATCCATCACTCACTACTTTCAATTCAGAATCATTTTGCACCATAACCACCTCATCAATCCTGATCATGCTTTCACCACGTCTCATTACAATCATGGCTGCTAGCTACCTTATTGCCGGTGCAGCAGCCTCCTGCGACGAGACAGAGGGACTTGAGCTTTTCTGTTATACAGACGCCGACAGTGTACCTCAGAACGTGAACGTGGCAGACATTCAGTTCGTCGCGTCCTACCTACGATCCTACGGGCAACAGACTCGAGACGGCCGTCAATTTATCATGCTGGCCGCCGACACGCCCAACTGCGAAGAGTACACTCTCTACCAGCGCGGCAGCGTCCTCGCCCTAGGCAAGCATCTCGACCCCACCGTGAACTCCAGCGTCTTGTTCACCGACATTGCCAACACCATTGATGGTGGTACCGGCACTACCAAGACCAAGGCCATCATTGACTGCGCTGAGGCTGGCGGGTCCTTTGGCGTTGTCTACAATGCCACCAATGCTCAGTACAACACCACGACTTATCTCTCCAAGGGGTACACCCCTGCGGGCATCCTCGTTAAGATCGTGAGTTCTGCATAAACTGGTTCAATATTGCTAGGGATAGGGGGCAAGGAGATTTTGGACTTGTACTTGGAATGATTCACTTAGATCATTAAGAATAATAGGTGCTGGGGTTGTTGATACAAAACTGTTGCAGATCATTTTGTTCCTGTGTCCCGTGTCCCGTGTTCTGTTTTCTCTGATTATTGCTTGAAAATGCACGTGTTCTCATTTTTAAAATGAGACGTTTGCCCAACTAAGCTCAATGCAAAGTTACTTGGCGATGTAAGTATGAAATGAGTTTAGCCTTGATCGGCAGGTCTCACATAAGCCGATGTGCGAAGGGGAAACTGAAGACGAGATGATCGAGGAAGCATTGAAAGATGTCTGAGTTGATCTTTAGTCTACAAAAGAGAGGTGCTAAAGAGCGACTATATACCTACGCACTGACTACGTCAGTACGACAGCAGGAGTAACCAACCATACATCTAGATACCTAGGCAAGGCATGTAAAAAATCAGAACAGGAACCAAAAACAATGAGGCAAACAATGTGATTTCAGTAAATAGATGCTCACATCCTCCTAGCACACAATTACCTATCACATTCATACATACTGCCTAATGCCAACTTTGGGAGGGATTTCTTAATGAATTGCCAAAATATCTATTCAAATCGTCCCCCTCCACAAGACCTCCTGTGTTGTAGGCTAAATTAACAGCAGTATCCAGGGAACTGCGCGTTGTTCGCGGAGATGTATCCCCATGGGGGGTCACAGCCGTGACGACCGGCGTTGACGTTATCCTGGTTAACTTGATAGATGGCACCTAGATATAGGATCATGATTTAGTCTCTCATATATTTACACATTTCAAACTTGATTCTTCGTAGATAGCAGTCTGCAAATGCTTACCGTTTACACATTGGCATACTGTCGGAACACAGCATCGTGGGGCAGCACTATTATATGGAGTCAGTTTCTCACGTGAAACACTCATTTCTCATGTCTGCCAAGAAACCTACAAGTAGTAGCAGCCGCTCGCAGTCTGGCGTTCTTCCAAGGCAGCAGATTCCTCGGGCACAGGAGTGGCCATGGTGAGGGAAGCCAAGAAAATGGCGGAGGACAGGAAACTGGTAACCTTCATGTTTTCGGTTGACTCTTGATGAACAAAGCAATTTCGAAGGACTTAGTATCACTTGTCTTGGGCGAAAGACATGATATCGCACTGGCACTACTCTGAGCTTATATACACTCTATATCAGGCATAATAATTCCATTCAGTGAGTGGAACAAGAAAGGAAGTAGACTAAAAGTCCCGGCGGTCCCGACTGTCGATCGACCTGACGCGGACTTCTGCTCATTTCCAGTCTTCAGCATCAATTGGATTTCTCCAGTTGCACAAGACCCAGGGTCTGCAGTCGAAAATAAGCAATATATTGAATATTGGCTTGGCTGTAGGATTGACCGAGGTAATAGATTTCTTACAAGGAATAGTGTAACAAAAGTCAACGTCTTAGTGAACAGGCAAAGTCGTATAGCGTGAGAAGTGGCGTTGCACCTGTGACCAACATCATCACGGCGGGGATCCCATAACGGCTTCCCTAGGAAGACTGCAGTGAAGAATAGCGTTTATGAACAGCTTGCTAAGGAAACCAGGTCGAAGTATTGTGAGAAATTAATGTCATTTTCGTTTGATCTGAACTGTCAGCTGATGCCACACTGTGAACGGTATCGATGAGTGCTTACACCTGGACATAACGGGATGAACTTGAAGCGAAAGTTGAAAAAGGATATATGCGCTGCGGGACCAAGGCTCACAGGGACTATTTCGGAAGTCTTCTCCTTTGCTGGGAAGTCATGTCTTCAATTGATTGCTGGGCGTGGCCAGAGGGACTTAATTGCATCATGGAAACATTGATCTTGGAGAGACTCGCATACGAAGGCCCTGCCATCCACATTCCTGGCATCTTGTAGTGAGGGCTGCATATAAACGGATCACACAGGTACACAAGTACATATCCCGATGCGGGGGATAAAAGCATAAGAGCATTATGTATCGTCAGCTGCAAGGCTCCAGGCCGCTTGCCGAGCCTTGCAGGACCATGCAAGGGATTTTAAGCATAAATAGACTTAAAGGAGACAAAAAACCCTGGATTTCCCTCAACCCCATTCTTACTGATCTACCTGACTGTGCCGCAATATTGGCTGATTGCGCCGTATGAACCGCGCGACAAAATATTGGCTGATTACGTCGTATGAACCGAGCGACAGAGAGTGTTTTTCGCAGACTTTCCATCCCGCCTGTGCCGTCTCACCACACAGAAAATATACCACCTGCTCTCGGCAAATTGATTTTTTTCACCTCACATGGCAGACGTAACATTCAAGCCTTACTGGCGGCCCCTCGGTGAAGGGTCTGGCCCAAACTCTTGGGTGTTTTTCGTTTTGGCTAAACTTGCCGGTCACCATTGCCCGGTCGCGGTGGTTTCCAGCATTGGTGGCTGTGAGGAGGAGTCACTGCATGGGGTCCCTCTTGTCACCTGCTGCCGACGCATCGTCACGATCTTGTCCGACCCTGCCAACCACACGGCTATTCGCGGGGAGCTAGCTCTTGCCAGCGATTACTATGCCCGGAATGATCTGGGTGAGCATCGCCGAGAGCCGGTCGAATTGCCGCAGCTCAACCGGAGACAACCTGAGGGTCCCGATCGTGTTCGACCATGGGACCGCACAATGGTGGCGCAGTTTCCCTTCATTTACGCATCGCTCCTCCAGGGCGTAGCTCTGGATCCTCTCAGTGGGCGCAACGCACCACATCGCCCAGAGCCGCTAGCTACTGTGTACCGCGACACCGATATTGAATGGGGGATGGTGGTATTTGACATAACCGACCTAAGCGCAGTGCGGTACGGCATCGTGGGCTTTGCGGTCGCCATGGCAAGGTTCATACCTTCAATAGAAGAAGAACGAAAACAACTGTTCAGCGGTCTTGGCTTTCATTTCTTGGAAGGCCCCCTAAAAGTCATCGACGAGGTGCGGCCACGAGCAGCCATGTCGGCATCTGAGTACATGAAAAAGTTCAAATATCCGATTCCAGACTACAGCAATTCACATCATACCGAGGATATCAGGCGCTTAGCTACGATACAATTGGTAGAGAGTTCGGCCTTGGAACTAGTCTGGCCACCAGATCAAGACAATGAGATACCTCTGACACTAACCAACCCGCCTGTAAACACCCATATATCTCGAGACTTACAGGATCAGACTATCAGGAGACTGATCCAGGAAACATATCGCACAAGTGATCTTGAAATTTCCCACTTGGACGAGGTCCGGAAGCTTCCTGACTTTCATGAGCGCCTTCGACATAATATGCTAGAGTACTCTGGCAGCATTGGAAGCACTCGCTCTTCAGGCCGGCTCATTCGACTTGCCTTTGCTCAGAATGGCCATCTCGGTTTGGAACGGCTGAAGAACCTTTCTGCCGACTCCATTTCCGCAGCCCTAGATGAAAGGCCGGATGTAAACGATAGCATCAGGTCGCTGAGCTTTTGCATCAACAATATCCGGGACAGTACGCCTGCTCAGATTGCCGATGCACTTTCGCGGACGAAAGGTCTGCGAGAGATCTGTCTGCTACAGAGTCCCACCCATGACAGCAAACTGCTCAGTGTTCAGCTTTTTGCCGAGCTGGCTTCCCGTACTGAACTCCTCTCGCGCACAAACGTCATATTTGCCGGCGCCTACTCGGCTGCTCTGCGTAAACAGTTCTGGCTCCCAACACGCTCGAGTCTGGTACCAATGGGAATTTTCCCCGTCCAACAGATATTCGTCCGGCATGAACGGAGCAATGGACGTGGTTTCGTATTCAATTACAATCATGTCCATATGGAAGATGGGCTCCTCAAACCCGAACGGTTTGCTGCCGGCTTTCTCCTCTGGCTTTCGACGCTCCAATCCAAAGGAGAGTGGATGTTCACAGAAGCGGCTCCATGCTTTACCTTTTCCAGTGCCCCGTCGTCTTTGGCCAGTGACCCAGAATCCTCAGCTCAAGTGAGCTCGATACTTTGCGAGGATCTATCTTTGCCTTTTTCTACGCCAAATCACTCCATTTCTTCCCCAAAAGCTCGAAACTTGGTTCCAGGTGGCGGCTGGACAGTCCTCGTGTCGCAGGAGGAAAACCGTGTCAAAGGAGTCTGGAATCAATACCGCATCCGTTTCGCTTTCATTCGTGCACTAAGGCGATCGATTTTAGTCGACGATCCACCGTCGTCCCCCCTAGGGCCAGACGAACTAGAGGTTTGTGGGCTCAAGGAGTTTTTATCTGCCACAGGAGTTGAGATTGATCCTAAAGTGGTGGATCTTCGTCTGCAGAACACGGCGCACAAGATACTTGCAATGGCTACTGCTGATGGGTATCCCTGGCCTGCTGATGTCGATCCATTATCCGTGTTGAGCCACACGGAGGCTGCGACTGTGCTTTCGGAATTTTTGGACAATGCAAGAATGCAGAAACAAGAACTACGGAGGGCGATGGAAGAAGATCCAAAAAGTGAGCCTCAAGTCTCGCCCATAAGACACGTCAACAGAATCCCTACTAACGTTGAAGTTTACAATGTCGTAGATTGGAGTTGGTACCTAGAACTAATGGAATAAGAATCCTCGGAATTCAAGTTCTGCGGCTGAGAGTAAAGTGCCTCTGAATTGATTTTCACGATTCTGGTTTTGTACATTCAATCGACCTTGGCTCTGCTCAGCCATTGCCATTGACATTGCGGTAAAACACAAAGATACACGTCATCCAGTCATGAAGGAATTCAAGCCAATGAAAGACTCCATTCTGGTACCCGTTGGCGCCGGCGGTGGTGTCGGGCAGTTGTTTGGCTGTAGGATCCCGAGCTTCTTGGTGAAACTGGCCAAATCCAGGACGCTCCTGATCGACCTCTTTGATCCAATGGTTACAGGCAGCAAATAGAAGGCGTGATTGCTGTGAGCCATTGGCCAGAGTCTACTAGATAATTTGAACAAAGGTAATGTTACTAGATGGCTCATCAATACAATTCTATTCAAATCAATTCCAGTTTTCCCAATCTTGAGAAGTCTGATTGCTCATACCACATTTTGACATGCACTTGAGCTGAAGCAAAGTGATCCAAAGGCAATTTTCAACCTCTCTGGCACAGTGTCGCGTTAGAGCATATGCTGATCTACTTCCTCGTCTACGAATACACGAATATGCGAATCGTGTAACGACACAGCATATCCAGCTCCGCGTATATGCTTCTAAATGACGAATTGACAACATCGAGGTCGCAATATGGGGACAACATTGTGTTTGCATACAGCTCTTGGAGGATTCCGGTGGCGTCCGGCAGCCTTACGCCACTTTGTCTTCTAGATGCTGCGAAATTGTGGTGCCGACATCTACGGTTATACGTAGGTGTCATCTTGCATGTCCAACCAAGACCTGGTGGTGTGAAGACAATAACAGATGGAATGGTCCAGAGGGGCCAAAGGGGGTGGGTCGTCCAAAAATAGTGCCGCCAGCGTCTCTGCTAGATGTTCAGCCGATTCATATATTCCCATCTATTAGTAAGGTTTGGTGCCCTTAAAGACAGTTTTTCCGAGATCTATATATCGTTAGGCTGACTTCAAACCCCCGAACCATATGCAGCGCATGCGCACCCTAATTTAAGGATTATAGATTCCCTAAATATATAATTATATGCTGGATTAATACTCAGGTGGGTGACCACTGGGGGAATCCCTGGTACTATATATTTTGGACTCATGATTCTTTTTTGAATTATGATAAGGGGGCCAAAAATGTAGCCATATCAAGATGTCGCTTCTGTGGATCGAACACAGTGCCTCCAGATATCAAGGTCCTGAAGTTTGAGCTTCAGTCTGGCGCTCTCCCAAGTGAGCTAAAGCGACGATTTTAGTGGGATGTTGGGGATATCATACCGTAGAAACCGATTATATCGTAGCCATGAGATCTCATCTTGGCCTGCCATTCTAGGATACAATCTGTTAGGACTGTTGGGGTTACATATGAGAGATGAGTGGTAGAAGCATGCATTGCGGGGCTTAGTCATATGCTTAGTTATAGTGTTGGGCTACGCCGAACAAAATCTTATTATTTAAACAGTGAGCAAGTTGTCAAGAAAGCTTAGGTTTTAAAAGACAGCCATGATATTCAGCCAACCTACATTCCTAAAACGCGCCCATTGATCAGTCTAAACACGGCGATACGTTCAGGTCGTGAAAGAGATAAGAATTACCGAGTATTTAACACGCGGGTCAGCGGTGACTTGTATTCTTTCGACCTAACCTATGCTATGTAAATGTTTTGCTGATCGACAGGACCTAGACAACCGCAAGGTGCCAAAATATTAGTCGTTAGAGATGAGTGACGAGTAATCGTATAATTTTCAGTGGCGTATTTCGAGCTTCTGTGTGCGATTCTAATGCATTTGATCTTATAGTTGACTCCAACAGCTCGGATAATAATAACGATAGATGTGTTTACACGGAAAGGATGCTGGAAATATATGTGCAAATGTGCCGTTAAACTCGACTGCATATTATACTGTACTTCTACTTTTAGGCCAAATGGGTTCAACAAAATATTAAATAGCAGATAAGTTTACTATCAACTTTGTGTGGCATTAAACCTTACTAAGATTATGCTGTCATATCAAGAACCACTTTCCTATCTTTGTTTAGCACATCTACGATGATGGCTTCCATCTCAATCACAAGCGCCAATGCAAATAACATTACGAATGACAGCGGTAACGCCTCTCTTCTTAAGGACGTTGTTTAAAATTCCGTAGTGGTTTCGCTACATCTGCCATGTTAACAATTTGAAAAGTTTGTATCCTAACCTAGCGTGATAGGGCATTGAGCGAGTGTAGTCTCTTTGCAGCTTGCACGACAGAAATTTCGACATCGTGAGCGGGCATGTAATCCGCGATGACAATATTAATAAGAATCTGAGAGGGATTCATCACCGGTCCCTGAAATCTTTTCGTAGCAGCCGAGGTAATAGCTCAGGATAATTATTCGACTTTCTTCGTCACTTCCGACTCAAGTAGCGTCAGGCGCCAAGATATAGCAGGGGAACTTCGCGCGTTTCCGAGATTGACGTTTTGTCGGCGTTTGAGAAGGATACAGGGATGAAAGCATAGTAATGATAATACTGAAAGATATAAGGCACGATAGTTCATGTAAGGCCAGAGCCTTGCAGGTTGGTACTGGTACCTCACGGAAAACGACGAAGAAGAAGGTTTCTGATGGAAAACGAATAACTAACCAGCTACGGGCCACGAGATTAATAAGTATCAGGCTTGATGATCTCGTAGTCTAGTTGTGGCAAAGTGTAGCTAAAGTTGATGAAAAAAGAGGGCGGAAAGCTACAGTGGCTGCGGGGGAAATTAGGTACCAGTACCTAGTGTGGTGCCTAGCACCTAACAGTTCATACCGGCTGTCGTGATTGCCTCCCAAGTATCAAGGACAGGGGGAGAGCTGAGGCGAGAATCACTTCCGCGCGTAACGGCAACTATGAGCGACTGCCTAAATTACATCTGGATTCTTTGAGGAAAGCAGAAATCTCTGCTAATCATCAGACCTAAAAGCGGTCGTAAGGAGTACAACTCGACCTTGAGATTCGGTTTGTAGAAGTCGTAAGTGTTGGTCATGTAAACACCTCGCAGGTTCGGGTCTAGGGAAAGTGGTGCATTTGGGCCGACAAGCATGGCGACACAACCAGCGCCACCAGTGGGACGAGAGGCGGGCTGGTCGTAGAGAGCAATGTCCGATGCAACAACAATAGCGTCGCGGCCATCCCAACAACGGGATTCAACCCAGTTGACGGCGTTGAAAAGTGCGCTAGTGCCTCCGTAGCAAGCGTGGATTGTATCAATCCCTTCCAGGCTTGTGTTGCCATGAGGCTCGAATAGAGTAGTGAGGACCGATTTGACTGACTTGGCCTTGTCTATCAGGGACTCCGTGCCGACTTCGAGGCGCCCGATGGACTTTGGATCGATATCATACTTTCGGAGGAGAGACGAAACAGCCGTCAGAGCGAGTGAACAGACATCTGTACTGAGATGTATGTTTAGTTAATGCAATATATCCCTTGGATGGATATGTAGAGAAAATGTCATATTGTGTGAGAACTAATGATTGGCTGATTGTTGCTGTATGAGTACGCGTGACTGACCTTCTCGATCGGTACAATAGTTCATGTATTTCAGACCAAGTCCAATGGTGTATTTACCAGCAGAGACGCCTTGGTGTTTTTCAAAAAGGGTCTGGTCTAGGCACTATTTGGTTTGCAGTCAGTGATACTGATTTTAACGACGGATAGACGGGTCGAAGTACCTGTGCGGGAACGTAAATTTCCATGGCCTTGATTCCAACATTCTCGGGGTACGCCATCAGGGGCAATAGTACGTGAGACAGGACGTGCTGTGGAGTATAATTATAGGACAAATATGGTAATTCCTAGCGGGTATGGTAGATCGGTGTGAATTCTAGGTCCTCTGGCACATGGAGGTGGTGAGCCGAGAGGGACTGGAGAATGACTGGCAAACGACTGAGGAGGCCTTTTTAAGAAGGGGAAGACTTGTTTGAAGGACCGAACCAGGTGTAGGGAGCAGATTAAATTTGAAAACTCAATTTCGGTCGTTGATAATGAATCGGCCGAGAGCATGTGCAGATTAATTTGGTTGCCTGAAGGCAGCAACATGTGCAATGCATGTCGCCAAGTGCTGCTACATATTGCATCAATATAGACCGCTACCTTGTAATTCTTGTCCTCGTATTTTTGACACCCAATTTCTTTGATCCCCTGAGATGAGAAAAAGCTTAAAATCATTATGAATCTGACGGGGATGCGTGAACAAGAATCGACTGAACCCTGCTCTTCTCAGCATCTGCCTGTCCATAACGCACAGAGCTACCAGGCTGCTAGAATAGTCTCATAGGGGGGAGCAGTGGGGATCCACTTGTCGTCCTCTTCAATATTCCTACGGCCCATCTGACGCAGTGGGTTGTGCAGGCTTCTTGTCGAGCCTAAAATGCCATGTCGAGGTTGGTGTGCGAAGGAATGCGTGTAAAGCGAGTCCATAACGGCTGTTTGTAGCCGTTAAGGATGGCCTGGCATCTATACATGGGAGGCAGTCGGAGTACATATCTGTCTTAGGCTTCCATGACCAACTGCATGTCAATATGCCAGTGGCTTACCAAACTATGATACAAGAGATCTTGCCTCATTCCAGATCGGCATTTCCTATAGAACGATAATTTTCGTTCACAGAATATACGATTTAACCTGTATCCAAGGTTGAAAATACAATTACAAATGGTCTGAATCTAGGAATTTCTTTTTTCTCCTTTCGGTATTATCGATTATATTGGAAATTAGAATGGACTTTCCTGCTATACAACATGCTTGCCTTATTAGATAGACAGACCTTTGGTCGTCACCCGAGATCCTGAATGTTCTCGATCTTGAACTCGTCTGAGTGCGCCATCCTCCAATGAGAACGATTTCCATCAGGATAATTCAGCAGGAGATCGGGACTGATGCATGCCGCTATCCAATTCTACAGGAACATACTGGCGCGAGGGTGTAGTCGTACCATCCAACTCCCCCGGCTTTGGGTAGCCATGATTGTCCTGATATCTCATCTCCTGGTATGAAACTGGAGCCGGTGGCGATTCCGGAGCTCGCATTGTGCTCCGGTGTCTTCTGAGACAATAGAAGGCGAGTGCGATGACAACAAGAGCTGCAATCGGTCCTACTACAGCCCCAGCGATCCAGGCCTTGCTCGAAGAGCTACCGCTGATGCTTACAGAAGTAGGGGTTGCCGAGGCAGTCGTCGACGTACCAATAGTGGACGTAGGTGTTGTACCCGTGAATACGGTTGATGGTGTCGTCGGTGAAGCTGTCATTTATGATCGATTAACAAAGAAACCACGCATCCAACTTACGGAAGCTTACCGGTCGAAGTCGATGTGGCTGTCGCCAATTCTCTATATACGGTGTTTGCTGACCATGCTGCGCGGCAGCCATAATTTGTCGCAGAGGGCGAACCATTGGGTGAAGATTGGAAAATAGTGAAGCTCACACAAGCCAGGCCGCCGGTACTGCGCAGGAAGTTCCAGAATGTTATCAATCAACTCTACCTTTGCGAAGCATTCGCAAGTCAAACTTACCATGACAGGGTCTCGTCGTTATTATAGTAGAGCGTATCGGCTTGGCACGCCGTTGCTAAGCTGCATGTTGAGCTCTCATCATTGCAATCACCCGCAAATGTCCCGGATGTTGTCCACGCGTTACCCGCAAGGAGAGTCTCGGCTGCACATGTACGGGGAAAGGAATCAGCCTTCAACAACCACCAAGATACACCTCAATCAATGTAACATACTCACCTTGCCCGTCAGGTGATATATAGTAGCCTATAAAATTCGAGCTTGTAGACGCAGCAGCAGTTGTTGTTGTGGTAAGTGACTGCGCAGTACATCTTGTGGCAGACAGGAAGAGCGATAGGACGACGCTCCATCCAGTGATCAGCGCCATTGTCAAATTGGCTTAATCAGTCGAACGACGGTTCCTAGTAGGTAAGCAAAACACCAGGCAGAATGTGAGAAAAGTCTTACAGATGCTCGTGATCAGCGACAGAAAAATATTCGCGTCAGCGTCGAGCTGTGCCTCTCTTGCACAGTGAAAAGTGGATTCTACGATCAGGACAGATGGAGATGGCTATTTTCCGCGTCTCATGGCGCGAATCTTCCCCAGAGGAGTGCCTTCGCTTTCCCGCCTCGAGATATCTAAGCGCCCATCAGCCTGAGCAAGAGCCAATGGGAGTGCACAAGCTTGGTCTTGACTGGCGAGAAGTAGTTGGAGCTGGGCAACCAGGGCAATGGAGGCTGAGTGAAGTCTGAAAATGGAATATTTGAACGCAGCGCAGCGCACCTAGGTATTGGGAATCAATGATCCTGCAATGGGAACAATTCCTCAAACGCTCAAAAAATATGTACCTATTTAACGTGATACTACGGCCAGTCAACATTCACTCGGATTGAGAACAAGTCAAGAGCCTGGAGAAACCGCGTGGACGCACGTCGTCGCGCGACTCTCTTCCCCTTTCCATAATCCCTCGTGAAAGCCGATGCGGAAGAGGTGCCCAGCTTCACGCCAACACGCTAAAAGGCTGGGCCTAACCTCCCTGTACCAGGATCATCTGGAGCAGGCCCTGAATGTCATTTACAGGAATTGAAAAACACGCCATGCTTTCAGCACATTCATGAAAAATACCATAAGGCATGCCGCAAGCTTTTTCATATATAGTCTGGCGCCTGTATTTCATCGCTTGAATATCATTTAATCGCCATGCTATCATATCTCTTGATCACAAACGTGTATGGACATGCATGCTATTAGATGCGTACCTAGTCACCACCCCAAAGTCTGTTGGCGAGTCCTCACGCTAACGTACACTATCAAAGTTGGCTAGCAAGGACCCATGTATGAGAGTATGAGAACCGGTCACTACAACGGTATTTCAATTCTACATAACACCCATTGGGAGACAAATATGGGAATATAAGAAATGAAAGGTGATTATAACGGAAGTGTTAATAGAATCGAATTGAAATACATATCTGCCATTTTGCTGCGGCAGTACATATTCTGGTTGTGTGCAGTTTGGTTGTCTGATGGCGAGTGCTGATTATACATGGTACTCCTGCTAGCGTCCTGCACGCTAACTGTTGGCTGCAGCAGCATGGCTTTACGCCAGTCCATACTTCATAAGCGGGTATTATTTGATACAATGCTTGTTCCCAGCACAGCCAACATGGCGAGGAATGCCTTTATTGGTATATGTGGGAGCGTAGCGCCTGGAGGGAGAACGCGCGATATTGTGCTGGGCGCCAAGTTCACGCATCATGTTTTCATTCGAGATCCGCAGGCCCAAGTTCGAGTAAACCACAGCTTTGATTTGACAATGTATGAAATCCATTGAAACGGCTAAAAGGAAATAGTTATTACAGCCATTTTCTATCACTCTCCTCCCCGTGCTGACCATGGATCTGCAGGCTGATTCTAGCTACTCAACCACCCGAATCCCCACCGTTTGGACACCGCTGGAACATTTGCATCTGGAATCTTGCCATGATCAAACCAGCCCTCAAGGTCTGGATTGGTAACATCTTGGACAGACCAATAACTCTTATACCCATTGATTTCGTCCAGCTTCGTTAGATAGGCATCGGCTTCGGCATCCCCGTGCAGGGCCCTTCGCTCATATGAAGCCGCGTTCACAGCGTACCAGAGTGCGTCGTCTTCTGGAATCGACGTCATGCCCTCATAAGATAGAACTTGAGACATCTCGTTGGGGCGCATGTTCCACTCAGGTAGCGGCTTCTCGCAGCCGTGGAATTTGTACTCCCATTGCTGTGTCGCCTCGTTTTTGCATCGACGGGCCATTGGTTCATCCCCCGATTTCATACCGATGGGGTTGTAGATCAGGCTCTTGAGCTTCTTGCATTCCTCCTCAAGCTCCTTCTTCTCGTCGTCATCCTTTGCGTTGGCCGCGGCGATCACCGCGTCCCTGTACTTCTTGCGTGAGCTGTACATGCGGTAGCCGACCACTGGATGTACGGACTCGTGAGTGCGCCCCCGTGTCGTGAGCTTCTTGTTCTGATGGTACCCGTTGGGGGTTCGAGCCAAGTATCCATTGGCAACGTACGTCCAGGTGTAGCTGTCGATGACAGAACCCGTCCCCCAGCCAAAGTTGAAAAATGTTTGGTTCTTGGGCTTTTCCTTTTCAACACGGCGAAAGACAGAGTTGTAATTGTCGGCGGCAGTATCCACGACACTTTGAGCAGAAGTTGAAACCCAGCGATAGCCAGTCTGCATGTAGCTCTCTTTCTTTTGCTCATCCCTCTCTTTCTTTAGCCTCTCCTTCTCCTCCCGGGCTTGCTTGTTGAGCTCATCAAGATTCTGGCTCCTTTCAATGCGATATTGCTCGTATACTGCCGAATTAATGTTGAGATGCGGTCTAATCTGATCCAGCATCCAACAGAAGACAACATCGGCGAGCTCTGTAGTCACTAGAGTCAGCAACCAATGAAATAAAGTCATGGACCAATAACGGTACTGGGAGGCTCAAGCATACCTTCCATATCTCCTTTGTTTTCAAGAGTGTCACTGGAACCTCCGCCGACGTTGATATGAACACCTGGAAACCAGACCTGTGAAAGCTCTGGCGGCGGTTTGTGATGCTCTTCCATTTGGACTAATGTTGTCCTGGCCTTGTTGTATTCATCATGGGCAACATCCCTGACCCTTGAAGAAACCTTTGGGTCCAATCGTGCGCTTTCAAATGTACACTCACACGTCTGGACAACTTCTTTCTGGGCCTTGATCGCATCGGCCTCGAGTGCCACGATGGTCTGCCGTGCTCTGTCGTATTCCTGTTTGATCTGACGCTTCTTTTCGACGGACATCTTGCGATCTGTCGAGGCCGCGTGCCACTTGTCGAACGCTGCCTCGAACGCTGCGTGCTGCTTCTCAATCTCGATCCCTTTAAAGGGGTAGTCATCAGAGAGATAAAACAAGGTTGGGGTGAAAGCTTCTCGGCGTTCATCCAAAGCGAGGGCATGGTATGCTCGCTTGATGTCTGCAAAAGCGACTCAGTCATTTGGTTCGATACAAGTAGTGATTATTGGGGACCTACTCCGATTTAGGCGAACGTTGAAGAACTTGTGTTCCTCAGGGTCAAATCCAATCAAAGACCCGACCTCTATGCCACGGAGCGAGGGCATACCCAGCGCTCCGACAGTGTCGTACACACCGACGATTTCAATCTCCCGCGAATCGATGCTTGCCCAGTTGCCCTTGGGTTTGTCCTTCCACCTGTAGTTGGAGTTCTTATACCCAGGAGTTTCAGGCAGCGGTTCTTCAAGCTTGCCGTCCATGAATTCCCAGTATGCTTTGCTGCCCCAGAACCTCTCCTCCTTGTTGGCCTTGTACAGCCCCCACAGTTCGGAAAAGTGCTGCAGCATCCGCGGTTCGCAGATGCCAATGTCGGAAATCAGGCCAGCAATCGCACGGGCCGTGAAGGCGCCCCGGGAGAAACCAAAACAGTAGACCTTGTCTCCCGGCACCCAGTTGAGCACGATGAAGTTGTACGCCTCAATGACATTGATCTCAAGTCCGGAGCCGGTGGCACCCTCGCTCTTCCTGCCCAAAAGGGACGTTGTGCCCACGCCCGAGTCGTACCAAACCAACTGCTGCCACTCGTTGCCTTCAGCATCCACGCCCACCCTGTCGAGCTCCCGGGCTAGGCGGGTCACATTGGAAGGGACATTCTTCTTGCCTGACGTGGCCGATTGCCAGGTGCCATCGCAGCATATGATGATGCGCTTTGGTCGGCTGGCTGGGGTCACGGGATACGACATGACGACGATATAGGAGGACCGGTGATATCTTCCTTGCGGATACAGTAGCCCAAAGGACGATCCATGATGGGAATCATGTCTGGCCCTTATATAACTACCTGGGTAATCATTGAGTTACTTCGCGACATGTGTCAGTCTCAGCCTCTCAAACTATGGAAACCAGCGCAGCTGAATTGAAAGCAGAAGACGTTTCAGCTGGAGACAAGACTTTGGTTCTGGCCATGCTGAATCGCAACTAATAAGTGAAATTGGCTACCTCGTCGATAGTATCAATAGTATCAGTCATTGGGTTTGGTTTTTTCAGCCAGCCACGCGACTGGTAAGCTCGGTAAGCTGTGGTGGTGGTTCAGCTTGTGGGGGCCTCCGCCCAGACATCCCTGGCCTTAGGCGGGCCAGGCGGGACTATCAGCTAGGTTAAAAGGTTCAGTCTAGACAACACTAATTGCGACACCTAGCAAGAGACTGCACTGGCTGGATTGGATATGATATCGGTCTACATTAGTCCTAAAGCTTTTTCTTCACCCTTAATGGGTGTAGAGGTTCTAGGTTAGGTGATCTGCCACGAGGGAGCAAAGAACCGCCTGAACCTCTACGCCTTTTCAGTGTGATTCCTGCACAGCCCAGGATCACTCATAGGCTGTAGGTATTTTCTGTTCGTCGCAGGGGAGAAGACGGACCAGAGCAACCCTTCGATTTGCTTGAGGCAAGATTCTAGATCTATTTGACAATACGCTTGGTCAATTGGCCACACGCACAGCGTACAGGGCCGTAAGAGCTCGTAGCGATTGCCATATTTCAAGATAGGTAAGCGAGATGGGCATAAGTCCATACATCACCCAAAGCGCTATTCGACCTATAGGTAAATTTCTCACATTTGGTAAATATGCCCGACAGCTTTCCGTCTAAATGATCATACAACAGAAAAGCTTCTATAGAGATATGCGCTCTCCACTAATGCCGAGAAGATAATTATTAATCAAGGTGGTGCTTTCCTATTGGAGTTTAAACTGGTCTAATATTAGTGTTAATTATATAATATATTAATTTATATTCTGCGCCTTTTAATTTTAATAAAGTGTACGCTTATTTAGGTGGCCCCGGCTAATCCCCGGGAAATCCCGTATATTTATCTATTTAGACACCATAATATTAATCCGTATACTTAAGCATACGCTAATATATAGGAACTATAATTGTTGATCAAGGTGGTGCTTTCCTATTGGAGTTTAAACTAGTCTGATATTGGTGTTAATTATATAATATATTGATTTATATTCTGCGCCTTTTAGTTTTAATAAGGTATACGTTTATTTAGGTGGCCCCGGCTAATCCTTAGGAGGTCTTATATATTTATTTAGATATTATAGTATTAATCTGTATGCTTAAATATACGTTAATATATAGGAATTATAATTTATTATTTAATATACCTTTTTAGATTTACGATTTATCGTAAATTTAGCTATATTTAAATTAAAATTGTTAATTAATAAAATATAGCTTTTTTTAGGGTTATTCGTTTTAATTACGATAAATAATTTTAAATTTTATTTATTATTAAAAATTCTGCTATTTTCCTATTAATAAATTTTTCGTTAATTTATTTATTATTATTTTATTTAAAGGTTTATAAATAATTTTAATTTTTCCGTTTTAGGCTTTTTGCCGCAGTTAATAATTATAAATATTTATATAACGGAGTTTTATTTTTAATAATACGATTTCGGCGTTAATTAAATTAATAATTTATTTATTATTATATTTAATAGTAATAATACTATTATTTAGTTATATCGATAATTTTTTTAATAATTAATTAACGAATAATATTTTTTTAATAATTTATATTAGCGTAAATAATTTAGCTTTTATAATAAAAATAATAATTATATTTTATTTATTTAATTACTAATTAATTAATTTTCCGAATAGCTTTATAGCGAATATTTAGGTATTTTTGCGATTAATGCTATTATTAGTAAATAATGCGTTATTAGTAATTACTAAATTAGCGGATTTTTTAATTTTAAACGAAAGTTTTTTAGTATTAATTAGGTAAATTAAAGCTCGATTAGCAATTTTTTAATATATTTAGCTTAGATTATTAAGGAATCGAGCTAATTTAGCTATTACGAATACGATATTTAATTTCGTAAATATAGCCGCGAATAGTAATAATCCGATTTTTTTTTAATATTTTTATATTTTATATAAAAACGCTATAATTAATTAAAATATAAATTTTTTATAGCCTATTAGCGTTATATAAATTTTTTATTTATTTATAAATTTAGCGATTTTTTTAAAATAAGCCTTTTAAAATAGCTAAATTATTTTAAATATACGATTTTTAATTATTTTTATCCCGAAAAATTATTATATTAGCTTATTATTATTAATTTTATATTTTTTTATAAAATATTATATTAAATAATTAATAGCTTTTTTATTTTTATTTTTATATATAATAATTATATCGTTAACGTAAAAAAAAATTAGTATTTTTTTATTAATAAATGCGTAAAGCTTATATAATATTAGGTATAGCCGATTTTAGCTAAAGTTTTTATAAATTTTTTTTGCTATAATAGCGGTAATATCCGTAATTTATAAAATACTTTATTTAATATTAATATAATATTTTTTTTTCGATATTTATCCGGTATTTTTATAAATATATTTTAATTAATAAAAGCGTATATAAACGTATTTATTATATTATATTATATTAATTTAAAATCGAATTTTGCTATAATCGCGATTAAAATGCGAAATAATTTTTTAGCTAATATAGCCGCGTAAATTTCCTAATTTTAAAGTTTTGCTTATTAATTACCGTAAACGATAAATTTTGCCTTATATTTTTAAAATTTCTTATGTTTATCGAATTTATATACGTATATTTATATATAATTAAAAATTTATTTATTTTTTATTTATAAATTTTTTTATTAATTTTAATTTAAAATTATATATTTTTATAATTTTATAAATAATTAGCTTTTATTTAAAAAAATAATTTATTAAACGGATAATAATATAATTTATAATATTATTTAAAAAAAGCTAAAATTTCCGTTTTATAAATTTTTATTTTTTAATAAAAAAAGCGTTTTAGCTTTGCTTTATTATTTTAATTATTATTTTATTTTATTTTAAAAACGGTTTTATAATTAGCTAAAAAAATTATTTATTATAAAATTATTTTAAATCTTTTTTTTAATAATACCGTATTTTTAATTATAATCGCTTTTATATTATATATTAATAAAGCTAATAAAAATATTTATAATAAAATTTAAAAAGCAAATTTTATAATAATAAAAAGGTATTATTTATTTTTTTTATTTAGCGCTGTTTTTTTATTTTTTTAATTATAATTTTTTTTTAATCGTTTTAATTATTACTTAGCAAAATATTTTTTATAACGGTATTTTTATTTTTTAATTTTTATAAATTTTTTTTTAAATATTACGTAATTAATTATAAAATCGGCGATAAATTAGGTATTAATATTTAAAAATTTATTTTTAAATATATTTTATTTTTTGTTATATAATTTTTTTTCGTTTATAATTATATTTTTTATATTAATTAATTTATTTTAATTAAAAATTTAAATTTTATAAATATTAAATAATTTATATCCGATTAAGTATTTTATTTATATTTTAAGTGCTAATCGCTATAAACGGCTAAATTTTTATTATACCGTTAATATTATTATATACGCTTTTTATCCGAATGCTTTAAAATAAGTTTAATTAGGCTTATAGCTTAAATTTAGGATTTTTTTTGCTTTTGCAACTGCTTTATAAAATTTTATATATAATATATGCTATCGGGAATTATAATTCGGCGTGTAATTATATAAATATACCGCGGTTTTACCGATTTTAGGCTAAAATTAATAAAAAAACTTTGCGCTAATACGTATTATACGTTTTTTTTTTATTATACCTTTTAAACGTTTAATAGCTTTATTTTAGGCTTATATATATAATGCTAAAAGCTTAAATTTAATATATTTATTTTTAAAATATTTTCCGATTATTTATTTAATATTTATAATTTTATTATTATATTTAATAATTTTAATTTTAATATTATATTAGGTTTTTATTATATTTAAAAATAATCGGAAAGCGTTAATTAATATAATAATAATTTTTTTTATAAAATAATAATTTTATATATATCCCGTTTATTAATAAATAATTAGTATTTAAAACGTATAATTTTTAATTTTTTTAATATAATTATAAAAATTAATAGCTAATCGCTCGTTATAATTTTTATTAATTAATCGCAGCGCTCGCCGTAATTAACGCGTAATTTTTATAAATATATAGGTTTTATATTTTATTATAATTAATCTTTTAATTTTTATTTTTTAAAATAAATAAATAAAATATTTAAAAATTACCGGGCCTAAATATTTTATTTTATAATATTATCGTATAGCTTTTTTAATTAATAATAGCCTTTTTATTTATATTATATATTTTTTCCGATAAATAATAAATAACGCTAAAAATAATTTATAAAATTTATATTTAAAAACGTATTATTTATATCGGTTTTAAAATATATTAATTAAAAATCTATTTTTTCGATATAGCGTTATAGGGTCGTTTTTATTATTTTAATAATATCCTCGTTTTCGTAATTAACGGAATAATATTAATATAATTAATAATTTAAAATAATAAGCTATATTATTTAATAATAATATTTTAAATTTAAACTATATAATTATTATATTATATTTATAAATAAATAATTTCCGGTCGCCTAATTAAATAAAATCGTAATTAAAGGTTTATTTATAATTAATAAATTTTATTTTTATATTTATAATTAAAATCGTTATTGCTAAACTTAAAATAATTAAATAGCGTAAAAAATAATTTTCCGCAGATGCTATAAAATTATTTTATACGTTTATTATTAATCGTTTATTCCGTTAATTTATATTAATTAAAAGCGATTTTTCCTTAATTATACGTAATATACTAATTCGGCTGGTTTTAATCCTTTTTATATTACGAACCTGCTTTTATAAATTAAAGCTTTTTTTAAAGGCTTTATTTATTTATATTTATATTTTATTTTTAAAAACGAAACCTAAATAGGCTTTTTTTAAAAATACGTAAAAATATAAATTAAAAATATAAAAAAAATAATAAATAAAATATTTAATATTTTTTTGCTTTTTATTATAAATAATTCGTTTATTTTTTTTTATATAAATTAGCCGTATTTAATTAGGGAAGCATTTAATTTTTAATAAAATAAATATTTTTATTTTATCCGTTTTAAAGCTATTTATTAGCTTTATTAATATAAATTACGAAAGCGCCTTTCCTAATTTTTAGCCTAATCGGCTATTAGATACTTAAGCTTTTACGGAAATTATTATTTATTACCCGATATTTTAAATTTTTATTTAAAATATTTTATTTTTTATAAATTTAATAAAAAGCGGCTTATTATAATATAATTAAAATAACGGCATTTAAAAAATTTATAGCCTAAACCAAATTATTTTATATTTTAATTATTTGCTTTATTTAGGTTTTCGTTATAATTATTTTTTATTTATTAATTTAATTTATAGCTTTTTTTAATATTTTCGAAAGCTTAAAAGCTTCGAAATATTATTTTTTTGCTTTTTTTTATTATTTAAAATTAATTTGCTATAATAAGCCCTAAAATTCTTATATTATTTATATAAAAGCTCGTTAATTAAATAATACGTAAAAAAAAAATTTAAAAAAATCGCAATAATTATTTATTTTATAATTTCTTTAATCGCCGTATATTATTTAGCATATATAGCCTCCCTTATTTTATAATAATTATAATTAAAGTTAAACGACTTTTAATTTTTTTTAATAAAATCCGTTATTATTTATTCCCCGTTTTTTTTATTTTAAATACTCGGATCGTCGCTTTTATTTATAGCTTTAAAAATCGTTACCGCGGTTTTTATATATTTAATTTTTTTAATATCCGGTTCGATTAAGGTTTTAATTAAAATCGTTTTATTTTTAAAATAATTAGTTAATCCGGTAATTTATACCTAAATTTAAAACGTATATTTTTAATTAATTTAATCGGAAATTATTTTTAACGATACCGTTAAGCCGATTCCGGCTTTTTTTATAATTATTATTTTCGTAGCTTCGGCGGAGGCACTAAAATTTTTAATTATTAATTAAAATAATGCTTTCCTATTAAAATTTAAATTAATCTAATATTAATATTAATTATATAATATATTAATTTATATTTTGCGCCTTTTAGTTTTAATAAAGTGTACGTTTATTTAGGTGGCCCCGGCTAATCCCCGGAAGGTCCCGTATATCTATCTATCTGGACACTATAGTGTTGATCCGTGTGCTCAAGCACACGCCAGTGTATGGGAACCATAGTCCACCATTTGACAATAATCATATGGAACAGATCGATGCATGCGCCAGCACCAGCTTGGACCAGAGCTCCAGGGTGCTCCTGCACGAATTGTGCGGGAAAAGACGAGACACATAGTTTGATGTAAGTCTGTATTAGAGGACGTCTCTTTTGCAAATCGGAAACGGACGCACTTGGCTTATAATCTGTGGGAGCAAGAGAGATGCACAGCTATGGCAAACGAACAAGTACCGGGCCAAGTTGCACTATGATATGAGCCGCCGCCATCGCACACTAAACACACAGCGACATAGACCTGGTTCTCGAATGGAAGTTGATACTAATGTGGCGGACAACGACTGCGCTGTCGAAAAGACGATCAGTATCTTACTTGAAGAATGCGAACCAGGTCAGAAGAACACTCATGGCTCAAACTCCAACCCTTGGCTGGGCCCGGTTGGCGACATTGATTGTTGTGTTGAGGCATACAAGCCACCGAGTCTTCCCCATACTAATAAATTCTTTTGATGGTTGTCATGAATTTCATTGGCTGATGAAAAAAATTTTTACATTACCTAGAGTGCAATTGCATTGGAAATAAGACAAAATCAAGTCAGCCAGAGAAGGAAGAGTAATGCGAAGCCATCGGAGTTGAAATCCGCGGGATCCCCGCGGGAGTTTTGCAGGGCTGTTTCAGTGGCTGACCCCAGATTCTTGTACAGTGGTACCCACTTTGTGTAAGATACTAAGCTGCATTATAATTGCAATCCCGCGTGTATTCCGGAATTCAGTTCAAGGAACCATGAAATGCAATTGTATATTAAGGCTCGTACAAAATCTTGAAAGAGTGCTTCAGAATTACTGGACATCTTCACATACAAGTATTTACACTTCTCGGCAACTCAAGCACTCTTCTCCCCACACTCTGATTCAACGATTCATCTGCATTTGTACTTGCATCGCATCAATAATTACCATATCGCGAGGGCCTTGATCGACAACATGCCTGGCACAATCAGTTTCTTGAGGCAATCCTTTCCCGGAAAGGCACAATTTACCGACGAGAACGTCCCAGATCTTACTGACAAAGTCGTGATTGTCACGGGCTCCAACACGGGTCTTGGCAAGGAGATTGCCAGGATCGTATACGCCAAGAATGCCAGAGTTTACATAATGGCCCGGTCCGAGAAAAAGTCACTCGAGGCAATTGCAGACATCAAGGAGGCCGTCCCCAATTCTGCTGGAGAGCTCATTTATCTGCCTCTGGATCTGTCAGATCTGAACAAGGTCAATGAATCAGCTAGGGAATTCATACGCAGGGAGAGGCAGCTGCACATTCTCTTCAACAACGCCGGTGTGGGATACCCGGAGCAGGGCTCCAAGTCCCAGCAAGGTTACGAGCTGCAAATGGGAGTCAATTGCATTGGCACATTTGCATTCACCAAGTTACTCACCCCCTTGCTCGTTGCGACGGCCAAGACGGCGCCCACCAACTCGGTTCGCGTGGTCTGGGTATCCTCGTCGGCCGCCGAAGCCATCAGCTCCAAGGACTTTGTCGAAAAAGTGCCCAAGGTGGATGAAATGAGCGGCTTTGAGCAGTACTGCATGAGCAAGCTCGGCAACTATTATCATGCCACCGAATTTGCCGCTCGGCACCGTGCCGACGGCGTTGTTTCGCTCCCGCTGAACCCGGGCAACCTCGACTCGGAGTTTTGGCGTACCCAGGGTGCAATTATGACATACATCTTAAGAAAGACGCTGCTCTACCCGCCGGTATTTGGCGCCTACACCAACCTCTTTGCTGCCTTTTCTCCCGATATCACTCTTGAAAAGTCAGGAACATTTGGTAAGTACAAGAACATACATTATATCAAATACGGAGAGGAGTGAAATGGCTAACTAGAAATGAATCAGTTGCCCCCTGGGGTCAATTTTGGGATGTCTCGCCCGAGATGCTTGCAGGCGCAAAATCCACGTCCGAGGGTGGTACCAACATTGCGAGTGACTTTTGGAACTGGACTGAGGCACAAGTCAGGCCTTATTTTTAAGACATACTCGAGTAATAGGACAAATGGCGGGTATCATAACAGTAATTGCATGGAGATTTTAACCTTTCTTTCCTCTTTTTGAGTTTGCGATAGGCATGTGCTTGGGCTCATTTCTCGCCTTTATTTTCTCACTCCACTTCCTGCAGCTCTTCTGTTTAAACACAGGAGTTGACGGAAATGATGATACTTCATCATGTTTGCATCATTAGGTGTCATAGTGTTATCGATTTGTAAATAGAATGTATACATAATGTACCTGCTAGTGGTAAGGTAATGGCGAAATGATTGGATGCTCTTGTATGTATAGAAACAGCCTGCAATATGCTGATCAGCCCATATAGTTCTCAGACCCGACTAACACCCAGCCGCCCATGAGGCAACATTGTACAGTGGCAGCAGGACCCTGAATTGACAGCAAGCTAGCTGCCTGTAGGTACCTTACTGAAATCTAAACCCCGCAATCTCCGGTTGGGACAGACAGGCTAACAGGGGAACGGGGACGGTACTCTACGGCGGGGGTGCGCGTTCCCCGTGCACTCTGTTCAGGTCGCGCCGCAATGTTCAGATATAACGGCCACCTAACCCCTGGCGGTTTCCGGTAAGTCACGGAAGGCAGACCACATCCATATCCCATTTAATAGTACATATTGCGCAGTCTGATTGTGTTGTTTCTTGCGACTCACGACTTGGCTAGCTTTTTCTTCCTCTCCATTTGCTGCTTTGCCAACATGGACGACCTCCTTAGCCCCGCGCCCTATGGACAGGCGTGTGGGGGATGTGCACGAGCTAAATCCAAATGCTTCTTCAGGGTCGGTGGATCTGAATGCCAAAGGTAAGAGATCTGTTGCTGCTGCACAGTCTCCATCTCCATCTATCTGGGCCTCTTGTTGTGACGTAACGGGACACTAATCAATTGCATGGCCATTGTGTAAGATGCCATCGCCTTGGGAAAGAATGTGAACCAGCACGCAAACGAAAGGCCGCGACGCCTCCGCCGCATCACCAGCAGCCACAACAAAAACAGAGACTACAGGAGCCAGCGCTGTCGAGTCGACTGGAGGAGAAACTTGATAGCCTCGTGTCGCTACTGCGCTCCCAGGCCACCGATAAACATGGCCAGGCTCATGCACATACTCCCAAGTCGCTTACTGAAAGCACTTCTTCCCACCATTTTGCTGCGCACCCTACGCCGCCCAACAATTCTTGCGCAGAGACGACTACAGGAGATAGAGAATTTTCAGGCAGCTTTACGTCCGAAGCCGGCCCCGATATAGTGTTTGATGCAGGTAATTCCGTCATGCGTCCTGTTCGTCCGTCTGAAAGTGGTACCCCGATACAATCGCCCATCCACCGTGATGTGTCGAAACACAACGTCTCTGATCAGAGAGCAGAGGAGCTGTTGAGTGTCTTTCGGCAGTCCTTCATCCCAACCTTCCCTTTTGTATATATACCAGCGCACAAGAGCGCGCGTGAACTTTGCCAAGAAAAACCCTTCCTCTGGTTTGTCATCATGTGTCTCACCAATCCTAATGTGTCAGAGCAATTTGCCATGGCGGACACGGTGTGGGATATTATATCGCAGAGGGTAATTACGCAGCAGCTCGCAAATTTGGACCTGCTCCTTGGCATTATATGTTTCGGCGCTTGGTGAGCTCATCATTCATACCATATTTTTACAACGAGTCTGTCCACCCTTTTACTAACACTGCCATCTTTTCAGGGCACACTACTTCAAGAAGGACAAGCCTTTCATGACTATGCTTGCACAAATTGCCATCTCTCTCGCCACCGAACTAAGTATACATCAAGATTCCTTCTCTCACTCGCGACAAACCAGGTCGGCCAAGATGCTCGTTCGGGATGCAATACAGCGGAAGCCAAGAACGTTAGAAGAACGTCGCACTATACTAGCTGTATTTCACCTGACATCCGCGTGAGAAAACGTTTTCTTTAATTTGCGAAGGTTCCCTTCAACTGACACATGTGTAGGGCGTGGTGCACGTACAGGAAGGTTGAAGCCCTTCGGTGGACCCCATATATGGCCAGCTGCCTGCGTATGCTGTGCGAAGCGGCAGAAACCAATTGGGATCTGGTGCTTGCTACCCAGGTCAAATGCCAAGCCATTACAAACCAGCTCATGTGCGCCGCTGGCGATCAGCCAGCTGCGAACGGCGGAGACCCAAAATCGTCTTCAGCCATGTTTGTAACGTACTTACTTCGTCAGCTCGATGAGATACGACAAAGCCTTCCACCTGAAATATCCTTGTATAGTAAGAACCCACCTTATAATACTCATCTGTCTAGGAAGTCCCAAGCTAAGGAAGCTCATACAGGCTCTGCACAATTTTACCTCTACAGTACCGAGCTAAAGATCCGCGAATCAATACTGACGCGGCTGGCAAGCCATCAAGCCACTGAGCCTTCCGGATTCCGCAGATTGCAGGACCTCGACTCGCTTCTGACATGTGCTGAGCGCTGGCTGGCGGTCTGGTTCGAGATGCCACTTGTTGACTGGCTCGGCGTCACGGTTGATACATTTGCACAATTTACGCACTGCCTCATTATCCTGTTCAAGCTCACGACACTCAGTGAGCCTGGCTGGGACATAGAAGAGGTACGGCGGCGCGCCGATGTCCTGGAAGCGCTCGATCGCTCCTGTGCGACAGTTGAGCGTGTGCCCACGGCCGTCGGCATGGTGGATGCAGAACCAGAGTCGCCGCACAGGGGCCTTTTCTTCAAGACGACATATCTTTTGCGGAGCATCAAGGCCTTGATCCTGGCCGAGATGACGCCAGATGGGGTGCCTAGTGCGGCGCTGCAGTCGCCTGAAAGCGGCGTCGTTATAGATGACTACAATGAGGGAGGAGGTAGCTTGATGCACTATGGCACAGAGTATATGTTTATGCGCGACGAGCTCGTGCTGAGCTTGTCCGACGAGCCTTGGCTGTCGGACATGTGGAGCTCTTCGTGGGATCGCATATCTGAGGGAGCCTTCAACCAGCCCTTGTTCGCGTAAGCAGTTGCTAGTCTACCTGTCTATTCGCACACATGAGAAACATGAACATCAGTAATTGCTCTGCAGTTTCACCAGCGCAAGGAGCTCCTCTAGTCTCTGTTTTATCATTCTTTCTCGTGATGACGCATGATCACCCTCGCAAGCGAGCGTAGTGGGGTGAGCTGGTCCTAATACCCTGCTGAATCCGATTTAAGCGGTAAGACAAAAACTCATCTGCTTCTTGAAATCGATGTTGTTCATTGTAGAGGTAAGCAAGACAGTAAATACTCAAAAGTGTGTCTGGAAGCTCCTTGCCTAGCGCCTTTCCGCCGCTATCAAGGGCCATAAGTCCATCTGCTCTGCTTCTTCGTATTTTCCTTGTTTTCTAAGCACCCAAGAAAGCTCCTTAACACTCGAAAGTGTATCTGGATGGTCCTTGCCAAGCACCTTTTCGCGGCCATCAAGTGCCCGTCGGCCCACCTGCTCTGCTTCTTCGTATTTTCCTTGTTTTTTAAGCACCCAAGCAAGCTCCTGGACACTCGAAAGTGTATCTGGGTGGTCCTTGCCCAGCAGCTTTTCGCGGCTATCAACTGTCCGTCGATTTAGCTGCTCTGCTTCTTCGTGTTTCCCCTGGTCTCCAAGCATCCAAGCAATACTCTGAACGCTATCAAGTGTATCTGGGTGATGCCTGCCTAAAACCTTTTCACGACTATCGAATACTCGTCGGTGCAACTGGTCTGCCTCTTCGTGCTTTCCCTGGTCTATAAGCACCCAAGCAAGATTACTAGCGCTTATAAGTGTGTCTGGGTGTTCCTTGCCTATAGCCTTCTCACGGCTATCAAGTACCGCTCGGTTCATCTGCTCTGCTTCTTCGTGTTTTCCCTGTTCTTCAAATACAAGAGCCAGATTGCTGGCGCTACGAAGTGTGTCTGGATGGTCCTTGCCCAAAGCCTTCTCACGGCCATTAAGCGCCTGTTGGTGCAACTGTTCTGCCTCTTCGTATTTTCCTTGTTTTTCAAGCACAATAGCAAGAAGGTCAACGCTTATAAGCATGTCTAAATGGTGTTTGCTAGGTGCCTCGAGTGCATCGCTGCGGTCTCCTCCCAGAATCTTTTCTCGTATCTCCACAGCCTTCCTCAGCATCGCCTCTGCCGCGCCATACCGTCCCATCTGCCATCTATACCATGCCGCGTTGTTTAATAACTGCGCCCAATTTTCCTTTCCCTCTGTGGTCAAAGGCTCCGTTTCGATGATCTGGGCAATGTGGGGCTCCAGTTGTTGACATGTCATCCAATTCTCAGGTTCCCCATCCGGATGTTCCTTTGACATAACCCGTAAAAAGACGTGCCTCCACCTCTCCATACTGTTGACGGAGGAGAGCCAAACACGCGTACAGAGCTGCACAAGCGCATGCATCTCATATGCATTTTGCTGGGCAGTAAACCCCACCAATGAGTAAGCTCGTAGCGTCTCTAGATCATCGTCTAGTAGTTCATCTGAGTCTGTACTGTCGTTACCGTCCCCGCCGTCCTCGAGAGCACTGCCCTCATACTCGTGTCTCCTCATAGAATAGTTGTGGAGTATCCATTCCGGGATGCCTTGCGCATGGAAAAAGCTCATGAACGAGAGCAAATTTGCTGCCGACCGTCGCTCCTTTTGGATCTGTTCGAATGTGATCTGCCATGTCAACACTACCGAATTTGTCGCTTCTGCATCACGCCGGAGATCACCATAATCTTTGTGGAGCAGACTTTCTCTCTTCTTCTCGCTACTTCGAAACTGTTCGAGATATGTCGAAAACGAAGTTCGTGGCCATCGTCGGAGTATATACGCGGCTGCTTGGGTAATCGCCAGAGGTATATAGTCAAGCGTACGGACTAAAGATGCAGCTGGCTCGTCTTCGTATTTATCCCGGAGCTTCTTCCGAAGTAGCTGCAATGCCTGACCCTTATCCATCGGCTGCATTAATCGGATACTCCAGCTACTGCCCACTAACCGTTGCGCGACATCTCTACTCCGCGAGGTAACTAGGATCCTGCCGTTGCTGCTTTGCGGTAAAAGCGACGCCAGCGGTCGTTGCGTCGATGCAGCCGTTGCGGTTTGATTGTGGTTTTCTGGGTAAAAAACATCGATATCGTCCGCATTATCGACTATTATCAACCACTGCCCATTGTCCACGTCGAACAGCCAGTCGTATACTAGACGAAGCACATCGACACCGGGGTCGTGGCGCCGCGGCAGCTCCAGCGAGTCTGCGATGCTGCGATAGGCTTCCTCGAACCGCGCTCGCGTGCCGGCGTGTACCCAAAACACATACGTGCCCGGTGTCTGCTGTTGAATCCGATGCGCATACTGGATGGCCAGTTGAGATTTCCTTGATGTTCACATTAGAGAGGAGTATGGATGGCGCAATCGAAAAACTCACCCGACACCTCCTAGGCCGACAAGCGCAGCACGGCTGCCTGCCGGGATAAGGGTATCGTGCAGCCACGTCGCAACGTCTGTCCGCTCGATAAAGTCGGGATCGGGTAGAAAAGGTACCGTTGAGAAAGGTTCGCGCCGTCGCGGCAAGTGACTCGGTTCGTGGATGGTGACGTTCAGGCTGCCACCGGAGACATGGTTCCCCGCAAAAACGTTCCGCCCAGCGACCTCCCCAAACGTCGTCGGTGGGACCATCGGTTGAGATGTGGAAAATCGACAACACCAAAACTGTTTGTCTCGAGGCGCAATCTATAGCATTAGATCATGATAGCTGTTTTCATGGGGTGTGAGTTGATTGACATGAAGAATGAGGCTGCGATGGGCATCCCATGATCCCCAATCCAAGGTGCAGCCGAATCGGGCAGCAACCCCGGGCAGTCATCATGGCCCCCGCACCGGAGCCTCGTCTACCCATCGCTTACCTTCGGTCTCGTACATCCCCCTTCCTGCTCAACCTCCCAGTGCTTCCAGTTGTTCTTCAGGTCTAACATTATTGAAACCTTCACCATGGCAGAACTCAACCCCGCTTATCATATAATAGCCTGGATTGCCCCTCTAGAAAACGAAACGCAAGCGGCTTTGCATATGCTAGATATGTAACAAGCACCGTGGCCGATTCCCCGAGGCCCGCAGCGGCGACGATGTATTTTGCGCAAGTGGTATAAATGAATATAATATCATCATTGCGACCCTACCTGCTGGTCAAGAATATGGCACGCGTTCTACAGCTGCTCTTCCTAACCAAGTCAAGAAGTTCTTTCCAAATCTGCGGTCCGGCCTACTCCTAGGTGTCGCCGCTGGTCTGCCAAAGGCTTCCGGGACTGGGACGCGAGACATCCGTCTAGGCGACGTCTTGGTTGCTCTTCCCGAAGGAAGGCGATAGCGCTGGTCTGATCGCATATGATCTTGGCAAAGAGACGGGAAAGGATGCATTCCGGCTCTTACAACTCGGGTACGTCCTGGCTACTACCGAGACAATCGTGAGATCAGCAATCGAAACCATTAAAGACAATGCGCCCAATTATGCATCTGTTTTCTTCTATTGTATAACGAGATAAAGGATGGGGTGCATGCCAGTGGGACATTTGCTGACGCGGTCAGAACAATTATATTGTCGTACTGACGTAGTCAGTACCCACCGCAGATCACCTGCGTGGGTATATAGTCGCTCTTCAGCACCTCTCTTTTGTAGACTAGAGATCAACTCAGACAACTTTCAATGCTTCCTCGATCATCTCGTCTTCAGTTCCCCCTTCATATATCGGCTCAGGTGAGATATATCCTTTACGAGACAAACGAGGACGTTATCGAACAAGTAGTAATTCGAGAACAAAGACCGGATGCGGGACGTACTCGTGTGTGATACGGTTCTATAGGCTCCGGAAAAAAGCTTATAGAAGATGTACAGAAGAGAAATGAGCTTAGAGATAAATACAATATCATTGGACTGGAGATGGAAGCGGCCGGGACAATGAATCGGATCCCTGTCGGAGTGATTCGAGGCGTTTGTGATTATGAAGATGAACACAGGAATAAGGAGTGGCAACCATATGCCGCTGCTATGCAGCAGCATATCCCAAGGCTATTCTGCTCGAGATTCTGCCCAGGAAGATCGAGGCGTCGGATACTTAACAGCCTCACGAAAATTACTTTACTGGGCCGATCTCGGGGCGTAATGTATTTGCATGAATGACCACGTCGGGAGGGACGGTAAATTTGCACTTTTCTTAGAAAGAGACGTCAACAATGTTCAAACTTTGAAATAGACCCCACCATCCTGATTAATAAGATAATAGAAATGTTGCATCCTCTGACGGTACAGTGGGTTTAAGTGCCGAGCCACATGTATCCACTACTCTTGGTACTCCATTCTCATTTGTAAGAATCGGTTCCGCGGAACCTGGAAAAGCAGAATATCAATAAGATGGATCAGCCGAGATCATTATAGTCAGCAATCAGCTGCCATATCTGACTCACCCGCACGAGTCGGATACGGTAATTATTGTAGCACCAGGTAGCGTTCCACGGAACCACGAAGACTGATCTGAACCTACATGGGTAATCAAATGGCTCTGTGCATTATAATTCACCAACTACTAAAGACTGACTATTTCTAAGCATTGCGAAAGACGCAACTGTATTAAAAAACTGAAATACGCATGCATTCGCTTATATGAAAGTCGAGAAACCAGTATACAACAAGACAATTGCTCCCATCTGGACAACGTCTCTCCATAGCCAATCTCACTGTCGAAATGGGTATCAAGACCAACATTACTCTTTACACTGAGGGAACCCCCAACGGTCTAAAGCCTACCATCTTGCTAGCAGAGCTAGGTTTGGAGTACAAGGTAAGAGATAACCGTTACTTAGTGAGATGATTACATGAGGAATGGTGATGGCTAAATCCGATGAATTGGTTTGCCTGCAGCTCGTACCGATCAATATTATCGCCCAGGAAAACAAAGAGCCCTGGTTTGTCAAGATTAATCCAAACGGCCGCATCCCGGCATTGACCGACGTCGACGAGAATGGCAAGGAGATTCGCATCTTTGAGAGTGGTGCCATTCTGGAGTACCTCGTCATCAATTACGACAAGGACCACAAGGTCTCGTATCCCCACAACTCTCCCGAGTACTGGGAAACTGTGTCTTGGGTATACATCTTTCTACTTCCATTGTGCGTCTATTCTAGTGGGCTTTCCGTGCTGATGCAGAATCAAACTTCTAGTTGACGTGGCAAATGGCCGGCGTAGGCCCTATGCAAGGACAGGCAAATCACTTTGCTAGTAAGCATTTCAAGACTTTCCAAGTCACCATCTCTGAGCTCTCTTACTCAAGACACTGCCTGACTTTCCTACTACCAACTAGGGTCCGCTGGCGAGAAAGTCCCTTACGCTCTTAATCGGTACGTTCATGAGACTCGGCGTCTCTACCGCGTCTTGGATACTCACCTAGCCGCGAATTCGTCGGGCTACATTATTGGCGACCGTGTCACCATTGCCGACATTGCCATTTGGCCGTGGGTCGGCGCTTACAGTATGCAAAACCTATATAAATAATCGACTTCCCATCTTGTCCGGCGTTACTAATGCTTTTGTTCCTTTCCTTAGAGTACAGTGGCCTCTCGTCCATTGACGAGTTCCCCCACGTCAAGAAGTGGTTGTACACACTCCTCGTGCGCCCGGGGTTCGAGGAGGGCCGCAACGCTCCCGGCCCCCACAAGTACTTGGATATGAACTCAATGTCCGAGGAAGAGCTCAACGCCATTGCAGCATCGCTCGGGACTTGGATTCTCGATGCGATGAAGCGTGATGCCGAGGCATGAAAGACTTGGAATTACATGAACAAGACAAAGTTGAGAAGAACAATCTTCATTTGTCCATGCGTGTATCAATTAGTATGGGCATATAAAGCCCGAGGGAGGAGAGCTTGATACTTGGATATTGTAGAGCTAGTATAACCACAAGCACTCGGTTGGCGTCAGACAGTATTGGTGACTATAGTATACTACTTTTCCGCGATGCAATTGTCGATTGTAACCCCTCTTTTCCCTTCAAGCGCACAAGAAAGCTCGTGCTCCAGATCCTCATTCCAAGACTCGAGACCATGGACTGGATTCCATCCTAGTGCTTTTGCGACCGTTCCAGTGGTTCTGCGGTGGCCTCCCCATCCAGCCTCGGCAACTTGTAGGTTTCCAGCAGTGGTTGTTGCCGCCTCGGCGAGATCCACGGTTCTCACCTCTGGTTCCTTGGGGCCATGGACTGCATCATTTGGCAGTACGCCCCGGTCAAAGGCCGCTTTGGCACAGTCCATGGCAATGCTATACATGGTCTTGCGACCATTCGTCGGGAATACAATGCCTTTCTTGCCAGAGGGCAGGTTGCTGCCGCCATTGCGGAGGACTTGAAGGATGCAGAAAATGTACCAATCGGCAAGGTCGGCCACGTGCACAATGTCGATGACGGCGGTGCCTTGGTGCAGGGCGAAGCCGTAACCGCGGGATAAGACGTAGGCCATCAGGATGGGAATGACCAAGCCAGCCTGCTGGAATAGTCCCTCGCCAGGGCCAAAGATGCATGGGGCCTGAACACTCAAGACATTGACTCCCGTCTCTATTCCCGTGTCCAAGACCAATAGCTCCGAAGTTCGCTGTGGGTATGGTCCCTCGTTTGCTTCCAGCAACTTCTCAAACTCATACACTGCTTCGGCATCGGCGTCGTGGTACTCGGCGTCGGGTCGCGCCGTACCGGTCATGGGCATGTCTGCAATGTTTGAACAGCCACTCGTGTGAAGCATCCAGGCAGGACCTCTTCTTTCTTTACGTTTGGCCAGCCCGCGAACCAAGGCTTCGGCACTTGGAGGATGGAAGCCTGAGCCGGCGTTGATTACAATGTCATGTTGGCTTGCGATTTCAGAACTATCAAGGATGCCACGATCGGCACAAGTCAGTGCAACGATTCATGTGAGGATATCACGCCACGAGGAGGGAGCTGGGAACTTGCAGGAACTCGCCTTGGTTCCAATCGTCGAATTCGACGCATTTGATGTGGGATCCATATTTCTCTTCCAGTCTCTTGGCCCGGTCTTCACCGCGCACAAGGACTGTGATGGACACTTCACCGAGCGTAGGTAGAGCATTTGTTATCAATCGATGGAGTATCGTGCCACCAATGTAGCCGGTGGCACCGGTAATGAGAATTCTTGGTACAGCCATAATATACAATGATCTTGTCGTCGACTTGAATCTTGCGGACGCCACAGTTGTTGTCAGATTAATAGTGGGTAGTTGAGCATTCCCCGCTCCAACATAGTGGAGATCAGAAGCAACCAAATCAGGGTTACACCATATCGGGGATGCATGGGGTAACAAGTAGATATGATCGCATTATGATACCTTGTGCGTGGACCGTACCTGCTCCAAGTCTCGGCGGGGCGTTGACCACTCATGAGTGGCCGAGACTCGACGTTCTGGCTGGAGATACTTCGGTACGAGACTAGAGGTTAATAAAGCCTTGCGAATGACATTTATTGCTAGATATCTGCGGTGTTTCATTTCCTCTGTGTGTTTGTCTTGTCTTGAAGGAAAGCCCTTTCCTGGTGCTTAATGACCTGACGAGTGAATGGTCTCCTTTTATGAACATTAGCCACACCATCCTTGATAATTTTACATGTCCACTTGTATGCCAGTGGTAATTTCTTTTTTCCTTAAGAAAAAAGGCCTCCTATAAGCCGTGATTAGAAATTTTGCCCAGGTTGACATTTTCTACTTTGCCTAGACTCCCAATTCTTTAATGGCGCTGGTGCTTCTGGGCCGCGTCCTCACTTTCATGGTCTCCTTCGTAACAGGTGTACCTTCTCCTGGCATGAAGAGGAGTCTTGGCCCCAATACCCAGCTCGCCCACTGTACCCTCCCCGCCCGTTGCATCACCAATACACCCTGGCATCTCATCAAGAATGCTGATGCGGTCGGACTTGCTGGCCACTTGCAATGGTAATTCGTCTGCCATGACAGCTCCAAGCCTCATCATGGCCAGAGAGTCGAGCTGTTCTGTCCAGCGTGGGACTCGTGCGCTATAGAGAGCTAGAGCCGCCAAAGAGAGCAGATCGAGGCAGAGCAGAATCGATATTACGACGATGCCCCCGAGACTAATGGAGGGTTTTTGCGTGTCCTCGCCCATGTCATAGTTGACAACCAGCTTGCCATAAGGGAGGTGAAAGTTGTCCACCATCCAGACCTCATTGGTGATAAATGCGGCGGCTTCAAAGGCATTGACAATCCTCCTCTCATTAACGTCACCGGCAGGGACGTAGTAGCTAGAATAGTCACTTCCATTGCCTCTGTTGAACACGAACATCCAGAGGTATTCAGCAGCCAACTCAACAGCATCAAGTTCCTTATTGGTGGTGTCTGTGCTAAATTGTAAGCACGGGTCCAGGTGCTTAAAAAAAAGGCTGGATATGTCTTTTTCATCATCCTCCAGTGTTTTGGTTAGTTGGAGAAAGGGTACAGTCGCTATGCATTCATTCTCATTTTCCAACTCGTCTTGTCTGTGTGCTTCTAGAAAGGCTTCCTGGTCATGAACCACATCGAGAAACGAGCCAAGGCCAAATAAGGCCATGGCCATGATTAGCAGCGGGCCTTTCTTGTAATTCGAAATCAGGCCTGCGGTGGCATTGACGGCTGTCCCCGAGTCCGTTGATTCGTCACCCGGCTTGAGGTTGGTGGTATCCTTTTGTATGGTATTTTGCCTTACCCAGGATGGTCCGATGTACTCGCTGACCGTCTTTTCAAGCAGTGGACCGGCAACCCCACCATTTGCGTAATTGGGCAGCTCGAAATAGCCAACCGTGGTATTCAACGTAATCTTGCTCGAGTACACGCCCGATTGAAAGTTTGTGACATTCCAAAGACTTATCTTCAGATACAACTCCTCGCTACAGTTTTGCCTGTGCTGCGCGCCCGACCAGGCCGGCTCACTCATATTGCCGGGCATGCAAACCTCGACGTTGTAGGAGGCGGTGCGATTGTGCTGAGACCGATCCTCAGAACTATTGGAGTAGGTGACGTAGAAGACATCGGGGTTGTCGCTACTACACTCCGGGGGAAAGTCGTCAATATCGATTAATTCTCGACTCGCTGTCGAGTTGACCCTTGGTAGAAACTGTGACAGCAAGCCAGTGGAGTACCCTGATGGAAGCTCTGCGAAAAAGGGATCTTGCATGAGATGTAAACTAGAAAGTAGATTCTGACTTCCGCCAGCTTGGCATGTCCCCAAAGTTGAGTACTCATACCCACTGCAGTCCATACTCCCAGACCACAATCGCGCCTGGACGTCACTAAGTGTCGTTGATGATAGCCTGCTTCGGGTCAGAGCTACTGTGTAGTCATCGAGGGAATTGCCCCGCATGTCCTCGCCATGGTCTGACATGTCCATCAAACCGAGAATAGATGTCCATTGGGTTGGTATTTTGATCGTCTCTGTGGTGAGAAGGATTTGTTGGAGGGGAGAGATTATGGCGCCTTCCTCGATCTTAGCAGCTAGTATTTCAATGATGGAATGGTGGAGTTACCAAGAATGTTCAGAAGGATGGCAACAGCCAGAAACGAGGATCCATAGCGCTTCCATTGACCGCGCAAAACCTTCGAAATGAGTCCCACGTCGGCCCAACCCTTGTCGGCCAGTACCATGGTCTGTCGCATAGTCATATCTCCACTGTGACTGGGCTGCTGGATGAAGGCAACTGCTGCGCGGCCACATACAGCCGACGTGAGCGGGATGGTCAAGACGGCCACAATGCTCTGAATTACCCGGGCCGCCCTGTACCATTCCTCGTTATCCAAGTAGAATGCATGAAAGTGATTTTCGCTGTCCGTTGTCTCGCTGTAATGGCTATCGCCAGCGTTCATGCTGTAAGAGTTGCCGTGGATGGGCCTATATGCAAGTACGCAGGTGACGACCCATGCAAAGACTGCCAGCGTAGCATAAATTAGGACGAGGAGAAATATCTTGTTTGAGCGATGTATGGTGGTTGAGTACTGTATTTTGGTTGCGTCAGAGACCCTTGCAGAATCGGATCGACTCGAGTGATCTTGCTCGTCTTCGGCCACGACATCGTCTACTGCCGCGACTTCATTCCTGGGCTTGGCCTGATCGAGCAGTTCGTATGATGAATTCATCGCTATGCTGTACAGCTCAAGAGTCTAAGCAGTACCAGATTGCCCGAAATGGTGATACGTTTTGACCTGATGAGCGCGCAAATATCTTCACAAAGAACCCACCAATGTGGAAAAGAAAAACTTTATTTCATCCTCTTTCAACACTTGATTGAGCGTAGAAGTAGGACCATTGATCACTTTAAGTTAAGGCAAAAATTGAGAAAGGGTTCCAGGGATGATTGGCTTAGCAGGGATGGTGGATGAGTAACTGCGGTCAATATTGGACATCTAGGACTACGGAGTGTATCCCATTTCGGCCTCAAAGATTTGCATTTGCTCCCCCTAGGGGCGTTAGTCAGGTCATCAGCAGGATTCTCATTGTGGCTCTCACACCATTCCCCCACGTGTCACGTCCGTGATAAATGCCGCTCATGATACAGAGTATCGCTCAATGGATATAGGGAATGCGCCTATAGACTTTTTATACTTTTATTTGCAAGCTGCAATCATTTAAACTCGAAACAAACTAGCAGAACTAGGTCGTCTGTCAAATGTCGCGCAGCTGGATCGCCGAATGTAGCTCAGCCTCTTGCTGGGCAAACTGGATCTTCTGATCGACCTGTTCCAACGGTTGTCTGCCTAAAAATGTCACTACATACACAGTACGTCTATGAACCCCTGCTGTTGTCCTGTGGCATGGGCTTGCTGGTCAGCAAGTGGATCTGCCCCATTAAAGAGGCACAGGAGGCCTAATGTAGTGGAGAGTCTGATGAACATGCCCAGTCGTGCGGCCGCGTCCAGTGAACCGGTTTATCCCCGGGTTTGGAGTGGTTTGGTTTTTTGGATTGTTATCTCCGTACGGGGCGTATTCCCTTAACAAAATGACCTACACAGTGCCTCTAACATCTTACGGCCCGGCACGGATAGTACAATACTAGGTTTTTTATTTTAGCCTTTCTGCGGTGTAATTAATTTTCAATTACTTTATGATTCTTTATAAACACTCCTCTACATCCTGGTTAGTCTGCTATAATTCGAATAAAACCCTTGCTTCATATACATCTTTAAGGCTCTTAATTCGACAAATTCGTGCAATCGTTAGATGCTTGGATAAGATGTATCCATTTGTGGGGGCCGAATTATCCACAAGCGGCACCTCTAAAGCACACAGATTAGGCACTGTACCCACGAATCCGGGCTTAGGTGGGCGACCACGGAGGAATTTCTGGGGTTTTCAAATATCTTTGTTTTCCTTCTATTTTTATCTCTGCTATCTTCCCTTCCCCCTTTCGACCTTTGCTTATGTGGCCGCGAGTGCGACAGCATGATATAGTCCCAATCGGTCTTACATATCGCCTTTCTGTTACTTTACTTGCTCTTTGACGGGCTATTTTTTTTTTTAAAAAAAAAAAAGGTTGAGAGAGAAATAATCAAAGAGCAAAGAACCGTGAACTGTTTGCAAAAACAGTCCACAATATCTTCGAGCTAATATGTGTCACTACTGAGATTGGAAACTGATTCAACTCGCTCATGAAGCAGGTGGACTATGCCTACTCGCAGCGGCCTTAAGAGAACTAGGAGACGAAGGAATTTCAGATATGTCAACGAGACGATACAAGCGCTGGCAGAAAGCAGTAAAGATGATGACCCAGTGATAGTTTGACAATGACGAACCGCCAGACAAGTTTGTGCTGGATACTAGAATACTGCCCATGGGACCGTATAGTACAATTCCAATGTTTTTACCAAAATTGCGCAAGGTGAAGACAATTGATCTTGCTGTATGATCATCATTTACAGTCGTGCTCATTTTCGCCCTCGAGGTTGTAAACATAGCTCTAGAAAGACTATACGTGATGGCAAAGTTTATGAAGAGTGCACATACAACAATAGTCGCCATTCAGTGCAATTTATTGCAATTGAAGCAATCTGGGACAAAGAAAAAAAAAAGGCTACCTATCTAAATCTCCTGGTTTGTTGCCTTGATAAGTTGCTGGAACATCATTATCGCTGCACAATTTTCGGGTTCGCCCGCCTCGGCTCAAGTCAATTTTCTCAATAAGCCTGTGCCAAGTATGTCGGTCGCTAGCCATCGTAGTAGTAAATTTACCGGAGTAGTTCTACATTTCTAATACCTGCTAATGTACGGGCGTATCTCCAATCTCACGCATCTTATCTTCCAACTTCTTGGTCATCATCTTGACCACATCTGCATACTTCGCGTCATGATAGACGTTGAATAGCTCCAGTGGATCTTCCTGGCAATCAAACAACTCCCACTCCTTGTCTTCTTCCCCGCCAGGTCTTGCGCCTTCCAGACCAAAGTCTTCATTGTACCAATAGATGAGCTTGTACCGCTGGTCGCGACACCCGTAATGAGCATAGGCATTGTGGATGATGTCGTTGTGCATCCAATAACGGTGGTATGCAACTCCTTGCCAGTCTGAAGGCGTTTCTCCCCGAAGAAGTGGGCGAAAATCTACCCCTTGCATGTAATTCGGGGCAGAAAGGCCGGCAAAGCTCAAGAATGTCGGAGCAAAATCCACGTTGCATATAATGTCATTGCACGTTGACCCGGCCTTGATCTCCTGTGGATAGCGAATCAAAAACGGCATCTGGAAGCTTTCCTCGTACATGAAGCGCTTATCGAACCAACCGTGCTCGCCGAGGAAGAAGCCCTGGTCCGAGGTGTAGATGACAATGGTATCGTCGGTCAACCCTTCGGCATCGAGAAAGTCGAGCATTCGTCCGACGTTATCATCTATGGACTGGATAGTGCGCAGATATCGTTGCATGTACCGTTGGAACTTCCACTCTGCAAATTTCTCCTTGGACTCAAAGGTGAAGATGGTGCCGTCGTGCTTGTCGACTAGTCGGATGCTTGACACGTCTTCCGGAGAGGGAATCTTGCGGTCGTTCCACCACCACATGTCGACCATTTTCTTGCCGATGCGACCACTAGGTCCCTCGGGTTGGGCGATGCCCAAGTCGTTGTAGGTGAGGTCCTCGGCTATACGCATCTTGGCCACTTTGGCCGCCTTTGCGCGGTTCTTGTCTATGTTGAAGGTATATTAGCTTCTTGTTTCCTTCGTCTTTTTAAATGAATGGGCTTTTTGGCTCTTCTTACAGTCGTCCGTAAAGGTGTCGGGTAGCTTCACGGGATCCTTGTATAGGTCTTTGTGCTTCTCATCGCATTCCCAACTGCGGTGGGGAGCCTTGTGGTGACACATTAAGAAGAATGGCTTCTGCGTGTCTCTCACCTTCATCCAGTCCATGCACTTGTCAGTGATGATATCAGTACAATACCCAGGTATGCGCTCAGTACCAGTCGCTTCAATAAACTCTGGGTCCCAGTACTCGCCCTGGCCGGGTACGACGCTCCAGTAGTCAAAGCCAGTAGGCTCGTGGGCTTTGCCCTCGCCGAGATGCCATTTGCCGACCATTGCTGTCTGGTAGCCTCCCGTCCTGAGATGCTTGGCCACATTGGGTAGATGCTTGTTGAGTTTGGAATCGAGCGTCATGACACCATTGACGTGGTTGTGAGTACCACAGAGAATAGCTGCTCGCGATGGAGTGCAGATGCTGTTGGTCACATAGCAGTGGTTGAACAGCATGCCTTCCTTGGCTATGCGATCGAGGTTTGGTGTATGATTGATACCAGCTCCGTAGCAAGAAATTGACTTTGATGCATGGTCATCTGCCATGATGAAGATGATGTTGGGTTGTTTTGGAGGCATTTTGTCAGATTTGGAGTGTATGAGTGATCTGTGAATGACAAGTCGATCGAGTAAGTCAATCAATACGGGAAAGAAAGGGTGAATAATGTCGCGCAGTGCAAGTTCTTAAAAATAGAGAATTTACGATTCAACAAGTCACTGAGGAGTTATGGAACCACCTTCCCGACATTGCTCCTCACATGCAAGCCTATGCAACCCACTTGGACCCGGACTTGACCCCGATTCACGATGCTAATATACTCCATATGGTCATGCGAGCGCCTGAAAAACAGCCAATTGTAGCCGAGTACGACCGGCTACCGAGGACTAAGACCCGACTACCGACACCAATGCACTTTTAGTGGAGATTGACCCATGATGGATGATACCCCATGAGGAGGGCATACCTCCCGACTTTTTGCCGTTCAATAGTTTCATCAAGAATTATGAGGTTGAGATACCACTTTCAGACAGGCGTATTGCCATCAAGTCATGGGTCAAAATCGGCAAATACCCGGCAGTTACGAATACTCGGCTATCTTGACCTGTTCGGCCCAAAGACTGCTCAAGTTGGGGAGCTTGGCGTCCGACTATGATATGCCGGGGGTCAAACCCCATGGGGTAGCGCAGACTTCAAGAAATGGCGCCATCTGGAATAGAGGAGTATGGGAGCATCGGGGTGATGTCGTGATCAAGTGAACAAGGAAGTCGTTTGCCGGTATGGCTCTGGGCGGGATGAAGTATATATTGAGGTCATCTCCGGTGTAAAGTCCATGTAGCTTAGGCACTTAGTCGTGAAGTAGAACAAAAGTCCAAGCTCACACTCATCTCTACATACCCCAAGACCTCCCAGTATGGATACCGAGCAGAAGACGACATCAAGGCTTGAAAATGGCCCCACCATTCAGAAACTGGACTTTGAACACGAAGAGCAAGCTGCTCAGGGGACCGCAGCTGAATCTCGCATGTCAATTTGGCAAGCTCTCCAATTCTACCGCATTGCCGTCATGTGGAGCGCCATAGTCAGCATGGCTACCGTCATGGAGTCTTACATGTTGATTCTTGTCAACTCCTTTTACGCATACCCCCAATTTCTGCAGAGATTTGGTGAGAGACTCGCCGATGGTTCCTACACGATCTCAACCACTTGGCAGATCTCCTTGACTATGTCCAGCTTGGTAGGCATGATTGGCGGCGTCTTTCTCAATGGGTTGCTTATTGATCGCTTCGGCTATCGGCTGACCATGATGTGTTGTCACATCCTTCTCATCGGCTTTGTTTTTATCATGTTCTTTGCAACCAGTATTCAGGTTCTTTTGATTGGTTGCTTGTTCATGTATGTCCCTGGATAGCTAAATCGCTAATAATTTCATGTTTGCTGACGTTTTCTTTGCCATTTCTCAGAGCGATTCCTTGCGGCGTGTTTGCTGCTGCGACGCCTGGCTATGCCGCCGAAATCTGCCCCATGGCATTGCGCGGGTATCTTACGAGTTTTGTCAACCTGAACTGGGTTATAGGCCATTTGATTGCCGCCGGTGTGCTCATGTCCAAGCTCAATGACCCAACGGAGTGGTCTTGGAGATTGCCATTGGGCGTGCAGTGGATTTGGCCGCCATTCCTGGCCGTTGCCTGCTGGTTTGCTCCCGAGTCCCCTTGGTGGCTGGTTCGCAAGGGCAACACGGAAGAAGCAACAAGGGTACTCGAGCGAATCATAGCTGCACCAGACGAGACAATCAGCAAGTCTAATATTGTTGCCATGATCAGTCATACAATTGCCACTGAACGCAGCATCGGAATCGGCAGTACGTACTTGGACTGTTTCCGGGGAACCAACCGTCGCCGTACAGAAATCGCCATGGTTAGTTGGGGTTGTCAAATCCTTCCCGGATTTGCTATTCAGAACTATATCACCTATTTCTTCACCTTGGCGGGGCTTTCCCCTTCCAACTCCTTGAAATTGGCGCTGGGAAACTACAGTATCGCATTTTTAGGTACGGTACTCTCTTGGTTCGTTCAGCGCAGGTTTGGACGCCGCGACATTTATCTCACGGGACTGCTGGTCATGGTGTTCCCAATGGCACTTGTCGGATTCCTCGATTTGGCGCCATCTTCCTCAACCATTCGTTGGGTGCAGTCTGCATTACTTTTAGTCTGGTTCTTTTGTTATGGTATGCTTATTTACGGAAATTTGCTTGCTTAATCCAGTTGCTGACTGACTTCATAAGGCATCACGATTGGACCAATTCCTTACGCTATTGCTGCAGAGGTCGGAGCTGTCGAACTTCGATCCAAGACCATATCACTTGGCAGGAATACGTACTACTTTCTCTCCATCCTCAACACCATTGTTGCACCCTACATGGTGAGTCGTTTCCATTTCGGTTTTCTTACTCGAGCCAAAGACTTCTACTGATGCACCCTACCAGCTCAATGCTTCGGCCGGCAATTTGAAAGGCAAAGCCGCATTTCCAGCAGCAGGGTTCACATTGATTCTGGCTGTTTGGGCATTCTTCAGACTTCCAGAGACCAAAGGACTCACACCTGAGACGCTCGACCGTCTGTTTGTTGCAAAGGTGCCTGCAAGACGGTTTCTGGCCGAGTCTGGACAATATTCCAATGCAGCAGAGTAAAGAGCTCGCTCCACGAAAGAGTGCTTGTAGTTATCAGCGATTTAGAATCGAAAACAAAAGCGGCCCTTGTGTCTCGAGTTGTCTTTAAAATTCCGAAAGCATCTGGTTTCGAATACTTGTAAGAAGATCTACTTCTTTCATGCAATCTAGTAGATTTTCCATATCTGCTATCGCTGAAAACACATATCGCGCCTTAAGACAGACATAGTCGCAAGAGGCAAGTCTTTGCCGATAAACGTTCTAGATGTTCATTCCTGTCTGGTGTCGCAAGGGAAGGGTTAGTATCCATGGATGATTATTCTGCTGAGAGCCATGGACCTTGAGTGCTGCATTGATCAAAAGAGTCCCACGCGACATTACCTCGGTGAATATGAGCCTGCGAAGCCCATTTTCCAGTTCCGATTCGACTTGATGGAGGGCTAGTGCATTCCCTTGTTCCCAACTTGCAAACTGAGCACCATAGCCCTCGTGAATATGTCCAAAACAATGGAGAAGCGGTCGGACGCGTTGAATTGCGCGAAATAAATGAAGGCAGCCGAGGTGTTTTGATGACTCATTCATGTCCAAAGTGTAAGGCTCGCAATTTTCATCGTGGGGAAATCGTGGCGGCCCATGGCTCATGATAATGTCGACGTTCTCCGGTATGGGATTGGCAGCCGCGCGGTTATTGAAGCGGTCTTCTTCGTGTGGGTACCCGAATGCATAGCCGTTGAATTCTGGTGTGTATGGCGATGCGTAGACAGAAAATTCTGTACCGTTTTTGAGTTTGAAGATGTGTGTGCCCTCTTCGAGGTACTGGACTCCATTCTCAGCTTGGCTTTGCATTAGTTTCTTCATCTGGTCCGGTTCGAAGGGGTCGTCGTCATCGTCGAGATTGGCTTGCCACCAGTCTGGATCCAAAGATAAGTCATGATTGCCAGCAATGACGAGCTTCAGCTCTGCTTCGATCTGTCCTAGGAGTTGAAGCGCCTCTATATACTTGGATTTGCCACCAGCCATCGTCAAATCGCCGCAGTGTACTCCAACAAGAGATGTTAGCAACCATATCAGATATATCTATTCTGCCTATTAGGGGGTGGGGGTTTGCTTCTCAAGAGTGGAATTTGAAAATGAGTTAAAACAAATTACTTACAAACAACATCGACACTGGGAATAGAACCTGGATCTGGAAAAGCGTCATTGTGGGTATCTGACAGGACTAAAACCTGAATGTTGGCCATGTTGATGCAATCTAAAAATAGTAGGAATGGATGATGAAGAATCGATAAAGCGGAGAGATGCACTGAAATGAGAGCGTTGATCAAGAGACAGTTCTATTGAACAGGCCATAGCGTAGGATCGTCGCCAGAAGATTGTGGTTGCATCAGAACGAGCGTTTGTCAACGAAGAGTTGGTACTAGTAAGTGTTGAAACACAGTTCAACATTGCCGACCTTTCAAAGTTGGTTCAATCCTTTTGTACACATCCCTTTCGTGCTCCATCAGTCAAACCTTCTTGTTGACCGAGAGACTGTCTATGAGTCACATTTGGGTGGAATTTAGGTTCTTGTTCCTGAGCGTGGCCCCGAAGATGGAAAAGCTAAGCGGGTGAACGCAGCCCCTTGATGGTGCGCAACATAATACAGCACAGTATGTAACGAGCTCCTTCCTGTTCAGTACAGAAAGACTATGGTTCATATTTCAAAACAGACGACTACCTAAGCAAGCAAATGCCCAGTACATGAGTCATGCTTATCTTGTTCATATGCACCGTCCAAAATCCTTCCGACTTTTACCCACTCTTCCCGATATTCCACTTCTTCCAGTGCTGAACATCAATATCCAACCGCCCAATCTGTTTCTCGTCTCCAGACTCCTTGTCCGAGGCGACTCGAAAATTTTCCATGGTGACGGGCTTGCCCTGAATGGTCCAGTCCTTGATTTGAATGTTCATCTTGATATCCCTGTGAGACGATACCACAGGCTTGACAAAACTGGTACCCGCGCAATCCTGCAACGGATCCGTAAAGGTGACGTTTTCGATGGCGAGGAGGTCGTAATTTTGCAAAGGCGTGATGCCGAGGAGTGCCGGTGCGGGGCCCTCGCAACGCACATTTTTCACCGTCAAGTGAATATTCTTGTCGAGCTCAGGCAAGGTCTTTTGATCGCTGTAAAATTCCGATGCGCCAACAATGGCCGCCGGCACCGCCTTATCCTGCTTGATGTATCGGGTGTGGATAATCCAGAGATCTTCAATCTTGACATTCTGGACATTCCTCCCATCCCATCCCATCTGGATGACGGGGTCATTCGGTCCTTTCCAGATGGTTGCCCGGGAGACGGTGGCATTGCTGTGATATGTCTTGATCGCATCGTCGTTTGCATGATAAAATACATCTTCGACTTTGCTTCTGCTGTAGAGCTGAGGACCGTCGGTCTGGAAAAAGTAGGCGCCTACCTGCTTGTAGTCGCGGATTTCTGAGCCACACCTGTTCTCTGGCTTGAAGTCCATCGTGTTGAAGGGCGGAGCAGTAATGGTTGGGCCTGCACAGTGCCAGGTCTGGTTATCGACTAGGTGAAGGTGCCACCACATGCGGAGACTATACTCATCGTCTTTATGGGAGTGGTAACTTTTGAAGGGATTCGCCTGATACACGTAATGCTCACCGGACAAGACACCATGCCCAGTGGCATAGAAGTCATCGGCCTGAGTAAAGTACTCGATGGCGCCCTTGACGTAGGCGCCAGCGTCGAGATGGACCCAGTTTGTTTCGGGCGCGAGTCTGATGTGCATCTGACCTAGTCGTGGGCTTTCACCTTCTTGAGCCGAGTCCAGCCAATACACACCCGGAGGGAAGTGCAGAATCTCCCTGGAGCCCCAATCGCCTGGCCGGATAGGACCCGGCGTCATTCTAGTAGTATTTGCCTCCGTCATGCGCGGCGTCATTGCTTCCGGAAGAAACGGACTCGCGAAAATAAGGAGCGCGTTTTTGGGCTCCTCCCCGACCAAGGAATGATCTTTGTCTTTCTCCTCATAGACATATGTTTTACCGTTGGAGCGATATTGGATGAGGTCGTCCTTGAACTCAACAGAGAAGCGAAAGCCCCCTTCCTGCCAGGGAATTGTAATCAGGAGTGCGCCAGTATCCTTCTCCGTCTCTGTCTGGAGATTGTGTATGCCAGGTCGAATGGTCACATCGGTGCCAAGTCTGATGCATGCGTCGCTAGAGCTGATTCGGACTTGGACTTTACATTTGTACAAGAACTGAGACCAGGCCATGTTGATGAAGGCTTCTTCCTCAAATGCGGTAATGCCATCGCCATCCTTGTGTATGAAGGGTTTGGGGTCTGGATGGTCCAGGGGTGTAGCAATCTTGCCATTTCCGCTCCGTGGGATCGCTTCGTAGACGAAAGAGTCAAAGAACTCGGCCTTGTCCTGCTGGAAAGGGCGCACTTGGACACGGTATCTGCGCGACATGCGCACTTGGTCTTCCCTCACACGGGAGGTGGTGTTCACAACTCCAGTCTCATGCCACCAAGTGTGGAGTTGGTCCGTCTTGGACAGCCGAGGATGTGCTGGCATGATGATTGCAAGGATTTCTCAAGAAATGGAAACAAATTCTAGATCATAAAACAAGATATCCAGGGTCAATAATGTAGTTCTCTAACCGTGCAACTCATACAGAACACATGAAGGGCGACGTGTTCTTTAATAGCTTGAAAGGGACCAAACCGAGCATGCTTGGAACTGCGCATTCAAGACTGCCCCTCTAGATTTCAGCTGACCGTAGTCGCGGATTTGCTTTCGCGATGTTGGGCTAAGCTACAAACGTATACGACGTGACGAAAGATATCCCGATCTAATAGCATGGCTGGAAGGACTTGGCAGCATTGCCGGAGTCTAGTCTCGCGCCGACTCAGCTGAACTTTGTTAGCGCCGGCGGCAGTTTGCGCGGGGAGCAGGGGAGCATACAGGCTGACAGGGAGAGCGGCTGGCGAGGCGGGTCGCGGACCGTTCCATATGTGGACGATGGCACAGAAGATGGTTCTGTGGCATGGTGATGGCTAGAAATGGAGGTTTTTAGTATCAATAATTGGCAGACACGATGCCAAATGCAATATCAAAAACGCATGGGCGCGCCTCCCATCAACCCCGCAATGCAATGGCTGTCAAAAGTGGGAAATAGCCAGGTTCAAACGGGCTCCAAGGTTTGCTTTACGCTACTACACGTGTGCTTAAAACATCCTTTACTCGCTCGGGTCGACCATTTTCTTCAGATACGATTCATGTCTTTCCGTCTGTCATCTCACAATATTGGTATTCGGCCCTGTCACGGCGCGTGAGCGCGTGAGCGGGCAGTACATATCTGCACCATTTTACAGCATATTTATTACACTTCTGGCAGCCTATAAGTATCAGGCCGGCATTACAAATAAGGCTATTGACAGGCTGTGGCTCAGGAGTTATAATAAAGGACTGAGCAGAACGGTAGTGATATCTCCAGTTCCGGGGTCTACCCGGGGCCTGACACACTCGTTATCCGAACACAGCGTTCAGCGCCAGAACAATTTATACCAAAACAATGCGTTTAGTCGACACGTCAACATTTCTCCCCGAAAGTCTCTTCCATTCCTCCCCACCCATCCACGTTGGGACAATCGCTGGCCCTACGAGCGTGTACCTATCCTCTCCAGTTTCTCTCACAATCAAAGGGATTGCTACACCAGCTACAAGGCTGATGATGTCCCCTTTGTGTACCTCTCCATATCCTATAGCGAGGTCCTGGTTTTTTGTGAATATCAGACGTCTCTTAGAGGCTAGACGATTCACAAGTTCGACCAAGTATTTCTTGGCACCTTGATCTTTTACAAGACCTGCCACAATGAGCTGAAGTAGATCTGCCCTACGCTTTGGTAATTTCATTTCCTCTGCGGGCATATTTCCTATGCTTCTTGTAACGATACCGTACCAAGCATCAAACCCACGATTCTGATGGACGATCGGCCTATTATGAGTTCCATCTTCGAACCGACCGTGAAGAATTTCGAAGATCGTACCAGGCAAAGGCTGGTACTTATAATTGACTGCAAGGTCCCTAGTAGCATGCATGAACCAATCTGAAAAGGCAAGTATAGCTTTCCCTGCAGCAGATCGCACGTCGACTCCTTCGACAACGTCTGATTCAAGAAAATCGACCAAGCGAGGAGAGCAGTATGCTATGTGGTCACTCAGGAAGCCGTGAACTGTAAGCTTACATCCATCCTTTGAGACGTCGGCGTAAGGTCTCGAATTCGGTGTTGCCTTGCTTTCGGCAGTATTATAGATATACTTTGGTGTAATCGGGCAACGGGGTTGGTCTTTCCCCCCTCCCCAATGGCAGACCCATGAAGGTGCAGCGAAACCCTCGCCCCGGCGGGTGCCAGCTTCGACAATCAGTCCAATGAGCGATTGGTCTGAGTCGAGTAGACTTTTTAGAAAGTCTCGATGTACCTCAGCGGGGCTTTGCGAATATTTGACATCCGGTATATCAAATCCGTTTGCTTTTAACACACCAAAGTACGCATAGACTCCGTCGTGAGAATTGGAAGTGTGACGTTCTGAGACTGCTCTCATCAGGGCTTGGAGTAGAACGTCCGAAGATCTTTCAAAAGGTTCTATTAATGCAGCTGAGTTTCTGCTCATTCCGGTGGCGACAGTGGCATTACCAATGAGTGCCATTCGCTCTTCCTTCGCGTTCGAGCCGGCAATCAGGGGCATGAAACATAGATTCTGTATCCCGCGAGATGTTCGCTGCGGGAGTGTGTTAAATCCTTGGAACACAAACATAGCGAAAACAGCGTATGTTAGAGAAAATAGCCCAAAAAGCCACCAGGGGATAAATTGGGTGATCACCGCAGGATTCGTCTGGAGAATGAGTAAATAGAGAGGCATGAAGAGGATTGCCCAAGCGAGCATCTCTCCGGAAAAGTGGACCAAGTGCAGCCACGAGAGTAAGTTGTCTGTGTGACAGAATGAAGTATCGTCGTGGTTCTCGGGTGGTGAGGTGATATCACGAGAGCACTCATGGCCGCACGTCTCCAGGTAGTGTCGGAAGGTTAGGTCACTTCTGGGCAAGGCACGGTCATGGTCATGATATGATGGACGTGGCCGTCGCTGGAGACCATTCCAGTGAAGAGGTCTTCGAATATTCATCCAGGCCGTACCAAGGCTATGCGCTGGGCTGTCCACGAATAGTTTCGGAAACCCAATCTCCAAAGCTGATAAGAAGTCGATCCATGAGAGCGTCATGTCGTCATACAGAATTGTAGGATTGATAGCAAGTACTGCTTCTTGGAATGTCCAACCGCGCGTGAACCACTCACACTCAAGCAGTTTTTGTATCTCGCCTGAGTCCTGGGGCGGAGGCCAAGAAAGCTCAGAGCTGGTCAGTCCCATAAAGCCCATCACCAGTCGGTACACTGCGACATATATTTATCGTTAGTTGGTGAGGTGCGCAAAATGGAATGCCGTGGAGGAGCGGACTGACACATGGAGCCTTGATGGAGTGAGTTGTCCCAAATATACCTAGCTATCTTCCTCCGTTTCAAAGCCAACATCAGTCGGTAGCCTGCAAGAGATATCTATTGTTAGTTGTCGGAGTGCGCAAAACGGAATGTCATGGAGGAGCGGACTAACACACGGCGCCTTGGAGGAATGCGTTGTCCCATATATACCTCGCTCTCTTCCTCCAACGTTCCGAGCGCCTCATCTCCAAGATCCACGGCAAACTCTGAGTACTCCGCCGGAATCTGCATGCGGGGAAGAATTGCTGTAGCGTCGCGAAGCCGGCATGAATCGAGGAATCGCCTGAGCCCAGCCATATGTACACAGGATCAGCCCATTGATATATCTCTCCCATTAGCGGCAACTGGTCCGCCTTTTCCGCCTTTGCAGTGGGTGTCTCTGCTTGGTTGATACACAGCGCATCGACCCAAATGGGAAGTGGTGGACTTGACGTGGCGAATTGGTGTCGTCGTATAGCTCGTAGCGCCTTGGCACAATTGGGAGTGATGTCGATGCTGGCCGTTCCACATTGGATCGTCTCGTTTCCACGGAGTTTCATTTCCCCCCAGCAGTAGGATAATGCAGCGAATCTAGGAGAGTCGATGAGTTTGATCTTGACTAGAGTTCCTTGCAGTGGCCGAGACTCCATTTCCTCAGGTGTCGTGGTGGGAGATGGGAAAGGATCTAGGTAAAGGAGTCGTATCATGCCGGCTCCTACCGGCAGACTTATGGAGTCATAGAGCTGGTCCGGAGAAGTGGGTGTCGACTGGCTGTGTTCATTGTAAAGGGTAGAAGTGTGATATTCAGATGCATTTTGGCTATAGTTATATGGATACATGTGAAAACGAATTATCCGGACGCGTGCTGGGCTGATCTGCGGTGGGTCAATTACTACTGCAGCCAGCGAGAAAAGGTTGTAAGAAGGTTAGGTACGGTTGATCGTGGTCAGGCTGAGGAGCACCGATCATCATGGAAGGGCCTGGTGGAAATGTTTGATGGCCACGACCAGAGGTGAGAAAGAAACGAGACCAAGTGATGAAACTAGGGAAGAAAAAAGACAACCTGTGTTGCATGGCAATGTTGAGGAGGGATGAGTTTTGTATTGGAAAAAAGTCTGACAGGGCTGGTGTGTAACTACCTCGCTTCTGTCTGCGCCTCTCACCCCGCTCCAGGAACCGCAACGCGGCTGATGGTTGGTGGGCAGCGTGAGCTCCAACGGGCAGGAGCTCCGAGCCACGTCTTCACCCCCTTGCAATACGTCGTGATTCGTCCACTTGCCAACCACTTCCAGTGGAGATAACAATGCGTAAATACTACATTGGAAAAAGTGTTAGCGTTGAGCACTATAGGCAGTGGACCACAGATGGCGACAAAGTCACCGTTATCGCAGGCGAAATGAATTCCCACTCATTAGATTCACGACTGTAGGTGGACAGGCCTCAACCTGATTTCAATCTTGTTCTTTATGAATGCAGAGGGTCGCATGCCGACTTCGTTTTGGCTGGAATAGTAACACTAACTGGTACTGTATCCTTGCTTGATGGCCATCCTCGACACTGAAAGATCGTACAACAACACGGCTAGGAAAGCGAAAAAGAAGTCATGCCAACCCAGAGACTAGAAAACTATTAATTCTTGGCGTTACTAAAGTTCATCCTCGCCAGAATTTATCATGAATTTTTCTCACCCGAGCCGATGTGTGAAAAGGGAACTAAAGACGAGATGATCGAGGAAGCATTGAAAGATGTCTAAGTTAATCTCTAGTCTACAAAATAGAGGTGCTGAAAATCGAACTATATACCCACAAAGGTGAGATGCGGTGGGTGCTGACTACGTCAGTACGACAATTTTGCTACGGCGTTCACAGACAAGTGCTGTCTGACGGCCTTTTTGACCATATACAAGCACATATGTTCCCGTATTGTCCTGTGTCGCACACCATCCTCCAGCTATTGTTTCAGATTGCTAACTGGTCCTGGCTAGCTTTCATGATACTCCAGCTCTCCCTAATGCAGCACCTTTCACTCGAGGTACAGCTTTCATTCGTTGGGCATGAATCCTCCCACCCGGCTAACGGTCGTCGGGACAGGCTCTCCACGCAGCAGCTTCTCCTCCACCAATGGCTTCATCATGTCCGCAAACACCGCAGAAGTAAAAACTTTCTGGTGCGCCTCTGAGTCGACAAATCTTTCAATGGCGATTCTTAGTCAGCATCGTGGCCATGACCTACTGTACAAGTACGAAAGAGACGGTGCGCAGCCAGCACATACCTTTCATATAGAGTGATGTTGATCTTATTAGTCGCGCTGTCCTGCGACTTGTAAATAACAAGTTCGAGGCATCCAGGTACGTCACGCCTGATCATAGCGGCGACCGGCTCAAGGACGGCGATGGCTCTGTCGTACGCGCCATCGGCGATTGGCAGTGTCACAAATTGGGTGAAAGGCGACATATTGATATCTGTGTTATAGCTGACAGATTCATTTTGTAAGGCGGTGGTTGCGTGTACTTTTATATCAATGGCAGGATTCAATGAGCACTTGTCTGATTGGTGCATGTTCGCCTATCTGACTGGGATTGTTCTCTAGTCTCGATACTGTAGACTCCACTCTATCTGGTCAGCATTCCTTCCCATTTTGTCATGGTATCCAATAAAGGATCGCAAACCTGTGTCTCTTGATTCATTTGGGCCCACGTGTCGGTATAATATGGATCATTTTGCTCGAGTAGCGTCGTGCGCTTACTGTATGTCGAGGGTGATTTGTAATAGAGATCCATAGAAGCTCTCGGACCGTTCCATCATGCCGGACACCGTAAATTGGACCCATCTTACCCGTCGGTAGTGCAAACGCCACAATAGCCCTTCAACTTAACTTTGGAGATCCGTCAGCCTCGGAGTCGTGAACAGATTTCCTTTTCTGGCATTTATTCCCCAATATCACTCTCGTGGAACCTTGCTGTAATGTCGTTTATTGCGTTCTCGGTTGCTTCGCTCATCATTGCCAACATAGACAGAGAAGTAGAGGACTTCAAAGCCTCCAGAGCAGTGACCATCCAAAGCGATGTCAAATACACTCTATAATGAGACCAAGATTTATGTGCCTGATCGTTAAAAATTTCCACTGACTGTCGTATAGCATGCCAAGCGATTTCCTCTGGGTCATTCTCAAGCTGGGGGATGGCATCTAATGGTGGGCTGAAATCCTTTCGTCTGATACCTAAAACAACATATATCAACGCCAGTTGCATGTCATCTCTGAAAATGTTTATAAACCACTGCATATCTTCTTCAGCTGCAAATCGCTGGTGACAATTTAGCAGTGCCAGAGAACACTCGAGAACTGCCCAATGAGAGTCTGGATACTTCTGGAGGTATCGCCCATGCCGCGAGTACGGCAAATGCAGTGCAAGGAGAGTCCGACGTATAAAGATGTCAAGCATACTTGCATGAAGTAAGTCGGGAAGGTTTCGTGAGTTGTCCAGTGAACGCTTTAGAAGATTGTCGCAGTCTTTTACTTTGGCGTAGTCTATTTCTGGGTTGACAGAGTTGCTTTTTGTGATGATTAATTCTGCCGTGGGCAAAACCTTCGTGAGTAAGGTGAGGAACTCAGAGCTGCCGTCATTCGATGGAGATGTTTCGCCATATGTGCCTATCGGATTCACGTCATGGCTGTCTGTCCGAATAAGAGGAGGAATCCCGGTGACGGCAGACGTAAATAAATCAAGCCATACTATCGTAGTCCACAGCCTATTGCGCATCATGGCCTCAGACTCGGGCATGCCCTCGAAATGACGTGAATCCCGGTGCATTGCCATGGACATGGCAGCACGAACCACGAGACCCACAAGAGCAGGAGACGTCGGAAGATGACTGACTGTATCGTGCAGTGCAAGATTTGCAATGATTCCCATACAATGTGCTCGTAAAGAAGGGTAGTCGGGGACATCCCAAATGATGTGTTTGCTAGCAATTGCGGCAGCGTCTAGAAAGACCTGACATGATTCGGCTTGGTCCACTCCTGGAAGGCTCAGCTGAGATGAGCAGCAGCCAAGAGCCAACATCATGAACATTTGCTGGTATGATGAGTAGGCGTGGTGCTCATTGTCCTGCTTGAGCAGATCAAACTCGCCAGCAATGTCGACCCGAGGTTCCCACATTGGGAATAATGTTTCAAAGGTCTTCAGGTAGGTCTCTAGTAGCTGCTTGGCCACTTGCCTGTCTGGCAACAGTGCAGAAAGCTCCGATTTGTCCAGCATGACATTTGCCGAAGATGAAAGTGATAAATCACCAGCTGCCATGCTAAAAATATCCCTGTGAGCTTGTGACTTGCGGTATATTGGCTTAAAGTCGGGGGCAATGCCAAATGCGTAGTCCTTGGCTTCCTCAAACTGTGATGCAGTTAGTGCTCATCCATCCACTGCGCAAAATGAAACAGTGCCCTAACCTCACACACAAGCTGCGCCCATCCAGTTGTATAGGTACTGAGTCGAGCTGTCCCATGAACATAGGCAAATATTTGCGGCGTCTTGGCACCATCACCGTCGACGTAATTCGTGTGGTTCGTGTCTTTCCGAGCGACCGATGAGGATGCAGCAGTTTCATGGTCGAGTGTCTCTTGATACTTGCAGGCGCTCTCACGCCCCGCTAGCTTGCAGCTGCCACAGGGCCGGTCGCGATCGCATTTGACGCGGAAAAGTCGGCAGCGCGCGCATGAGAGGATCGGCTGTCTCTTGCGCTTTCGATTTGACGAAGCAGACGCTGACCAGACAAACAGTTGCGACTCCATTTTCATCCGGTCAATGAAAGCCTTTGGCCTATTGTAATGATGGTGGTTTGAAGATCGGCAAGTGGTGGAGTGTCTTGGCTGGGATTCCATTCAGGTACAGACCTCCCTGGAAGTCGAACCCGATAGGCACTAACCTGGGTCGTTTAGGCACCTGAACCCACCACCGAAGCCGGAGTATCCGTGCTGGAGATGAACCATTGCCCGAGTAATACACATGTACGCCCAGATTTGAGAATGACAAACCCTGAACATCAATATTGCCAAGAAGAGAATCAACTGGCCTTGTGACATGCGCGCGAAAAAGAAAGGATTATATAGGTAGCAACTGCGATAACGAAATCTTCTGCCAAGGGGATACCTTCATCTATCGTCCCAACTTATCCTGCCAGGCCGAGTGCGCCGTGCCCTGGACCCAATTCATGGCAGCGAACGAGGTGCTCTCTACAGCATCACGACCACGGCCAATAATAGTCAGCTCGTACTGCTGTATCAGACCATAGATATCAGGGCAGCCCTCATCCAACAAGTCTACCAATTGCATGCCATCCTTCATGGCGTGATTACCTCCTTCTCCCTTGACTATTTCCCTTTGTCAACATCACATCAATTCATTTCTGGGAAAATTCACTTACATGGTGGCATCTTGTGGGCCGCATCACCTAACAGTGTGACCCGTTTTCCGCCAAAGCCTTCAGGAGATGGCAAAAACTTTTCCACTACAAGGGAAGGAATGAGTAGATGTCTCGTGATGATCAATGCACTGAGGACGACGAAAAAAAAAAAAAAAAAAGTTGCTCACTGTAGAGTGGAGGCTGGACCATGCCCTCAGGGTTGGTCTTGTGAATCAGTTCACGAAACTGCGGGTTCAGTTTCTCGACGGTATCGCGCGCGGCCTGAAGCAACTTGTCCTTGCTCCAATCCTTAGTTGAATGGCCACACTTGATCTCGGCTTCAGTGTGATGGCGGAAAACCATCCAATAGTATTGCGCAAAGTTGCCATCGCTTGAGATGTTGCGCAGACCCACAAAGAGGTACGCTTCGGGCGACTGAACGATATAGAGCGACCGCGCAAAGCGTGCCCATTGGCCCTGATATTCTTCCTTTGTGAGTGTCAATTCCCCGGTATAGACATCCATGGGAAGAACTTCTAGCTTTGACTTTTCGGGCCCGAGGAGCTGCGATCGTACTACAATTAGTCTTGATTAGCTGACTGGCACTTTTTTGTTTTCTTCAAGTACACGAAAGAAAGATATTCTTTATAACACTGACCTGGGCTGTTTGCTCCATCAGCACCAATCAACATGCACCCTTCAGCCATCGTGCCGTCGGTAAAGTACACCTTGACCGTCTTGTCCACCTCTTCGAACCGGGAGAACATCTTGTCCCATTCTACATCAATGTTGGTTGCGAGCCAAGCACGGAGCTTGGGTCGCTCGGCGCGAATAAAATCTTTTCCTGTTTTGGCACCGAATCGCTGAACTTCATTTCCATGAAGTCCGTCAAAAATAGCACCTTCACTCAGGTAGCCATGTTCGTACATATGGGAGACGGATTCGACGGGGACGAGATCGTTGGGGAAATGGCGCTCAAAGTCTGCAATGATCCTACAATGTAAAGGTGATTGTTAGTGCCAAGGACAAACAACCAAGATGGTAGACCAAAATAGGGTTCAGAAGTGCCACGAACCAGTGAAGAGCAATGTTCCAACCTTGTCTTCGACTGTCAGGCGCCGAGTCTCGGTCAAAGATTCTGTAGGGTATCTGGCGCTTTCGTAGTGCCTGAGCAAGTGCTAGGCCGCCCAGACCACCACCAACAATCAGGATTGGTGAATCCGAGGTTGCAATCGAGTTGAACATGTGTTGAGTCATTTTAGATGTAAAGGCTGATGTTTATGGGTGAAATCTGTTAGATGTACTTCATTTTCCATTTCATTTTCAACATTGCATTATATATCTGAGAATCATCGTATGGGAAACCAGTATAAACCTCAATGTTTCCAAATGCACTACGATTCAGCATGTCGAGTTGTCGTACTACCCATTCATAGAGTGGATAGTCCCACAGCGACTGACCTTACTCCAAGGAGCAAGTTTTGCTCCAAGGGGAAATCTTAGCTCCTAGGAGTAAGATCATCTACCCCCCTGTAGAGAGCCCGGTTACAGGGGACAGGGATGCACTATACTGGATCCTACGGCAAGTCGTTAGTGGGAATGCCGCCATTGTGGATGAGTGAGTAAGGAACTCGCCAGTAAACAGATTTCTTGTGTACCTATAGTAGATGATTTTGTTATGACTGTCGCCGCTGTCGGAATATTTAATTCTTAATGATTAAAGGCAGCATAATGCTCGACACCATAATCTCTTATCCAAAACTTGATTCTCCAACACTTCAATTATTTCAACCACAATGAGAAACGTCGCAGTCGCAGGAGGCACCGGCCGCTTAGGCCTCACGATCGTCAAGGCTTTGAAGCAAAGTGAGCACAATGTGATTGTGTTGAGTCGACGGGTGAGATTTTCTGTCTGTGAACCATGAAATATGCTTCCCTCCTCATCATTGTTTGTAGTCGTCACCAAACCCACGAGTCGCGCCGACCATCCACGTCGATTACAGCAACGTGGAGTCGCTACAAAAAGTGCTGCACGATCACAACATCGACACAGTCATCTCAACAATGTCGCTCTTCACCGAAGCCGAGGGCGTGGCCCAGCTCAATCTCATTGCAGCTGCAGAAAACTGCCAAAACACCCAGCGATTTGTCCCTAGCGAATGGAGCATTCCTCTGCGCAAAGAGTAAGTCTATCACTCGCATGCACCACGGTAATCGGACCTAAATTAACGAATTGCGTGTTCCTTTGCTGTATAGTCACGTCGATAGCCTTCCGAGTCTTCAAGCACGACTGCAAGCCGTCGAAGCCCTGAAGAGATCAGGCCTAGAATTCACGCTATTCTACCCGGGTTGGTTCATGGACTTCTACGGCCTGCCTCACATCGAGAGCGAAATGGGACCATTCCCTTTCGCAGTGGACATTGAAAACAAAGCAGCTGTGATACCTGGAAGTGGAAACGTGCCAGTCGTTTTCACTTACACGCCAGATATCGCCAAAATGGTTGTTGCGAGTTTGGATCTAGAGAAATGGCCGGAACACTCGTACATTATTGGAGACAAGATGACATTCAATGAATTGCTTGCATTGGTAGAAGAGGTCAAAGGTAGCGTTTGCTATACTCTGTTTTCTGTCACGTTTCATGATGCGTTTTCTAATCAGTTTGATACTTCTCAAACAGGAGGCAAGTTCTCGGTCAGCTACAACACTATTGCAGAAATGAAGAGCGGCAAGATCGTTGAGCTTCCGGCCCAAAAGGAATGTTACAACGACGAGAATGGAAAGGAGAACTTCCAAAAGCTAGTGGTTGCCTATGCAGTCTACGTGGAAGCAGGTGATTTCGATTTCCCAGCCGCCGCAACACTGAATGCCACACTCCCAGATGTTAGAACAATGTCAGTCAAAGAATTTCTTTACAATGCCTGGGGAAGCAAGTAGATATTTCAATCAAGATAATCCCAGAGTTATCAAATCTATCATTAGATGAGATCCTTGCCATGACGCGTGCTCATTCGTCATCTTCGTCGGGGTCTAATGCAGGAGTCAATACGTTGTGGCTTCTTCCGTGTTCTTGACGTTTCTTCTTTGGTGGCCGTGGCCTGCCCACGAGACGATGCCTTCTCCACGACGCGCGACTTTGACTGTATCCCTTGGCTTGCATCAAGAACTTTGTGAAGTGATCTTTGATCACTTCTTTAAAGTCCCAGCCCTCGTATCCGGCATCCTTCATGAGAATTCCCCAGCGCTCGTCGCGACTTTGTGCTACGAATGCACGAGCCCTCTCACGATTAGAAGAATCCAGGCCTAATAGAAGGTGAGGCTCGGAGCATAGTTCTTCAGCTTTGAATAGCGGTAGAATCTTGTCAACGACGCCCCACCAAGCTGCCCAGAACACCGATAAAGAAACCCCGCGATACAACATCTTTGCAGTGTCATATATAGACATCAGTGATTCGAGTTGCTCAGAAGCGGACTCATCTTCAGCCCAGATCTCTGCGCGTTCCGCTTCGCGATAGTCGGAATGCGCAACACAGCAAGTATGTACCATGCCGAGACGCTCGAACAACTCTAGGCGACAAATTCTGCGATAACAAGACTGCTCTTGAGCTCTGCTGAATCGCGTTTCCTTGATCCATCGTGATAGGCGTTGCATACGAAAGCGAAGGCGTCTGTCGCATCGACAGTCTGGTCCCAACGGCGTCTCCACGGCTGTACATTTCGACTGACAACGCCAAATCGCGAAAGGGGCAATGCAGCCACTCGATGAGCAATAACATGCACACTGATCGCCAAGCAATTGCTCGTTGCATGCGACAGAGACGCGCTGGTCTATATCGCCTATGAGGCCTACCATCCAGCTGATGTAAAATTGCAAATGAGGCCAGATTGGCTGTCCGTTTCCCCGAAAATCAAAAGTTGTACTTGCACCTCGTTCGATGAACCATGCAACTCCATGATTCCAAGATCGTGTCCAGCCGTGTAAAGTTTTGTTCCTCGTTGAACTTGACTTAATGCAAAATTCGGCTAGTGGTGTGAAACCATGAGCACACTGTGCATCTAGGTCCACAAATCCAACGTCGTAAAGAATCTTGTGAAGTTTAATGCTCTCCCGGGGAGTCCACAGTTCTGTATTGTGAGCACAGTGTGGCGAGCATCCTTGGCAAACGTCGAGCTTTGGTGGTATCCTTATTTTTCGTGCCAATATTGAGTAAATGTCATGCGCGCCATAAGTTGGCATCCAGGGACCATCCAAGCCCATCTCTTTGGTTTCCAGGATGGTCAAGTGGTTTGAGGCAACCCTCTTCAGTTCCCCGAGCCGGTGCTGTAGTTCTGTGGCAGCCATTTGGAATATGACCTTGCTCTTTTTGGCACTTGCCCACAGAAGATTGGGTAAAAATGGACAAAATACTCCAGGTGAGGAAAGAAGGATGGATGCAGATTCGGCATCGCCTAATTCACATGAGACTCCGAAGGCTTCGCTCACTTGACATCCCTGTCCCACGAAGAATCGCAGGCCGTCGGGCCAGCCGATAGCAAGCTCGATAGGCGTCAGCCTACCATGTGAGTGGCTGTATCCTAACTTCTCATCATTGAAGAACTTTTGCAGACCGGGCAGAGATCTCATCAGTATGGCCATGCTCAGACCACTGTCCCAAGCTGACAATTGATAAGCAAGGTATGAACAGCGTTGACAGGAATGTCTTACCCTCAACAATTTCAGGGTATGCTCGTATGGAACGAAGCCAGTCTCTTCTCATCCCAATATTTGATCCAAAAGGCCCTGGAGGATACTGAAAGGTGCTGAGTGATTCGGTCACGCCCTCGTACTTGATAATGTTCCGTATAAATGTAGGGAGTGGGTCACCACGCATCATAAAAGCTTCGTTTAGGCAGTGAGTCGGTGGCCGAAAGTCGGGTTTCATTGCCCGTATTTTGACGGGTTTGGTTGAATAACCTCTACCTTCTACCCCAGTCTCTGCCCATGGGTCAACGTTGGCCCCCTGGGCGATTTCGAGGAGTTCGTTCAATTCAAAAGTTAAGTGATCTACTTCTCGACCTAATAGCAACACGAGGTATATGATCTCCTGGAAAGTGTTCAGCAACGATTGACCCAGATGTTTACGTTAATGTAATCACTGACCGTCAGAAGAGTATTGTTATTCTCATCAACGTCGCTTGCAGAAGCCTGTCCCAGTGAGATTGTTCTTTTTATCCCATGGATCAGGTCTGACATGCACTCTCGAGTGAATTCATGATTCCAGGTTAGATGCCCTGATCCTTCACCTGGTCTCCAAAGCAATGGACGGGAATCACCAATTGCTTCAAGGTGGGAAAAGGTCGGACACCGCGCAACAAATTCATCAAAAAGAGTGAAGAATGGGCTATCCACCCGTCGGACAATAGCTCGGAATCTTAAGGATGGTGTTATAGACCACACCCGATTTCTGCTCGACGCTCCAATGGTGAATTCTAACGCCCCCTGGAGCCATGGGCTCAATGCAGCTACGATAGAGTAGCACCAATATGAGACTTTACCATGGAAAGGGCAATTTTGAGGGGTATGATTCTCGATTTTGAATCCGAGTGGTCCATAGTTCCTGACTTCAGTTATTTTTCCTTGATTGCACTTGCACCTCAGAGATCTGACGGTGTTTTCGGAGTGCTCTGAGTCTTGGAGTCGATTTGTGTGTGTCGTCATAGGGGCGGTGCAATTGATGCTGGCTGTGCCTGCTGGGATATTCACTTCATATGTCGAAGTCTCCAGTTCGGGGACCGCATTACCAGGGGCATGCAGATATGGAATCACTGCCCTGAGCTGGTCTTGTAGTTCGTTGCGTAGATCTTCTAGGAAAGCGGTTCGATCCATAACTTGTTGTGTGCGAAGTTCAGCCTTCGCTTCGTTTTCGGCTCTCACATGCGCATGCACCGCAAGCTTGTAATCGGAGAAAGTGGTTTCAATCCGATCCACCGCAATCTTCAGAGCTTTATGGTCCTTCGATACCTCGGCTAAGTGTTTCCTGACACCACTTATCGCCTCAGTAGTACTAGTAGCTTCCTGACTGAGGAGCATTCGAGTTTCCACTACCTCACGACTTGTTGCGTTTATTTCTTGGGTAATAGTTGCCATTGAACTGTGTAGTTTGTAGTTGTTCTGGTCATGTGTATCATGGAGATGCTGCAATGATTGAATTGTCTCGTTGACACGGGCCGAATTTGATTGAGTCATGTCTCGAATCATGGTAGTGCGATTTCTGTAACAGGATGGTTAGTGACCGACAAACCTGGAGTCAGTGGTCCCAAAAGATTTACTAACCTTAGTACCGACTGTGTTTCTAACCCAGCCATTTGTAAATGGCTCATGAGGCTACTTTTGAGTCTTTCCACGGTCTTCATCTTCTCTTCTACCCTCTTCACTGTTTGAACGGTGTTGATCGACTTCCACAGTCGAACTATTCGCTTTCCAGCGCCATCTCTATGATGTGGGTCACCTAGAACGGTGACCAATGGCTGAAGGGTTTTCTGAATTTCTTCCAACGCTTTTCGAGCCTCGATCGCAGGCGTTGAGAGCTGAGAGTACTGGTTGGTAGAAATGTAAGCATATGTGGATGTGTCGGGGCGCAATAGTTCATTGACTAATGCAAGCTCTCGATCTATGTAGTCAAGAAGCTGTTTGGTATCTTTTGGGATATCATGAATCTTTCGAATGAGATCAATCGTTTTGATCAAGCTTTGGACGGCTACACCTGCAAATTGGACGCTGGCTGCTGCCACTCCGATTGTAGAGAGAGGATCCATCTTGTTCCTGCAGAATTCATGTAGCTCATCGAAGCAGCCGGGGAAATTGCTGCCCCTCTCAGAAGCGCAGAAGGACGGCTGCAATCGCCGCTAAGGTTGTTACAGGAATATTGTTTAGCATCAGGCTTCAAGACTGCGCGGGAAATTCTCAAATGCAGACAAAACAATTCTTTTTAGCAGCATGGGTGGATTGCTGGTGTGCTTTTCACCTCCAGCAGCAGTGTACCATGAACCCCGATGAATCTGTCTCGGAGTTTGCCTGTGTAAGAACGCAACGGCGAGTAAGAGTGTTAGAATGGCAATGATAGGTACATTCAATGTAAAAAACAGAAGCCTAACCAATCTCAAGCAAATAGGCTGCGCATTAGTAACTATATCGCAATTCCTTGGCAATGACAGCTCATCATAGCCGTAAACCCGCGTCGGCGAATTCCCCAAATAGGCAATCGGGAGACCCCCCACGATATACCCCTGACAGCCTGACCAAAAGTCCTAGCTGAAAGCACCATGGATGCGACGTGCTAAGCCATGACTGGTCGAGATGCACCCAGCAGTTTCCTTCAGTTGTGCATAGCATCTACAAGCTCACTTTGGGCCTCGGTCTGCAAATATTGCAATTCCTATTACAAAGATAGCTCTACTGCATAAGTCCTCGGCCAAATCATTGGACTCGTACTGCCAAGGCTGCAGACAGATCCATCTCACACTCATTGATGGCCGTTTTGTATAACAGATACTTGGTGTTATTGGGGGCCGACACAGGCACACTCTGCTCAGATTCAATGCAGACGCATCTCTAGCTATCTACCTCCCTCTGGTCCTTTTGAGGAATTTATGATTCATTAAGTTTGCATTCCGATTCAATTGTAATAAAACGAACAGGTAGGTATATTGCTACTACTTTTTACCACTATATTGTACCGTGAGTATGAACGGAGCCATAGTACGTACTAATCTAGCACAACTTCTTCTTCATGTTCCTCATGTCCCGCGTATGGATCTGATCGCAAGGCTGAACCATGTGCATAAATGCTCGGCCGTAATGACTAGGACCCAGTCATGGTCTACTCCTCCATAAGTCGGGGGCACAAATGTTCTCTGACCAATGGCAAGCCGGGGCTTCTCCGAGTTCGCGTACTGAAGCTTCCCGGTCCGGGGATCAAACCAATGCGCAGTGTAGAGGGTGTCTAGGGATTGCCAGCGACTGGCGAGTGCACCGAGGTCAATCTGAAAGGTGTCTCCAAATCCTGTATAGACCCAGTATTGTCCCTTGGTCACCATGCCAGCCACATAGCGAGTACCTGTGTACTGCATCACGTCTTCCTCTGCGTCTGCAGACGACGATATGTACTCGCGGGCTGGCTCTAGGCCGTCAAACTCCTCGTCGGAAAGCAAAGCAAAGAGCTTGCCCACGTAGCCAGTTTGCTTCGCCCCAGGGAGATGAATTCCCTCCTGCCAACTGGTGTTTGCCTCCAGGCCCAGCTGCGGTTCCCAGTAGTGCTCTGGACTGGCCACAAGCTCTAGCCTGGTATAGGTCTGCTGTACTGGCAAACTGCCGTAGGTAATACCGCAGGCGCCGCTCAGAAGAGCGGGATAGAAGCCGTGACGGACGTGGGAAGCATTCCACAATGGCTTGGAAGGATCGAAACTGTCATGGGCAAGCTCATAATGGTTCTCCACATCCATGACAGGGCCTGAGAACTGTTCGCGCATCTGAATGATATTTTCATAATTCTTGTTGGAGTCCCAAGGCGTGAGAACCGTAAAGTTTGCATCAATTCCATCTGGGTCTGGGCTCTCATGGCCGGACTGCACCGCATCCATTGACAAGGTCCCAAGACTGCCGTTTATGTAGTTGTGGCCGTACGGCAGAGGAGTGGGAGGGTCCGAGATCCAAGGGTTAGTAGGCTGGAAAGTAACAAAGGCCTCATAGCCGGCTTTTGCTTCCTCCTCCTTGAATCCTTTCATCATGGCGGCCCAAATTTCGCGAGTATCCTCAATGGGATCGAGGAGCTTGGTCGGATCTCCATATGGGTCGTCCCGCCAGGCCTGGCGTGCTTGAGGGACGTTGTTGGCCCAAAATCCGTTTGTGTCGCCTCCCAGCATCTTGGTAAGTCCGGGATATCTCTTGCCGATATATTGTCCGAGCCAGTACGCGTTGTCTTTGTCAAAAAGCCGTGGTCCAATGGTGCCGTACCACCCTGCACTGACATAACGTCCCCAAACCGGTACGAGACAGACCAAGATATCATACTCAGCCGCTCTGGCAACAACCCAATCGACAAAGGAAAAGTATCCTTCATTTGGTTGCATTGGATCGCTGTTGTCGATTGCTAGGTCGCCAAAGAAGTTGGGGGCGGTTGTGACATTGTACTTTGACAGCAACACCGCCTGTATAACATTGAAACCTTTCGCAGAGCGGTCCGCAAAATAAAGGTCAATATCGGTGTGGTTCATGCGATGGAACATTTCCCAGTTCGTATCGGCGATCCAAAGAAAGGGCTCGCCACTTGTAGTGCGGTGCATGTAGCGGCCGTCTGGGCGGGAAGAGATGGCTAGGTCAGTCCAGGCATACTGTTGGACCTCAGATACTACAATTCCGAGAGCTGATGACGCCAATGCCGCGGCAGCAACTAGACTTGGAATCCGGACCATTATAATGAAAGAGACTGACTGTTCTTGGATTCTTTCAATAGTTTAGCAGTGGGCAACTTCTCTAGGTATGGTCTCTCTTCCGTCAACTCCATGTCCTTATATAGTCACCATTGATCAGTAGAAAGTGTACCCTGGGGCCTGTTTTTGACTATTGACTTGGCTACCTACTTGGTTTATACATACGGAGATCGGACCTCGAGGTGGACGAGCGCAGGCTCTTCCGATTGGGCGAACGGATTCTCCCCGGGTTGACTCTCCGGATCACGAGAATCTTGATTCTCCGCAGTATCTCCGCAATTGTATAGGGCATATGGGGTAGCCAGTTGCTTACAGTGCTGGGAATAAGCCAAGTCGAGCCAAGTCCGACCCCCCGGCTCACTTACTTCGTCAAATCAAGTCAAATATGGCATATGGACTCGCTCCCAAGTAATACTTACAAGTTTTGATCACGTGGTAGTATACGGCTAATTAGAAAGCGTATATTAAAGAGAAGTGGGGTCGTCGGAGGGGTGGGAAAGGGACCTGCCAGCGCATACAAAAATAGGTACCTAGGTACCTAAATTTTTATTTTAAGGTATATTCTGGGTTCAAGTCCAAATAAATATCGCCTAAGAAGAACTTACTCCTAAGTACGGTAAATTTTTGGGCCTTGCTCGCTTGGACCTGTAAGTATTCAAGTATAAGTAAATTTACTTGGCTTGTTCCCAGCACTGGTTGCTTAAGCCCCGGTTATATCCTACTTCATTCCAACCACAACTGTTGCGATCATTGCCGGCGGGAAATCCTCGGCTAGATTTCTCTACGACAGCGCGAAAGCCCAGAGTAAAACCAGGATCTCTCCCTAGTATGATCCAATACTTTGGTAAACGGGTCTGAATCGGGTGATTGAAAGTCGTAGTGCATCGGGAACATGCATCATGAACCGGAAACATGTTGAAGTGGAACAAGCGATGGCAACATTGGGTTCGAGCCGAGTGATTCGACCGTCGTCTATTCCGTAGCTCAGGGCGCTCTGAAATTTCTCAAGCATGACAGCGTGGAGACAATGCATTGCGGACAGTGAAGTTGACAGTCCATGAACTCATGCAGACAGTATTGAGATCGACTACAGCAGAATAGTAAACCAAAATTACTCTGTTTCTAAGGGTACGAGATACATATTTGTTGAATCATCGCCAATATGTTGGCGCGTCTCCTCGAGCCTTGACCCACGCTTTATCCAAAGCCTCGACGACCTCATCGGGGAGAGGTCCTTTTTCACAAGCCTCCACGTTCTGTTCCAATTGCTCGTATGAACTTATACCAATAATGAGACCGTCATCCCCACCTTGAGAAGCGGGCTTCAGCTGACTGTGGTGTAAACACCATCTCAATGCGACCTCGATCAAAGGAACATTATGCTTTTTCGCGATGGGCTCCACGACTGATAGCGCATCAAATGTAGACTGCTTGAAGTAACGGTCTAGATAGAGCTGTCCCAAGCTGCTCGTTGTGGCAAATCGGCCTTCTGCTGGCTGCTCCATTGTAGTGTACTTTCCAGAAAACAGGCCGGCTGCCAATGGATTGTAGATTATTAAAGTGATGCTAAACTTGCGCAAGCATGGGATGAGCTCTGCCTCGGCACCGCGAGCTACGGCTTTTGTTAGTCAAATTCGGCATGAGTGAGCTTCGATGCGTTTTCAACTTACTAATGGCGTTGTACATTCCCTGGTAGACTGTCGGCCGTACAAAGCCTCTTCGTTCGCAGATACCCACGATTTCGGCAACCTCCCACGAGGCATAATTGCTCAAACCAAGCCTGCGAAACTTGCCGGCTTTATACATCTTGTCGACGCCCTCCATAGTCTCTTCGTAGCTGAGGGAACGGTCAGGAGCATGAAGGTAGAAGATATCTGCCGATTCCACACCCAGCCTCTCTAGGCTCGAATCCCAGGACTTGCCGAGATTCTCGGGCCCGTGATCACGCGGTTTCGAGGGCATGACTTTGGAGGCTATGGAAAAGCCCAGTTCCTTGAACCCAGCGTCCCTGGTGAAACCTTCTTGTTCACCACCAGAGTAGGCCTGAGCAGTATCAATTTCCTTGTATCCCTTGCGCTGCAGGTAATTGAGACATTTCTTGTAGTCGTCGAGTGATGTGATGCGTGCGCCCTTTTCTACATTTGGGCCAATAGTCATGGTGCCCAGAATTAGGCGGTTCTTTGGCGAGCCCATCTTGGTGACTTTGTGGTGATGCTGGTGCGCGTTTCTCCTTAGTAATTTCTTGTGTGAAGATGTCAACAAAATGCGAAAGAGGAATTTTCCTGGCTGAGGCAATGACTGAATACAAGAGAGTGCGACTCAGATGCTACCGTGTTAGCAGATGGGCTTTGATTTGATCATAACCTGTAGAGTGACAACCTTGCATACATCCGGGACTTCTCTCCGACATCTCAGCGACTTCCGGGAGTTTAGACACATCCGATGCCCCTCGTGTAGGACCCGGTTAGACTGCAGCACTAAATGTTCGGAGACAAGACCGAGTCACTGACTTCAGCAGATCCCATACCCCGCATACCCCGCATAGGCCGATCATCGTAATATAATTCATTCGTGGCTATAATGGCACTCGTGCCGAAGTTTAGACGTGGGCTCTACTGACCAAAATCTTTACCAGGCTCTATGATTGGCTTGAACGTGGTGACTATAATAGCGGGATGAGTGAGGAATAGTGCATAATTGGTGTGTAATAACGCGACAGCAATCTTGCGACAAGCCATTTTACACTGCCAGAAGCAACGTGTACTTGCAAAAAGAAAAGCGGGTTTCATGGAAAAGGAGCTCGAGTCTTCCAGAGTGTTCCAAGCAACATTTACATTCGACGAGAAAATTTCCAAGACGGGATCAATGACCCATGCCGGGTGCGACTGAGTTGGCCGGCTTTAAAGTCCTGTGGCTTGGGATAACCTCAAGCCTGCTGCGAGCTGGCATCTCTTCTATGCCGTGGGCATCAGCACGTTGCTCGAATCCCAATAAATGTTAAAAATAGCTGGTCTAGGCCCAGAGAATGGAAATTACATATGCTTCCCGTCGAGCTTAAGTTCGGGATCTTCGGCCTTGCTTGAGACATCCATTTCCATGACCACTGCCGAACCTTTTGTCGAAAAAGGTTCAAGTTGATTATCCCTTCCAAGACTTACAGACCTAGAGATGGAGCCTGACTGAATTGTGGGCGTTATATATAGTTTGGTCCCCATCTTTTTTATGTATTGTGCAATATGATGGACTTTTTCTCTTCGGCCTACTAGTAGGACAGTGCGATATCTACTATACATTCTCTTGTACATTTGACTGGTTGGTCGAGCTCGCAATGTTTGGCCTCGGTGCTTTCATACTTGCTATTACTTTGGTTCACGCTACGAGTCAAGATCAGACCTACACTGCGGGTTTTGAAGAATTTAGCAGAAGTCCCCGCGCAAGGCCTTATAGCATCGACTTCTACGAAGGGTTGAAGTGGTATTCTTTCGGTCCGAAATACATCATTCCATATCTCTGGCATTCTATTGACACGTTATAACCAGGAGTCGGAAATGTTTATCACGACAATGGCTTTTTGCCATACGGGTTGATCCCAACATCTGGTAACAATGTTTTATCTTACTACGATGATGGATTATCTACTTTGTCGCCATCCATGACTGTTAATTACGATGGTTCATTCTCTCCATCGTTCGATCTGCTTTCTTTCAATTGGGGCTGCGTAGTGGCAAGATATGGTGCCGCCTTTGGCATTGCGCGTTGCACCTTGGCCGCCTTCGGATACAGAGCTGGTGCGAGGGTCGCCATTCAAACTTTTCAATTTCTTCCAACGAAACGCACAAACACTACGAGTGTGAGTCTAAATGCCATTCTTTATTCTGTTATGCTCTCGTTTTGTAAATGTAGTTCCCTCGGGCTTGTCTTGACCCCAGTCTCTGTGTTTGAAAGACCGAAGAACTTAGAATGTTGACATCTCTTGTGACATTAGATGATACCGGCTAAACTAAGTAATGATTTCAAAAATGTCGACACGATCAAGTTTGCTACAGTGTACGCCCCGTCCGTACAAACGTTGGCAAAAACCACAGTCTTCAGAGGGGCAACATGGTTCGATGACATGAAGTTGACCGTTCATTTGAACACAACGGTATAGTGGCGCCGCTTCAGCTCCAATACCCCAAGGTTACACTACTAACGAGCTCGTTGTGATTGTAGATTGCGGTCTCGAATGACAGTAGATGTGGCCCTACATTCAATACCCGGTGCCCAGACAACCTGTGCTGCAGTGTTGATAGCTGGTGTGGCCCATATTGGGACTTGGGTGACTTCTTTTGGTGCGACCCTACACAATGTCAACCTGGTTGGGGGAGATGCAATCGACCCTCGACATTCAAGCTAAGGATCCGGCCCATGAACGATTCTGACGCTGCACTATAAGCAGTCTACGTTGTCGTTAGTTACATCAGACGGATGCGGAAAATTGTACTGTGCGAATTTCGCTTCTTGTTCATTTTAGATCCATTTTTGGGCTGCATTAAATTTAATAGGTTTTGCGGAATAGCATATCGACTTTTGTCCAGTACCGGGCAAGTGCTTCAAGCTTACTCCTCACCGGAAACTGTGCTTCCGATAATGATCAAAGATGGCATATAGGAGATATATCTCGATCTATGTATTCACACGAATCACAACACCGAGCACAATTATCAGTTTCGGTTACTCAGCTACAGATTCAAGGCTTTCAGCTTTCCCCAGGACATTCATGGTGTTACCGACACCTCTCTCATTACTACTGCTGACAATGGACGTAGACATCCTGGCTGTTCCCCATAGACCCATACTGAATTTTTGCCATCGAATTCCTCAGTCTGCTGACTTTTCCGCACCCTCAATAACCAGGCCGCACGTACGTAGTTTCCTGCTCTATATTCGCCAGCGTGTACCCGTCTCTTATCACCGGTGTGGTGCTTTGGATTGGCGATATTGGTGTATATGACTTTCCTGATTATCATAGGGATCTCAGGCGGCGTAATTGGTGGCAACATTCACAGCGGTACCCAGAAGCTGTATTACTAGCCTGGCATTGGGCTAGGTCTTTCGCTCTCAGTTGTAGCGATCATCATAGCCATACCAAAGTTCGAGTTTACTAGTTTGAACCGGCCTGAAGAGGCTGAGTGGCCAGAGGAAGACATTAGAGCGGAATTCAAGTCGCACCACACAGGTGACAAGAGTCCTCTTTTCAGCTTCATTTTTTGGACGTCTATAGTAGTTATGTGACAGATTCCACTGACAGCGTTCCAACCGATCCTTATCAAGCTGTCTAGAACCCAAATGATCATTACCACGCGATTAATTCATGTACTACACTGGTTAAGAATGCTTGGTCTCTGTCAAATCTGCTGAAGTTGAAATCGGGTAGCGACAGTCAAAATTATACTAGTTTCATACAAATTGCATTGCTTTCATCTCTTAAGTCTGTAATCTATTAGTAAGAGGCTGAGGTTCAATAACATTTAGAGGAGAACAGCTAAAGACAATTTGAGTCAAATGAACGCCTGATCAGTCAGGACTAACACATGCATCTTTGGTTCGATGAGCATCGTCGCAAACCACATTGAGAATCGTCAATCAAAGCACCATTCGCCTGGAATTTTGTATGAACTCGGATGGTCCATGGCTCACCATAGAATAGCCCTACCATTTTATGCTTGGCGCTACGACAGGCTGGACCGGGGATCCGGAAAGACGTTGTCTTGGCTTCGAAACCTTCTTGGCGTGGGGAAGGGCTCGAAGACAACACGCTTCACACCTCGGGAACGCCTAGTATGAAGGCGCCAACCTTTTTGACACATAGTCTAGACACATCGGAACTGCCAGTTTGAGAAAATGGTACCAAAATCCTCACACTATTCACCAAAAACTGCTGCGGCTGAAGAAGACACCTGATCTATGTGAAGAATCGATCTGTGTGCCTGTTTGAGGCAATGGCACTCTACCGTCTATGAAACATACCAAAGACTGCGGCTGAACACCTGATCCGTAAGGCATGAAACCAACTTCTATAGTCCTACAGCCACAATTGAGCACTTGCAAGTATGGGCATGATCTCGAGATATTATGTGTGTTTAATTTGTATAAATATCATGAGTTCCCGACAGGCAATAGATTTATTTCGAGTTTTGATTAAGCAACAGCCATAACAAGTTCAGCCAACTGCACTTTCCTATCAATCAAATATTCAAATCAGTCTTTTTACTCCCAATATCACAATGCTTCAATATCAACTACACAGTGTAGCACTTGCTGCCTTTGCCCTTTTTCAGGTAACCTTGTCTGCTTCGTTGGAAAGCCGGGCTTGCGATTGCTGGAAGACAAAGGAAGATGGCACGCTCTTCACCAATTACAAGACCATTGACTTTCGTTCGCTGGCCAAGTACGCCGGGCCCGTGCCTGCAGTCATCAACGACTGGAACGGCAATGCTCAGGCCGGGCCAACCAGTGCCTATTTCAAGTCATCGACCTGGACCAACTTTTTCGGCTTGCAAAACTGGGGAGACACAACAACTCCCATCAAGAAGATCAATTCTCTAAACAATGCCTACATTCAGAACAACACTGATGGCACTACCTATCTCACCTTTCGAACGTATCGGACCAAGAAGTTCCAGTCCATTGTTGAAGCGGACTCGGTGGCGGATGACTATACCGCCGTATCAATGCGCTTCCGCTCCCGAGTCCACGGCAACAGCGGTGCCTGTGCCGGCGGCTTCACCTACAAGTCGTACGAGGACGGCGTTCAGCACGAGTCGGACACCGAGTTCCTCACCAATGGCCCCACCAACGTCATCCACTACACCACCCACCCAGAGGAGGAGGATCACGACTTTGACGGCACCTTTACGATTGAGGCCCCAGACAGCAGCCGCTGGACCAACTTCCAGGAGCACCGAGTAGACTGGACGCAGCCCAAGACGACCTGGTACCTGAACGGCAAGCAGAACGGTCAGCTCCCCCACGAGGACGCTCAGGAACCTAGTTACCTCATCTTCAACATGTGGTCAGAGGGCAACCCAGAGTGGGAGGGCACCATGGCAGTTGGCGGCTCGGCCTACTTTGATTTGCAGTATATTCAGGTTGCCTATAACACGTCGACACCACGCACCCGTGCTTGCACCAGCACTTGTACGCTGTCATAGGCGTACTTTCAAGTCTCATGTTTGTGATTGTTGTTCATGATGATATTTATAGTCAATCATTTATACGCAATATGGCGAGATATATCCCAGCCATGTATTTTGGGCTTTTTAACGCCAGCATAAATTTATTGGGACAAGGATACTGCGTGGCTTGGAACAAAAAAAAAATGGGGTTTTCCCTTGTCGTTCCCTTTTGGTATACATGAGATTTAGGATAATTTATGGCGTTGCATAGGGAATAAAATACCATTCGTTTGACTTTATTGGAATTAGCTTATGCTAGGAAAAGTTATTTAATCATGTGAGGGCTGGTGATGAATTGGTGTCTACCTCGGTAGTTGTCCAGTATTTATCGAGTAAAATCCCAAATCCAAGGCTGACGTACTCCCTAGGGACGCTGATACCTTTCAGGTGAAATCAATCAATCATCAACAGATAGCAGAGCTTGCGATCCGTTTCCAGGTTGCTTTTTCTTCGTTCATCACCTGTGGCTACGCCCAATGTAAGCGTCATGCAAGTGAATTGGCTAACATGTCAGCTCGAGCCATGCATTGGGTCCAGGCCCTTTAGTAACCGACTAGTTCATGTTTAAGGCTTCAGCCCAACCATTTTATGCTTAAAAGAACTTGAGACAACGCCATCTAGCCAGTCAACTCACTACTTAGAGTCAGAGATCTCATCAGTAGGGAAGTTGTCAACGAATGTCAACGGAAACTTCCATCTGAAACAGCTGATTGTACCAAGATCAATGTCTCGACTGATGGAGTAGTGGGCGGCGACATCCCCCAGACGGTGCCCATTGGCATGGAGGGGCTAGCGGATGCGTGGCCAGGTGGCATTGTCTCAGAGTCTGATGCATCGATCCTTAGACCGTCAAAATACGGCTGATCGATCTAATTCCAGAGCCACGGAACTGGTAAAGAGGACGATAGGTAGGAGCTAAACGTAAGCGTATCTCACGTGTTCCTCTGACCCAAAGACGCAACATACTCGGCCTAAGCTTTGCTCTCTGCCTAAGCTTGGGCCGAATCTAGGTATTTGCTTTTATACCTAGGATGTATATATTTGAGGACGGCACGTATACGTAGATGAATTCCCATGACTACAAGGACACATTCGCGGTCCCTCGAAAATATCACTACGATGATTACACTTATAGCATTTCGAGTTGATTAATTTGTGGAAACCTACAAAAACACTTCCGTGATAATTCGAAGAGACCTTTTCATGCATTAGAGGGAATAGAAAACACTAGTAGTGGTGCATTATTGACATTGCAACCAAAATAATCCAACATTTTCCATGACACACGTTGGACGAGTCCTGAGGCTTTAGGTACATTCCATTTCATTCCTTATGAACATAAATAATCTCATATGAATCATAAAATTTTGAGAACAAATTGCTGGATTTGTGTTATACTAAGCCTTTTGGCCAACTTGCACCCTTCCGACTCTTGCAGCGCTAAAAGTTGCCTCGGCCGGAAAAGTATACCTAAATTGGCATATAACGGTTGCGAGAATCATCGCTAGCGAACTTTGATACTAAATCTCTCAAAAGCCCACCTCCTTAGCGAGATGCGTGAGTAATATATATTTCTATGAGCTTTGGTTAGCATTGCACTTTTTGGCAGTTCGCACTTAGTCGATGATCGGCTAGAATCGACGGTCCCAGGTGATCCGTCACTCAAAACCAGATCCTTCCCGGGCTGATTCAAGGCTACCCACAACAGTTGCTTTGCCCATGCCTTGATTATCAAATGATTATGTCGACCGTTTTCGGAGAATCCTCTACAGGACCCATACTAGCTTCTTCCAGTACTGAAATCGCTAGGCCAAAGTTTACCCTCGACCACGCCTGGAAATGTTACACGTCCTTTCCGGAGTCTCCAGGCATGATTTGTCAAATGCTCAAAATTCTCGTAGGGTAACTCTTGATACAATATTAAATTAAAACAATAGGCGAGATCAGAATCCACAGTATAACAGCTACGGGAGGGTGCTATACAAATGAGTTGACAATAGAATTGTTGCTCTTTAGACTGATGGTCTTGAAGGACAGACCTGGTGAATGGGCACCAAAATCAGCCATCAAGTGGCTGGTAGCAGTGGCTATTGCCAACGTTCACGACGATGACAGCGAAGATGTCATGCATAGCATCCATAGCATCCATACTACCTACCTAACCTAGGGCATTTGTGAAAGATGATTAGAAGTGGCATCTCAGTCAGAGTGAATTACCCCGTACTACAGCACTGAGAGGGGAAAAAAAATCAAGAGTTGGCCGGAAAGTCCCCGGAAAGTGGGCAGGCTTCGGTGCCATAATTGTTTAGGTCCTGATTGGTGCCATTCGACGAATCCATTCCAAGTCGCGCGAGCTCGGTCCAATTCAGAGAGATGACATGTGATCTCGTATTTGGCTCCATACTGTTAACCTAGGCCTTTTGCCAAGCAGCTATTGCGAAAAATGGATTTCCAAGCTCATGTCGGCGACAGAATAACACACATTTCAGCGAGTGTCATAGATGTGCAATGTATAATGAATATGGAGTTGGCTGTATCATAGACCAGGTCTTAGTCTCTGCCAAGATAACCATCGTGGAGCTCGGAAGGTGGGCGGAAAAATGAAGAACCTCGAGTAGTACGCTACCACCACTCTGTCGAGCAATTTTATTCATATTGGGCCGAGTTCGGGACTCTATCGATGGGACTTTCGTATGAATACTATATAAACTGGAGCGCATGCATGCGGGACTTCACTGTAAGGTGACACCCACATCGTGGAGATACTAGGTTCTTTGGTCCAGATGGAATGGCATTGTAGAAGCCTCGAATAAAAAAAAATGAACGGCAGTAAGAAGTAGAAACCAGTCATGCTGATGTCGGCTATATAAGGCCTTGGCGATATCTTGATCGTGCTTTAAGCTTTTGCCACGCAAATTAACCATATGCAGCCTAGATGTAGGTGTTCAGGTATGGAGGCACCCAGAGTACCGAAGGGGAAAGAAATGTGCAGCTTTGGTGTGCCTGCCCAGCTGATCTTTTTTGATCTGATAAGATTATCACGTTTCCCCCTTGGCTGGGACCTTCGGAAAAACCCAAACTCCAAGCGCTCCTCCTCCCTCCTCCTCCTAAGCAAATGGCGACATCCATTATCAGATGGCGCTAAGAGAGCACGCTAATATGCAACTGCCGCGCCCCGCTGGGCTGTTCCTCCACCATGTTACCTCATAGCTCCAGAGGATCTCCGGCCGCTGTCGCTAATACGGTACTTTTCACCATCTATTTGCGCAAATCAGAGCAGTTGTTGCTTATTGGCAACTTGGCAAGGCTTGTTTCAATTGTCGATCTGGATATTCCGGACGCGTCATCACCGACTTCAAGACAAATAAGAGTTCCATTTTGTCGTCTCTATTGTGGAATGGACCGACTGCTCTTTGCTTTGGTTATAGCAATGCTTGCCGAAACCGCCCGATTATTTTGCGGAAATTGTCCGTTCAATCTTGTTTTTTTTCGGCCCCGTCTTGCGCTGGTAGCATCCAATCCAAAATCTTATTTGTCCAACACCAATCGGCATCCCTGAATACATCAGCACCGTCCCGCAACTTTAAAAGGGCGCATTTCTACAAGGTAAGGATGTAGCTGGAGGCAGCCCGTAGTAGGCCGTTCATCATCATAAATGCTACGACAACCAAGGCGCGTTGACCAATAGTCACCCCGACGTCGAACCCGCCAGTCCTGCCCTCCGTGATTAAATTTGTTCCCATAAATCCATATTGACGGCGACTTGTTGGCCCGACTAGGTGCGATACAGGGGAGCTGAGAGATGGTGTAGGTCTTTAATGCCTCTGAGCTGGGTCGTGACTCGCAACACTCTGCCCACTCTGTCCGGGCTGGGATCCTTGCAATGAATGGCGCACCACTGATGTGCCAGAAGAGGTTACCTTCAGTTACATCGCCTTTCTAGCAGAGACTCTTGGAACTTCTACACGAGGCGACATGTATCGAGAATTGAGGAGTAAAAGCGCCGGGCTAGGCAGCAGATTATGTTCATGACATCTTGTACAATAGATGCCCTCTTGTTAATTTATTGGCAAAGCACTCAGTAACGTAACATTTGAGTCCTTATTTGTGGATTGAGTATAAAGTTTTAGCCCCACACTATGACGGCTAGGATTTCTGCATCAGGTAACAAGGCCGGTGAGTTACACTACATATTATCTTATCAGATCAATCAGCCATCAGTCAGATCACCAGCATTCGTCGACGCATGGGGCAGACTGGTTGGCATGTGCTCCTCATCCCACGGACTTTCGCCGCGGAGAGTGGGAGACATCAGATTTCAAGGCATCGCGCAATTTCTCTCATGGCCTGATGAGACGATCTGCACGCATCGTCTGCACCATGACCGATGACGGAGGACATCATGAATAGCTCTTTAGGGTTCATATCACATTGCCAGACAAAAGACAATTGGGAAAGAAGAAAAAATTAGACAGGTCATCAAAATCCCACTGATTTACAAGCAATGCAGGAACAAAAGCATTTTAACCCGCTTTTTGCGCTTCTGATCTTCCTTGTCTGTCAATCTTTTCCAGTATGCCGTCAAATCTAGTCGCGATGCTCGAACAATGGGATTTGGCTAGCTACTGGCGGCCGGCCCTTCTCTTGGCAGCCTTGCCTTTGCTGCTTGGCTGGTGGTTTCTCTTTCGTTCGTCCAAGCCTCAGGGCATTGACATGAGCAAGTATACCCATTTCCCTCAGCCAGAACCCGCAGACAAGAGCAGAGGACATTGGCCATGGGTGGAAAAGATTGCCGCCGAAGGCGACCCGAGAAGATCGTTCCGTATGTTTCCTCCATTTCTTTTGTCTGATGTCGATTTCTTCAAGCTCGGCCATCTACTCGTATCGAGTCAGACTGCATGGAAAGTCCACGAGAGCAAGTACATGCAAAAGTGTATCAGAGCTAATTATCATCATGTAGACTACATGATTGACGAGCAGGCTAAAAAGATGGGCTACCCGCCAGTGCTGCTGACAGACTGGCGGCCACTGGCACCCCTTGTCATCCTATTCATACTCAATCATGATGTTGCCGAACAAGTGACCAAGGCATCGAAACAGTTCAACACAAGCACTCCTAAGCACCCACTCATCCAGGATTTGGCTCCCTTGGTGGGAGCCAAGTCGCTTGTCACACTTGATGTTAGTATTTATCATTCTCTTTTATAATTAAATCCCTCGGCGCATTTGTATTGATGAACGTGCCTAAACAGGGTGATGAATGGAAGGACCTCAGAAAACGTATCCTTCCTGGCTTCCAGCCGCAGCACCTTCTCACATACGCCAAAGTCATTGCGGACAAGTCTCGAATGTTTGTGGAACATCTCGAAAAGAGAGCGGCATCGGGAGAAGAATTTCGTGTTGACGAATTGACCACGAATTTGTCATTTGATGTGATTGGTAATTCTTCCAATGAACCCTCAACAAAGTTCACAACTAATTACTGTTCTAGGCATCGTTACTTTCAACTTGGACCTCGATGCGCAGATTCCGGGAAAGCAGAGCGAGGTCTTGACTGTCTACCGTGACCTCTCCATGCCTATGTCAAGAGGGATAACGCGAAACATTGGCTCCGACGATACTTTACGGAAACCGAACGAACCATCCGGCGTCTCGACAAGCAGTTGGATAGTATCTTGAAGACCTCCATCAAGGAAGAACATGCAAAGATCATGGCAGGTGACACGACGTCGTCGCGTAGTGTCGCGGCGCTCAGTTTGAATGGCATTGAACAACTCACTCCTCAGATCCTCCAACAAACGAGTGATGCTTGCCGAGGCTTTCTGTTCGCCGGTCACGACACAACAAGCATTCTGATGCAGTGGATGTTCTACAGTCTACACCGCCGTCCAAGCTCGCTCAAAGCCCTTAGGGATGAACTCGACGAAGTATTTGGTGCTGATCCCAGCCCATACTCCATCATCTCACAACTGTCTAACCCTGGCGGCGGTAAACTGCTTACGAAAATGAAGTGTAAGTCGATATCATTGGGCACCACATCGAGATCACTTTTCTCAAAAGCTAACATCGCCACTCAAGATGCCGAAGCGATTGTCAAGGAGACTTTGCGACTTTACCCACCCGGTACCACACTTAGAATGTCACCCAAGGGAAACAACACAACCCTGACACTGCCTGATGGGCAAATACTCAACGTCGACGGTCTCGTGCTTAGTCCTGTAGCTTATGCGATTCAGCGAGATCCCGCCATCTTTGGGAAAACCCGAGACGACTTTATGCCGGAACGCTGGCTCGGCCCCGAGGCATCCAAAATCCCAGACGGCGCATGGAGGCCATACGAAAGAGGCCCGAGACGCTGTACCGGCTCAGAGCTCGCCAACATGCAGGCAAAGGTTGTGCTGGCATGCGTTGCAAGACGGTTCGATTTCGTCAAGGTTGGCGCCGGTGAGCTGGAACTGGATGAAAAGGAACAACCAATCTTGGACGACAAGGGCTATTGCAAGACAAAGTCGGATGTCTTTACGGTAAGTTGTTCCCCTCCCATGGGTCACCACGATTTGCTTCGCTCACGTTTGACTGATCTTGTGTGTCTCAACAGATTGACGAAGTCACAGCCAAAGCGGTCGACGGAATGACGATGAAGGTCAAAATCAGCAAGGTGGCCAAGACTTATGCCTAAGTTTGGCTCAGCCAAGTGCGTATAGTGGAATGTATGAATACCTGCGGTTGATATGCCCAACCTGGCCTTGCCCAGAATCTTGGTGTGACCCACCGCGAAAAGGTGTTGGACGCGGCCAGCCCAACCTGGCAAACATCCCAGCCTCGGCGAAGGCAGAAGAACAACAAAAAGAAGGACAAGAAGCAACTGGCGCGGGCCTATTGGCAAGTTCTAGGCCCGGCAGTCAATGGAGCCGCGCTACCGGCTGCAATTTTTTGCATATATTGCCAGCAGCGCAGAGGCATTTCGTGCCTATGGACCAAGATGGACGAGTAGCATTCAATTTAGATGCACATGCGCCATGCGAACCACGATTAACCAACTCCATATGTTTGACATTCGAACAACTGTAATGCATGACGATGACGTTGTTTGAAAATAGACTGGAGAAGTCTTTATCAGACTTACGACACTATTATTATATTGAAATCTGGATCCGTGACGATAGCTCTACCCACCCGAGCCACTCGTCTGAAGTAGTGTAGCTAATGTAGCGTACAGTACGAAATAAGAACCACTTCAATATAAAAACAACATTGGAAATCCATCTACCAGTGGGGCAACACTTTCGTGTCCGTAGTTCCCCGATAGCCACTCCAGCACCAGCTAATGCATTACACCGTACTATTGCCCACGGCACTGTACGTTTTGCAGGCGACAGTAGGGGCTGAGATGATTGGACATCAACTGTTGTCTTAATCGCTAGGTATTATCCCTCTGATATTTCTGTGCTGGTGACCGCCAATTGCAAATCAAGACTACATTGACCTGTCAAGAAAACACGATAATACCCAATACCTAGCCGCTCTACTATTGTTTTTGAAGCGCATCTTCAAGTGCTTGATGATTCCTATTCCTGATTGCTTCACCGTTTTTATTCCTTGACTCAGACCGCACCAGGTCAAACCATGCCCTGCTCCGACTGCCGATTGGGGATAGTGCTCAACTAGCGTGCCAACTGGCGGCGATAATTGTGCAGAAAGGAGCTGCGATCATCCACTAGAAGCCCAAGGACCTTGAAGGTGCAGCTTCTCGGCAGTGGGTTGGGCACCTGTCAGTCACCAATCGCGACTGTTTGGTTTCGCTGAGCTGGGAAAAAGAAGTTGAGAACCCCGGAGTCTGAACACGTCGTGTTCACTCCATGGTCAAAGTCCCGAAATGCTTGAGTGCCACCCGGTGCAGTCGATGCCCATGACGCCATCGGATCTTGAATGATCCTCATGGACCGTGATGCGCATCGTCTGTGTGTCCCTGGGAAACACCGGCACGGACCTCGGATCCGGGTGATGGGGAGAGAGGTGCAAAAAACGACTTTCAATGAAAAATGTATGAAGGTTCTTCCCGGGCCTCTACCAATGCAAGGCTCAAGCCCTTGCCGAGCATCGCGCTTGGCGCCTGCACAGCGCACCAACTCCCCAAAACATTCCAATTGAACCCGCTAATCACGGCAGGGTACAGGGGTGCCCGTCCAGTGTTTATGCATTCACTATGGGGACCTCTACACGTAGGTAGCTAAGAGCTAAGGATGGACCCCGAATGTTTGCGAACCAGGCTGTTGGACCCCGCTTTGTTAGCGCTCGAAAAAAAAAAAAGTTTTTTGACAGCCTCTTGTTTACATACGGTAGACTTTTTGTGCCGAAAGTCCCATGTGAAAAGACTGAGCTCTTCCGAGACAGACAAACGAGATGGCAGGAAAGCCAAACTATGTAGTTAGAACAAGGACCAGGCATTCATGATGAAAACAAAAATACACAGTACTACCGTAGAAAAGAGAGACAAGCCCGGCGCCACGTGCATTCATGCAAGCGATTATACTCGGTGATGGCCGGGCACTAACAAAAACAGCCAGCACCGAGCAGCAACCAAACCAGCCATTGACCGCGTATCACACATCACGCGATTGATTACCTGCGGTGGTGATCCCGAGATTCCCACCCAAAATTGTCCACTCTTTGCCAGCTGGGCACGGTCCAGTTTCTCATTTTATCACCGAGGCGACCGACTTGAATGGAGCTCGAAAACTGTTTCCCAAAGCATACGATTTGCCCAAGCTTCACATAGAAAACCTCTCAGAAAACCTCTCACCCGCCCAACCGCTGTGCCCAATTGCACCTCTGTCCCATTGTTATTGTTGATTGACCTCTCTGCCTGAACTGCGCGACCAGTAGTAGTAGTGCCTTCAGTGCCTCTTTGACCCCCAATCAACTGCCTACCAACCACTAATTGCTGCCTCGCTGCCCGCAATCTCGCTTTTTTCCGTGAGCAGCTTTAATTCATATATTCACCCTCCTACCCGCACCGTCGAGTTCCTCCCCATATTTCATATTCTCCTCTCCCTTTCTTCAAATCTCAGAGAAGCAGCAGTCGTCGACATGGGCAACGTCCTTTCCGTCTTTTCGCACGACAGCGGGTTCACCAAGGTGGAGAAGGCACAACTCGAGAAGAAGCTTGCCGATCGCGAGGAGACCATCGCCGTCCTCGAGGAGGACCTCTCTAAGAAGGAGAAGGAGCACACCAGCCTCAGCAAGGATGCCGACTCTCTCCGCCAAAAGGTCTCGGACCTAGACGCCCAGTTCACTGCCTCGCGGAACGAGAACCAAGCACACATCACCCGCCTCCAAGCCGAGCTCAAGGAGGTCAGCGACAAGTCAGCATCTGAGGTCCGTGCCGCCGAGGAGACTGCCACCGCCCGCGCCCAGGAGCTTGATGCCGCCAAGACTGGCCTCACAATTCTCGAGGAGAAGCTCAAGACTCTCGAGCAGGACAAGTCGACCCTCGAGAGCGAACTTGCTGCTGCCAAGACCGAGCTTGCCGGCATCAAGGAGCAGCATGCCAGCGCCGAGGCTGCCCTGAAGGGCGAGCTCGAGGAGACCAAGAAGCAACTCAGCGAGGTCAAGGAGCAACAGTCATCTTCCGAGTCGGCTCTGCAAGAGGAGCTCTCTTCGCTGAAGAGCAAGGTCGCCGAGGCCGATAACAAGCAGGCTGAGCTCACTCAGTCGAAGTCCGAGTTGGAGGCCACCATTGCCAAGCTGCAAGAGACCATCAGCCAGCTCGAGGAATCCGAAAGCCAATTGAAGTCTTCCAAGGCTTCCCTGGAGGAGTCCTTCAACCAGCACAAGGAGTCTTCCGCCTCGACTGATGCTGAGTGGCAGGAGAAGCACGGTGCCCTGCAAACTACACATGACAACTTGGCTCAGGAGATCGAGGCTGCCAAGAAGGAGTTGGCCGAGACGACCGAGAAGCACAGTTCATTGCAGTCATCGTCGGCTTCGGAAATCGAGTCGCTCAAGACCGAGCTTGCCGAGCTCAAGGAGAAGTACGCTGCCCTCGAGAAGGAGAGCGAGTCACACAAGAGCAGCTCTGGCGCCGAGATCTCTGCAGCCCAGAAGGATCTGGCTGAGGCTCAACAGAAGCTCGAGGCTCTGCAGAAGGAGCACGACGCCCTCACTGGCGAGTCGTCCGAGCAGGTTGCAACCGCCAAGAAGGAGGTCGCTGAATGGCAGGAGAAGCACGGTGCCCTCCAGTCGTCTCACGACGGCCTTTCCCAGGAGATTGAGGCTGTCAAGCAGAAGCTTGCTTCCTCGGAAGAGTCGCACTCCAAGCTGAAGGAGGACCACGCTGCCGAGCTCGAGACCGCCAAGTCTGGAGCTTCTACCTTTGAGTCTCAGGCCCAGGCTGCCGCTGAGGAGCGTGATGCTTTGAAGAAGTCCCACGAGGAGCAGTCTACCAAGCTGTCTGCGCTTGAGAAGCAGATCGAGGAGGCTCAAGCCAAGGTTAGCCAAGCCGAGGAAGACCTGAAGGCTGCCCAATCTGTGAGTCAAACATTTCCACTTCATGATTCTACGTTTGCTAATACGATACAGGACAAGGATGGTCTCAACGCCAAGGTTGCCGAGTCGCAGTCCGCAGCTGAGAAGGCTACCAAGGACCACTCGGACCTTAAGACTCAGCTTGAGGAGATCCAAGGCAGCCTTGCTTCTGCTGAGAGTGGCAAGTCGGACGCCGAGTCCAAGAACAGCACCTTGACCGGGGAGATTGCTGAGCTCAAGGAGAAGCTATCCACCGTTGAGGCTGGCGTCGAGAGTGCCAAGAAGGAGCACTCTGACCTGAGCTCCAAGCTGGAGAAGGCTGAGGCTGAGGCCGCTGCTGCCCAGAGCAGCCAAAAGGAAGCCGCCGAGAAGGCTAGCGAGCTTGAGAAGAAGCTGGCCGCCCTCGAGTCGACTGCTGAGCAGGCCGAGAAGGAGAAGTCGGAGGCTAGCGCCAAGCTTGCCCAGGCCGAAGAGAAGGCCAGCGAGCTCGAGAAGAAGCTCTCTACCATCATTTCCAACGCCGTCAACGACAAGAAGGAGGCTGCCGCCAAGACCAGCAGCTTGGAAGAGCAGATCAAGTCCCTCGAGGAGGAGCTGAAGGCGATCAAGGAGAAGGCTGCTGCCGCCCCTGTAGCGGCTGAGGAAGCACCAAAGGAGGCTGAGGCATAAATGTCGCAAATGACTGAATGATCTGCATTACCGGAGGAATTTCGCCTTGCATAATGATGAAGTGTACATGACCTGGGGCTCCGAAGGAGTTGGCGTCCTCGTCTGATGAACTCGATACCCACTACAGTTTAGTTTCTAGTTTCAAGATTCACGACTTTTTCCTTGTTCTCAACTTTTATTTGCGTATATACATGGAGTACCAATCCGCATGCCGGGACGACATGATTATGGTTATTATGAAAATAAAATAAGCAGCTATGTGTTTCTCCCTTCCTTTCTTTGTCATGACATTGTCTCTGCACTTGTGGTTGACGTCGACTCTCGTGGGGCAATCAGCATCCAAAACTCCTTCATAACCCAAAAGGACGCCGCAAACATCTTGAGTGGTGATGTCGGATCCACGACAGTGAACTTGTACCTCTGTAATATCTATTGTGCCAGGTCAGTCCATATACTATGACGCTTGCAACAGTTTGGAAGGGGTATTATACCTCAAACAGTGTCTTGTTGATCTCGACAAAGGCAATGGACCGGCCGAGACACTTGTACTTACCATAGCCGAACGATGCCTGTGAGAATGGTTAGAGCCAGTATCTCACTTTGTTGGACACAAGTCTGTTGAGATGTACTCACCTCGAGGTACTCGGCCATCTCCTCGGCCCGCTCCTTATCCACGTCGAGCCAGCGCTCCGGAATGAACAAGTCGGCGTCCTCGCCCCAGTACTCGCGGCTCCGGAGGATACCAAACTGATCCACGCCGACCTCGGTGCCACCGGGCAGCTGGTAGCCGGCGACGAGATCGCCGCCGCGGGGCACGGATTTGAACATGAGGGGCGTCACGGTCGGGAAGATGCGGAGGGACTCGCGAATGACGGCTTGGAAATACGGCAGGCGCCGGGCCTCGGCGTCGCGGATGATGGGGCGGGTGGCCGTGGCGGCCGCCGCGTCGAGCTCGGCCATGAGTTTGGTGTAGACGCGCTGGTTGGAGAGGATATACAGGAGGGCCATGCGGATGGCGACGGCTACCGAGTCTGTGCCAGCAACGCTGTTGCGAGAATACTGTTATCATGACTGGTCGAAACCATCATATGGGAGAAACTTACACTTGAACGAGTGCCTCATTCACGGCCTCGTCTTTGGTTAGACCGTACTGCAAGAAAATGCACAGCAAATCCTTGCGATCACCAGGTCCGTCCATCAGGCGCTCATCCACTGCCTCTTGCGCAACCCTATTGTCAAATCTCAGCATACCGAGTCAGAGTAGCATTTTTTCCCCCCTCACTCACTTCATGAACCTGCCCAGCCCGACAATGTCAGTGGGCTTGGGCAGCAGCTCGGAAAACGGCCAGGTCTGGAGAACCTTGGACAAAAAGGGAAACGTCGAGGCCATGGTGACAAAGGGGAAGAAATCCTCGTTCCAGCGAATGTAGCCATAAATGTCGATGCCGTCCTCGAGAAAGCCAAATGGCCGGCCAAACGTCCAGTCACCCACCACGTCCATGCTGTAGAGGTGGGAGATCAGGGCAAAGTCCACCGGCCGGTAGGCGTGCGTCTCTTCATTGGATAGGAATTTGCGCTCAATCAGCCCGATGAAGCGCTGGAGTTGCCGGTCGATGCTTTGCTCCTAAGCATTGTTGGTCAGTATTGTATGACGGAAATGGTCGCGCTCCGACAGTGTTTCAAACGGAAGGGCCAAGAGTGTTCTCATCACTATTGGCCTTATAGACACCTTGCAGGAGATGGCAAATGTTTTGTATGTCAACGCTGCGTATACAGTGCCGCCTGCCTGCAGTCTGTGCATGTACATACCGCAAGGTGAGTGCTGGAATATCCCGGACCAATCTTGGTCCTGAGCTCGGTGTGCTTCTTTTCATCATTGAGACTGAATGAATGATCTGTGCCCTTCATGAAGCGAAATGTGCCACTGTGTTCATGGTTCATAAAATGTCAGCACAGCCTGAGGGAAGGATTTCAACATTATGCTGTCACACAATTACTTCCTCTTGGGGATACACAGCCGGGGGCCCGAGGCGTTTGAAAGGAAGCGAGGCAAGGAGACTTGCAGAAGAAGAAATGCCAGGACATTATAAGAAGAAAAGTATAAACTTACTACCACGGGCTCTTTACGTACGGAGACCTCGTCGCCTCCATGCGCTGGACCAACTTGGCATCATTGGTGAGGACGGCATTGGGCCCAATACGCACGAGGTTGTGCGAGCCAGAGCCAGAGCCGCCGTGCTTGCGGAGCAAGGCATTGAGGTCCGCGTGCACATTCCCGCCGAGCTGCGTCCTCAGGAGGAACAGCGACGAGAAGGCATTCTGCAGCGGGCCGGGAACATGGCGGAGGCGGTACCAGGTCCACAAACGGTTGAGCAAAAAGCAAAGCACCGCCGCGGCTATAGTGTTTGACAGAGTGATTACGTCCGTTTGGGTCACGTACATGATACCCATGGCCGCAGGCTGTGTGTGTGCGTGTGATCTGAGAAGGAATGATGTATAATAATATGTTTGCCTCCTCCTCTCTGTTTTTCTTTTAATGTATGTATGTTGTATTCCACCAGAAACTTGTGACAGTTGTCGTACAGTAAGAAAGTGGGAGGGTGGGAGGAAAAATGGCAAATGAGGGAAAACAAGGAATGCTGTATTAATTCTTACATTGTCCTCTCAGCTCCTCCCTCTCCTCTCCAAGGGTTCCAGACATACTTGCGACGGGACGAAAATGCCACTTCTCCCTCTTTGTTGAGAGCTCTACCTGGAACGTCTCTGATAATCTGGGTCAAGAGCTCTTTTCACCGGTGACCCCTCCTTCAATGCCTATCCATCACAGGGGTTCGGGTTCTCTTTTGGTCAGCGTCGCTCTTGTCCCAATCTCCCCCCGTTTCCGTCCCCTCCAAAGAGCTAGTACAGAATAGTATTATCGCCTATGCAACACCCCCAGCATCATCAACATCCAGCTCGCAAGCCCATCGAGCAGAACGTTCATTATCCTGCTCCAATTTTCCAAGTTTTCCTGCTGATGCCTCACTTGATGAGTACTCGCTTTATGATAGATCACCGTACCCAAGCAACCAAGACAAGCCTTGAAAACGGTTTGTGGGCCTCGGTTGGAAGAAGGGGGGAAACGGCTTTTAATCCATGTAAAGCTGCGGGCGTTGAAGAAAAAGCAATTCATGAAAAAACCTACTAGGTAAAGCAAAAGGACTGGACAGGGGTCCGGTGAGGCACGGTGTGATTCTTGTGTGACAGCCACCTGCAGCCTCAATGATCGGCCAATAATGGTGGATCAGTATATCACCTCTAGCCCCACTACAGACTTGCTTTTTTCTATAGCAAAGAAGTAGTTTCTCCGTTGTGTAGGGTGGCAGGTGGCCAGCCCATCGGCTGCAGTTCCCATGTTTTCATGGTCTGAATTGCAGCAGTAACAGCAGCAGCAGCAGGGCTTTCTTATGTGTCTTTCTCCTTGCCAAATGATACCCAAGGCAAAGCAGGAACAAATGCAGACAGTCCCCCGTGTGGATTTGACAATGCATGACATGGGAGATCTTCCGTCGCACTACTGTGATCTGTTAAAAGCAGGAACACCACAGGTTTGCAAAGTACTTTGGCCAACCCGAAATACCAAAGATGTGGTCAAGCCGCACCTTCAAGGGGATTTTCGCCTCCTCCAATTAGATGACGACCTAATCATACAGTCCGTGTATAATGTAATCAAGTGAAACTCGCATATCGTTGCCTCGTGTTATAATTCCAAAGGGCTGGAGCCCACAAAACATACAGTAGTGCCGGCAGTGGCCTTGCCGGCGCCGGGCATTGCGGCGCGCTCCCTTAGTCTTGTCTCTCTTTTTCCTCTCCATATCTTCTCCTCCTCCACCTTTGCACGGCTACATTGCATGTGTAGGATGAATAACCTTGCCGAGGTGGAGGTGGAGTGGAGTTGGTGCTGAAAGGGCGCGGAATTGATGACCTATTCAGCACAGATGAACCATGTGTATTGAGCGACGAGAAGAGATATCATATTTGAGAAAACCCGGCGACAACAATGATGATCGCTTCGCATTGACGACGGTACGCGTTGCAAGTATTTTCCCCATTTCCAGCGTGTGACTCTTGACGTGTCCTATTGGATACACGTACCGTACACAGTAGGTAGAGAGCAAGCACGGAAATCTTTTGTGATACCTGACATGCAGTCAACGAAAAAAGAAACACATCACCATCCTTCTCCTGCCGCAATCAGTGCTCAGTTCGCGCGGGCGTCGATCGCAAAAAGTCCTATTCAAGATGCACAACTTTGCTATTACATGGAAACCTCTTGGAAGGGTCATGTACTCTGCTTGATATCACACGCCTTGTTGCGAGTATCAATGCAGGGACGATCATATAAATATAGGCTGCTCAGACCCCTTGTTTATTCCCGAAGCGAAGTCTGGGGGAAAACAACAGTGGCTGTCTCGGAATGTCGCCCGGGACAAGGGACTTGCTTTTGCACGGCCGACCTGTCATTTCTGCTTCCTTGGGATTGAGAGAGTTCCTTTTCGATGCGGCGTACATTGGTGAACCCTAGAAGTGGTCGAGGCTTGAACTTGCCATGCGAGGAACCTGTTTTCGTCTGCTCAAAGATGTCTAAAAGCTGGAGGATATCCCAACCACACTAGATATTACTTTACGGCCGAGGCAATCATTCTTGAGCGAGCCCACCATTGTCCCTCGTTATCTCAAAGCAATCTCACCACGATACAAATTTCAACATGGCTCTAAGCAGCGAGTCATCATACATGATGTCGGTGCTGTGGGGGTTGACAGCAGTTGTGCTGGTGTTTCTCGTGCTACGCGCCTACACTCGCATCGTCTGCGTGGCTTCCTATGGCATTGACGACCACTTTTATGCTCTGACATGCGTGAGTATCACCTACTCTCATCCAGGAGAACTCTCTTGGTCCTTGTTCCAAGAGAACTTTCTTCATGAGCTGATCCAAAACTCCCAAACAGGTCCTGGCGGTAGCCTTCAGCTCCATCATGCAAGTGGCAGCCGAGCACGGATACGGGCAGACTAACCTCGACCCCGACACCCGGGCCAATTCCAGCTTCTGGCGGACGCTGGGTCAGACCTTTTCCCTCGTGGCCACTGGGACGTCCAAGGCGTCGGTCGGGCTCTTCCTGTTGCGCCTCACCGTTGTCAGGTGGCAGAGGATCACCATATATATCCTCATCGTCTTTATGATGACGGCCGGTATTTGTGAGTAGCCCATTTACATTCTGGGTCGCTACTGAACGATTCGCGTTACTGATCTTTGCTTTTGTGTATAGTGGCCGCCATATTCACCTGGGCCGCATGTCGACCATTTGCCTATACCTGGGACGACCGGATTGAAGGCGGCACTTGTATCAATACTGTCCCGTTATCCATGATTCTTGCGAGTAAGTTTGTGTTTCAGAGCCGGTTAATCGAAGGTGGCTTGACTGATTCTGGCATCCTAGTGGGAACAATTGGCGTCGACATCTTCTTTGCCGTTTTGCCATGGATATTCATTTGGAAGTTGAACGCACCTCGTCGTGAAAAGGTCATTATCGCAGGCAGTTTGAGTCTGGGCATCTTGTAAGGAAACACCCACACTTCGTCATTTTCTTACTGCCACCTTGTTGTTTCCAAAAATCTAATACTGGTCCCCATTTAGTGCTGCCGTTGCTGGCGCCAAGCGCATCATGGAAGTAAAGGGCGTGCGCGACGTTCCCGTCGGCGTCATTGTCTGGTCACAGACGGAAACGGCCGTCACCCTCATTTGTGTGGGCATTCCCGTGTGTCGACCGCTCCTGGCCCAGGTCATGAAAAAGTACGGCTCGACGCGCCCCAGCAAGCGGTCCAATACCCCATCCAACGACAATGCTCCCCAACCCATGGGCCTGCACACCTTTGGTGGGAGTCCCATGGTTCCGGGGGCACGTGGGATGCAGAGGAGGAGGGATATCGTGTCGAGTCTCTTCTCGAGACTGGCGCCCTCTACCGGGGTATTCTCGAGAGCGGCTCCATCGACGACGGTCAGGGCCGCTGGTGACAATCACCCCATGGGCGACGGGCAGAGCGAGCAAGCCATTATAAGCAGCCACGAAATGACGGACAGCAAGGACGACGAGGAGCGAAAGGATTCCGGCGCCGAGACCGAAGAGGGACCGGCAGGAGAGCAGCAGCACAAGCTGGCCCGGGAGTGCACCCGTTCTTGGATCATGGGCGAGTCCATTAACTGCAACGAGGTCACCAGCCAGATGAGTCCGGACGCAGTGCACAAGGACGATATCATCATGACCACGAGGTCGTATGAGGTGAAGAGGGGGCAGTCGCCACCTGTTTGATTTTATTTCATTTTTTGGAGTCCGTTGTATATACCCTGGTTCGTGACGATTTTGTGTTTATATAGATACATCCCGATAGGAATTGACAATAGTGTGTTGAATGCTGCAAACATGCAAGTGAGTGTAGGTCTGTCAGTGCAAGATATTCGAAAACCTCAATGTGCCTACATTGGGCTCAACACTTGCCACGCTCGGCAATCGTTGAGATTATCAGCCTCATGAACAGTATACAGTTTGGCCACTCTCCTCTATACACCATTAATGTTCGTTCCCTCTTTAGCGTGATTTTTCCTTATCTGCGCACCGCCACCTAAAAAGAGAAGTAATGTGTGAATAATGCCAGTGTCAAATGACGCGCTAGAATCCCTATCAGACCGCCAAGCTAAGAGTCACTGCAAAAAAATTGCTACTGCGCTTCTTTCGCCATTGCCGCCGACTTACTAGCGACCCGGGGAAACCCTTGGTGGTGGGGAAGGGGAACAAAGAACCGGCTAGACGAGCCTGATCTGGGTTTGCCGTCGCTGGCTGTCGGCTACTGGCTGTAGAAAGTTTTCCAAGCACTGCATGTCAGGCGTGGAAGAGAGATACGCTTCCCGCACCCGATCGATCTAATAAGACTGAATCGGTCCAAAGATTGACTATACCGTGTATAGGCTCTCGACGCGAGGCTCAAATCAAATCAAAGCTCCTAAATGGCTCACATGATCATCTGTGCAAACCACACTAGGACTATTATTACAGGTACATGCCCTGAACTGCATACCGGAAATGCCGCCCATGTTCTTCTATACTACAACGACCACGTTCTCGATTTCAGCCCTATAGATAAGAACTTTTACCGGCTGCAGCAAAGATTTTCTTGTTTCCTGGGCCAGTCTGCGGGGACTCCGGATTATGATGCAATACGGTGACAAGAACTGTCACAATTCTCTCGTAGAAGAATGAGATTTTTCTTTTACCTGTGTTTGAGAAGATAAGATCCTGGAGCCGTGACGAGATGGGGAATGATGCGCATCTACAAGAAATTTGTCCTGGCGTTGTTGATGGAAAATACGATGTACCCGTAGGCCTTATTAGCGGCTTTAGTCGCTGGCCATCGGGGCTCTTCTTAGTGCAAAACACCCTGAAATTGGCCCTACAATAGCGACCGTGGTAGGTATCGTGAAGCAATGCAGTACGTTATAGTGATCGCGACTGTCTTTACACAAGGCTGAAGGCTCGCATCATCCGAGTCACAGCGCCTATCGCAGTGCATTTGTTTGTGTTACACAGCACCAGTCAGTCCAGTCCAATAGTGGACCGTTTTTTCTGACAAAGAGAGCTCTCCCTCCTATAGAACGGATGGCCCAGGGTCTCTTGCAGGCTTCGGGGTGCGCACGTGCAGAATATAGTCAACGACGTCCTTGGTCTCCATCACGTGGCATTTATATTACTATAAAACATCTGCGACAAGCAAAGAGCGACTGAGCAATTAGAAATACACGCGCTGTAATGGAAATGGACGAGTGCCCGGCGCCGGAGACCCAGCCAATGCTCATGTTGGAGCTGGAGCTGGACTGCGACTTCTTATCGGCCCCAAGTTACATAACTTAGTGTAGATTCCCAATTAGGAAAGTACATGCGATTCCTATTCGCAGCTTTTCCATGACCGATATAAGGAGATCACCCAGCAGATGAAAGTTGTTTTTCAGTTCTGCCTTTTTCTCATTCATCTCTCGTCATATCCCATTACCAGTTCCTCTTGTTCCAACTCCAAATACCCTCACAGACCATCACAATGCCTGGCGTAGTTGGAAACACGGGTGCCATTCAGGTGCCGGGACCGGTGTCCCAGGCTAGCGCCAAGAAGCTGGATGCCTTCTTCGACGCCCGCGCTGTGCACTTTGTCGTTGATTACGACCAGAGCGAGGGTACATAGTAGGTGACCTGCGATGAGGAATGGCCAGGACATGACAGACTAACACTTGTGCCTCTAGCCTCGTCGATGTTGATGGTAACCGCTACCTCGATGTCTACTCTCAGATTGCCTCTATCCCTATTGGGTATAACCACCCGGCAACGATAGCTGCCGCACAGTCTCCCGAGATGATTTCGGCACTGGTCAACCGCCCAGCTATTGGAAACTTCCCCTCGAAGCAGTGGGGTGACATTCTCCAGAACGGCCTTCTCAAGGTCGCTCCCAAGGGACTGGACAAGATCTTCACCGCCCAGTCGGGCTCCGAGGCCAACGAGCTGGCCTACAAGGCCTCCTTCATGCTCTACCGCCGCCGCGAGCGTGGCGAGGGTGTCGAGTGGTCCGAGGAGGAGATCAAGTCCTGCCTCAACAACTCCAAGCCCGGCTCTCCCGAGCTCGCCGTCCTCAGCTTTGCCAACTCGTTCCACGGCCGTGGTTTCGGCAGTCTGTCGACCACCCGCTCCAAGGCTGTCCACAAGCTGGATATCCCCGCATTCAACTGGCCCCAGGCTGCCTTCCCGGCCCTCAAGTACCCGCTCGAGGCCCACCAGGAGGAGAACGCCGCCGAGGAGAAGCGATGCCTCGAGGGGGTCGAGCAGCTCATTACCTCCTGGTATGTGACAGATGCAAAATATTCCGTACGTTTCAAATCATGTGTTAACTCGAAAGCAGGCACTGCCCCGTCGCCGCCGTGATCGTCGAGCCCATCCAGAGCGAGGGTGGTGACAACCACGCCTCTCCCGCCTTCTTCCAGGGCCTGCGCGACATCACCAAGAAGCACGGCGTCATGATGATTGTCGATGAGGTCCAGACTGGCTTTGGCGCCACTGGCAAGTTCTGGGGCCACGAGCACTGGAACCTGACCTCGCCCCCCGACATGGTTACCTTTTCCAAGAAGGCACAGACTGCCGGCTACTTCTTTGGCGACCGCGCTCTGATCCCCGACAAGGCCTACCGCCAGTTCAACACCTGGATCGGTGATGCTGCCCGTGTCATTATGAGCAAGGCCATTATCGAGGAGATTCTGGCCAAGGACCTTGTTGCCCAAACTGCCCGTGTTGGTGATGCTCTGTACGCCGAGATGGAGAAGCTCGCCCAAAAGTACCCCGAGCAGGTCAAGAACCTCCGTGGCAAGGGCCAGGGTACCTACATTGCCTTTGACAGCACCGACGCCGCTGGCCTGGTCAAGGGCATGAAGCAGCTCGGCGTTCTGACCGGTACCTGCGGTGCTCAGACCGTCAGACTCCGACCCATGCTCATCTTTGAGGAGCAGCACATTGCTCCCCTCATCAGCGCCTTCGACACTGTCCTCGGCTCTCTGTAAGCTGAAACTCTCACCAGCTACAGAGTCATACCTTGAGACGAAGAGGTCGCCCTCTTCATCCAATCCGAACAAAGGCTTGTCAAGCCGCGCATATGCGCATCACAACCATATCCTCAATGGATTTGGAGTGGTCGACTGAGATGGAGTGAAGGATGCAGGAAAAGTGAACCAAAGTGGTTTGACAAAAGACAGCTTCCCGTGTCGCCGCCCATTGAATGGTTTGGCATACATCCATCTCTAGCGTCGACAGTATCGTCCAACAGATGGTCAGTCCATGATAGATACATTGGACGAAAAAAGGCCTGCAAGGACGTATAGACATGACCTTTTTGTTTTTAATCATCATTAGCGAAGTATTTGTTAGATATTTGAACAAGAAACCAATGAACAAACTGCCCAATAGATGATGATGCATCGGGAAAGATAAGTAATTGCCGAGTATGCGCAGAGAGCTGCCGCAACTGGCTCAGCGTCTTCGGCCCCGGGGGGGTCGTGTTTCATGCTGGTACCAGCTGGAATCTCTAGCGGGTGCGACGCGCTAAAGGAGGCATCCGGTACCCCCTCAAGGCAGCTCCGCCGATCTCATCGGTGCAACGGCGACGCTACAGGGGTTCACTTACACGAGAGATCGGGAGTATACCTACGGCCATGGTTGGACATAATCACCGTCCCGTTGTCGGCGAGGGGATATGTGATATAATACATCAAAACGGAAACCTTTTATTTCTCAACCCGGACATTGTATTGTCTCTTTCATCTTGCACCAAAAACTAGAAGCTCGAACATTTACCCATCATACCTCTCTACACACACCATGACTTCCTCACCCAAGAAACACGTCGTCTTTGACGTGGTCGGCACTTGCATGTCATACGACGCCATCTTTGACGCCATTGACGCCCGCCTGGGCGAGCGGCTGCGGGCCGAGGGCATCAAGCCCAAGCTGCTGGGCTACACGTGGTTCGAGGCGGCCGAGCGCGAGTACACGTACATGAGCCTGTCGGGCAGGTACCGGCGCTTCTACGACGTCTTCTCGGCCCTCTTTTACCGCATGCTGTGGATGGCGGGCATTGAGGAGCCGCGCGCCTTTGCCACCGACGACGACCTGGCTTACATCCTGGGCCGCTTCATGGAGCTCGAGGCCCGCCCCGGCGTCGCCGAGTGCTTTGCCATTCTGCGCGATGCCGGCTACACGGTCTGGGCGTTTACCGCCGGTGATACCAACCGGGTTGGTGGTTACTTTGTCCGCAACGGCATTGACATGCCGGCCGAGAACCTCCTCTCGTGCGATAGTCTTGAGATTGGCAAGCCCTCGCCCGAGTCCTATCAGGTCCTGCTCAAGCAGTTTGGTGCCGAGGAGGCCTGGTTTGCTGCCGCCCACATGTGGGACGTGTCGGCGGCCAAGAGCACCGGGTAAGCCTTTTTCCCTTATGTTTTGTATTAACATCCGATGAGCTAACAAAGTATCATGAATTAGATTCAAGGGCGCCTATTGCACAGTCTGGGAAAAGGAACCGTGCACGGCACTCTTCGGCGAGATGGACGTGATGGCCGACACCTTTCCGGACATGGCCCGAAAGATTGTGGAGGCGTCCAAGTGAATCCGGGGTTAGAGTGCGCCGATCGGGGAGGACATGTCAACAGGTATACATGGATATGTACAATGGGATGCATCATGATCGTCCAAATGTCGACATCAATTTGACCGGTAGTATCGGGAAATTGTCGCTTATTCAAGTCGCATAATGCGACGTTTGCGAATCCAAAAAGTATAATGATACAACGTATAATGTACACAATGAAGGAGTTGTTGTATACTCGAGCACAGGTGGGGCTCCCTTTGGGCTGGGCCGTAGATAGTGCGATTATGAGTGGTAGAGATAAATGGCCGATCTATCCGATCTGTCCTCCGATCAATCAGTCAGGAGCTGTCCGCAGCTTTCAATAGCATTCACTTGCACTCCATGGTGATCATACGATGTGTCAAGTGCTCGGATATACATGGCTGTTCGCGTAGAACGTTGGTAGTCGGTGTGGCGTTGATTCTCGTTTTGAAAAGGATACTCCAAACTCCCTCTCTGGCCCTGCCTAGAGACTGGATACGGCATCACGGCAGGAAATCTCACTAGAGTATAACCTATTATCAATTCATTCATAAAAGTTCCAAAATGGCTTCTTCTCAGTCATCGCCGAGCAAAAACAGAGGTCCGGTGCCGAATCCTGTGCGATCGTTTTGGACCTCGACTCCGGGTGAACTAGACGATTTTCGGAGCACCCCAAACCTGCCAGAATCCAGCGACGTGGTGATAATTGGCGCCGGATTCGCCGGCGTCGCCACGGCCTACCACATCCTCCAGGACAATCCAGAGCCGCCGTCCATTGTGATCCTCGAGGCGCGCAAAGTATGCGGCGGCGCAAGCGGGCGCAACGGCGGCCACGTCAAGCCCGACACGTACTTTAATGTGCCCAAGTACACGCAAATGTACGGCGCCGAGGCCGCGGCCGAGCTGGCGGCATTCGAGGCCTCGCACGTGTACGCTGTCAAGGATCTGGTGGAGCGCGAGAATCTAGACTGCGATTTCCATCTCACCCGGGCCGTCGACGTCTATCTCGACCCCGCGCACGCCCGGGACACGGAGGCGGCGTACCGGAAACTCGTCCGGGACGGCGTCGTGGATATGCGCGATGTAGCTTTTACGCCGCGGAAAGATGCCGAGAGAGTAAGTGTTTCTTTGAGCTCAACCCATTGAAAGGAGAAGAAAGGTGTATCTGACACGGCATCCCATCAGGTCTCGGGGGTCAAGGGTGCACAGTGCTGCTTTTCCTTTACAGCCGCTCACCTGTGGCCGCTCAAAATGGTCCAACAACTTCTCCGCGGCTTGATTGAGAAAAAGGGCGTCAATGTGCAAGCCCACACACCAGTACAATCCGTGCACAAGGCCAAGGACGCCAGCGGCAATGAGACTCCGTCGTGGACCGTCCAGACGCCTCGCGGCGCCATCACGACCCGCAAAGTCGTCTACGCCACCAACGGCTACACCGCGCAGGTCCTCCCGGAATACTCTGGCCGCATCGTCCCGGTCCGGGGCGTGTGCAGCCGCATCGTCGGTCCGTCGGGGACCAAGACGCCGCACCTGGTCAACACGTACGGCATCCGCTTCGACGCGCGCAACAATGATTACCTGATCCCGCGGGCCGACGGCAGCATCGTCGTGGGCGGGGCGCGACAGCGGTTCTGGCACGTGCGGGACAGCTGGTTTGATAATGTGCGCGACGACGAGCTCGTTGGCGACGCCGTGTCGTATTTTGACGGCTACATGCAGCGGCATTTCCGGGGATGGGAGGACAGCGGCGCCAAGACGGATCAGGTCTGGACGGGAAGTAAGTATATACGATCCCTTCCAAGCCCCTTGATAAGAAGCTGATTGTGAATTTGTGTCAGTCATGGGCTATAGCTCCGACTTCATGCCTCATCTAGGGGAGGTGCCCGGCAAAGCAGGTCAGTACATCATCGCCGGCTTCTCGGGACACGGCATGCCCGAGATATTGCTCTCCAGCAAGGGCGTTGCCGCCATGATTCGAGATGATGTTCCTTTTGAGAAATCTGGGTTGCCACGTATCTTTAAAACTTCCCGGGAAAGGATCACCAATAAGCAGAATCCTCTTGAGGAATCGTTGAAACCATTGTGGGAGGGTGAAGCGAAAGCCAGACTCTAGGAAGCTTGGGGGGCGAATGTCTTTGAAGTTCATATTTCGAATAACGGTAGCATCCTTTTCAAGGGAATCGTTGAGCCAGAGTCTTCAAAATGAAAATGTTTCAAGTTCAGGCCAATATCTCCATCGAAATGTACTGTGACCAGAATGACAAGTCAAAACATCCGACAAGTCTCTGCGGTATAAATCGGAACACAAATCAAGGCCCTGATCTAGACATAAAGCGTACAATATTGCAGAACTGATTATTATTCTAGACCGCATTAACATATCTAACAATTCATAGCACGTAAGCCCCCGAGGGATATCAAAAACCACTAGAACCAACCCCAATGCTATCACACAAGCAATACCATTAACGAGGATCTAGCATAGCGTACACTCAACGCAATCTCTAGTACAAGATGCTCTTCTCAGTGCTGCTCCTGAGATCTTCTTCTTCACTTTACCTGCTGGTAGCTCTTGTAATGGCAAAGACACCGACAATGACAATAGCCAGCGTAACAATGGCACCGGGCAAAAGCAGCTCATTCGGCACACCAGCAATGACCTCCTTTTCAACGTGGGCATTGCCACCGTTTCTTGTCTTGCGTCGGCGGACTGTAGATGCGTATTCCTCATCCTCACTCTCGTCCTCCTCGTCCTCAACGGGGGCACGGCGTCTGCGCACGTCGCTAGCAACTGCCGAGCTTGCGGGAGGGGTCGGGAGCTCTGGAATGGGTTGAGGTGCAGCGACGTTGATTGGCGGCTGGGATGGGTCGTGCACAAAAAGGTCGACCTTTTCGTGGTGGGTCTGGCGGGCGAGAAGAATAGCTTCCAGAAGATCCTGGTCAGTGGTAATGGAGACAGAGTCGCCCTCGTCATCGAGATAGGAGAGGGCAAAGCCGCTAGCTCCAACCTTGCCATCTTCGACAACTGGTGCACCGCCAATGGCGTCGACCTCGGAACCGAGCTTTGCGATAACGTTGCTCACCAAGGCCTCGATACCTTGAGCTGCAATTACTTGCAATCGGTGAACACGGCCGCTGGGAGCCTTGAACTTGAAGGCAAAGGGAATCTCGGCCGGGGGAGCTTCCAGTCCACCAGCAAGGGAATGGGCGGGCGAGTCCACGCCAATGTGCGATGCCGAATCTCCGGGAGCGACAGACTCGTTAAGGCGGTCGCGGGTGTGGTCTGGCGACATGACGGAGCGGGTGTGGACAGTGTGGTGGTGGGAACCCTCACCAGACACCATGGACTCGGTTTCGTTGTCAAAGGAGAGCCAGAACTTGTTCCAAGCGGGACCCTCGTTGTCGCCAGTCGACATGGTGTTGATTTGCTCCAGGGTAGCATAGGTGAGCTTGAGTACATCGACCATTCCTACAATCTCGCCCTGGTCGTTCATGACGGGCAAGTTGAGGTAGTGGCCATCTAGGGAGTATCAGCATCATATTTGCGCATAGGAAATACAAATCGTGACTTACCGTGCATCTTGCGCAGAGCGGCCTGGATCGACATGTCCATGGGAGCAAAGTCGGGGTGAGGCGTCATGACACGCACGACGCTGCAGTTTGCCGGGTCCAATCCGGGGGCAATGACACGAAGAACAACATCCTTGCTGGTGAAGATACCAGTAATCGATCCTTGATCCTGAACGAGCACGGCTGTTGTGTGGTTCTCCTTCATGAGTGCTGCAGCCTCCTTGACCGAAGTCCTGACGCTGACAGTAGTAGGGGGCATGCCGTTGAGGACGGACTCGAGCGTGGGTCCAGACATCTTTGACCTCAGAGCCTCAACGTACTGAATAATCTGTTGAGGCTGGCTAGAGCCCAGCTCGGACTGAACACCCTCCAAGGCAGCGTACAGCTTGGTCGAGGAGGAATAGGCGCGCTCCAGCTTCTCCATGGCATCATAGAAACACTTTGTGATATCCAGAATACCCACAATATCTTGGTTCTCGTCCATGACGGGCAAGTGTCGGAAGCCCTTTCTAACCATGAGCTCGAGGGCATCTGTGGCACTGGTGTCGGTGCGGGCGCAAAGAGGGTTCTTGGTCATAATCTCGGCAATGGTCACGTTGACTGCCTTCTGTCCGTCACCAACAACTCGGAATGCAAGATCCTTGGCGGTAAAGATACCGGCAATGCGGTCATCGTCATCTGTCACCAGCACGCAATCCTCTCTCTTGGCGGCCATCAACTGTGCGGCCTCGGCGACGGTGGTGCTGGGCTTGATCTGGAGGGCGGGACTGGGCTTGAGGGCCAGGACGGTTCCGGGGGGAGCCTTTCGCGACGTGCGGGCCCGGTTGGGGAGGTGCTTCTTCTTGTTGAGGTCATTTTCGAGCTTGCGACGGATAGCCTGGCGATTTGAGTGAGCCTCCATTGCCTTTAATTGTTTCAAGGTGACCATGATGGGCGGCCTGCGACCCCTTCAGGTTTGTATTAAAGAAGCAGCAGCAGCTGTTTGAGGGCGATATTGCGCGTGCCAAGGACAGAGTGCGTAAGGGGCGAAAGGGGGGAATCTATCATCATACCTCGTCACGCTTGCTTTGTTTTTGTCTGCTGGCGCTCACGCTGATGGAGGAGGCAGCATCGTTGGGGACGGGCTGGCTGTGGCCTGCCCCATGCGAATCGAGCACGGGTCTGGGGATGTTGGAGCCGCCAGCAGGGCTGTTCGTGAAAGGGATGGCACCGCGCTGCTGGCCGCGACTCGGCGTGCCTCTCATTGTGTTGGACATGTTCGCATAAAATTGGCGGGACCCGTGATTTCGGCTTCGATTAGGGGTCTATGCAGGGTAGCAGAACAGCTGCAGTTATTGGTATCGAGTTCCGACAGAACAAACTGCCAATGGAACAAAGGCCGACAAGGCTGGAAACAAGAGGTCAAGAGTTGTTGATAGGGAGGATGTTATGGAGAGACGAGGCCAAACAAAAAAAGATTGCCAGGCGATCGATGATGGAACGTCGAATGTTCGGTCACATGGGTTTGAAAGAAGCTCTCGAATGTTTCTCGCTCTGCCCCAGCACAGGCAAGGTATCGGAATATGGCGCGTCAAAAACTAGGTCGGGGGGAGAAAAAAAGCCGCCAGATCCCGGTAATAAAAAGTTGAGCTAAGCTCAACTGGTTGCTAGGTGAACACGTTGTCGGGGTCCTCGTGGCCACTAAAAGAAAAGAAGAATCAATCTCTCCCCTCGGTGGTGATTCGTGATTGTCTTTTAGCGGTCAATCCATTGGTCTTGGACCTGCATTTTTATTTGGCCTTGCCGGTTTGTTCCTTGACAGGATACAAACGGTATGTGGGAAATCAGAGCTACTAATAAATATTTAGAAGCTGTCGCGCTGCAGGTAGCTGCTAGTGAGTAATTGTTTATGCGTCAGAGACGTGAACCAGGAAAGTCAATAGAACAGGACCCTGGCTACCTCGGTAGCACAAAGTATATGATCGCCCTGGCACCCTGTTGCATTCAGCATTGAACAGGCTAATAAAAAGTAGCACCACCCACTTTTTCACAATGCGATTGATGCCTCCACTGCATATAACAGTATATACTTTCAAAACTCGTGATTGGGAGCCAGAGACTCCAATTGGTCTTGACGCATTTCTCATTACTCAAGTCGGATATGCTTACGGAATGGAATTACCTAGACATCGATCTTGCATTATTTGACAGCTCAACATCCTTGAAGCTGCACCAACCTTATGCTTCTTCAAGATTGAGACATGCATATTTTGGCATTTGCAACGTTTTCGAATGAATTAGGGGACAATGTCTCGAATCCGTTGAGTAATCTAAGGCGTACGGTAACCGTAGTGTGAACAATCAGAACTATACCATGCACTGGCAATACATTCAGCCGCCATCGCTAACATTGATGCATGCAGCACATGTTGAAATGAAAGTGGCCACACCAGTAAATAAGAGTAATATCATCAGCATCTAGAAAAACAGTAGACTGTTGGCAGCAGCGAGACAATATATGGGGATTGAAAGTGATGAGAGACTCCTTAATGTAGGCTCCTATTTCTAGATAAATCACAGCTTGGCCAAAACGTGTCTGGACTGTACGATTGTTCCTTCTAGGCTTAGACACATCTACTTCCAAGCCCCAAGTCCTCCTGTAAAGTCTTCTACTCGGCTTCGACATACTCATAACAGAGATAACCACCCTGAATATCCATCACATCGGCAATGGTAATATTGGGGAGCAACCCCAAGGTACTCAGCACGTGGGTCAAGGTCGTGGTATTGCCCCGATCGCCAGGCTGTGTGTCCGTCACGTTTGGAATTGTCGTACACGGGAAACCGGAGCACGTCCCATTCTGCCAGTCACTGCCCGGTGTCTCGGGGAAACCGACATTCGGGTCCTGTCTGTTGGCTCCCGAAATATCTGTCAATCGAGCCGTCAGGTTGATCGCTTGCCAGTCCCACTGCAACAATACGTATTAGTAACTGTCTATTTGGGTAGATAGATAATTTTGAAGCAGCTCTTTTAAGCAGTTCGTCTGAGTCTGCTCTCTTGGAGCACCAATTTGGGCAATGCTTGCTCATGAGACAACCCAGAAAAGGAGAGAAATAACACCGGAAGTTGCTTACCCAAATCTTGTCTAGCCATGTATGGTGAAGGAAAAATATAGGATCTCCGGGCGAGGAGATGGGATTAGACATCTATGGTGAGTGTCAGTCATGAATATCCAAGGCCTTGTGGTGGCTTGGAAAGTGTTGGTATACCTCGCGGCCGACCCCGCCGTGCCCTCCGCCATGCGGCCTGCCCTCGATGCAAGGCCAGGCCGTGAGAAAGTCATCGTGCTCGTAGCAAGCGTCAACTTGTGACTATTCCGATCCCAGACTTTGTTCGTCGCTAATTTGACGATCGATGCAGTGGTCGTGGATCGCATAGCCGGGGCCGAGAGAGTTGGTGTAGTTTGCGAAGGGGCCGTCGGTAATGCAGCCATCTTCCTCCCGTCCGTCCCCTCCGAAACCATAAACTGGATCAAAGATGACGGACTGAGTAAAGTTTCCGGCTTCCTTTGGCTCGTCCCAGTATCTGTCTTTAGATTAAGATATTGTTGACTTGTGATGTAGTCTACCGCCTGACTCACGGTTGGGCTCCAGTGTAGTTGCATTCAGTCTTGAGGTAGTACTCATGCGTATGCATCAGCAGCCGGTGGTAGGGCAAGAAGGCGCCAACACCGTGAACCGTCGCCGCTTGAATCTGGTGGTTCGCTTGTAGTTCGTCAAAGAGGGTGTTGCAGCCAGGAAGACCGAGCTTTGCTGGAGTGTTCATGATACAGAGCTCTGCGTTCAGATATTCCAGCTTTTCATCGTTCGAAAACGTGTGCCTAGGTCAGCCAAGCGTCAGTCAATCCCATCTGAGTAGGTTTATTTCTCTGTATCTACCAAGCACGTCTCTGGCTGATCTCTGTGCATTCTGCTGCAACGAGAGCCAAGGGCCCCGAGGCAAGAAGTAATGATCTAAACGAAACTCCCATTTTGGTAAAGCGATCCAAGGGAATATCTGTCAATTCGGTATCGAAGCCAGTTGCTTGATAATCAAATCCTCAGGCTTGCCGTGGCAATGCCTATGTTATATAGACACTGAATTCCATAGTTGTAGTCATGTGAAGACTTTGTTGCCGTTGCCGGGTCATGGTCATGGTAGAGTTTCCAGCACTTTGAGGCTGGATAGTATACAGCTCGAGACGATGATCATTCTGGAACAGGAAAGAGCAGCAGGACAATGTTTACGACGTTCCTCGTTTGGTCAAAGTTTTCCATCCTCCGTGCAAACCAGAATTGATGAGACGCGTAATGCCAATTCTTGTTACAGTGACAGTGATATAGAAGTCTACAAAGTAATAAGTAAATTGGAAACAAGGAAACGAATTCTGTACAATATAGTTATGGTGAACATGATCGGGTATAATCTCCCGTCCTGTAAAATGCGGAGGCCTGACAGATAATCCTGGCTGACCATCCCGTTTCTTCTGGTAGGAGCATCACTTAGGGGGAGGACTGCCAAGCTCACTAAGCGCTGACAAAGACGCGGGTAATTTGACAAAGCAGCGTTTATGCAGTTGTACAGTTTCAATGACTCCATATTATTTTGAAAGACTGGCCATGTACTTGTGAGGTAGGTGCCAGGCTTGAGGTACGGCTGCCCAGAAGCTAAACTGTTGAAAACCCCTAAATAACTCCTCCTCTCTTTTTTTTAATACTGTTTTTTGAGAGAATAAATAGAAATAAAAGAAAGATAAAAAAATAAAATATTAAAAAGGAATAGAAGAAAGAGGAGAGAGAAAAGAAAAAGGAAAGAGAAAAGAAGGAGAAAAGTGAAAAAAGAAAGAAAAGAAAAAACAGAGAGAGGAGAGAAAAAAAGCGGAAAAAATTAATGGTTAGCATTTAGTAATAATATTTTTTGATATTTCTTTTTTAATTTATGTTATATCATCACTTTTTATCGTAGCCATGGTGGTGTGCGCTTATAAGGCCAAAGTCGGGGGTTTTCAACAGTTTGCTCGCTGGTGCTCCGTATCAAGGATACCTCGAGGTATAAGCCAGACAAATAATTGCAAGTGGAAACGACTTTGAGCGGAAATTGCAGGAGTTAAACAGCGGACATATCGGTCATCATGTTCGATACCGTTGATCGTTGGCGCAATTGTTTTGGTGCGAGAATGGGTAGTAAATGCTCAAATCATATCCCAGTTACCTGGGGTTTCTTGTCTGTCGTGGAGTGATTGCTTGTGAAACTTTATCAAAGCGCTTTACCTACCAACGAAATGGATCAAATGTGTAAGCGGCCCCAATTGCAAGCCTTGCTCACCGATTTACCTAGTGTCGATGCCACAAGTGCATTGACTTTAAGCCGGCATCGGCTGATCGGCTGGATAGGCACTTGAGCAAGAGATCCACCTGCCAAGATATATTCCTTCGCTAGGTGATATCTTTTTTTATCTCATGCATGGCTCACACGAGCATTTCAAGAATAATGTCAACGGTGGCCTTGGGTGGTGTTTTGCCCTGGAGAAATTCTCCGGCCGGGTGATTAATCGGTGAATCGTGAATGGTGGTGCTCGTGATAGTACTTTGTATAGTGCTAATTCGGCCCCGGCTTGCAGTGTGGGTTAAGTGGGACATGGGCTTCGGCTCCGTCTTATAAGTTGTGCCAAGCTTGCCAAGTTACACTGGCAACCTAGGAATTCGGCTTGAACGCGTGTTTCCTTCGCTGATTCATCCGCTTATTCATCCCCGTGCCCTATGTGCTATGCAGGAGTTGCAGGCACTCGACGAGCGAGACGCGCGGCTCCCAAGGATCGACAACCCCAACGTACCAGGAACTGACAGAGGTTCACTTGAACCTTTAGGATTGATCGCAATCGCGGCAATGATAGCACCGATCAACGACTCCGGATCTACCGATAGGTCTGGACAAGCTCGAGCGCGTAGATCTGTCCCCACGCAAGGTGAGATGGACGGGTCCTTTGAACAAACAAAAAATGTCCATTCGAACGTACTTTTGATTCGGTTGTGCTCCTTGAGACAATGTTTGGTTGTCCTTCTACCACTTCGAAATCATGTTGACTATGTCTCCTGTAAACCAAACGCTCATTGCGGGGATTGTGGATCCAAGTATGCAACAGCAAACATTCCGACTTTGCACCTTTGCAGATACTCTCAGGTGAAGCAAAATATGAGGAATACACTTCGCCGGACAATACGCAAGGAGGCTTTCGATAGTCTCGAGATATCGGATGCATGAAATATCCGTCGGCCTATAAAACCCCGTTTCGATAAAGATGAGGCTCAAGCATTACGGGCGCGTAGCCTAGCGAGGCCCCCCATCTCGCCTCATCCTGGCCGATCCACCCGCGGTGATATGACGGCGGTGCGGTGGGACCGCTTCCACCACGAGGCTCGGACATCTGCAAGTCCAGGTTGAAATATTGAAAAAATGCATCATGCTCAGTCTGAGGAAGGTTCGTCATGCTAGCTTTTATGGATCTCAATTGGGCTACACGACCGGCCGCTCACCTGAGACTTATCTCTCACTCGACTTTGAACATTTTGAGAGGACTACGCGGATACGACATAAACGAAAATAGAGTTGCAATACGATATATTCGTGAGCTCCACGAAGCTTGGAACCCTGGAATGGGAGCCATTGACTTGAGTATAAGAAGGAGGTGAAAGGCAGCGTTTACCACGGAGAGTATCTCCTCATCACAATCAGCTTGATTTCATCTTTACAATCGTTCAAAACATTCGTTGAGACGCCGAACCTTACATTCGTTCAAAGAAAAGCAACATGATGAGACGAGCTCTTCTCGCCGCGGCCATGGTCGCCACCATTCCGTCTGTCTTGGCATTGCCAAAGTTGACCAGACGTGATGAGTGTACCAGTACCAAAACACAGCGCAAGCCATGGTGAGTGATTCCAAAGTCGACCCTCGATCTCAAGGCAATCATTTCTCACTCTTATATCCAGGTCAATGTTGACAGATGACGAAAAATCCGCTTACATTGATGCGGAGCTATGTCTCATGTCAGCACCTTCACAATCCGGTGTCGAAGGTGCGGAGAGCCGCTGGGACGATCTGCAGCATAACCATATAATCCAGACACAAGTCGTTCACGATGTGGTATGAATATCAGCCAACTGGTCTGCATTTGCGCCTGTACTAATCATTCTATGTAGGGCCAATTTCTCCCTTGGCATCGTTATCATGTCACCGTCCATGCCGAGCTGCTCCAGGACGAATGTGGTTACACTGGCTCAATCCCCTACTGGGACGAGACAGTTGACGCGGAATTGAGTGACCTTTCCACGGCTGATGTCTTTCAGGCCGACGCCTTCGGTGGTGACGGCGATGGTGACAACAATTGCATCACCACGGGACCATTCGCAAATCTGACCCTGCATCTGCGACGTCTCGGTGTCGATCCGTCCGACTACTGCCTCAGTCGCTCTCTCAATCTTGCCCAGCTGCAACAGGCAAGCCAGTCGAACCTGGACAAGTGCATGGCGATTGACAATTACACGTCAGCATGGGAGTGCTGGCATTCCAGCCCCCATAACGCCGGTCACGGTGGCACTGGCGGCGTCATGGTCGATGTCGTCCTGAGTCCGGAGATCCTATGTTCTACCTCCACCAGTAAATTACCTCAAAGTCTCTAGATTTCAGTCAAAGCAATGTACTCATCATGTCTTTATTTAGCACCTGGCTCGACGCCCAGTGGTGGAGATGGCAGTCAGCCGATCTAGACAACCGTCTGACCGACATGGGAGGCCGCAACGTGCCCGAGGACAGCTATATCCAGCAGGGCAACCTCCCCGAGCCCACGGCCGCTTGGACCGACTACTTTGGCGACGACGGCAACGTGACCACGCTCAATCACGTTCTTTATGCTTCCGAGATCCGCCCCAACGTCACCGTCGGCGATGTCATGGACGTTGGAGGATCCACCATATGTTCTGAATATGTGTACAGCGATGAGTAATGTTTCAATGTCTAGTCTAATCTATAGGCGTATACTGGATGGATATGTTCAACGATGTAATGATTGGTGGGTTTCTGGATACTGGAGTATGGTGATTCTATTAGAGATTAGATGTGCGAGTCTGCGACTTAAGTTTAATATGATAACATTGGCTTTTCGAATGTCTCCGCCTTTGTTGCATGCTTTCTTGATATATCAAGTAGAATCGACGCCGTTTGCTCACTCCATCTTTAAACTGTCCAACTCGCAGGGTGAAACAGCTAAATCCCCTCATCGTGGCTGGATGACGGCTGTATAAATTTGAACTATCAGTAACATTTCCCTACAATTCGAGGGTCTCATTAATGTACATACTCTATATTCCAGGGTCAAGAAGTACAACAGCATGGCTGGTCAGAACCAATCAGGTTCTGTTGATAAAACACTCGTGTCAATAGCAAGCAAATCATTGGGTCCAAGTATAGCGAGCGAATAGACTGCGGGGTATCGCGCGGGTTGCACAAGTAAGCTTAATTTAGGAGGTGCGCCCTGTCCAGGACTGCCTTAGACTACGATGTTACTCAGCCTTCAGCATGCCGTTTGGTTCTGTAAAGATGATGACATTAGCCATGAAATGGAGATTTCGTAAGAGACAGAATCCGAACACCCGCGTCCAGTTTAGAGTCTATTGCCCGCGCCCATCTGCCAAGGAGACGCATTAGAAGAAGCAGCAAAGGCGCGATGGTTTCCAATTTTCAAGACACTCGAGTCGAAATGGAGGATATATGCATAAATTATACCTGGAGTTGTGTGCAAATAAACAGTCTCAAATAATACTAACTAGAGCAGTCTCCATCCACCATTCAGCCAAGGTTGCCGCAACCTCTTTTGTATGGTTGCAATGCAAATGGGGATGACGCATATTGGCCTTTCTAGTCGGCACCTTCTTCAGCCACTAAGAGCTCTGCATGGCGGCACGCCGTTGCAGTTGCGCTCCACGACTCTTGCTCCTAGACCTGCCATTCAATAAACATGCTCTGTCAAGGAACGTTACGGCTGGTCATCTGGCTCTCCAAAAATCATTAACGGATCCTCGCGGATCTCCCACATGATTATGTTGGCCAGACCTGGCCAGTTTCAACCTTGCACACAGTCTCACAAGCTATAAGGCCTACCGGCTGGAAAGTCATTCCTCGTACGCCGGGCATCATCACCGACATGCCACGTCGGTCGTCTCCAACATTGATCAGAGAATATGCTTAGTCAAATTGTGCGCTCGCTGCACTGGGCCGGGCTGTCCTCACAAAGGTTTATGCCCAACGCGCAGTCCAGCAGCCGTGAAACTACTCTGCCCTCCTTGATGTTCACGGAGCAAGGTTCCTTTCAGATATCGATATTCCAAGACCTGCACTTTGGCGAGAGTAAGTCAACGGATCGACCATCTTCGACTCGGGTCTAACAACGTTATAGACGCATGGAGCTTTGGACCCGAGCAGGACTTTTACTCGGTGCAAGTCCTTAATGAGGTCTTGAATCAGGAAAGTCTTGACCTGGTGGTTTTGAATGGCGACCTCATCACGGGCGAGAACACCTTCCTAGAGAACAGTACCCATTATGTCGACGAAATTGTTGCTCCATTCATCGAGAGGAACTTGACTTGGGCCTCTACGTATGGCAATCATGATTACGATTACAACATTACGGGTGCAACCATCTTGGATCGGGAAATGCTCTTTCAAAACTCGCGGACTAGGCAAATGGTCGATGGTATAAACTCTGGCATCTCGAACTACTACTTGCCCGTCTACGACCCGTCATGCGCCACCTCCGATTGCGCCCCGGAGTTATTGCTTTGGTTCTTTGACTCGAGGGGCGGATGGTACTATCAAACCAAGGATGAGTCGGGAAACAAGGTCGGCCAGCCAGATTGGGTCGATGAGAGCGTGGTCGACTGGTTCCTTAACACCAACACCGATCTGGTCAGTCACCATGGCAAAGTCATTCCTTCATTGGCATTCGTGCACATTCCCACCAATGCCTCGCTTGCACTTCAAGAAAGGGGAATCAATGAATGCAAGCAGCCTGGCATCAATGACGATGTACCTCTAGCTCAACAGGCCCAAGGATGGTGTGTAGATGGAAGTAACGACGCCGATTGCTCCTACGGCGGCCAAGATGTCCCGTTCATGGAGGCGCTGGTCTCGACTAAAGGTCTACTTGCTGTATTTTCCGGACACGACCACGGTGATACTTGGTGTTACAAATGGAATGGCCTGTTACCAGGAATGACGGTCAGCGGGAACGGACTCAACCTTTGCTTCAGCCAACACTCTGGATACGGCGGGTACGGATCATGGCAACGTGGTGCTCGCCAAGTTCGCGTCACCAAGCAAGGCTTGGAAAACTCGGAACTGGATACATGGATACGTCTTGAGACGGGCTACGTCACGGCAAACGTGACCCTGAATGCTACATACGGTCAGGACAATTATAATCCATGTTAGAGGCTTCCTTGGATTCTACATGCTTTGACCGGTTATTTGTAATTTGGAAGGATGCTAAATTTTTCCTCTGGCAGTAGTCGTAGCTCCACTATATCTTATGTAGCAGGATAAATAACATCGTCTTATCGTTCCTTCTTGTTCTTGGTCAGGATACCTAACGCTCGTCACGACAGACCCAATGCAGTTTCAAAACATGACGTGCAATTCTTGTTGATCCCCTCTCTCATCTCAAATGATCATCACAATCGATCTTCCGATAATATTTCTCAATTCTTAACTTACTCATATACATCTTAAATAAGCTCTGTACATTGTCAACTCCACTTGTTCATACGGTAACATTGTCTTCTTTTAACTTTGGTTCTAAATATAATCTGATCTGACTCAATTGTCCAGGCCGATTTCTATTGGCTGAGATAGATGACGGCTGCCGCTATTGGTATGGCTTCGATCACGCCAAGATACTGCGCCGCAGCGGCTCTTTTTGGTGTCTGCCTGTAGCTACAGAATATAATGAGGAGGGATCACTGATTTCAAGATGGACTCTTTCAACATCTTTTTTAGCATCCGCAGATGGAAACAATAGCAGCAGCAGAAAAATTAAGCCTAAAGTCCACCATTGCCCTGCGCGACTCGGACGCCAAGCTGCCCGTCCTCGGCTTTGGGGTCTACCAGATCGATCCCCCCGACACGACGGCGGCGTGTCTGCAGGCGCTGGAGGCGGGCTACCGCCACATTGACACGGCGCAACTGTACCAAAACGAGGCCGAGGTGGGCGAGGCGCTGCGGACGTGCGGCTTGCCGCGCGAGGATATCTTTGTCACGACCAAGATTCGCTACCCTCGTCTCGGCAAGGGCAAGACGTACCTGCGCGCGCTGCAGAGCATCGAGAAAATCGATGCGCGCGGGGACGGAGAGGAGGAGCAGGGCTATGTGGATTTGTTCCTCATTCACACGCCCTATGGCATTAGTGCCAAGGATCGCAAGGAAATGTGGTTGGCGCTGGAGAAGCTTCACGACGAGGGTCGGGCTCGGGCCATTGGCGTGAGCAATTTTGCGCCCGAGCATCTCGAGGAGATGAGGTCGTATGCGTCCGTGTGGCCTCCGGCTGTCAATCAGATCCTGGTAGTTCTTTTGGGTTCTTTCTACTTTACGCGATTGAGGCTGGAATGCTTATTCTTATCTTAGCTTCATCCCTGGACTCAGCAACGAAAGACGGTTGACTACTGCAATGAGCATGGCATCGTGCTCGAGGCCCATACGCCGTTGGCTAGAGGCGCGAGATGGAATGATCCCGTCGTTGCTGAAATCGCAGAGAAACTCGACAAGTCGCCAGCACAAGTCTTGATCCGGTATTGCTTGCAAAAGGGGTGGGTTCCGTTACCCAGGAGCGAGAAGGAGGAGCGCGTCAAGGAGAATGCCGACGTTTTTGACTTTGAAATATCAGAAACTGATATGCAAGCTCTCGATGCATTGGATGGCCAGAAAGAGCCCAATTGAGCAGAATGACTTCAGCCTGACAGCGTGTTTTCATTCAGTATAGGCGACCTTTTACTGTCCATCTTGTATGGGTGCCCGACAACACGTCGATCTTGTAGTCCTGACGATGGGAAAGTCTTCCTTTGGCCTCGAACGATCGATTTTCAAAATTTGGCTGAACATTCTGTGGAATCGACGCGAATATTTTTGATGAGGGCTGCAATACGCCGCATTGCACCAAACGGCCAACAAAAATGGAGTTGAGCAGGATGAGGAGGAGGGAAGTCCTGATTTCATTTTTACTGCTAAGAGTGCCCACATATACAAACTATATACTAGAATTATATTTCACTGCATTTTCAACACAAACAAAGGGCATCTTCTTCTTCTTCTTCTTCTTCATGGCATCCACGAGCAAGCTGGGAGATGCGTTGTCTCTAACGTCCACACAGAGATGAGGGGCTGTGCAGAAACAGCTGCTGCGGGTATGGCCAGGATCACCGCCACGTACCTCAACCAATGACAACCCCAAATTGGAAGCACAAGGTCGTCTCTATTGTGGGGGGCCGCTCATCGTACATGAAAATGACGTGGTTCTACAAAACACCATGGTTATGGCCGTGGCCAGGCCAGTTGCATTGGTGACTCCAAGTCTTGGATGTTTCAATGATTCGACAATGGGCAAAAGTTGGCTGGGATCGTTGCTCTAGTGGAAAGCTCCAGACTGGTTAGGTTGGTCAGATGAATCAAGTCGCTTGCACAAGACAGGTGCAACATGCATCTTGTGAAAACTGCTGATCAACCCATTCGCGTGTGCTTTGTGGCTCTCATCTGTCTGACCGATTGGATGATAAAGGCTTTCTGAGCTTCATGACTGGTGTCAGGCCCTTGCCTTTAGCATTACTCCACCAACGGTCAAGACGGCGATGACAGAGGATAGGTCGCCGCAGGATCGGTGGCTTCAATCCTCAACCGAGCTCTGCAGCTCTCTATACTGAGAACACCGAGGTATATTTTCAGTTTACCTGATTACCAGAAAGTCCAAGATCGTGATTTGCTTGACGCGGTCTCGAATAGCTGCCACACCAGGTGTGGTCCTCGACTGTGACTGGTGCGAATTATCAAGCAAAGGAATCTGCGCGATTCGTATGTGGTTTCAGCTGGATTATCCATAAGCCGAGCACAAAATGCTGTTTCAATCAACCGCAGCAGAGAGATAACCAGAGTGTAAGCGCTCGGTATCGCACTGGATGCGGATAGCCTGGCAGAAGAATGCCAGGCTCTGCCAGATATATAGAGTGCCCAAAGGTCATCACCTCGTGGAAACAACAAGATGGAGCCCAAAGCCCCTTCCGGTTGCACCTGTCCTTGTACCAAATCAGTTCGCTATACTCTGTGATCCATACAACAAAGCAATGCATCGTTCGGGTCTCATCTCTTTTTTGGCATTCATTGCCACTGCTGCCACGGGTGTCTGGGCAGCTCCAGCCGCTGAACCCGAGCCAATCTTGAATGTGAGGGAGGCAGAAAGAGATCCTCGCACCGTCCATCTTGAATCCTCCGCCACGGGTTTCAAGCGCTCAGAACCAACCCTAGTCGTGGGGGAGGTTGAGATCGACCCTCGTACCGTTCATTTGGAGTCCTCGGCGACAGGCTTCAAGCGTTCAGAGGCAACACTGGGTGTCCGAGAAGAGAAGATTGATCCTCGTGTTGTTCATACTGAGTCTTCGGCCACGGGATTCAAACGCTCGGAGCCAACATTGGTAGTGCGGGAGGAGGAATAGTCCAACAAGAGAGATTAGTAGCTGGGCGGCGGGATCGTTCTGTACGCACTGCCATTCTTGAGGATGTCGGTCAGATGCTGGTATGCAGGCTTGCAGATCAGTATGCTGTTTTATGCTGAAGCTGGATAAATTCGAGGCAATATTGCTTGTACAATTGCACTGAGTCAGCCAACGGCAGGGATCGAATGGTCGTCTCGTCAGCAGAGAATCGAGTCGGTAGTTGTCATGTTGCCGCGTTTTGTACACGTATTTATGTACCGAACCCAAGTCCCTTTGCATCAAATGTCTTGGAGGAGATTGTCGTCAGCCACCCGCTGAACTATGAACTGAATTCAACCCTGCAGCTGTCACCATTTAGTTAAGAAATTAGTGCAAACCACAATCTTATAAGACGATTTTCCCGAGAGACACGTCTCGCAAACCAATCCTTTGACGAGAGATGAATAAAACGTGCCGGGCCTTTTTGACATTGTTGAGAAGTGACATTCCTCGATTGTTTTGACTGAACAGGGAGGTGGCAACTTGGTTTCTAATAGCGGCCATTGTGTCGTAAGATGAATCTGCAATAGGACGAAAAAAGCAAAGGCAAGTGGAGGCTCGGAGGGCGGGAGGACGGGAGCCATGTCGGTTTTGTGGGGTCAACCGCCTGCAAATCCGGGGGGTTCTGGGGTAAGGGAAAAGAGGGTTCAGGCCACTCAGTGGTTTCGACGAAGGATACAGCGGGGGATTCCCAGACCTGGCCAGGTTTCGATGAGAGAGAACACAGGCAAAAGGGGCTTCTTGCAAGGCAGAAGATGTAGATATAATGTACGTGTATGCAGTTGCAAATGCGAGGTGCAGGCACACACGCACGCACGCACACACAAGAGTAGGTCGTACGCGAATCACCTGATGCTCATTTCAACCTGCGTATGAGAGTGAGGGGAAAGCGGCCACTGTTCCCGGCTTGGATGCGACGCAACTCCAAGCCCCAACGCAATGCAATCCCAACCTTGTTCAAGGAGGGAGAAACAGCAGCAACAGTAGCAGCCATCAAGAGGCAACGAGCCGAAACAGGATTGGTTGTACAGAGGGGGGTGTTGAAGAGAAGGGCAAATAAGTGAGTGAAAGCGTCCACACACAAAACCTATTACTCCAACTCATCCGCCCGCCTTCCTCTCTTTTCGAATCCCTCTCTCCCTGGGTTCCTCTTTCCCTCCATCACCTTACTAAAATGCCAGCCAGGTATATGGGCACTGCCCACAAACCAAAACTTCCCCCAAAAGTCCCCAAGTTCCCCCGGCCTTATTTTGACTTCAACTCACCTCCACACTCTAATTCTCTTTTACTTCTCCCCTCGTGTCCCAATTGCCAAGTCTGACGAGAGATGCCATCACCAACGCCGCCACGACAAGAGACCAGTAAACTCTCTAATTGCCGAACCGATGAGAAGCTGAGCACGGAACTGGATGCCGACAACCTACCATAGGTCGTCCACAGCACACCACGATCGCGGCCATGACTCGTAACCTTGAGCAACATGGTAGAGAACCGAACGCATGCGTGTGCTACTATGCCATCGTCGTCCCAACTGTCAGCCACACTGCCAGCATGATTGCAGACATCCCCAGACGTCGCCAATATAGCTGGTACTCGGATAATACCGCCGAGGCATGCGATAATGATAGTCCCCGCTCCCTCTGGCTCATGCGGCACAGTTCAGCTGCCAGGCGTCGACACTTGTTAACAAAAAGTGTATACTCGGACGTATACTCGCATGGGATACCAGAGTCAACAGATATTAATAAGCCATTGCTCGGGCAGTAACACGAAGACCAACACGGCCATATCGTTCTACAGAACGTCTGTCAAAGACACGAATGTCTACCAGAGGATATCTTGCAACGGGGCATGGAATTGCCAACCACTTGGATTTTTGTGCGGTTCATATCGAACGGACAGTACGAGATCTTCTGCCTGCAGGTGAACAATCGAGGCTGGCTGACCCAGTGATTTTATCAATGGGAACATGGCACTGGACCATGTGTTTGTGTACTCGTCCATGTCTTTGGCACCAACTGGAATTACTTCGATCGACAATGCCACAGTGTCCTCATATTGCCTGGCGGGCGACACCTTTGGAAAAGAAGTGAACGATGCATGACCATGGTCTCTCTCTCTGGTGAGTGCGGCTCAACTTTAGTTGCGAGAGGTTTGGGTCGAACAATGTGGTCGGCAACCTCACCTCGTGGCCTCGAGCTAGGTCCGACGAAGTCGGGATAAGGAATCCAACAAGGCCTGAAGAAGATCTGGGGAAGGCCTGGGTCAAATACTATCTTTGCCGTGGATCTCGTTCTTCCAGCTAAGACAACACCATTGCCAAGAACAGTTAGGTATCTGGGGCTTTATCTCTTCCAAGGCCCATCTTTCTTTTTCAGGTTTAGCAACTTTGCTTCCTCAACACCATGGAATTCTCCACGAGCTTCCAAGCGGGCTCTGTGATTGGAAAAACAGACAAGACGATGGGGTCAAAACAAGACAAGTGGGGGTTGAGCACTTGGGTGTGCTCGAGTGGGCACTGTGAGCGGGATTGCGGACAACACTGGGCAGTGGCCGAGGGTATTGGACAGAAGTGGGTCCAAGCAGAAAAAAAGCCCTCATTCAGCCTCTTGCTGGTGGCCTTGCAGCCCGAGATCGTGAAGTCGCGAGAGATAGCTCAGCCGACAGGGACTGGCGAGCACTGGCCAAGTTGGTTGATCGATGCGTATCAGCTCGGTTGACCCAATTGAAAGTCAATTGGGATACAGCGGTTCTGAGCAGTCGGATGAAGTCATCAGGCACAGGTCAACAATCTTGAAGTGGAGATGTTCTGATGTAAACAAAGGGAAATGCTCATCCATTGGTCTCCGAATCCAGAAAGACGAATCTGGGAAGATGATGGTGTATATTTTACAGGTCCCGAAAGACTTTTTGACAGGTGTCCACCTCCGGTACTTGTCTACAAAGATCCATTGCTATGCAAGCCTTCCATCTAAAGCCCCTGCGTCCCCAATCTATGCCTCTATCGTCTATGCTGGATTCCCAATTGAACACAGGACGAACCATGGCAGGATGAAGCCACGATCCATCGCGACTCGGTCGCGTTTCACACAGTCGAGAGCGTTGTGTGAGCCCAGCCTCCGCAATGTGGGAGTAAACCATTTAGGTCTGTGTTTCATTGAGTTAGATTTCAGTCCTTTCATCAGGTGAGGTATTTTTATTTTCCGGGAATGACGTACGAACTTGGCCATGAGGGCAACCATGAGGTCGAAAAGACCAATGGCCTCGACGAAAGCGAAACCCAGAATGGCGTAGGAGAACAGCTGGCCACGGAGAGCAGGGTTGCGGGCAACACTGGTCAGGAGGGCAGAGAAGACGAGACCGATACCGATACCGGCACCAGTCAGACCGATGGCGGCGGAACCCATACCCAAGTTCTTGGAGACCTCGACCATAGCCTGAGCGATCTCAGAGGAGTAGGCACGCTTCTGGAAAGCCTGGCGGGTGGTGGCGTTGACGATCTGGGAAGCCTGCTGGCGCTTGACGGTCTGGAAAGCGTTGCCTGTGAAGGGATTCGATTAGCCATTGTCGGAGGCCATTGAGATGAATTGAGTTCTCGATGGAGGCCATTGAGCTCGATGGAAAGTAAAAAAAAGTTTTTTATCGCTCGTTGAGCAAGTTTTCACGTACTGGTGATGCTGCGCTTGGCGGCAGCGGTGGCCTGGACGCGCATGGCAGGGCGGGCAGCCTTGGTGGCCATGGACGAAGCCAGGCGGGAAGCAGCAACACGGACGGCGGCCATTGTGATGGTTGTGGATGGTTTGAGGGGAGAGGTGTGGATGGAAAGTTGCGGTGGCTTTGAGATTGATGGATGGGAAGGAGCAGAAGCTGTGTGATCTGGGGAAAAGAGCTTGGAAAGTTGGGAAGGGAGAGCTCGGAAAAACGAAGGGACAGGTGGACACGAAAGACAGCCGGTCTGGAGTGCGGTGCAACCGATTGCAGCTGGAAAGACGGACAATCGAAGGCTGATCGACCAAGAAGATGAAAGACAAACGACGGCGTTGACTACTGTGTGGATCAAGAAAAGACCAAAGCTCGTGAGAAAATTTGCTGGAGCTACCCAAAAGAGACAAGGGCGCCCGGATATTTTGGTGGTTGCGCAAGGCGACAGGGTGGCTCGGGTCATTTCGGGTGGGCCTCGACTGTCACTGTGCTGCTCAACTGCTCACCATTCATGACCCCGTTTTCGATTTTCAACGGCGGCAGCAAGTCTGAGGCCTTTTTTCCTTTGTTTCTTGTTCTTGCTTCTCTCACTGATCAAAAGGTGTGGCACACTACGTGATTCATGACTATCGGTAACGGACTCTTGAGCCTACGCAATGGAGAAACTATGCAACCATCCAATACAGCCGCTCAAGTTGTACGGGATTGGGCCTTTGGGGACAATTGAGTTTACAAAGCTCATGGGCGACATGAATCAGAAACGGAACAAGAATAGACAAAAAGGTAATAGTCACCTCCACTGCAAAAGGTCCCCACTTGGCGGCTGGTTCGATAGTAGGTTGCGTCGTTTGCTATGGTGACTGGCCACTGGCCAAGCCGGTTTGGATGGGAATGGGGGGTGGAAACGGAGGGAAGTTACGGTGATGACTAGAGAATTGCAACAAACGATGAGAATGGCTGTTGGTCCATTTGACAAGAACGCGGTCAACTTGGTCCTGCTACCACTCCAGCATTCAATTGGCATAACCAGAGAAGTCAATCTTGCTGATTCTATCCTGTGCCGTGTGTCAGCTTACTTGTGAATGACAGGATCTGAGAAGATGTGAGGGAAACTTTCACTCGGGCCCTGATAAGCTCCAGCATACAACGGCAAATATGACAGGGCTCTTGCAAGCAATAGACAAGGCTTGCTACCAAGGCTGGTCTGGCATTCAGATGTCCACTGATTAATGTTGTTGCCATTTTAAACGTAAAACTCTGCTAGCAGCAGGGGGTCTTGGGAATATCCCGCACTGTGGAACGCACGGGGCAGTATAGACAAAAGAAACATGGACTTCTTCCAGCCAAGATACACCTACCTTAGTAGCACCACTGCAACAGACGTGTATGTGAGACGCGGTGCGAGAGATTTAAAATAGGGGATTTCAATCCCAATGTTTCTCGACGACATTTTCCCCCCCAAGAAAACCAAAAACCCAAAAGCTGAGGAAATGAAAGCGGGTCGGATCTAGAAAACTTTTCGGCCAATGGCACGTCATCGCTAATGCCGGCAGGTCGGGATCCCATTTAGAGTCTTGGGGAGCCTCAAAAGGAAGCGCACCCAAAAATTGCATTTGGCCACGGGCTGCAGAGAGCAAGCCAAGCAAGCAGCACATGCTGTGTAACCCGACACTGGAAAAAATGCACACACTTTGCGCATCCGCATCCTGCTACTGGTAACAACAAGCTTTTGGCGAGCTGTCATATTGCACCTTGCCTCTCTCGAATGGAATCCCGACCCGTCTCCTATTTCTCGAACATGTCTGCGTCTACTCCAAATTTCACGCGCGAATACTGCCCCCGATGTCGCCGAGCTTCTATCGAATCACGAACACACAATATTGTACTGGCACATCAGGCTACTTGGGTTTTGGGATACCATTCAAAATGGACTCGGCCGCCCACTGAACTCGGCCAGAGATGCTATTGCTTCTATTTGGCCTTTTGCCGCAAACCTGCGCAATTCAGCTGATTTGCCCGCTCTGTTGGCGTTTCTGATCATTTACCGGCGCAGATGATGTCTGTCCTTGGCTCGATTCCTTCCTGTTTATTCCGTTTTTGCACCAGGGGAAAAGAAGATTACCAAATCCTGCAGCAAGTCAACCCAAAGGGCAGGAAATTCAGTCCTTGCCTCTCTCGGACCCGATATAAATCGCCGCATATTTTCCTATTGCAGTCCTGGAGACGACGATTCGAATACTCTCTACATCCATTCTGGTGCCGCTGCAGAGGAAACGTGCCTATTCATGTGCATTTCAAGCAACATGCTCGCCTGTTGAGAGTTGCTGCCATGCTGTCATGTGTGTGCTGTGCTGTGCTGTACTGTACTGGCCCGGTCACGCCAATGCCATGCCATGCAATGCAACCTTGAGAATTTTTTTCTTTTACCACTCTTGTCGGTTGTCGTCACGTCAGCAGCTAGCTATCCTTGCAGCAATGACAAGGGGCCAATCCATCTGTGGCAGCAGAATGCTTGCAGCTGTGAGTACACGGTGGTAGGTCATTTCGACTGGACGCGTTTTTGCACGACGCGCTACAATACTCGATGGACGACACTTGTTCCTCGAGATTAGTTCCACGTCGATATTTGAAGCTTTTGCGCATTCTGCGGTGAAGCAATCCGACCGACTCAGCACTTTCTAATCAAGATCATACACATGCAATCGTACCCGGATGACTTTCTGGTAAATTCTGCTCACTGCCCTAGGATGACACGATCACGAATTGCCCCCGAGTATCTGAACCGCAATCCGACCCCGAACCACGAGCACGCCGAGGCAAGCCTGCCTGTCCCATCCAGTGGTCAAGTGACTTCGAAAACGATACAATGCTCGAGACAAACCTCTCAAATATACCAACACATGAGTGCTGCTCTCCTTACACACATGTCCGGGTGCAAGAATTTCGCGATGGTGCTACTGTCATCGCATGCAAGTTGGCAAGGCTAGTACGTCAGTCCACTGTGTGCATGGAATGCGCATCTCTGCATGACTATTATAGCGATTGCTCTTTCAAGAGAAATGGAGTCTTTCAAACCCCGGGATCCTGCTCCCGTGTCTGAGACCACGAGTGTCCCATGGCCCGGTTGGATCTCGGACAAAGTATGTCACAGCCATATGGGCGCAGAATATCCATAAACAGAAGCTTTGGAAGGACATTCCAAGCTAGACTTGGCTACGACAATAACACATGTCTGGCCCTCGCAAGGGGAGTGAACCACTCACACCATGACCAGACTGGTTACATAATAAGTCACCAGTGTCTATCCTTCATGTGATACTAGGCTAGTAAGTAGCTGGATTTTTGTAGTATGGAACCAGACAAACCAATATAACAGCAATCAATAAAAGATAAAAAACACCTTAAGAAATAAACCAAGACAATGTGATTGGATGCAAAGGAATAAAAGAAAACATGACTTGCAATTACTGTGCTGGTGACTGACCATTATCTTCAGTCACGGAGGTGGGACTCAAAAAAGAGAGTAAAAAGAAATTGCTCAGCCACAGGATTGAACTGAGGACCTTCGCATAACTTGATATTCTTTTTGTAGGAGAATATTAGTACGACGCTCTAACCAACTGAGCTAGCCGAGCAACTGATTCGTTGAAACCGACGGCCTGTCAGTGTACTCGTCACCTTCCCGTCATCGTGTCACGATGGTCGGTGTCGAATTAGAGTCATCAGGTTGTGGATCATGGATCGTGTGGATGTAGTTCAATTATTGTACTGTGATAAGATGTTGCTTTTCTCTAGTGGCTTGGTGGTTAATGGAACCAGGCCGCCAGTCTTTGGTTTGAAGTGCTTCTGGAGAAAAATCTTCTCGTTATTACAAGCAGTGATTCCCGTTGGTTTGCTTCTAGACTGGAACTGCTGATCAAATAAATGTCTTTGCGAGTATGTACCTAGTGGCCAAAACCTCATGCTCTGTGGTTTTTGCTGCCAAGTATGCAAGAGTAGAGATTTCTTTGCCTGTTTGTACCTCCAATGTGGCATCTGATATAGCAGCACTCTGTAAGCACCAAGTGCCTCTCACCTCCTTGCATAAGCTCATTCCTTCCTGCGATATAATCGACATCCTAAAGCTTTGACCTAGAAATCAAAATTTTGAAAGGTGCCGTTAAGTGTTTCGAAGGCGGCGTATCTGTCGCTTGTGTCCGCTTCCTGAGGATTGCCTCTGCCTTTGAAGACACGGATTCGATGCGATTCTGATTTTAAAGCCTCGAAGACCCCCTTTCCCTGGGTCAAAATGGTCCGGACCACCCTCGTACCGGGATGATCGAGCCAGGAATAGGGGCCTCCTAGTCTGATCACATAATCTAGACGAGGAAAACTGTCCTTAATTTCATGGAAGTCATCGTAGATAATGAGGGGGTCGTTCTCGGGGATTCTGATCGCTGAATATTGAACATTCCATCATTAGCATGGCTTCAAGTTTCAGAGTGAGTATGGCCAGTACAGAGCATGTCCTCCAATGGTAGCCAGACATGAAGATGAAGAGTTGAGATTTGCAAAGCACGCGGAGTCGCAAAGTAGGTGAGAGATTCAATGAGTCGGATGCACTTACATAGCAGATGACGAAATTTCCTTCTATCTCTTCGTGTTAACTCGACTGAACGTTTGAATGAATTCAATTGAGGAATGAGGTCGAAATCGACAAATGTATTGTAGAAGATGATGTCTGAACTTGGTCGGAGGTAAACACAGCCAATTGGCATATTCATATCGTCTCGATTGCCATTGCGCCCCCTTGCCCATTCAGATTCGCGCAACGAAGCAACTAGGGGTAGCATGCCAGGTTCCGTAGAGGGTTCCGTACAAGAATAACTACGTCTAACCGGCAGCTGGAGGTTGTAGAACAAGCGCGCCCGCTTTCGGCTCTCGGCGTTGACTTCCACTGCGCATGTGACTATTAGAAGACTGGATGGAGGGAACGTGTTATATGGTATGCTTACTGAGACTTGATCGGAGCTCGTCATGGGGACAAACGCCAATGTCGGATCGGTATAAAAGGAAGCGTGTCTTGGCCTCTTCTCTGAGGGCCGCGTCCCAGATTCTCCGTCGAATTTTGGCCTTGAGTTTGCCAAATTTGTGGAAGACAACCAACTGTTCCTGTTGGTCGAACGGTGGTTGCGGGATGGACCTAGACATATCGCCGATAGATGCTGATTGCTGCGGACTGTCCATTGGCAACGTCAACGGAGAGCGTCGTATGTAAGGAAAATCTGCTATCAATGTTGGCCTCGAGAGTTTTATTGCGCCGTTCTGTGGCCTAGAGTGAAGAGAGATGAGGGGGGGACACTGTTGGAATCGAAGAACAAAGCTTTGAGCTCGGTGGAAAGCTCGATACTTGTGAGAGCAGTCAACGGAAGAAATAAACAAATGATGTTGAGTGTCATGGCAGCAGCGACACGTGCTGTAGCCTTTTGCCAAAGGCCAGGGAATTGCTAAAGCCACATGGCAAGGACGAAGCTCCAAATAACCCAATTAAATAGTTCAAATTTTGCAATCCCTTTTCTTGTGCTATATCTTCATGTGTTGTAATATGTAAACTTTTCGAATTCATTCGTCGTCAGGTGTGTCAAGGACCTCAAAGTGTTTTCAGCATCATAAAAAAAGAGACACCCGAGAAGCATTCGTAGCACGCAGCGGAATCTGGTCACTGTGCAGAACGGCCAAAAGCCTTGTAATAGATGGATACCGGTGTGCACCACTTTGTGTCTTATCAATCATACTGACTAGGTGTCTTTGTCAGTCTCATCACCCTAGCGTCAGGAAGATCATTATGTCATCCATGATTGGGGGAAATAACATCATGAAGACCCCGGCTATCCACCGCTCCTTCGATTCTTCGATGTGTCTGTGGCCCAGGGATACATGCTCGCATGCTCTCGCTCTCCAGAGAAGACTCTCCCTGATTTTTTTTCTCCACTCTCCCGAATGAAGGCTTGGAAAAATTGCAGCAAATCATAAAAGGTGACCTGGTCTGTAGGGTAATTATACCAAACAAAACAGATCTCCTTCTCCTCCCCATTTTCATCCCACCTCCAGGACATATTAATTTGGCCTGGGCTAAATCCTTGGGGTTGAGACTTCGAGGTTGGTGCATAGTGTTTTGGGTAGTCCCAGCGATTGAGCAGATAGTTTCGGGGGCGTTTCAGTTGCTCCGTCAATACTGGAACATATGGCTGCTCCCGCGGAGAGAAATCTTGCTCGTTATAACGACTGATTTCATCATGATCGAAATTTAGCAGTAGCTTTTTGTTGTAATGAACAGAGATTTTTTTGCTGAAGGGTTCTCTACAATGAAAGTATAACCAGCTTGCGTATTTTAGATCAATTCGACCACTGGGAGAGCACCACACGGGGCAGAAAAAATCCTGGTCAAATTGGAGGTAAACAGTCCCTAATGGCCGTGGTGAAGTCGAATTATCAGGATCACATCCGCCAAAGACTTCCATGGGTGTGTAATATTTGAGAGCGGCTTCACGGCTTTCATTGTGAACCAGTAGAAGCGGTGAGATGAGGTTTCTTGTTGGGATTAGATAGTATTGGCGGGGTGAATGAGGTATGGGTTTCCAGGCGCAGGCGGACAAGACAACACGACTGTCTGCAGATTCCAGTGCATCCTGCCAAATCTTGAGTCGTAGTTCGGCCGGCAATTTCTGGAAGAAATGGAAGGCAGGAGGTTCCACTGTCTGAGGCGAAAAGGCAGAGAGTCAGTTAGGTTGCGAAATATTAGGGGAAACGTGTGCCTGTACTTGTTGAGGCGATTGGTCCTTCTCGAGGAGAAGACGGTTGTTACTCTCGTCCATCGCGAATGCCTGACATCGCAGGACTTGATGTGGTGGAGTGAGAGGGTAGCTGGACGGCGATTGCAGCGGAAGAAAAAAGAAAATAACGACCGCTGGGAGATGACAGCAGCCAGGTGACAAACGAAGAAGAAATGGTGGATGTGAAGAAGAGTCGCCGATTTATAACAGAGTGGGAAGGAAGTCGGACGACAGCCGAGTTGTGACAAAACGATTGCAAGGCGACAAACTTTGGCGCACAACCGTGGTGGAAAAAAAGATGTTGAAGGTGACAAGCTCCAGAATGCGTCAGTCCCTGGAAGTGAAACAAAGTGGAAAGCGGCGACGAAAGACTTTGCCCACAAGGGATCAGGTAGGTACTTGATTACGACAATGTCCTGCACGTGGCGGGTCAGAAGAAAACTACTTCCAGCAATCGTCAGGCATCAGTTGATTGTCATTCACGTTGATTGTTGTCCTGGAGAATCGCTCAGATGCAAGAACACAATATGCTGCTGCTCAATTTGCTACCAAAAGTGTGCAAGTCCCATACATAGTGTGATAATATTCTCAACATCAAGGGCATATTGAGCATCTATTCCTCATCTTCAGCCTCGGGTTCCTTGATCGCGTAGCCCTCCACAAATCCATCTGGATCGCAGACTCTTTCAAGGTCAATCTTGTGGTCCTCCACCCACTGCCGAATAGCGGCCTTGTCAAGTTTTACGCGAGGCACGTCGCTGGCCTCTTGCTCCTTTGCTTCTTCTTCACCTTCGGTCTCCTGCCTAGGGGGACGTGGTTTGGGAGGACCCATACCTGTCTCCTCGACCAAGTTCATCTCTCGAAGTATTGCCAGACAATCCTCCTGTGCTATCCATGTCTCTCTACTGCAATCCTCGAGATCTACCAAGAGCTCCTCATTCGTTCGACCCTTTGCCAGCTCCAAGCCAAGAAGCCATCTTGCAATCTCTCCTGCCCAATACCTCTTGTAACCTTTCCGACCGAGCTCTGAGATGGGCTTCTCCGGCCCGCCAATGATACCCTCGCGTTTTGAAATCTCATACGAGATGCCCATGAGAAGTGCACCGAGACCTTTCCTTTGCCATGGCGGAAACACAAGGATACATGCCAAGTTGTTGTTATCCCATGACATCTTTTCCTTGGAGAAGAACCCGCATATCTTGGGAGAGGGTGTGTCTCCCGAGGGCTCCGGTGGAGGCGTGTAGGTCAGTAAAAAATATGTGAAGCCCGTCACGTCAAAGAACACGGACTTGTTGTCAAGGAACAGCTTGGCAAAGAGGGACAGATTTTGACAGAATAACTATACTTGATTAGTTGCCGGATAGCGAGGTTCGCGGATGGAAGAGAACTCACTGCATCGTGCTCTCCATCAACCTCCCACACACTCCACTCACCCTTGTCCGTGGCAAGTCCATCACTCTTTGCGTGCCGTTTTGAATGTGTACTCTGCTTCGGGTGGGTATAGACCTTTGTCCCTGGCACGTGAGCCAGACTCTGACAGTAATTCACATGCTCTGTCCACGATACCAGCTCTTTCGAGTATTTGAAGCAGCATGGGCACACGTAGAGTCGGTCCAAGACTGCCTCCTTTTCCTTCTTGCCGCCTCCTATCTTGGCTCCATTGCCTTGTTCCCGAGCTCCTATATTGCCCGAGGTGTCTCCCAGCACCTCCTTGCTATAATATGATGGATACCATGTCTTGAAAGAGATATCGCCCAGCGTAACCTTATCGATGTTGCGATCTGCTCTCGGGGTTGGGGGTGGCTTGGGAATGGTTGTAGACGAAGCCCGGCGCCGCGGCGTCAGGGGCAATGCCGTCGCAGGATCAGTGAAATTGTTTGCGTGGGCTGCTTGCGGCCGTGACTGGGGCGATGATTTTGGTTGTGAGACGTAGGTTCTCGGTCGTGATGTGTTGGCTTGTATCTTTGGCTCTGCCTTGGCTACGTTGGGGGATGCCGGTGCGACGGCTGGTGGTACCGCAGCTTGCGCTGTACTCGTTGCAGGCTTTGACCGCTTCTTTTCCACGGACGGTTTGGTCCTGACGGCGATAGAAGACTCTGCTTCAATTTCTGGTTCTGGTTCGGCTGTCTGGCCTCTTGCTCGTCTCGTTGGCTTGGATGCAGGTGCAGGCGTAGGCGCTGTCACTGGCGCTGGGGGTTGTTCAGAGGGGGGTTGTGTCTGCTCAGCACTATCGGACTTTGGCGCGTCGCCGACCTGCGACTTGGGGAGGAAATATCTTGTAATGGTATTTTGAGGATTCTCTAGAGTATTGGCGCGTATGCGACCACTTCTACGCTGTTTCTCGGGCTCAGCGCCAGCTGAGGGTGCCGCCCCAGAGGTGTGTCGCGTCGTCCGTCGGGGGGCGGCAGAGGAGCTCTCGGCGGCAGGCTCATCGTGGGGTTGTTTGCGCTTCTGCGGCGCCATGATTCCTCTCCTAACCCCCTGATCGAATGACAAGAAATCCGACAGTGGCCTCCTATTGCAACATGAAGAAGGCAAAGGGTATCCCGAGAGAACAAATACATTAGAGACACAAGCTGTCCGTGTTTGCATTGAACGTCTGGTCGTCCCTGGCGCAAGGTCAGAGCTAGAAGCTAAATGCGCATTACGTAAATCCCCGGAAATCTTCCGCCTCTTTTTGATGATTTGCATTGTTTCAATATTACAGATGCACTCGTTATTATTGCAAAGCAAACCTGTCAAAAATACAGAAATACATGCAATTTCGTATTTTGGAGCGACTTCCTGCTGGATTTGCAAAGAAACTGCCAACTGCCCGCCCAATATACGTTCTGATGCGCTCCGCTAGGCGCTCATGACTTACACGTTAGGTACATCTGCTTTTACATATGCCCTCATCATCTGTCAAGACCTCAGAGTGGCCGCGAACCATTTTCCCTAAATTCAATATCAATCTCTATATCATGAAATTCAAGAGTGTAACTAGTGTTCGTCAGCTGTAGTTACACTTTTAATAAAACTGGATGAACACCAACGCCCTTGTACCTGGGCAACCAAGAGTGTTAGGGGGACGAGATACAGATCTGCACGACTATATTCGCCTACTAGAAGAATCCATCTCAGAAATCACATGGCTCTCAGGCACCTTGAATCACAAGAAATCCAAATTAAAGCAAACATAAGCCACGTGGGTATGAGGATGCAACGATGTAGCGCAAGATATCCTGCCTCGAGCATCGCCATCATACGTTGAAGAGGCCATCCCACTGCAAGCAAGAGACTGAGATGCGTATCGGTACGACTGACAAGTATGATCAGAGGCGATGGGCTTTTTCTGTTGCAATATATAAGTAGCTCTGGCTCTCGATCATGTCCAAGGTGAAGCCTGTAGGCCAGAGTCTCCAAACCATACAATTCAACTTGAACGAATCCAAAGACCATCTTCCAGTTAAAGATGAAATCAGTCCCTCTCTTTGCAGTGCTTCTGCTTACTTGCGTCAACGACGCCCTCGGATACGCCATCACCATTCGCAACGACGACTACGACAATGGCGTTGATCCCATCTGCATCGGCACCGGCCCAGAATCCTGCCAAGGCGTCTACAAGTGCGACAATGCCAACCTGGACTCGCTAGAATGCGCCTTTTACGTCTACAACTCAAACTGCCAGTCTCTGCACCCAGACGAACCGTGGGCCACGGTTCAGTCTGGTGTCTCGTTTACCTACGACGGTCTCGACCACAGCATTGATATTCAAAACGCCACGGGCAGTCTTGATGCGTTACAGATGGGCATTGTCTGGAAGTACATGGACGGCTTGTACGGCGATGGTTATGGAAATGTCCGGGGCGATTGCTCGACCAAGGACAAGAAATGTGCTTTTATGAGGTCGGCTTTTACCTGCAAGTAAAAGAAGAATGTAGAGCATGGTATAGAAGCGGGAATCGGGGAGAATCGTGCTTATTGGCGGAAGAAGTTATTTGAATCTCTCAACTCCATTTGATTGTACCGAAAGCGTAGAAGTAGCAATATTCGTTGCTCTGATACAGTACCAAATTATTTGTTGTTTTTGACATAACTTCCTCCACACTCGCTCGGTGCAAACCTCGTGTTTCGTTTCAGCGACAGGCCAGTTCAAACTCCCACGTTTGCCCCGTGTCCACGGTCGTGTTGCGCACTTCCACGTAGAGCTTGGGAGGAGGCTCACTCAGCTTCTGAGAAGTAATGGCCCATGAGGAGAGCCCCTCGCCTTCCTTGGTGAATGTGTTCGAAAGTAGCTCCCGGCTGATCTCCTGCCGCAAGTGGACGCTCATCTTGGGCTGCCTGAACCCGTCGCGGTCCAACCAGTACTGGAGGGGTCGGTGAAACCCATCAACGACCTTGTGTTTGAGGACCATGCGTGGTCGCCCCGGCAAAGTGCCCGGCTTGCTGGGGTCGGCGCGCAGCTCAAAGATGAGGTGTCGCTTGTGGAATTGGCCTTTCCAGGACATGCTCAGCTCCAGTAGTCCCTGGTATATGCCCGCCCCGCCAGAAGTGCTGCCAACCTGCTATGCATCAGCTCACATATCTCAAACCATGGCACAGCATGCTTTCCCCTTGGAAATGGGCAAGATGTCCTTGCGGCTCACGACATGTTAGCATAGGGGACGTCAATATACATACATCACTACTCAATAGGAAGGCTTTGTTCAAGGGGTCCCAGAAGTTGTAGGGCATTTGCTTTGCAATGGTAACCTTGGAACCAACCGTAAACTTGATCATGTGGTTATCCTGATGCTCAATTCTGCGCACATCATCCGAGGTGAGCGACGCGGGCAAATACACGTCTCGCGGGGACAGCCACCAGGCCGAGTCGGGCAGCGAAGCAACCAGCTCGCCGGCGTGCGTCCTCACAAACCCGTCCATTGTCTTGGTCAAGTGAATAAAAGTATCATGCGGGGATCCCGCACGCGAGCAGCCGAGGCTGAGGAAATGCCCCGTCGAGCGCACGAGGGCCAGCTCCGTCTCCCTGAGGCAGATGCCCTTGTTGGTCAGCCTGAGCTCGCTGGTGTACGGCATCCTGGCGTCGGAGATTTGCAGGTCGTGCGCGCCGGCAAAGTCGCGGGGGTGTTCGGCAAACAGTCCGTGGTATTTGGAGGTCGACGTGCCCGGTGAGGTCTGCCATGCGAATAACGTCAGGTCTTTTGACCGCCTGCAGATTTCTTCCTGCAGCCTGAAGAATGCCTTTTTGCCTTCACCGTATAGCATTGGCATATTAATGTCGAAAATTCCCAGCAATGAATACGACATGTCTTCGGCCCTTGTCGTCTCACGAGTAGCGGCCCACGACATCCGGCTCGCAATAGAGACTGTGTCGAGGCTCTTTTGATGAAGCAGAATGTCCAGAGGTATCCTGGTGATCTCAGAGATCTTTGGTGCCAGATCTTCTTTTGGCCAGCTATTCTTCCACTCGTTATCATAGAAGTAGTAAAGATTCCTCGGAGCGATGAGCTCCTGTAACGTCCAGCCTCTAGTCAGCCATCGACACTTGGGTAGATGGTCCAGAACCCCTTGCAAAGAATCGGCGCTGTCGCCGCCCAAATCAGATAGGTAGACAAAGCATACAGCCGCGTCCTGATACCAGCGGAACATGGAGTTGATCGCTTCAGACAGCTCGGCGCTGCTGGTCTTGTCGATGCAGCAAGTATCGACCCAAGCGTAGCGCAAGCCGCGTCCCCGAGCCAGCTCACACGTCTTTTCAATCTTTTCGAAACCTTTCTTCAACCGCGCTCTCGGCAGGTCATTGAAATCGCTCCAAAGCACCTCATCTTCGGCCCATGTATGTGACAAGATTGCATATTCGACCTTTTCATGGTCGACGATGCTCTCCAACTTTAAACTTTCGGTATTGATGAGCCACATGACGGCATGGTTGAGGGGTGAATGAGCCACAGGGAGATGGGCCAGAAACACCAAGTCATCGATACTTGGTGAAAATCTGGACAATGGTGTCTGTAAGTTAGTGTCGGGTACAGATAGACTTATTGATAGTCTTCAATTTTGTGTGCCCAAGGATGGTTGTAGAGATCATTGTCAGCTTGTGGAGAGCCAGTGACCACCAGCCCCACGCGAAGGATCAGGCGAGAAGGCATGCATCCAATCACGATGCGCATGGCGAGACTACAATTCAGCTTCCAGGATCAAATACGATTCCCGCATAATCGCCGCTTCGGGATGATTATGGTGTGTCGGTGCCTCCACAATTCAGGTAAGCAAATAAACTAGATGCGCGCTTATGCTTTTATGCTTAAAATCCCCGGCGTCTCTCTGGCATGTACATCCACACACCGTTTACTAGGCGTAAACGATGGACACGGAAGCGATTCATTCGTTGCCGGTTTTCGGATCACGTAATATTATGTGAGATATTTTCTACCTCTTCTAAATCGTAGCATCTCTCTATGCCATCCTGAGAACACCCCCGAACCACTTCTCGACCTCCTTGCGGCCAGCTTCGTCGAGGCTCGTGACCAGACCAACGTATCCATCCGGCCGGACCACCACCACGGCTCCCTTTTGCGGATCAACGCCGTAGCCTTCATAGGCGTGGCCGTGGCCGTCGTGGTAGCTCTCGCCATCGACAAAGACCTTGTCATAGTCCCAGCCGAGCTTGGAGTCAAAGGGGTGGTACACCTCGTGCAAGTCCCGCAGGGTCTCGATTTCCATCCGCTTGGCATTGTGGACGAGCAGCACGTCAATCACGCTAGGCGGCTGGTCCATCTTGAAGCGCAGCGTTCCGGCGTGAGGGTCGGCCCCGGGCGAGAGCGAGGCCTTGGGGGCCTTGGTGATGACGCCGGCGGACAGCTCGGCGGCAAAAGTGTTTACGAGGTCGCGCTGGGATGCCTGAGAAACGTCGCCGCCAAAGACAAAGACGCGGAAGCGTCCATCTGAGGGCATCTTGTGGTGGAGCTGCCATGGTCGGGCACCGCTTTGGGCCACCACCTGGAACGATGGGAATCGCGTACCCGGCTTGCAGTGGGTGGCAAGATCGAGGGTGCTTTGCGCGTTGCTCGGGACTGCCTGTTGATCCGACTTGATTTCTTGGTCATCTTCCTCTGGAATCAGGCGTTGCTCTTCTGGCTTGGAAACCAGGGCTGAAGGTGAGTAGTCGACTCCGACACCACTCGTGAACTGACCTTTGTGTTAGTGAATGAATCTGTACTTGGTCTTTCTTGCAGCAACTTGACTCACCATGTGGCTCATCTCAAAGGCCTTGCTAAACTCCTCCATGGAAACGCCCGTCTCGTCAAGAATGTCCTTGGCCGGCCGTCCAGAGAACAGCCTTGAGAACTTGTGGTCAAAAGCAATGAGCTCTTTGGCAATCTGTTTCCGCTCAAGTTCATAGGTCGACAGGATACTGCGCTGCATGACATTTTTGCAAACCAGCCCCAGCTTCCAGCCTAGGTTGTAGGCATCTCCCATACTGACGTTCATGCCCTGACCGGCCTTTGGGCTGTGCGTGTGCACCGCATCTCCGGCGAGGAAGACACGATCGTGCTTGCTGAAGTGGTTGCCCACACGCTGGCCAATCTGGTATGCCGTCCACCAGTCACAATAGTGGTAATCCAACTTGTATGGGCTGATGATCTTGCGGGCCGCGTTAAAGATGAGTTCCGGCGTAATCTTGCTGCGGTCAAACCGTCCCTGACCAGTGGACACCTCGGAGAGCTGGATGTAGAGGCGCACCAGCTTGTTCTCACGAGGAATGATCATGAGACTGCCATTCGAAGCGCTATGGATCATGCAGCGGTTTCTGACATCGGCTGCCAGATATATGTAAGCTACGGAAAGCCCGAGGACCAATGGTGGCGTTGGATAAGATGTTCACTTACGGAAATCAGTGATTGGCACAATGTCCAAAACACCCCAGATATAGTCAGTCATCTCGCCCTGCATCTCATAGTCGGGTCCCAACGCCTTGCGCGTCCAACTGTGTGCACCGTCACATCCCACAACATACTTTGCCTTGATGGTCTCTTCTCTGGCACCGCCTCGAGCTTCGCTCTTCTGGAGCATGGCCTCAACATCATCGCCCGCCAGATTGCTCCGGAACAAGCCGTCGCTCAAGTTGCTCAGCTTTTGCGTGGGCGTTGCCTCCTCCTCCGTCAGGTGTCGGAGGGTGACCGTCACGGGGTATGCGTCATCATCGTCGGCTTTGCTCTCATCTATAGAGAGCGAGGTCGGCAGAACCATGCGCTCGACCTTGAGCGGCGGGACACCCGTCGGATGGGGGTATGATGCGGCGATGGCATCCATGAAGAATGCTTCCATTCGTCCCTGATGAAGCACACATTCTGTGAAGCGGGACATTCCTGGCATGTTGTCGGGTGCAGTGTTGTTTCGCTTGATGGTTCCATTCTCATCGGGATTCCAGAAAGAGACCTCTATGAGAACGTTAACGCGTGAGACCTCAACTTGAGTCGTCTGGGACGCTCACCAATCATGTGATTCGCCTCCTTCCATACTCGTTCTCCCACGCCAAAGCTGTCGAGGATCTCAAGTGTACGGATCTGAAATCTAAGATACAGATGAGCTTGTTTTCATTTAGATCGTCCTCAGAAATAATCTTACCCGTCTGCTTGACCTGAAAAAACCTTATCGGTCCGCTTGTCAACAATTCTGGTCTTGACGCCGAGCCGTGACAACCATAGCGCGAGCATGAGCCCAGCTGGCCCAGCACCCACGATGAGCACATCGACCTCTGAATCTGAAGAGCCCGACATCTTGGTGTTGTGGTTTCTGGTAGTATGGTTCCAAAAAGCAAAAGTATGGCCCTTATATACGTTGCAGATGGCAAGCTGGGAACAGCAAAGATCAACACGGTTATAGGCCAAGCAACGGTATATGTGAAGCAGATGCACGCCAAGGGAACAATATTAGCGGCGCCCAACGGCAATACGGAGTAAACAAGGCGGAATTATCTCGAGCAGATAGAGGTTGCTGTCCTGGTTGCACAAGCGAAACGGGTGAAGTATCTCAGCATCATCGGCGGCCCAATCGTGGAGAAGGCAATTGGCGTATAGACACGGATGTGGGGCATTCGCGTGGTAAGCATGAGAAAGCATGACTAAATGAGGAGACTCCGAGAATTGGAGAACTTTGAATGGGCTCTTCGGCAATGTGGGGCGCCATGACGGATGGAGAAGTCGATCGACTCCCAAGCCTGCATAGATCTTTGCGAGAGCCTATCGAGAAGCAGATCGTGAAGTTTTGTGTGTGGTGTAACCTGAGGTACGAGTGCCGGCATGACCTGTCTGGCCTCTGGAGTAAGAGTTTGCGCTCTTCTACACGTTCATGGAGCGAATCAGGGCCGGGACAATCATGTGAAGTAACTATGAAACGGTATGATACATATCGACTCATGTCGGAGGCAGGAGACAGCGCTGCACGTCTATTCTTATTTCGCACTATTCGTTCGCCCAAGGTCTCGTCGTACTCTCCAGACACGAGATCCATTGCCGCGTTTCTGACTACCTTGAAGAACCTCGATCCAGGGCGTTGGCATGGACGCAGATTCCAAGTCTGTGCTGGACGGCTCATGATCTGAATCGATCGCCTCGTCTTCTCCTATGATATCGATTTGCTCGTCGACATCGACATCGTTGACAGTTGATGATTGGTAGTAGAGATCTTCCGTGTAAGCCCACCCGGGCGGATCAAACCTGCCACTTACAAGGGCAATCTTCCCGCCCTTTTCGACAATTTGGTTGATCCTTTCGTCGGGTACAGGGCTCAGCAACTGGAGAACGTGATTTTCTGTATCTATGCCACGCAGAAGAGCAAGTCCGATGGTGTGGGAATATCTGGGGTCAAGGGTCACTCCAGATTGCATGATTGGAATGCCTTCTGGTGTGTGAGTGACCAATTGATCTCCAGTCTTTTTGGCGAAACGTGGAGATGTCTGGTCCAGGTCCATATCATCAAGGCTGGACGGATTCTCAGCTCCCTTGCTCTTGTTCGATTGAAATGCCATGGAACTCTCAACCTCCACTATGGCAAGAATTGTGCCATTGATGGCGTCCGCTAGGATGTCTACCGGTGCTTGGAAATCGTAACACATGATGCCAATTATACCGGGCGATGGGCCGGAATAACGTACGCACCAAGGCATAAGGGCGGAAAGAGGTTCGGGATTCCACGTCTGAACACTGGCCTTGGCTTCGGAATGGAAATATGACAATGTCTGCATTGTCCGTAGGTGAGCCGCAGTGCGGGATGTATACTGGCTTATCTGTGATGGAAGTATTGCAACTTTCCCGGACCTGAAGCTGGCTTGCAAGGTCTCGATAACATCAAGAGGCCCCGGTGCCATGTACACGACGTGTGTTGGTTTTGCTGTTTCAATCAAGGATACCAACAGGTCCAAACCAGTACCTTGCACCCAGCCCGGTGTGTTCACAACCAGAGGTAAGCTAGCAAACCTATTGCGATAATGCGTTACCAGGTCAGCGACGACTGAGAGGTAAAGATCCGGGTCTGACGAGGGCGAGACAGCTGCTAATGTATGAGATCGAACGATAGAGCGACCCGATCCAGGTGTTGATTCGGGTAGTGTTCGGCAGAAAGTTGGGCTGAGAACTGGCTCGGTTATGCGAACTAGAGATATTTGCCCGGGCGGACCATGCTCAGGCTGGCCTGGGTCAAGATCGAGAATAGCTATGCCACTGTGTTGCTTCTTCCCTGATCTTTCGTCGGTCAAGAGTTGATTGGCCAATAATCTGCCAAAGGTAGATTTGCCTGCTGACTTTGGGCCAGTGATTATTGCGGACGCGGGTTTACTGCGCGACGCTTTGACTAGACTATCAATCTCGCGATTCCATTCTGGAGGTGATTTCAGATCCGAGAGGAGTGCTCGTTTGGGACCGTCGGCAGAAGTGTATAGCTAAGATGAAGATTAGTACTCCTTGCTTCCAAGAAAAACGGCAGGCGTCCTACTATGGTAAAGGTCGAGCTTTCTGGCTTTCCGCCTTCTGAAGTTGAGGATTCGTCCCATAGGCCACGGAAGAGGGGGGATACTCTGCCCAGTTGTCTCAAGCTCTGTGCTCCGGGGCATGGTCCCAGTTCTATACTCGCACCGTCTGGGCATCTGATAACGGGGAGCGCTTGACAATGAGATGCATGTACCCAATGAGTCTTTTCTGTAGCTCGTAAAGTAGCACCACAGATGGTGATGTTTCCACTGGTCACGGTAACGCCGTAGCTGCCCAAAATCACAAGGCGCTGAATTGGTTAGTGAGCCGTCATGATTCTCTGGAAAGGCAGACCAACCTCTCCGTCAGCGAGCTTTAGCTGCAATTTACCTCCAGCTTTCTTTCTGAAATTGCTTTTTGTCGGATTAAAGCTAGAAAATTGGAGGATGGGCGCTTGCGGAATGACGGGAATGTCTTCCGCAATTTCCTCTGAATCTGCCGCGATCGCATATGGCGTGGCCAGGCCACTACTGCTGCCTTCAGCTTGTGGCTTGGAGACTGGAGTCGATACAACAACCGTCTTCTCTACGGTTTTCTGCGTCGCCCGCCCTCTCTTGGATCTTTTGGGGGTAGTAGTTGATGACACTTCAACCGCTGCTTCTGCGCTAACAGACGTGATTTGCCCTTCTTGTGATTGCACTTGGGGTTTGGCAGCAGGTGTTTCAGTTTCAGGTGCCTTCCCTTGACTGCGCAGATTTCGCAATCTAGCAAAAGCACTTTGAGCTAGGGTCCAGTAAGCACACGAACTTCAAGTGATCAGAAATGAACAAAATCAATCTTGCCTTACCTGCAGGCTGTTCAGCAGTATCTAATTTCCGTCGTTTTGAGGCCATTTGAGAAATAGGTTGATGAACCCACTAGCTGATACTAGAGAAGCAAGCCAATAGTAAGAACAAGAATGTGAAAATAGCGACAAATAACCTCAAGTCCAGAGATGACATACAGTTGAGTCGTCTTCTGAGGATTAGATCAGTTAGCAGCAGTGAATGCAAGATACAAGGGTACTTGCACGACTTTTTGTTGTGGAGCACCTGGCAGCCATATTCTGCGCAATTGGCCAATCAGAAGCCCAATCACCATCTGCACCGGCTACAGTAGCTGCGGGTCTACAGCAAATCAGCCAATCAGAGTGATTCTTGGCCCGCAGCTTGTGGAAACGCGTTGTCCCAAAAAATTATTATTTTATCGCATTCACGACTTGAAGCTTCAGAACATCTCTCTGCCCCTCCATCGCAGCCGACTTTGTTCAACACCTTCGACCACGACGCTTTTGCCGTTCAGCCGGCTCGCAGTAGTGAAACCATGGCTCCTAGCAAGTCTCTTGGCTCACTGAGCGCAATGCGCGACGCCATTCAGAAGAAGACTGCCGCCAAGGCTTCTTCACTGGCAGGCGCCGCGAGCTCCCTCAAGAGCGCCGCCCCCGTCGACGATTCGAGCGACTCAAACAGCTCAGGCAGTAGCGATAGCGACAGCGACAGCGGCAGTGACTCTGACAGCGGTATCGAGGAAGCAAAGAAGAAGCTTGACGCCAAGAATGCTGCCAAGAAGGCTGCTGCCACCAAAACCCAGCCGCCCGCTGCCACAGCTACCAATCTCAAGAAGACTAGCACCAAGAAGCCTGCTGCCGATACCAGCTCCTCCGACGATTCCACCTCTGACTCTGACTCTGGTTCCGACTCGGACAAAGATACAAAACCTACCAAGAAGGCTGAAAAGCCTAGTTCGGCAAAGAAGTCCACCACCGTAAAGAAAGCTGCTAGTGACAGCAGCACCAGCAGCAGTGGAAGCGATAGCGACAGCGACAGTGACAGCGACTCTGATGCTGGCGCCAAGGTTCAATCAATTGCCAGCGCAGTTGCCACAAAGGCAGCACATGCCAATACTGCTTTGCCAATTCGCAACTCCCCTAAGAATGAAGATGCAGATGAGGACAGCAGCAGCGATTCGGAGTCAGAAAGTGAATCTGATGCAAAGGCCGTTACTAGAGTCAACGGCACTTCGGACAACACTGAACTGTGCGTTCTTTCCTATTCAGCTTGGGATTGGGAAAAATATGCTAACATTATGTAGTGCTAAGCCAGAGTGGCTCACCAAGTCCGACTTTATGCTTCGAAAGGCCTCTACCGACAATCCTGGCAAGGAAGTCTCTGAATTCCTGAGCAAGTCTAGCCTCGAGGGCAAGCAGGTCTGGTACTTTACTGCGCCTGCTTCATTGCCCATCACCGTCATCAAGGACATGGAGATCGACTTGGCAAAGGCTCAGTCTGGTGGCGCTATCCTGAACCACAAGGGCGATTCTTACGGTCTGGATCTCGAGCCGTACACAACTAGCAGTCAAATTCAGCTCCTGATTCCTTCAAAGGGTGGTGAAAAGTATAACACACGTATGTCACTCTGCGCTACTAGAAAAACGAAGCTGTTTGCTAACTCTGCTTAAGTGAACCGGGGTATTGATTCTACTGTCCATCTTCGCCGCATCGCCGAGTTTGGTGGCTCCAGCAAAGTCAGCTCGACTGCCACCGACCAGTATGTGCGAAAGCCAAAGCCTGTGCGCCAGCAGCCAGAGAATCTGAAGGCTCGCTTTACCCCAATCGGCGTGCCTACAAAGAAGCCCACTCCTTTCCAAGCCACCAAGAGCAAGCAAGTCTCGGATTCAAGCTCTTCATCTGATAGCGACTCTGATGTCGAAATGGCTGATGCTTCCGCACTACCTCCTTCTGTTCTTTCCAAGAAGACTGAAGCTGCTGGCACAAACGGCAAATCGAAGAGGAAGCAGCCTTCAGACTCTTCAAGCTCAGGAAGCGATTCCAGCTCGAGCGAGTCCGATGAGGAGCCTTCGCCGCCAAAGAAGAAGTCCAAGGCAACGGACAAGGCTGCGAAGCGCGCAAAAGTTAGTCCTGTCAAGGAACTAGTGAAGCCTACAACCAATTCTCCCGCGCCAGCCGTTCAGGCAGAGAACATTGACGTCCCCAGTTCGCTGGGCAAGAAGTCCAAGACCAAGTCGACTCCTATTCCGCCGCCCACTGTTGGACGCACATTGGCAGACACTCATGCTACTCCCTCCAAAACCCCGGCATCCACAAAATCTAAGAAGGACAAGAAGTCAAAGGCTGATGATACGCCTAAGGCGCTCACCCAGACTCCGATTCCTCCCCCTTCTTACGGAATTGGCAACTAGAGCTCGCCTATTCCCAAGATAGAGCCAGGAGGAAAGTCACCGGGAAAGTCGCCAGGAAAGCCACCAGGAAATGCGCCTGGAAAGTCGCCTGGAAAGTCAGGAGGAAAGAAGAGAAAGAACAAGAAGAGAAAGAACTAAAGCATGGGCCATACTTCTCTGACCACGTTCAAATCTAGCAGTCAGCCTAGATTGGTCAGGTAGCTCAGTCCAGCTGACACTACTTCCCGAGGTTTGGTGGTCCCCCAGGATCTCAGAATGGGATTCATAGTGAACGACAAATCGTATATACGTTCGACTCGTTAAGCGATTCTTGCATTGAAAAACGGCGTTTGGGAATTTGAGGGCCTGTGTTGCAGGGTGGCGTTTATTGATACCGTAGAGCAAGTCCGTTCTGAATGCTTTTGGGCACAAAAGATGTTTTGCACCAGGTTTGGAGTCGAGCAACAAAAGCACATTCGGATCAATCTATTAGTATTCCCAGAATTGATTGCTTTGTGTCCCGTGATGTTGATGATTTTGGTCCGTGTAGACATGAACGTTGGGGAAACCCAACATGGGATTTGCTACACCTATCTAGTTATGTCTCAGAAACCAAGGCAGCTGGTATCTTGGAAAATTGGACTGAATCATTTGCCGGACAATAAACGTTCAGCATGGATACGGGCACGAGTATACACTTTATTACCTAAGCTCAGATTTATAGTCCAGTCCCTTTTGGGACAAACTCACGAGCTGTGTGGGTCAAAGGTCAACAGCCTCCATGGTGACGAAGTCCATAAACTCCATGCCGGGCGCAAACGATTCTACTTGAGAAAAACGGTCATTGATGTTTTCCCAAATCTAGTAGATATGACCGCAATGCAATATCTTCATTTGTAAAAGCTGACTGCACTCGGAGACCAACACTTTGGCGAGCAAATGCTATTTTAAATCTACCCACTATGGTAGAATATGACAGGTATACTGCTTCTAACATAATCTTTCCCGATTATTCGACGCTGCGCAGCATTCTCTTAGACCTAACATATATAGAAACACTACTTTGATAACACGCAAATATGTCAAGGTACGCCTTTTTCAACCCCACCATATTTGTCCAAGTCGATAGAATCCACCAAAGTCGACTGTATAGTACGTACAACTTAGGAAACCGGGCTTCGAACTTTCCTGGCCCATTCTAGGAGGCCGGCCCTCGGCTCTTCAAAGTTTGTCCATTGGTCTAAGGACGATTTTCATTATGGGATCGCACCCAGTCGAGAGAGTCTAGGAGACCTGCGAGATGCGAGACAAAACTCGGACTGAGGAGGAAGTTGACTACTTGGAAGAGCCATATATCCCCCGAGGGCTTGTTGGGCACTACTGGCCGGAACGCTGCGCTTCTTACAAGTCAGACACGTTGAAGTCGGGCAGAGCATGGTAGGAGTTTGACAATAGATGCTACCAATATGGCGAATGTTTTCCGCCTCTGTTGCTAGCAAGAGTTCCCTGTAGACAAGAGTGGTTGTTACAGCCCTGACTAGGTCGTGAAGGGTTCTGAGGAGCCGACTTTACGAGTTTTGGTCGCGTATGCCCGCAAAGCTCTAATAGGGTAAATATCATTCAAGGTGCGAAACAATACATAATGCTGTATAAACATCAAAGCTGATGATAGGGACCACTGTGTAAGAGTTAGACGTAATGAAATTTACCATGGCAACATGGGGTACTCCGAGTGGCCTGGCAAGGAATCTATTTTTGGATCTGTGGATATAGGCGATCAGAGTCTGAATGAAGCTAATCACATCGGCTCGTGCACATTGTTAGAGGGCAGCGTATTCAGTAATCCATTATAGGAGCGAATTCCTCAGATCGATGTCTCAAAAAGTGAAATTATACACATTTTATCGTCTGCCTCATTACTCAAACCCAATAGTCTACACAATATAACTTATTAATTGCTTGTTGAGGAATCGGGATACGAGTCATTGCTAGCAAGTTCATACCGGACTTCGGAATGCCGTACTCCGTCAGACGCTAAGAATCCTCCGGAATTCCTCCAGGAATCTAGACCGAAATCCGCAACAATACGATGAAATTCTCCCGTATCCAATGTCTCTTCGGCTTTCAGAGACAATTTTGTAACCAAATCCTCTAATTTACAGACTGCATGATTATACGGAGATCGGGTTTGGCGGTAACCCTTTGGCCAAAGCTCCGTGCTCTCTGTTCCCCAGATCGTCGTCGTCTAGGTTGTTATGGAGCAACTCATCGGCCAGTCTGCAGCAGGGATGTCGGCACCATATGGCCAAGCCTGCGCGGGATGCGTCAAGGCGAAATGCAAATGCGTGTCCCGAGGTGCTGGTAATTGTGAACGGTAAGAATCTAATGCTATTTGAGGGAGAAATGGATTTTTCAAGGGGGATGCATTATGCTAACAAAATTAAAGATGTCACCGGCGAGGGATGGAATGCCGTCAAACAGATGGCATAAGGAAACGCAGTTCCAGGAAGCAGCCGGATATCAACCACAGAACATCGCAGCTAGAGGAGAGGCTGAATGATTTGGTCGAGATATTGCGTCTGCAGCAGGTACCAGGGCCAAGGCCTCAAGTACCGGCACAAGAGACCGATTCGCAGACAACAGTGAGCCCGTCCAGCGGCAATCATGCAGCCTCTGGGGCGTACTTGACTCCGCCGACTGCCATTGCGAGCTTGGGGTCGCAGGCCGCCATAGAAGCCTCCCCGAATCCGGCAAAGGCGTTTGAAGATGACCTGACCCCCTTTGAGGCCGAGGGCATTCTACAGAGATTTCGAACTGGCTATTTGACCATGTTTCCTTGTGTCTATATCAGATCGGACACGACGGCGCAGCAGCTCCAGCAGTATCGACCCTTTTTGTGGCTGAATATCAGGACAGTTTGCGAAAAGTCTGCTCCCAAAATGCATGCCATGGGAGATCATATCAGAGAATTGTTGGGACGGAAAGTACTCGTGGAGCTCGAGCGTGATGTTGATGTGCTCCTTGGCTTGATGGTATACTTGGGATGGTAAGAATCTATACAACGCATTGTCTTGAACTTTGACATGGTGGCAAGTGACTGATTCAACTTTATCAGGGCAACACACCAGACTCGTGGAAAGGGCTTCCAAGCACGTTATGCCAATCTAGCCAACTCGTTGATTCAAGACTTACGACTTGACCAACCGTTCAACCCCAATGCAGGCGGAAATTGTTGGTTTCCTCAAAGCAAGATGCCGACTACGTCTCCTGAGCATACTCATGAGCAACGCCGGGCAGTTATTGGCACATTTGTATTAAGTTCCAGGTAAGTGATAATGCGGCTTTCTGCCATGTAGTTATCGTCACAAAACTCACGATCCAATCTAGTATATCGAGCTTTCTGAAAATCGACGTGACGAGATGGAATTCCCACATGGAAGAAAGTCTTGAAAAGCTCGCCGCGGATCCAGAGTGCCCGGGAGATGAGCTTCTAGTAGCCATGGCCAGGGCCAAGGTGATTGTCAACGACGTGGGCCGCTTGACGTGGAGGCGGACGGGCAATGACTTGTCAACGTCGCCGTCAGTATATGTGAAGCCGCTCAAGGATAGAGTGCTAGCAATACGGCGCTCGCTGAAGCCGGAACTGGTCGAAAACAGTAAGTCTTTTATCTGTGTGCAAATACACAAGACATTGCTTAATCGTTTCATTCTAGGAGCCCTCCAGTCTCATCTCTACAATGCCGAAGTGCTCATTGGGGAGATGGCCATCTTCCACAGCGCAACAACCATAACGCCCTCGTATAACTGCCCGTTTCCCAGCGCCTTGCCGCTCCCAGCAACGCAATCCTCGTCACAAGCAGCCGGAACCAGCAGCAGCAGCAGCAGCAGTAGCCCACAGCCGCCACCTGGCCTACGCCCCATTGACATGCCGCGACTCGAGACGCTCCACGAGTGCCTCCACAGCATCAAGCAGTGCATCACGACGATCCAATCCTTTGAGCCCGCCGCCTGGCCGACCTTTCCCTTTGCCGTCATGGGCCACATGTCGCACTCGCTGCAGATGCTCTACCGGCTCTCGGCGCTCGACTCGGAGCCCGACTGGGACGCGGCCGCGGTCCGGCGCGACTTTGACGTGATTGCCGTCATCCACCGCGTCGCCGACACCATGTCCCGCGTCGCCGATGCCGCCGGCCTGACGGGCGATCCCGAACTGGGTCCGTACGGGGACATGTTTTCCAAGGGCGTCGGCACCCTCCGCGCCACGGCCGCCATCTGGGGGTCGGCGCTGCCTCCACTCGAGGACCCGGCGGCAACGTCTTCTTCCTCGGTTTCTTCGGCGGCGGCAGCCGCTGCGGGCCCGTTTGATGCTGCCAGCGATACGGCCGGGCTAGACACTATGGCCATGATACTAGATTTTCAAAACGACCCCTGGCTGACCGAATTATACAATTCATGGGAGGGGATATAGAGAAAGAAAACCTCGGCTCGGCACAGGGCCGACTTTGATGTATTATTTAACGAAGTTCACGACAGCATGTTTCATCCAGACACGATATTGTAAAGCAAAGGCGCAGACGCGACTCATTAGAGTAAGATTTCACAAAAAGGGATAGAAACTGTGTTTATAAGGATATTTCATATTTATTTGTGTCATTGTATAGATTATGCTCACAAGAGCTGTTATTTCCGTGGCCGTGTCTATGCGCCAAAGACCATATTATGCATTTCAAATATGCTCGTAACAAGCAGTGGGCTATCCAGTACCCATTGTCGTCAAATGCTGAAATCCTTTCATGAAACCAAAAACGCCGCGCTCAATGCTGGGGGTCGGGGGTATGTATCCGACCACGCTGATGCTTCTAAGCCTTTGTAAACGATCGTTTCGCCCATTCCATAACCCTGGAGGGCTCCATCCATACTAATTCATACAAGCTCGTCATTACGTCTCTCGACTCTATTACATTCAGAATCCCGCCTGGGAAGTCTGTCTAGAATGCGAGGCTCGAGGAGAAGATCCGGCGATACTGGACTCTCTACTGTGTCGACGGCTCTCGGAAGTGGGACTTGCACTTCCGCTGGCAACTGTTGGGCTGTAGAGAGTGCTGCTTCCGACTGACCACTCGTCGCTGTCGCCAGTGCCACGTCTTTCCAGGAGTCCTAGGCCATAGCCGAGTTCTTCGTCGGCCGACTTCTTCATCTCTCCGATCTCAACAAAATCGTATTCCCATCTGTTTGACTTGTCGCCCTGCTGGTGCGGCAGGTATCTCGTTCGGCCGATAAAGAAGATGATGGAAGCAATCAGACTGCCGCCCACCAAATCCACGGCGTAATGGTGGCTCAAGTACATGGTCGCCCACCACAGCCAGCCGACGTAGAAGATGAAGAAACCTCGGAATCGCGGGAAACAGTAGCTCATAAATAGAGCCTCGAGGGTCGCGTCGCCGGCGTGCAGACTCGGAAAGGCACCAAAAGGCACTGGGGCAGTCGAGAAACTCGTGGTGTACATATCTACGCCAAAAAGGGCGTCGATGCGAGCCAAGCCAGCGGGGGAGCCAGGCATGCCGTAGTGGGCAGGTGCCAGGCCGTACAGGTTCTCGTACCACGGCGGGGTACACGGGAACACAAGTGCCATGGTGACTCCAATGATGCTCAGCCATCCAAAGGCCTTGGAGAAGACGGGGAGCGTCTTTGGGGCTGCGAACAGGAAGATGAGGGCGGAGCAAATGGCTGGGTTGGCAAAGTGGCCGATACCGTACGGGACCCAGGCAAATACGTCGAGGATCGGGTGGGTATGCGCCGAGAGAATGTTGGACAGGTTGGCGCCGTAAAGGACGTTTTCCAAAGCGGGCAGGACCTTGACCCAGATATGTGGTCGCACCTCTGTTGGGATGAATCTAATTCATTGCGTTAGTCTTGCATCCGGTATAAAACAGCCCATTCTTGCAGTTGGCTGCAAACAAATGGCCGAATACAGCAAAAGCTCCAACTTACCGACTAGAGAAGAAGTAGAGCAGGTAGGTCCAGATGGGCCACGAGGGCAGAAAGAACTGGCTGGTAGCTGGCATCAGCAGCAGGAGTGTGTACGCCAACACAGCTGCAGACTTGATAAAGGGTGCATGTACGTCGATGATCCATAACGAAAATAGGCAAATTGTTGCCAGAATAAAGTATTGTACATCGAATAAGCTCCATTTACGTTCCTTGAAGTTCTGGATGCCCTCGATGACGGAAAAGGAAGTTTGTAACGAGGAGACACGTTCGAGCACTGGGTCAAAAGATCGGTCCTTTGCAGCTCTCCTCTGTCGTCTGAGGGCTGACAGGTCGAGTTTCTTTGGCCAGCCTAGGTGAAGCGACGGCTTCGCCTGGAAGAGGGCGTTGAGATTCCGCATTTTTTTTTATACTGTCTGTGGTAGACTGTTGGTTTCCCCAAAACGTGACTCGATATCTAGACGATCGATCTATGTCGTGGTGATCAAGGCGGCGATAAGAGGGCAGAGTCGACGGCGTTGGTATGAGATGCTAGTCGGGATATTCAACACTCGTCACAGTCACTACTTGGGTGTTCGCCTGACTGGTAGCGTTTCTTCCTTCTATTGTCGACAATGTCCCTCTCGTAAGCAAAGGCGAAACCCAAGGGAGGACGAGTGGAAAGATCAGACTTGACGGTCTGGAAGGGGAATCAAGAACTTCATATGCAGCAGATAGTCGATGGGTTTGGTAGGTACTGTATGTACTACAACCAAGTATGCGGATCCAACGGAGACAAGGATCCTAGAGAGGAAAAGGCCCCATCCTAGGCGACCGATGATCCATTGGTAATCATTGATGGGCGCTGAGTTTCTCGGCAGGGTGGAGCAGCAGCGCTACCTTGTGGGACGTCTATGACAAGATGGTATCAATGTGCTGCTGCAGGGAGTCAAGGCCGAAGCGGAATGACTGGACTGGACTGGATTGAGAAGATGGATGGATGGATCTTGTTGGCTGGCAGTAGGCGACGGCGGGGGTGTTTAGGTCGGTGCAGCTAAGATAGGTGGGCTCCCGCACGCACACACGCGCTGGACTTTCGACTTTGCATAACTTGAGGGTCGATTTGTGTCGGGAAAGACAAAAAAAATCAAATGCCTGCTTGCTTTGGCCCCCAGCCTGCCTCAAACCAAGGTACCTTTTCTACAACCCTCCCAGCTGGTGTGCAGCTCGATCCTTGAAACAAGTATCGGTACCTATACTTTTACATGTCCCTTGGTGCAAGGGGTCTTGAAAAGCTCGCGCTTGTCTCTGTCAGCTTCTTCTTGAGTGTTCCCTCCCAAGACTTTCGGCGTCTACTGTGTATGTTTGGTAGCCATGAGTGAGTTCGAAAGGCATGTCGACCCAGGTAACAAACCACCCAGCCTAGTCATTATGGATACTATGTCTGTATGTGGCATGACCTCGCAAACTGGACGGACGCCGACACACCGATTTCACAACTCAAGTGGTTCGGATGGATGTGTGATTGGGCAACTATTGCCTAACCAGCACCCAGCACCCAGCTAGCAAACGCATAGAATTCGAATGTAGCCAGACCTCAGTGTAGCCGCACTATCCACCCCCGTCGATCTTTTAGGATTTTTATCCTTAACTGTATGCACATCTTACGACCCAACCGATATATACTCATTCGCTACCTACTACCCGGTATCCAAATTTCATTTCAGTTCATTTCCTAGTCTTTGCTTTTCGCGAATGTCGGCCGAGCGACGAGGCAGTCCCAAGCTGCAAACCTGGTATATTCAATATCGTCAACCAACTTTACACTACCTACCACTACCCATTTACAGTGGAGATAGGCGGCCCTGTCGGAACTCGGCACTGCGGATTCTTCCCTCTTCCTCCTGGAAGAGATTCGCAAAGCGCACAGCCAGCCAACAAACAGGCTGATGGAACGGGATTCTCTCACACAAGAGTCAACGCCGAACCCGACGCAGCCATTTCGATTGATTACTCGGATCCTTCCTTGTCGCCATTCCCCTGCAGCGCCCGCGTGTACCTTTCTGGTTACCCTCTTTATCAAATACGTGTATTTCAGGTCTCCTACTAATGTATAAAGCCACCTTGACGCCGTTGCACGGGTACACCAGACCAACTTTGACAGCACGTGTCCTTCATGCGCCGACTGACTTTTTAAATTTCGGGTTGCTGCGAAAAAGTCCACCTAGACGTCATGATGAGGTCGAACCAGTAGTAGCGTCTCGTGCTCACTAACTGGAAAAGCGACTGGAGCTTCCAGGGGAGACAAGCGCAGGGCTGGCCGCTGCTGTTTGCTGCACCTATTGGCGCTGTTGCTGGCGCTGGCGCTGGCACTGACCACTGGACATGCCGGCGCGGGCGCTCTGTAGTACAGGTACCCATGCGCGATACCATGATTGAAGCATGCGGCTGGTGGGTGGCATGCAGTGAGCATCCTCTCGCCCTGGTCTGCCTGAAGATATGCAAATCAGCGTGACACTTTGCGACCAGCAACCTACTGAACTGGTCACTGGCCGGTTCCCTGTCAACCCCCGAGCATTCCGAGGGTCGCTTGCAATGGGAATTCAGAGTCACTTTGTTGGCATGATATTGTGACCTACGTTTGCCTGAAGTCTTGCCAACCTCGATTGCTAGAGCTTGTTCCTGTCCAAACATGAATCATTCATCATCAGCTCTGCATCGATCGTTACAAGACAATAACCTAGAAAGAAAAACGATGGACATGATCAACTTAACGTGTCCAACCGCCTGGCAATGGGGATCGTCGTCGTCATGCTCTATCCCCTTGGAGCCTAGTGTAGGGTCCCGGGTACCAGTCGATCTCCACCCCAGGATCAAGTCATGATGCAAGTACCGCTACTTTTGGCATTTTTCGCTTTTTGGAATTGTAGCTAATACCCGAGACATGGGCCCCCAAAAAGCCGCGCGGGATGGCGCGGTACCGAATGCGCTGGACATAAAAAAGTTACACAACTCATCAAATAGAATTCCCTTTGAGCATACCCGATCATTCATCAGCGACATGTCTTGCATGTCTGACGTGATATGAGGAATGTCACCATATGAGTGCACATTTGAGAGTGCATACTTGATACTGCTGGTTTCTGGGGAATTATGGCGCTTATCGCGATCACAAGACATGTTTTCTTTATCCATGGAGATTCTACTTGAGATGAAACAAAAAATGCAGTATCCGTGTGTTGAGTGCCCAGGGCCCCGGGTGGTTTGTTCCTGGTCGTGTGAAAGATAGGTGGTAGGTTGTATACCTCGGGCACCTTACAAGTCCGGGCGGCCGGCAAGGATTTCTCATTCTCGTGCGACCGTCAGCGTGTTCGGGTTTTTCGCAAATTGAATGCCAGCCCAACAAACTGCTACCGGGCAGGCCGGTAGTCTTGGCATTTGATCTCGTTTGCTGAAAAGCGCCATACTATTGTACACAGGACCACCATGTACCATGGCGACCCTTGATGATAGAAAACAATGATAGCCATGCAACGCATAATGATAATTAAAGAAGAAAAAGAATACCATAGTAGAGAACCAAGATTGAATATAAACTTCAATCAAAAGTGCCGTCGGCTAACTACGTACCAAGCTACGTACAATGGGGTTTGACTGACTACCGCTGAGCTCACAGACCAAGCTCTGGATCATGCATCACAATCAAAATCACGGCACCCAAACTTACACGCCCTCTAGCAACCAGCCACCTGACATCATCCCGTAGAAAAGGCTACTCAGAAGACATTTCTCAGACACTCAAAGGCAGTTAGGGATTGAAGTCATTCCAAGAGCCAGAAAATGGTGACATTCAACTGAAGAATGCAACTGATACACTGCAAACCAAGTCTCGCCAGGCCAGGGGCACTCGCCACTCGATAGTAGGTAACGCAAGACATACACAAGATTGAGTGGCTTGACAGCAGACAGTCACAGTTGTTGGGGCTGCGCCGCGGGCCCCAGTGAGCTTCAGCTTTCATCCTTACAAGCCATAGAGCACAACATATTCCGTTTATGATGGGCTCAAAGATAGCTGGCGATCGGCTCACGTGAGCACATCTCACAATCCCATATCGCCAGATGCTAGTACCCTTGGCATGTTTCCACAATATAGGAAAGGGATTAAAATCCGTACGACTCCGCATTGTGGGTAATCTTTTCGCAGCGCGAGGAGGGAAAAAAAAAATTCTGTTTTCATAAAAAAAAAATTTTAATCCTTGCTCGCACGAACCTCCAGTTGGGTCGCGAATGCGATCCCTCGGGGCCATCGAGGATTCCGTGGAACCATCCATTCGGGCTGCGAGGCTACTTTTTACTTACCAACCAAGAAAATTTCTGCCCGCACCTCCGGGCGCGACTCGGAAATTTGATGGTTCGTTGGCTCGTTGCCGAATTCCTCTTTTCTTTCATTAGCATGGAATGGAAGCAGAGGGAACGAAAAAAAAAATTCCTCAGCCAAAGCGTAAATGGCATGGTCTCTCGGTCTTCGGACAGCTGCGGCCCGCTCAAACTGTCAAAGTAGTATGAAGATTTGCATGCTCCAGTACTGTGTAGGCTCTTGGACAAACGAGAAAACCCGCGAACCCGTCACCTTCGCTCCGGTCCGAGGTGCGGCGGTAAAGTCTCGAGTTTGGCCATAACTCCGTAGCACATGGTTACCGTTTTTTTAAGGGTGTAGGGGAAATGGATAAACTTTTGCACACTTTGAGACTCTGTATCCATCTAGTTTAGGTACTGTACTTATCCACGGAAACAGAACCAAATCCAACAGAGAAAGAAAAAAAGAAAACCCGGGGGGGACACGCGACACCATGGTAACGCGACATGACCATAAGCGCCCAGTGCAAGGTGAGCGACAAAGGCACGTAGGACCAGGAAAGTAGACTATTCGTCCATCTAACTCCACATAAGTCCGAAATGCACACATGCCTTTTTTGTGTTTGTGGCTTTCCTTGTGCTTGGCTACCTACATTGGCATGCCATATGTGCGGAATTTTGCCCAGGATTTGAGGGATTGCACAAAAACGGTCCAAGTATAGCAACAGTGATCGGCTGACCCTGCGTCTCTGCCGCGGTCGGTCTTGGCTATGGCCGCCAACGATCCGGACCATCCGAGTACCTACGATCCCAGCCCAGTACAAAGTACACAATGCACAGGATGGACCACGATGCCTGTGGTTGTGCAAATAAAGACCTGTAAAAACATGCATCTCGATAGTGTAGGTAGTCAGTCAGACATCGTGGATCCTGGTCTCAATAGTCGGCGTGAAATCTGGATCTGCTGGTCACGGATTATTGACAGCAAGATACTCCACATGTGCAGGTATGGTAAGTTTGCTAGCTTTTCTTTCCATGCCTAGGGTACCTACCGGTCGGTATAGTATGAATCTACTTGTACTTTTGCTGACTGAGCGGTCGGTCTTTGGTGGTTTGTGTCCTCCGGCTTTCAAGTGGGTTTGGGCATTTAGTAGTTGGGTTTGAACCAAGACGGCGGCAGGGTACTCCATGATAAAGAATCCATCACCAAACAACAACCTTTATTGTCAGGTGCCATATATTCACAGCATCACTTTCGTCTGATGTTTTGATCATGAAGAGCACAGTTCACAAGATTCTCAGTGCGCACGCCCGTACCTGTCAGTGATATACCACCTTTAAATGTGCCCAAACGTACTTGCAACTACGCAAACCAGCTCAACCTTGCGAGCCAGCTTGTCGTGACGTCAAAGATGTTAATCTTGAAAGCATTTTCCAATTAATCCAGGGGCATACATATACTCAATTTCGCAAGTTGTAATTACTTGGTATGCAAACACATGAATATCTATTCCTGCCCCTAGTATGGTTGTTGGTAACTGATGCCCAATGGGATAACTTTGCATCACGTGAAAGAACATCCGAGCTGAGATCTCTTGCTGGCACCGAAGAATGCTTCTCCCTGACTCGAGCTAAGCCTTGCCGCGGCATGTGTATAGTTCAACGTCTACTGCGTAGACAAGACTCCAAGAATGGGGCCTGGAGTGAGCGCACAAAGAAGCTCTGCTTGAAGGGTCCACGATTACACATGTTCACATTGCCATGTCTGCCCCATTCTGCATGTGCTTTCGCCAAGCAGGCTGCAAGGCATGTCGATTGCCACAAATAAGCTTTCTTCTAACCTTTGATGCCACGCTGTTGGCCAATAGAATATTGATGAGTGATCAGCCTAGCTAAGCTGACTGCATATCTAGCATCGCTTGTTCGAATTTGACAAACAAGTCAGGTCCCGGAAAGGGTGCTTTTCCTACATAATGGTACACATGGGCGTCTGACATAAGATGTACCCTTAGAAAACCACAGAAGCCCTTCTTGAGGTCTTGCTGCTTATTCTATCATATGTCAAACAAAAAGTAAGCAAAAGTCTCTATTTGGCTTGTACGGTACTCTTGCGAGGATGCATGGTACTGTTTTCTCTTTTTTTTTTTTTTTTCCTCGTATCAAAAATAGCAAGAAAAAGACCTTAAGAAAGAAAAAGGAGGAAAGAAAGAAGGAAAGAAAGCTACGGTAGGTAGAAATGGAGCTGTATGCTGAGGAGGCTTTTGCTGGTTCGCTTTCAACCACTACCTGAAAAGCCTAGAACGCCACTGCTGGAACTCTGATTCGTTGTTGGAAAACGTGAACCACATCAATTGTCCTTCCCTGGTTAACCCAGCCATATCGACTCGATCTATACCACCGCCAATTCGTACGAGCGGCCACACATAGTATCTCTCGGGCACGTGAATAATATCTTCACCGTTTCGCTGTATCCATCCTGACCTCCAGCCAACAATACGAAATTTTGGACGTTGTGAAGTTCCAGGTATTGCTTGACTCAAGTAGAAGCCAAAAGCTGTGTTATGGTGCTCCTCAATGTGATCACGAATTTCCTGTGGAACTTTCTCTGCCTTTTCGAAGGATGATCGGCCCTCCTCCATTTCTCTGCGAATATCGTTGAACTGAAGGCTCTTCGTGTCCAAGATGATGAATGTTGGATCCCCGTGGGACGGTAAACCGCATATGATCAGATGGTGCCCATTAGCTGACCAGCTTAGATAGTCCCACTCGAACGTCAATGGTATACTCTGTACGAGTTCGCCATCCTGCATGTCATAGAAACATACGCAGCCCTCGTAATATTCATGTTTGCCTATTGCAGCGTATCGACCATCTGGGGATAACGCAATATGGCTCCCATTCACCAACTCGATGTCACCAGTTTTCACCTCAAACACACCTCCGGTGTCCAGATCTACTCGCATGATTCCAGAATACGTCCTCCATGCCATGAATTGATTGTTGCCCGAGAAGGTAATCTGAGATCGGGAAGACATAGATTGACAATCATCTGAGTCTTGTGCACTCCATTCTCCGAGTGCGGAATTGAACCACAACTTCGTGGTAAAGGTGTAGAGCTCTTGTCCGCTTAATAGCTCAAAAACACGGAGAATGTGGTTGTCGAGGTCCTTCTCTACACAGCATAATAGTTTTCCATCTGGCGATACTTGGCTGTGAAGATGGCCGAGACCGACATAATTAGTCGTGTGCCGGAACAGGGTTGTGCTATGTGTGTTCACATCAACAAGCTTTATGCTGCCGTTCTGGAGAAAAAGCACAACCTTTTGCGTTTGAAAAATGGGGATGCAGTACCTGATACTTGGTTCAGTAGACTGCATCAAGTTCGCGTCCACAACTTCGATTTCCTTGGAGCACCGCACACCAAGCAGTGGCCTCTTCTCATTTTCTGACTGCGAGATGGGGAATAACTCTTCGCCGCGCCACAATGACTTTATCGTGCAGCCATGTTGCCTTTGTCCGTCAGGACTCCAAAAGTATACTTGGTCACGCTTGGATTCTCTGTGAAGTGTGACAAAATTATCATTCTCAAGCAGAGACATCCCAGTAACGTAACTACCACATTCAAGCGTATGTAGTAGGTGTCCACTTGAGTCCCATATATTGAGTGTGCCATCCAAAGAAGCGGATGCCATCCGGCCATTTCGACTGCACGATACGTTGTAGACAGGTGCAGTGTGCCGGTGAAGGGAGATGATGGATTTGTCGGACAAGTCTACTACATGGAGATCGTAATCTCCCCCATCTCGGGATAAATCTTCCTCGACGCCCTGAAAAAGTCGATATCCCTGCCAAAGCACAACACGACTATTATATGTCAGACGATGTTCGTACCACGCGTTGCTGTGTGTTAACCGAGGAAGATCGAATGATGCCGGATCTTCCATCACATCGAGCTTGGACCAGACTCTGAGAATATTTCCAACAATACGTGAAGACATGATTTCCCCTTCATTGTTTACGATCATCTCCTGGGAAAATTGGTCTTCACTTCTGTCGTTGCCGCTACCAGACACGTATTCCAGGAATGTGCAAAGTTCGTTGAAGTACTCATGAATGACAGAATCCTTTTCCAGCGATTTTTGGAGTTTGTTCCTGTCCTCAATTCTTGTCTCCATAAGATTGTAGGAACTTTCACACTGACCTTGCCTGTTCCATACAAATACATTCTTTCTAGTACTGCTGACAAGCTTCCCGTTGGGTAGAAAGGCGATATTCTGGACGTCATGATGGTGGTGACAAGTATACAGTCGCTCACCATTGAGGCGTACGACTGTCACGTCCTTATACTGTTCTTCGAAGTCCAGTTGCTGGTAACCAGAGCTGGCATGGCTGTAAAGGCAAGCAATTAAACCACCAGAAGGGAAAGTTGCAACCTTTCCGATTCCTCCATGAAAATGGTCATCCGGTGGAGCCAAGTCTTCGAGCTCCATGGTCTGAACATGAGGATCCCATTCGTCGGGCATGGAAGGCGGCTTAACAATCCAGTCTGGAATATCGCTTGCATAGGTTTCTCGTATCACACTCTTCATGGGGCTGAAAATGAGAGCCGAGATGTATATCTGTAATGGATAATGCTCAATGGTTTGTCGATGGAAAAGGAGGAACCGATGAGCGTCTTTCAAAAAGCTCATGATCTCCGATGCGGCCACGGTCTGGGCCTACAAGAGGATGATTTAGCGGACTGGTGTATAGCTTTTGAAGTGGTTACATACCTTGATAGCCAAAATCAATTTCTCCACACTGGCTGACCCAACCACGTACTGCTGGAGAAGGCTCAGAGCCTCGATCCAGTTGAGAAACTTCTCCTTCAGGAAATTGTACACCATTTGAGATAAACCTCGCACTTCATTCTCGCTTAGATAAAAGTGGTCAACCCAATGAATACAAGAATACCTCAACGGCAGAAGTGGATCAAGTTCCAGAGAGAGTGACCAGGGCGACCAGGGCGGTTCTGCACTAGGCTTGGCCAAATTGCAGACATTCTTTTTCAAATGTTGCTGCATTACCATCATGCATCTTTCTGCCATATGCTCATGACCTCGGCCGGTATTTTCACCCCCAAAATGAGTGAAAACATGCTCTTTGGCAGACAGGTGTACAAAATACAACTTGTCTTCGCGAATCAGAAGAAGGGGGCCACACAACCGCACGATTTCTGGGACGACATTCCAGTTCAATTGTGCTTGAGCACCAAGCTCCGCTATTGTCAAAGAGTCCAATGCTACTGCTGCAACTTTGAGTATATCAATGCAATTCTGGGCATCGAACTCGTGAGCATCAATGCGGCCTAGTATCTCGTCGTACAATGCTGACAGACTATTGGGAGTCGAATCTAATATTCTTGAATAGTTATGTGGTGACGCTTGCTTTAACCTCTGGAATACCAACGCCACCCACAGGAATGTGGCGCCCGCGTTCTGCTTGAGACGTTTCTTGATTGATGCGTGTTGCTCTGGCTCCATTTGAAGTTCGCCAACTTTGTGATCGATGTATGAGTTGACGGGTGAACTCATTGAAATGTTATCAAGCTCGAGGACATGTGTTGCACGGCATTTGCGCAGAGTGTTTTCGTTGTTTTGGCTTAACGGGCGACTGGTAACCATGATTTTGACTCGCGGGCAGACTTGGACCGTATTCGCAATCAGGCCGATCAACTCATCCAAGCCCTGTTCGCATTCGTCCAAAGCATCAACGATCAAAACCACTCGGGGAAGGGACACGTCCTCCACCATGTTTTGTAGAATTTTAGAAAGAGCGGCAAAGGCATTGCTATCAGTGAAGAGGCTTTCTCCAGAGGAATCCCATTGCGCCCTCAAATGAGATACCAGATGCTTCTTTTGATCAGCCAGATGCCACACGAGCCCTCCTACAATCGCCGTGGATTTATTGTGCTTATCCTCGGCTGATTGAGCGAAGAAAAATGAAAGGACCGAGTCATCGGCGTCGGGGCGCTCCATGGATTCTGTGATGTCGCGCATTATGCCCATTGTCAACATCGTCTTGCCTGCGCCAGGGCCACCTCGCACCCAAAGAAGCCGCGCGTCTACCTCGTCATTGTTGATAAACGTCTTGTACTCTTCAGTATCTAGTACCCATTGACATGCCTCAGCCAACAGAGGTTCCTTGCGGCTCTCGATAGTTCTTACTTCGTCCCGAGAAGCAACGGTCAGACCTCTCAGGGCTCTCAAGCACTTCATGTCTTCATCTTCCATCCGCCATTCTTGTTGTTTTGCAGTCTGCCTCTCGATCGCAGTGGGGACTGCTTGTAGACCTGCGAGTACTTCGTTCAACTGCCTCTCCCGAGTTTCGGCAGAAGTTTTGAGATGGCTAAGCTTTGCGAAATCGTTGAACTTTTCGCTATCCCTTTCCACAAGCTCCTCAGCGTCCTTGACAGTTTTCAGAGCACCTTGCCAATCATCAAGACCCAAGGCCCCCCTTAGGAAGTTGTATCCTTGTTGGCGATGATACGATAGGACAGCTCGAATAGAATATGAGATCATGGCTTTGTACAGGCTGGTCACCCCAGACTCAAGGCTTCTGCTCAGACGCTCGAGGTTGTCGTCACGCTTAGGACTCCGACTAATGTCGAGCAAAAGCGGGATCATTGCGGAGTACCATTCCAGGCGTGATAAAATGTAGATCATACCACTACGGTTTTTCTCATTCTGCTCCAAGGGCTCAACAATCAGGCTCAGGCCAAGAAATACACTGGTGCAAGCTGACGTCGCGATTGGGTCACCGGTGAGGGATATTACACCGCCAATAGTCTCTTTGAACTTCAAGATTGGACCCGTGATTTCCTTGGCGTTTTGCAGTCTTTTTGCCAGTTTTTCTGTCTTATCGAGGCCAGAAGCGATGATCTTGAGCATGTCCTCTTGTGAAACTGTGTCATGTGTTGCAGGGACTTTCTTGTTCGAGTCCGCGGTATCGGCCGTTGCAATCTGGTAGGCCATAAGATCCTCAAACTTGCCCAGAAGGCCACTGTCGTCAATTCTCAATGCCTTGTATGCCTGTTCCCAGATTCTCGAGGCATGATCACTCGCTTCATGAAGTGATGGCGGAGATGTGTCGGATTCCAGGTGTGGTGCGCCTTGCTGAGCGGCATCTGCAATAAGCGGCTGAGATCCTGCGTCCCCTTGTACCTGTAGTGCATTGCCTGTAGATTTACTGGAATGCTCGGAACGCTTCAAGCGTGACCATGCTTTCTTCGCTTTCTTCATCGTAGGAGTGCTGTATTTGGGGAATCATGCATACAGCTTCACTTGCCCCGCAGGTAGAGGCAATTTCAGATGTTGCTCTTTCCCGAGCCTTATGAGGGGTTCCCGTCGTGAGCCCAACAATCCTTGGTCTTTTATTGGGCTGCTGCAGACCGGGTGTTGCGGCTTGGAGGCGGTGCCTGATCGCCGAATGATTGGCCACATATGGGGGCTTCGAACTCGGCTACGAAATGTCGTGTCACATCCTCGCGCAAAATGTAACTTATGCATCGCTCGGGATTTGAGCGTACGCCATGTTTCCAGCAAACCAATTCATTTACCCACCATGATCCTATTCTATGCTAATGCAAGATCGATGATTGCATACAATATGATTGTACAAAAATGATATTTATTGTCGGCGCTTAAGCTGTAATGGAATCAAGTCAACTCTTTCATCCACGCATATAGCCTTGCGGCCACCATCTCTCCAACACACCTCTCCAATATCGCGAGATGACATCTTCTACTCTTGAAGGTACCCAGTCGACATTCCTTATCTGCCTTTGGCTCCATATATTGGCGAGAGGACACACCAGCAATGCAAATACTGGAAATGCAAAGACTACATAGTGGACTTGATCCCATCTAGGCTCCATCTCGGCATTCAAAGGTAAAAGTCGAATGTTTCCCACTAGCAAAGTTTACCAGTAAACGGCCGTGCATTTGAGCCGCAATTCCCGTTCAACAGTAAATTGAGAGAAAAGAGAGTTCAAACAAGACGCTGCTTTATTGCTAGTCCTGCCAAAAAGAAAAATTTGTAGCACTCTTTATGTTTCTGACCGTAGGCAGCTGCTCGCTATGTACATACATGATGTTCTTCGACCCTTGTCCACTTCATCCGAGGAAAGATTCATCTGCTTGAATCTCCTTTCTGTGTCCGCCAAAGTAAACTGCTCGTCATCCGTGATCGTTCGTATGCATATTCGTGTCTCATTGCCACGGAGACTATCGCATGGAGTTTCATCTACCACCACGTAATCAAAATCATAGGGCTTTCCGGGACTCCCTTTCGGTTTTTCATGATACATCTGGGCCCTCTTATCAGCGAGTAGCCAGTCCACGATCATTTGTTTGACCAATGGAGTGCTCGCAGTGTCAACTTCATTGCTGATCTCTGGAGGACCACTGGTCTCTGGAATCCAATAGCCGTAAGCATCAGGCGGGATATTTATGCGCTCCTAACGCTTTGCGGTTGTGCCTGCTTGCCATAGTCCTTTCGATGTTTCCACAACCTTGTTGACGACCTGCCCCGGTCTCAAACTGGCTGGAACAGAGGTTACGCCGCTCATGGCGACATCTCCATCGCTGTCAGCCTTATTACTGCTGCCGCCGTAGCCGGAATCCTGGCCGCCACGGTTCTCCGTCATGCTGATGCCCGAGTCGGTCTTGGTTTGTTGGCTGGCGAGCGCGGGTGCGCCAGGAGTCGGTTCCTTGCTCTTGGCACCATCCATCATGGCTGCTGCCAACTGCCCTTCTCGGAGCTTGTTGATTGCCCTCACAGTGTCAATGGCAGCATGCAGTGTGCGACGGGCATTGAAGTTCTTCTTGACTGTCGGCAGCAGGTTCTGGCCCTTGTCACCATCCGTAGTCGTGCTGTACCCTGCCACAAAGGTGTGGCTCAGCGCTTCGTGGGCTGTCATACGCTTGTTAGGGTCGATGGTCAGACAACGGCGAATAAAGTCCTTGGCAGCTTCTGAGACACCGCGCCAGTAGTCTGCAGGCTGGAAGCTGTAGTCTGCATTGAGAATGGCCTGCATCTCTTCGAAATCCGAGTCGCGGTCGAATGGCGTGTAACCGCAAAGCAGGAAATAGGTAATGACACCCATGGCCCAGATGTCGACGGGCTTGCCGTGTCCCGACTTCTTGAAGATCTCCGGAGCCATGTAGCCAGGGGTTCCGCAGGTGGTTGTCAGGACGTGGAATTGCTCCTCGTCCATAATGCGACTCAAGCCAAAATCGGCAATCAACAGGTCGGCATTATCCTCGGGTGTGCGAAAAAGGAGGTTCTCGGGCTTCAGGTCGCGATGTACAATGCCGTGATCGTGCAGATAGGCGACAGCCGATAGTGTTGAGCGGATCAGGTCTGCCGCATCCGACTCGTAGTAGGACCCCTTTCTGCAGATGCGATCGAACAGCTCACCGCCGAGGGCCAAGTCTGTTACCAAGTACAGGTTGTTCATCGTCTCGAAGTAGTCAACCAGCGTCAGGATATTTTGGTGGCCCATCGATACTTTCTTAAGCACTGCGATTTCATTTCGGACCTGTAAGAGCACCACGCTGTCAGCTACTGGACGCTGGTTCAGGTTATGATATGCGAATGTACAGGCTGTCGTTTGTTCTGGGGAGATTGCTGACGCCCTGCCCGCTATTTGACGAATCGTAAACATACCATGTGCTCTCTTCCAGCCATGAGCCTCTTGTTGATGACCTTGGCAGCATAGTATCTGCCGGTATCAATGTGAACGCATTCTTTCACCACCGAGTACGAGCCAGCACCCAGCGTCTTTCCAACCTTATAGCGACACGGCTGTATCTGCGGGTTCGGCCGACCTGGCGATCCGCCGTTGGTTTGTGTAGCCGGGGCAGCCATTGTGAGTGTCTGCAGAGGCAATGAAGAAAGCGACAACGATTCCTGTTGTTGAGTTGTAAATAGGAAATTCAGCGCGACTTGGATTTTTTTTTTTGTCCTCTTCGTATTTTCAGGGGAGTCGACAGCCACACGGCGCGTCGTCGCAAGGCTTTCGTCAGTAAGTTCAGGGACTTTGCCGCTACTGTTTCGTGCTTATCAACCGATTCGTAGCGGAAGAGGGGTCAAGTGGAGGACCTGTAGGCACTGGGGGGAAAACAGCAGTTGACTGAGGATCAATTTGAAATTTGGCGCCTTTTGAGTTATTTGCTATTCCAGAATGCTGGGAGCAGCAATCGGTTTAGAGGGTATCAATAAAATGGGAGACGGAGATAATTCAGAAAGAAAAAGAGACTGAAGTGCGACCAAGTGTATTGTTGGTGCCGGCCGCGGTGTAGTTTGGGGGGGGCTCAACGAGGAGGGATAAGAGAAAAAACACGACGGGAATTGGAGATTCCCAAAGGGGAGGGAAGATCGCCCGAGGACTGACGTAGGCAAATGTACGCAGGAGATAGATTCGTCGCAAGGCAGACGACGGGCTTCTTTTGCACACGTCACACTGGCAGATTGCGATGAGCCCCCTCTCAGAGACTTTCTCTTTCTTTGAAACGCTCAAATCAGAGGCGATTGCGCATTCTTGGAGAAAAGATCATCAGTTTTCAAATCTCCTTCCAATGCCCAACAACACCTTACGTACCACCACCACAGTTATTAACAACAGTACGGGGAAACAGCCCAAGCAACAAGCCAAGATTAAGGGACGTGGATAGAAACCCACTAACAGCCCCAAGGTTCAAGCCATCAGCACCGTCTGACTGGCCCTCTACCCTGCTGTAGCCAATCATCTTGTCTGCTAAAAGGTCTCAGACACATGTGAAAAGTGGGGATCGTCATCAGAACAGTCTGGGCCATTATGAATGCACTGCATGAGCCAGAGACAAGAGACGAGTCTGTTCCATAAATAGCATTTGATGAGAAGATAATATGGTTTGTTCTTCCCGTGTTATCTCCTAGAACCTGAATACCTGCATGTTCAAACAAAGATCTGACCATATTTGACTGGTAGCACATCAAGAAAGTCCATGTGCCTCGATTCGTGCTGTTGTTATGGCGCCAACATTGTCACGGACAAGCACCTAATAAGGTGGCTACATTACATCGCCTCAGCGGAATATCCTAAGCTGGAGGAACAGTATAGCAAGGGGGTACACCAAAAACTTTATCTGAATGTTTACCAACCTTTTATAGTATGCTTGCGCGCATGCCTTTGATATCATGAACTTCACATTTAGACTTTGGCATATCGAGGGCCATCAAATTGGGAAGGGCTTCTGTCTTTCAACCGGCAGTACTGCAAAGTACCGTTAGTTGGGTTGATTGCTACTACATTCTCAGAACAAATCTAGGACTTTACCCAAAGCTTATATCTCGAGAAAGACGATGGACACACGATGGATTTGCGCCCCGCCACATTTGACTGGCTGGCCCTTCTAGCTGTACATATTTACGATGCTATCAGTGCGCAACGGTCGGCACTATGATTTTGCGGCGTCCAAGCGATGGTTGCACAAGAGAAGCGTCATTGGCGAATAGACGATAAGACACCGGGTGTTTCTCCGCACATGTGCATTCAAAGGGATGACGGCGCCGGGTCAGTGGGAGCCTTACGAAATCAGGCCTCAGGCTGAGCTGTTCATACTGCGGCCACAATTCACATTGCTAGACTTCATGTTGACATCTCATGTATGCGTTACAAGCGGCAGTCAATCTATCAAATATTATCGCCTCATTAGTGACTTCTGATTGAGAATCCCGTTACACATCTTCCAGCTACAGTTTCCCTGTCTGTGGATAGGTCCTGGAGTCTGACGCCTGGCGCCTAGCAACATCACTCTCTTCTGAATCAGCCTTGCGATGCGATGGCCTCTCGTGCAGAATCAGCGTCTCACAGTGAATCTACGACAATCCCATCGGCCCAGAGCTCAAGTGAGAGTCTATGGGCCGAGGCTCTCGATTTACTTCATGCCGAGGACGGCGAGAGGCTTCGACTCTTAGCCGCAGAGAAAATCACGGTTCTGGACGAAGTACTTGAGGCTGCAAAGGAAAAACGACAGCAATGCCAAGATGGACAATGGAAGTACAAAAAGAGCGACGGGACCGTCGTCGTTCTGCGTGATGTATTCGACAAGATGGTCAAGTGGTTAACCAAATTGCAGACCATTGGCGATTTGGTGGTTCAATTTGACTCGACACATCTGACCATTCCTTGGGCTGCAATCAAGTTCTTCCTTGCAGTTGAGTATATCCGACCCCTGTTTATCTCCATCAACGACTGCTCACAACAAGATACAGATCTCGTCGAGTGATTCGCAAAATCTAAGTGCTGTCTTTGACGGCTTGGAAATGATAACAAACCTCATCAGCAGATACAAGATCTTTGAGGAACTGTATCTGCGAGAGGTTTCAAAGGCAACCGAACTCCTCAAACAGGCCATCATCAAGCTTTACGCATCCGTTCTGACATTTCTGGCTCAAGCGAAGCGGTACTATAGCCAGAATACTGCAAGTAAGTTGTGGAGAGCCATATCACTCCAGCCTCTGAGCAGTGCTTATAATAAACAGAGAGAATGACCAAGAGCGCTTTGCAAATTATTGACCTCGACGTGAAGAAACTGACCGAGGACATCAAAAGCGAGCAAACCGCCGCTGACGAGCTTGGGAGGCTAATTGATGCTGAATGTACGTGGTTTTCCCTTGACTCCTAGACATTTGCTCGTGTCACCATGATCCAGATGTTGTGGACTAAACCCATGTACCTCAGCTTTGCGCAGTGTCGACGATAAATTAGGGAATTTGTTGGTCGAGGGCAAAGCGCATCAAACGGAGTTGCGGAAAGCGCTGGACGATTTGCGCTTGACACAAATCCATGGTCATCTGTCAACGCTGCTTCAGGATGCTGAGAGTAAGTCTGCTACATTCGTGTTTCTGCAATTGCAACTGACGACCCCAGGTCTGAAAAAGAGACAATTCCTAAATTGGATCTCACCAATCCCGTACTCCAAGCACCACGACAATATTCGAAGAGACCGTATACAAGAATCAGGACTTTGGATCTTTGAGCAGCGGCAATATACAGACTGGAAACAATCGGCTACCTCTTCTTTGTTGTGGCTTCGCGGGATGCGTAAGTAAATCTGTTCCATTTCCTTCCTCAAAACACCACTAGATTGGCCATGTGGCCAGTACTAATAATTGAATAGCTGGTTCTGGTAAAAGCAGACTTATGTGAGTCTTTGCAACCCACGTTTATACCACGTGAACTTGTTTAACTGGTAGTGAAGGTCGCTGCTGGTCGATACGACGAGAGAAAATGACATCAACCCTCAAGCTGAACCATTTGCTTACTTCTATTGCGACCGCAATGGAACCGAACCTGAAAGAGGCAATCCACTGGCGATACTCCGCAGCATCTTACGACAGCTATGCTGTCACAGCTCAAAGCTGAAGATACACGATGTGTTGGCAAGGAAATACCACGAGTATGAGGCAGAAGATCCCCAGCTTAGAGAGCTGCCTCTAGCAGAGACGAAGGGGTTGATCATCGAGTTCTTGAAAGACAGTCCGGCCACAATCATGATCGATGCATTGGATGAGTGTGCCATGGATCTGAGATATGAACTTCTAGGCGCGATCAACGAAATCATGGCCCCCCATTCTAAGAGAGTCAAGATTCTGGTGTCAAGCCGAGACAACGTCGAAGATATTTCCAGCCGCTTGGAAAAGGCGTCAAATTTTACCCTAGAAGTAACTCCTAACGCGGCCGATATTGAAACTTTTGTTCGTCTTGAACTGGACCGATCGATCAAGGAATTACGACTACTGAATGGGCAGGTCTCTCCAGAGCTTCAGGACACATTGATTCAAAGATTGACACACGGGGCTCAAGGAATGTGAGTTTAGAACGATCTTTTTGATGATTGACAGAGCTTTCTAACATGCCCGATTTCCAAGGTTTCTCTGGGCAGCGTTACAAATGCAGAATCTATGCAGTCCACGCATCAAGTTTGAAGCCGACGTACTCTATGAACTACAAAAAATGCCCAAAAGGCTTCAAGACGTATACACGGATATTTACGAGCAGATACAGACGATTGCTGTTCCATCACGTCGCATTGCGACCACGGCACTACAGTGGCTTCTATGCGCCAAAGGACGTCTCTCTTCCGAGGACTTTATTACAGCCGTATCCGTGAGTGAAACTGACACATCAATCCGTCTGTCAGCAGCACAACTCTTGGACATATGCGGCAATCTCGTTGTTTTGGATACCGACCTGAATGTTTTTCGGTTTGCGCACTTGTCAGTACGGGAGTTTCTCGAGGGGAAGCCAGAATACGCACCGAAGTTGACTCATGCTACTGCTGCGGATATCTGCCTCAACACACTTCTCACTAGAGAATGGCTATCTTCCGAAGTTACATGGCAGAAGGCCACCCTCTATCGGTACGTTACTCTGTACTGGGCATCCCACATTGAGCATTGCAGGAAGGATCGCGACAAGGGAAAGATTGGCGATGCACTGCAGCTCTCTGCAAGAGACGATCGTGTGACGCCTTGGTTCGCGAAATGGCTGCTGCAAATCGAGTCGGCCTCGATAACATTGGGTTGGGATGATCCATTGAAAGAGAAAATTGAGCAATCTCTGTGCCATCCAGAAACCTGCTTCTTCACGGCTTGTGCCTTTGGATTTCTGAAGCTAGTGGAACACATCACCAGGATAAATCCATCGGTGACCAGGCGTAAAAATGCGAGAGGAGCGACCGGCCTTCATCTTGCAAGCCAATTTGGTTATCCTGAAATTGTGCGAGTGTTGCTAGAACGTGGAGCAGAAACCGACACAAGAGACCAGCAGATGGAGACAGCTCTAATACACGCGAGCTCTACTGGACATGAAGACATTGTCTCTCTGTTGCTCGAAAAAGGAGCCGACCGCTCAGTTCAGGGCAAGAGATTTGGAAATGCACTCCAAGCTGCTTGCCTGCATGGTCACGAGGCTGTTGTTGATTTGCTAATTGACGACGTCGATATAGAAGCCGAAGGAGGGCAATTTGGAACCGCATTGCAAGCTGCGTCGCTCCGTGGTCATGAAAATGTGGTTCAAATCTTGCTCCGTGGTGGCGCACAAGTCAATGCTCTTGGAGGGGATTATAATTTGACAGAAGAGATATCTCAAGGGGAGCCGAATATTCCGTCTCGGGTTGATCGAGCCCTTGAGTTTCTTTTCCACAAACAGGCTTTGCTGGAGGAGAAAAAAAGGCCCCCTCTTTCGCACGCCCTTTTTCGAGAGCTGACTATCGGGCGACTGCTTGACGAAAGAATCGATATCAACATTACAAAAACAGGGTTTGGATCCGCTTTACAAGCAGCGGCGCGTGGCGGTCATGAGAAGGTCGTGCATGTGCTACTGGTCGCTGGCGCCGATGTTGATGTCGAAGGGGGTACATATGGCAGTGCAACCCAAGCAGCGGCTGTCAGTGGCAATGAAGAAGTAATCCGGCATTTGATTAACTCCGGAGCCGATATCAACGTGCAGAATGGGCTATACAATACAGCCTTACAAGCTGCCTGTCGATTTGGAAACGAGACAGTGGTCCGGATGCTCCTTGATTATAAGGCCGATGTCAATGCTCAAGGAGGCGTGTACGGCTCAGCTTTGCAAGCTGCGTGCCGGGCTGGCTCAATCAGGATAATTGAACTCCTCCTTCACCATGGAGCTGATACCAACAGTTTTGGAGGCACATACTGTACCCCGCTCCAAGCAGCATCAGCCAAAGGTTCGTTACGGGTAGTCCAAATTTTGCTGAATGAGGGAGCCAAGGTGAATGTTCGTGGCGGACAATACGGCAGTGCTCTGCAAGCAGCGTCGCGAGGAGGCCATCTGAAAGTAGTTGAGGTGCTCATGGCAAACGGTGGCAGGCCTGAAGCCTCACTCCAAATTTCAGCCGCCGCAGGACATGACAAAATCGTTGAGTTTCTTTTGGACCAAGGCGTAGATCCGAACGCCCGACAATTTGAAGCCTTTGGAAGTGCTCTGGAAATCGCCGTAGCTGCTGGACGTGAAGATCTTGCACATCTGCTCTGCGAAAGGGGAGCGCAGGCAGATGATGGACAGCAATACTTTGGAACGGCACTCCAGATCGCAACGAGCTTTGGTAACAAAAAGTTGGTGCGACTGCTCCTAGAGCATGGTGCTAACCCTGGCGAGGATGGAGGAGGATTCGGATTCGGACTCGAGATAGCCAAACTATTGCAAGGGACTAGTGACAAAGCAGACACAAGTTCCCACTGGTGGGATGGCCCTCTTGGATTGGCTTCTGCCGCTGGGGACGAAGAAGTGGTGCAGTTGTTGCTTGAGAAGTTTACTAAATCCACGGACAGATTCTCGTTCGAACAGGCTCTTCGCAAAGCAGCGAAGAATGGCCATCTGTCTATTGTCGAACTGTTGCTTGACTATCAAGACGAAATTCATTTGGCAGAGGAAGTCCCGCTCGAGGATGCATGTGCTGGTGGACATACCGACATTGTTCGTTTCTTGATGGACAGATATGCGGATGCTGAATTACACTTGGACGAATCACTCTTAGAGGCGGCAGAAGCAAATAATATGGAGATCGCCCGAATGCTCCTTCTGAGGGGAGCAGACGTTGGTCGAGACCATCATTTTGCAGGAACCGTGCTCCATATGGCATGTTGCAATGGATCTGTTGAGCTCGCCCAGCTATTTTTGGATTTTGGTGCTGAAGTTGACTGGAGGGGAGATGCAGAAGTTACTCCTTTGATGCTGGCTTGTGCAAGAGGACATGATGCAGTGGTGCAACTTTTACTTGATCACGGTGCTGACCCCGATCTGCTCGAAAAGCAATTTCATGCACCGTACCGGATCTACAAAGAAAGGGATTTCGGCAAACCGCTGCTAGCAGCGGTTCATGGCGGACACGAGACAATTGTTCACTTGCTCCTCGACCACCCTAGATACGATAAGAACGGAACCACGGATCAGGACAAGCTTATTGATACCTGTGTCAAAGAATTCGGGACAGCACTACAAGTAGCATGTCTCAAAGGTTACACGACTATTATTGACCGTCTCCTAAATCAAGGAGCACGGACGAATGTCTGCGGAGGGCAATACGGCTCGGCTCTTCAAGCGGCATGCTGGAAAGGTAATGAAGAAATCGTGCAAATACTTCTTGGTCACGGATCTGACATCAATATTCGAGGCGGTATGTATGGCGCACCTCTGCAAGCAGCAGCAGCTGGTGGGCATACCAATCTGGTACGGCTTATGCTTGGCGCCGGGGCAAAATTGAAGCTTCCCGCACATGGGAAATTTGGGTCAGCATTACAAGCCGCGGCTTCCCTTGGAGACCTGGAGATTGTGCGTTGTCTTCTAGATCATGGCGCAGATGTTGGAGGCAAAGATGAGCACGGACAAACATCGCTTCACGCAGCCGCGCATGGAGGACACGAGGCTGTCGTCAAGCTTCTTCTTGATCGGGGAGCCAATGTTAACGACAAAGACCTGCGTGGCTTTGGCGCTCTTCGATGGGTTTCCAGCCATGGTTACGAGAACCTAGTGGGGCTTTTCTTCTCTAAAGGTGCCCAAAGAGACTTGAGAGATGATTGGTTTGGATGGACAGCAATGCACTGTGCAGCTCATAACGGACATCTGAGCGTCCTAAAGAGGCTGCTTGAAGATGATTTCGAAGTGGCGACTAAGGACAACAATGGGAAGACTCCATTATTCCTAGCTGCAGAAAACGGTAAACATTTGGCGGTCCGCCTTCTTTCAAATCATGGAGCCGCAGTAGATGAGACAGACAGTTTTGGCCGCACAGCACTTCACATGGCTGCGCGGGGTGGACACAAATCAACCATCCGAGTGCTTTTACAAAACGGAGCTGAAATGGAGGCGAGGGACCGCGACAACAATCAGACGCCGTTGCATTTTGCTGCTGATTACAATCAGTACGAGGCAGCCTACCTTCTGTGGATCAATGGAGCAGACCTCAATGCAAGGACGGCGGAGGGAGATACACCATTACTCATCGCAGCAAGAAATAACGCTACTTCTGTTTTGTCACTGCTCGTCATCAAAGGTGCTGACATTCATGTCCAAGACATGGCAGGCCGTTCCGCATTGCACATCGCCGCGATCAGAAGGAACAAAGAGGCAGTGCAGATATTGCTCGATAACGGAGCGACTGTTTACGATCGAGATGAGGCTGGATGCACAGCATTGTACTTAGCAGTGCAAGATGTTCGTGGTTTGCCAGAGCGCCTTCCCATTGAAGGGGTTATGCTGGTCTTGCTTGGCGGCAGATCAGATGTCAACGATCGAAACAAACGAGGACGTACTCCACTACACGCGGCAGTCATGGCAGGCGAAAAGAAATCGGTCCAGATCTTGCTCGATAGAGGAGCTGATGTCTCTGCGCAAGATGAAGACGGAAACACAGCATTGCATCTCGCTTTTTCACTTGACCATACACATCTCAATGAACTCCTTGTAGCTCGCGGTGCGGTTCCAGACATCTTGAACAAACATGGAGAACCTGCTGCTGCCATTGCTCGGCAAGATCTTTCTTGGTATTCAGACTAAGAAGAATGACAGGACTTTGTCTCTATGTAGCTAAACTTCAACAAACATTGAAGTTACCTGGGTACGGTCCATGCTTGTCATACTCGTTGAAGTTAGCTGCGACCCACAGCACAGTATTACTGTCGCAGATTTCCTGGTGGAAAGAAACTATGGTCAAAAGTCAGTGCAGTCAACAAGGCAGTCTCATTCACGCACATCCACTCATTAAGGTAATAATAGAACTCGTTTGACAGATGGATGCATCGATATTGTACCCTTTTTCTAGCTAAACGATATAGTGATTTGGCCTAACAAGTTGGCCATGATATGTTGATCTGATTTGATTCTTTAAACAATTGGTTCTTCCCTGCTCTTTCCCTTAGAATTGTCTTCGACAAGCTTCTTGATATCTGAACTCTGCCTCGCGGGGCCCAGCAGCCACTCAACTTCACTAGAGTTTTCCAATTTCGCCCTTTCCGATATGTTGTCTAAGGCCGACGCCCATGTGCATATCAGTCAAATGACATCTTTCGCGAGGCTTTCTTACTGCTATGCTGCTTCTTGGTTTTGACTCTATTCTCATGAAACGCTTTCTCTCTGGAGCCGGCCAGACCAGTCAGCGAAGTCAAGTCATGTACATTAAGCGTTTCAACTTACAATGCTTCATATTTCTTGATCTTCTTTGCAGTCGTGACTCCAGGGACCGACTCACGATAGATTCTCTGAATCTCTTCAACCAACTTCTGCACGTTTTCGTCGGTATTGGCCGTCCGGCTCCTCTGTGTCTGAGCCTGTATGGTAAGAGAATCATTCCTGCTGGTGTAATACCTCGAGGTACGTAGCGCTGGGTGCATCAACTTGGGAAGGATCCGTGTGAGCTCGTGGACTGCCCAGACGGTCGTTGCTTTGGTCTCGGTCCTGTGTCAAGCCTGCAAGTCAGTGAGCCGCTCATTGATTGACACGACATTTGACTTTATTTCGGAGACGAAGGAGGCCTACTTATTGACGTGTTGACCACCCGGTCCGCTTGACCTTGAATAACTCGTCTGGCCTTTCGGTAACTCGTTCTCCTTGAACGAGGAATACCATTTCCTTGCCTCGGCCAAGTCGTCTTGATCAAAAGCGGCATCAAAAGCCTGATGCCGGACTGGCCTCACAAACATTAGAGACCGTCCCGCCCAGGGGAAGCTCTGGGCTCGAGGGAGCCGGATCGCAGGTCGGAACATGATGGGGCCAATTTTTCGATGTGAAGCAGTAGTGCCTCGTATTCGGGCAAAAGCTCTAGATTTGCCTTGGTAATTGACCTAGGGTTGTAAATAGGATTATTGCAGATGGTCTAGGTCTCGAATTGACTGAGCATGCAGCTCATTCTTGCACCTCACAAGAGACGATTTTGACCATGCCCAAGAATTTTGCAGTGTTTCTGCCACCAATCGAAACCATGACACCAAGGGGGCTAGTCTTCTCTTGACTTGAACGCAATGCCGTATTTGCACGCTGGTTGACCGAACGATAAAATATCCTATTTGAATTAATCAGTAAACGATTTTGGAGGTAAGAGACGGTCTCTAGATAGGTAGCTTGGTGCAGACATATCTCAGAGACACTACATGTTTGCATCAACAGGGAGTGCTGCCCGCCATCTTTTCGAGGATTCATATACACTACAAGGCTTTGATTCCACCATGGAGCGTCAAGAATAGGCAGGCATTGTGTGGAGTTCTTACAGGATCTATGGTTGGTATAACTAAGATGGCCAGATGGGAATAGGTAGGCTGAAAGTGAACGACGCAACTGATCATGGAAGACAACGGTCATAGGGCTAGCTGGCCAAACTCAACACCAGAGTCCAAATAGTTTGTTGAACTGTCGCTTTGCTTTCGCGTACCCGGCAGCATTCAATTATGTTCAATGGTGTCTGGCGTCTGCAGCGTGTAATAGCCGCTCACTGGATATAAAGTTTCGGGGCAGAATCCAGATCTTCGGGGGCCTGATGGTAGGTGACAATTTAAACCTTGACAGCGGAGATAGGTACGTACCAAGGTTACTTTTGGATGGCCCGAGCGTCTGACCCTTCTCGCTGTTCAAGTGCCCCGCAGTCCAGGTACAATGACCCCATTGCTTCTTCCCTGTCCCTCTCTTGACTCCCCGTGCCAGCCCAGCCAATGCCTGCTGCAAACAATTTGGTGACAGCAATCGGCGCCAGAGAGCTCTCGCGAAATTTCATCATCCTCAACCTCAACCCAATCACCAAGCCCTGGATTTACCACTCTGGCTAGGTTTGTCTACAACTATTCGTCTGGGGCCCATCGCCGATACGTTCTTCATTGAAGCATTCATTGCTCCTGATTTCACCAGTCAAAAACCTTGGCATTGCCGTCAAACGAAGCATCCAAGGTGGCGCCCACGCCGCACACATTCGAGGGTGCAATCTACACCACGACCAGACCAATGCTTGTTCGCAGTGCGCATTCCCAAGCAACATAAGAATTGCAAGGCGGATACAGCCTCGACATCTCCCACCATTATTTGAAGACAGAAGCCAAGATCCACGTTCCCCAGAAGGAACTGCAGCGTTCAGCCCCTGCTAAGCACCAAAGTTCACCGACGCGGTTCGATTCGAGTACCCATTCACAGTTGGTCGCGACCAGACACGCCGCTACGTTTGGTCTCCTGTTCCAAGGCAAAGGGCACACGGGCTGGACTAGACGAGTGAGCTTTGCGTGATCACACACACCATCCCAATTTTCCAGCACGGCGTGAAGCAGAATACCCAGACCACTGCCGCGCAAAGAAGGCCTTTGTGGAATACGCTGGTGAAAGCAAATGCGCAGCGCATGATCCATCAGTGACCCAATCTGGAACCGCACCAAAAACCTATGATCAACAGTCTGTATCATGCTCAAAGAGTGAACACTGCTGCTGCTACTTCTTTCGGAAGAACTACTTTCATTCGACAACACACAGGATCCAATTTCTTCTTCATATCCATTTGACCATCCGAGACTTGTTGCTCGTAGCCATATCTCTACCGGCCTGCCCATACCAAGACCATCGCGCCATCCATCTTGTCCCACTTGATAGTGTAGAAAGCCCATCATCTGCACCATCGCCTCGCTCTTCTCTTTTGCCCTTGCGCACTATTGTCGGCCTCGCCCATTGCACTGGTCTTTCTTCAAGACTAGATGCACACAAAACCTCAAAACATCACTTGTCCAATCTGAAATCGAGGCTTGATGACCGACAATCCAGAACTGGTGGCTACCGCCGACCTGACTCCACAGTCCCCAAAACCCATAAACCTCTCGTCACCGGCATCTGTCCCTGCTCTGCAGGACCAGGCCGATACCCTGTCGACCATGGCTTTATCCCCCAGCGAGGATTTGGTCACTGTCGATGTCACAAGTATAGCCAGCCAGAGCATCAATGGCATTGGCGCAGAGCAAACCCATACCGAAAGTGACGCGAACACATCATCTGAGAATGTAGATCTCACTACGGTTGATACCACTAGCCATGAGGTTAGCGCTCAAGAGTCTGGTGAGCAAGAGGACGATGAGGATCAATATGCCAAGGACTTTGATTCTCCCGTCCCCGACGCGATTGAGACTAGTCAGGACGGACAGGCAGTCAGTACAAATGGCGTTGTTGCCAACCAGGACACATTCTCGTCAGAGATCAGTGCAAACATGCCAAGTATTGAACAAGCTGCACCATCCACATCTGCTCCTGTAGCTGAACCTAACGGTATCAACACTCAAGCCAGTACCGCCACGAGCGCGTTGACGGGCCCAGGGATTCCCACTTCGCTAGAGGAACCGACTGGACCTCGAATTGCCGATGGAGACGGCATCGACATCCAGGCTCTGGTTGACACAATCACTGCCCGTAATACCTCCGCGGTGCCCAATGACCAGCCTGAGGCGACGCCGAGCGTTGTGAACCCAGACGTAGCCTCGTCAGAGGTTCCGCAATCGCTTCCCCCAAAGCCCCCGGTGTCCCAGCAGCCACCTGCTCTAGATGTACTGCCCCAAGAGCTGCACAAGTTTCAGCCAATGTCAAATGGTACCACACAGAACATGGTTTCGGCCCACGGTCTGTCCTATACACATCCGCCGAATGGTGCTCCTGTTCCGCTTGGCTACGTAGCCCCAGCTGTGTTTCCCCCCGGTGTGCCTGGACAGCAAGCAGGCCCATACGACGCTGGTGGCACTCTAAGCCATAACCAGTCACAACGTTATGATGAATTCCTCAAGGAGGAGCGCAAGTATGTCTCTGAGGCCAAATGGGATAGGTTCCCTGAAGGATCGAGACTCTTTATCGGTAAGTCTTGCTATCATACTGGAGCGCGAACTTATTGCTAAGAAATTTACTAGGAAACCTCTCAAGTGAAAGAGCAACAAAGAAAGAAGTATTCGACATCTTCTCGCCCTACGGCAGGCTTGCTCAAATTTCTCTCAAGCAAGCTTATGGATTCGTGCAATACCACACAGTTGCAGAAGGCCAGGCTGCCACCGATGCCCTGCAGGGCATTGAGATCAGTGGCCGTAAAATCCGTAAGTTGTTTTTACACGCAGCGTATTGAAGATGCAGCTAATTTTGCGTAGACCTCGAATTTTCCCGCGCCCAGAAGAAAGATGGCGACGGAGATAGGCGCGGACCACGCGGAGCTCGTACTGGCAGTGTCCAACAGAATGATCGCGACCGAACCCGCTTCGATGGCCGCCGCAACGATGGATACCGAGCTCGTTCGCCATCCCCTTCCCGCGGACCGCACTCGCGTCAAGGCTCATACGGCAGAGCAGAACGGGGCCAGTGGGATGCGCCTAGCGATTATGCACGCCGTGACCGTTCAAGATCGCCAATGGGGTACGGTGGTGGTCATTATCGTCGTCGCAGTCCAAGCCCTTACCGTCGTGGTCTACCGAAATCTGAAGCCGATTTGGATATCCAACGTCGTTATGGAGCAGATGTTCCAGATGTCCAACTCTTGCTTCTGCAGGAAGTCAACCGAGATTTTGTTGCTTGGGTCCAAGGCGCCTTTGCCGAACGCGGCCTGAAGGTCGATGTTATGTTCCTCGATCCTCGCTTCCCTCGCGACCTTGTCATCCAGAGACAGATTGTGGAGGGCGTCCATGGCGTTACCGAGTTGAATTATCATTCACAATCTATGGCCAAGATCCCACTACAAATGTTTGATCGCTCTACCGGGCGACACAATGCTCGCTTTGACCAATATCAGGACCTTGATCCGAAAATTGCTGCAGAGATCGTCGTCCGTGCCAAAGCACAAAGCCATAGCCAAAGTCAGATGCAGGCACCAGCAAGCTATGGTAATAATGGCTATTACCCGCCGGCTGCCTATCCTGCGCCGCAGCCAATGGCACAACAAATGCCACCCCATATGGCCTCACAGTACCCCGGTATGCCCGGCCAAGTGCATCCATCCCCGTACCCTGGCAGTGTCGACAACGCCACCATCCAGAGAGTCCTATCTGCCTTCCACGGCAACTCCGGCGCTCATGTGCCTAGCCAACAGCAAATGGCCCCAGGTCCTGGAGTGGATGTGAATGCAGTCCTACATGCTCTTGGAGCCAACGGTTCTGTCCCTCCGCCTCAGCAGCAACAGGCCTTGACCTACCCTCCGCCTCCGCCCCAGGGACATCCGGGTCAGGGACACCCATCCCAGGGAAACCCAACTGACCAAGCTTATGTTCAGGACATCATGGCACAGCTATCTCGGTACCGACAATAAAACCCTAGATGGCTCCATTCGACCACTTGAGAACCTATTCAGCGGTCAATCACCTAGGAAAGAAAACGTATTGTCGTCTTTGGAGGCATGAAATCTTCATGGATTCATCTTTTGAATTGCGTCGTTTTTTACCACGTGCAACCTTTGGCTTTTGAGGGCCATCTCTTTCCGAGTGGATTATGAGAACCGAAATCGAGCCTGTGTAGCCGTTCGTGGTCGCATCATATACCAATTTTGACGTTTTCTTGTTTTCTTTTCTTGACACCTGTCATCGATGATGTATTGTATACCCCCAATGTTCATTCCATAGATCAAGGGGTCCGGCAGTTTGGAGTTTGTGGTTGTACTACAAGATGCATTGCGGTCTCGCATCCTTGCAGGGTCTATCAAATGATAGTAGAAGCATGTATGCATTGGATTCCGTCCAAGATGAGGATAGAGCATACATGTCAGCATTTTCAGGCGTTGATGAGCATATGCTTCTGGGTTTCCATAGCAAGCACAAACCTTTCTATTTTGATTGCGGAAAACACTTGCTTGACTGGAACAATACTAGTCAAAGAGTTTGTCCGACAGAATTAAAATCATGAATTCAAATAGGCTTTGCTTGGTAATGTGTTACCTCTGCATTGGTCGTAAATAACCATTGGTGACATGCTCGCTTTTCCAGCCCACGCAGCTTCAAGCGTGAAACTATTGCCTTGCCTTGAGATCGACGAATAACGGCGGCTTAACCCAAAGGAACCAAACATCTTGCCTCTCGACCCAGTGATCCCATTCGTGCTTTTCCTTCTCCGTCATATTTGGGAGGCACAGATCAAATCGCCAGAGCAGTTTGGCTAAAATCAAATGCATCTCAGCGTTGGCCAGATTCATGCCAACGCAATTGCGCGGCCCATAACTGAACGGCTGCCACGCTCCCGTCGGGTTGTCATTGTCAAACTCTTCCGGACGCCCCTGGCCTTTGGGATACCAACGCTCAGGTATGAATTCCAACGGCCTGGCAAAGTTGAGTGGTGACCTGTTCGAGACATATTTGGGCACGAATACGCGTGTGCCTTCGGGAAGAAAAATGCCATTCATCGTATCTCCCCCCTTGGGAGCCACGCGAGGCCCAAAGGTGGGCACGGGGTCGTAGATGCGGATCGACTCGTTGAGCACGGCATCCATGTATGGGAGGAATTTGGGCTCGGTTGAAGCAACCGTAATGTCTTCTTCCTTGGAAAAGGCAGTGCGTACCTCGGCGGCCACTTTGTCAAGTACCTGAGGGTTCTGCAGAAGAAAGTACACGGTACCCGAGAGTAGCGTGGCCGTGGTCTCTGATCCGGCAAACACAAGGTCCTGGGCGCTGCTCTCGAGCTCCTCGACCGTGAAGCCCTCTTGGCCATCGGCCGTATGTCGGAACCCCTTTTCGCTATCGACGACGAGCCCATTCTTGAGCAGGCGGTCAAAGAAATCACCGCGGTCCTTGCCGTAAGCGAGCCGCTTCTTGACCTTTTCTGAAATGTACTTTGCATTATCCTGCACGCCGCCAAGGACATCCGAAGGTAACAGGATGGCGGCGAGCGCGATAATGTGCCACCTCTCAAGGATACCAATCAAGACGGCGGGGCGCAGAAGCTTGAAGCTCAGAGACATCCACTCGTGCTGCTTCTCGTCCTTGAGGGCGCCAAACGCCTCGCCAAAGGCGAGATCCCCAATCACGTCGGTGGTGGTCCAACTGAACCACTGGACGACGTCCACGGGGCCCGACTGGGCGTGCTTGGCCAGCGCGGCGAGCAGCTGGTCGGCGTACTCGAGGATCCGAGGCGACTGGTCGCGGAGGCCCTGGCTCGAAAAGACGTGGGCGAGACTGCGCCGGATGCGCCGGTGGTCCTCCCTGGGCGCGCCAATGATGCCCGGGCTGCCGTTGGGGTAGCTAAAGGAGTCGCCCTTGAACCACTCGGCGTGGCCCGGCCGGAACCCATAGGCATCCCTCCACGTGTAGCCCTCGAGATACGACAGCTCGTTGGGCCGTGTGCGCACGATGGGGCCGTATTGGTCGTGGAGCTTGGTCAGGACGCGCACGGCTGAGCCCCTGGCGCAGGCAATGTCGTAGGGAAGACTGGAGGCTGCGTTGAGGAGCGGCCCTGGGAATTGTTTCAGGGGCGAAAAGAAGAGGTTGTATATGATCTTGTAGATTATAGCCCCGACCCCCTATTTCCGGTTAGCAGTTACTCTGACAAGTCAAGGTCCTGACTGACCAATATCAAACCTGTTTCAAAAAGCAATAAATATGATAGCGCCATGTCTTTTCCCGAATATTTGCTTGTCGAAAAGAAGATAATGTGAAGGACAGCAAGGAAACTAGACAATGTGGGCTTGGTCTTTCTATACTCGAGTTTTGCGCGCTGTGTACTTGTTCGCTGTGGGTTACACGAAGCTCGCAGTCTCCCGTTTTGTGTTGCGTCAAGCATGCATGGCATTCGTTATCACGCATATGCCGTCTCGGGTGCACCCCTCTATCGACGAAACATTGGAAGAGAGTGACATGCAGTCAACAGATCAACATACAGATTGGCCGTCGACCCCTCGATCTCAATCCACATGCCCCTGTTGATAGCCTGGGAGCCTTGAATCCTGGTAAATGGTTATCAAATCATCTGGAAAGTGTATGCGAGGTTCGCCCACCGTATTGGACGTCCCCAAGAGACAATCGTATGCACACCAAGGAGCGGGGTCGATACTACCTACCTTTGGCCTCTCTGCAAAACCCAGCTATGGGTCTTGCGAAATGTTGAAATTGTTTCAAGACAAGATTATAATGCACGTGGAACCACGAGTCTTGCATCTGGTGCGACGCTGGCACCCAATGGAATCGATTGATGCTGGTGAGTAATGTATGCTCACTTGGCGGCGAGAGCTGCCCGCCACTCATGAATCAGCATGATCTCACATTATCTGGTCTCTGCGTCAATCACCATGCATCCGTGTTGCCCAGCTAGTAGGTGTGTAAACAATAGTAAGAAAGTTAATATTTCTCCCCCACCCCTAATCAGCGACAAGATCTGAGATGCAATCCCTCATCTGCACAATAAGGTTACCTAGCTCTCCCATGTTGCGTAACTCCGCCTGTTCGATTAGCCATTTATTTCCTTGGAGGATAGAGAAGTAGAATCAAAGGGACAGCTTTCAGAAATGCAAATGCCTGTCAAAGGGATTTGGGAATACTAAATCAACCTCTAAGCAATTGTATACCTGAACCACAGCGCTTTAATATAATTTTACTTAGGTGTGAAGATATCGCAGAATCGGACTGCCCAAAACAGCAGGATACACGCGGCATTTGATCAGGTCTTCTCACAGTATACTAAAGAAAGGAATATCTAGACTAGTCCAGTGTCGGGAAGGATAAAGCTACAGATCTATGCGACGACGATATATGAGTGAAGAGGAAAAATGATTGCATATTCTCACACGAATGGATGTGAAAATATACGTTGCAAAAAGCTTCTTGTGACTCTCAAGAAGGGAAGCAAGAGGAAAAAAGTAAGAAAAATAAAAACACAAAGTCGGCTCGTCAAATCTAGATATCTGAATATATTGGTGTTGACCACTAGCAAGTGCTTTCACTTCATCAGTTCCAGCCCCTTATCATGCGATCAAATATCTGTTTTCAATTCCCATAGCAGCAGAAACTGACGTCTTTTAATCTCAGATAACGATATGATGCAAGTCACAATTACAATAGTGACAATACTGGACCATGTTTCAACTGAATGTACTCCCTTAGAGCTTCGCATCGCGTGAGGATTCGACTTCGAAAACTAGAATAGTATTAGCCCTAGATGACCAGAATGCTGATCAACAATCACATACTGGTCGAGCCCGACATATTCTCGGCAAGAGATGGTACAATAACGATTCCTTTTAAACTGCGGGACATTCCGAATCGTTCAAAGCCCCATTGTATGCTGGAAAGAAATTTTGCTTTGAATCGATGCCATGGCTTTCTGAGTTTGTCGTGGTCGCGTTGATGATCGCGGTCGCGTCTGGCATCATCATCCCACCTCGGGTCGTGGTCTTGAGTGCTTACGCGCTTGCGCTTTGGTAACCGCCGTTTTGGTAACCGCCGTTTTGGTAACCGCCGTTTTGGTGATCGCATAGGTGATTCTCCCGCCGATTCCCTCGCGATGACAACCTCTCGAGCAGGATATCGCGGACGGAAACTTGGGGATGCCATTTTGGATAAACAAGAAATATTGAAGGAAGCATTTGCAAGGTTTGAGAGATATCAAGCAAGGAAAATAAATGCAGAAATGAGAAAGCCCTCGCCCCCTCACTGGAGGAACTTCATCACGACGAATCAGGCCACAAGCCATGGTTACACAGGAAAATGTGCTCAACTATGCAGCGTTAGGCCACTGTTGACTTTTGAGCTTTGCTTAATTTACCTATCTGCGACGATTTGATTGGATGCTGCTCAGTGATCTACGAGGATATGCGGCGGGCTTCAGGTTACTTCATCACCTCAATGAGGAGTGCATCTTGACTTGGCGCAAGAGAGGATAGATCCTATCTTTGCGCCTACATCTTCAAATAGAGCCTAGCACTGTATCCATAAAAATCAAGACTCGACAGCCTCTACCGCATTGAATGACAAATTATGGCCAGGTGGGTGTTCTACTAATCTAGTCTGATCGTGCATGGATTTTCGTTTTCTTTCCTTCTTCTCCCAATGAGTACGAAAAGGAAGAACAGCGGGGAAAAAAAAAAAAAAAAAAAAAAGCAAGGCGCAACAACGGAAAAGAAATAATAAAAGAAGCGACACAAAACACAGCCTTTCGCGCTGGTTTACTCAATGTATTTACGATATTCTATGTCATTATCAGGTCATGAACTATGACCATGCGGGTACCCACTGCTTTGGTCTAACTAACATGCGTAGAAGAAAAAAAAGTTACGCAATTCTTCACAAACACAAACTTCAAGTTGGACAGATGAAACGTTGAAACATGACTCGCTTGATGCGCTGAGGTTGAAGTAGTAAAAGAGACCCAATCCTTCCATACTGCAAGCGAGAGTACATTGATAATTATCACGCTAGAATGAACACCGAAGCATGATCCAAAAGACGCCGATACGCCAGGTAGGCCAGCTGAGTGGAAAAAACAAATGCATCAAATCATAATCGTGACTCTAAAAACAATCGGGTCCCGGTCTTGTGCCGCATAGGGCTGATATTCGTTGATCACCTTTGCGGCGTGTTAGTCTTAGCGCGTGACTAGGAACTTCTTAATGCAACCTACTCACAATAAGAATTATTTGGGTGCGTCAATATACAGTCAGAGGTAGGATCACTCGAGTAATGGTGCCACCCTTGGCTGGTTGTATACATCGTCATAATAATGTTGTCTGTCGTTGCTTGGCCGTTCGTAGTATTATAATTGGCTGGTTCCAAGCCCTTAGGCCGTATCGTTAAACTGGTTTTGGTGACTATATTCTCCACCATATGTTCTGTAGGTTGGGGCGTTCGAGTCTGCACATGATTGACCCGCCGACCGCTGGTATGATGCACAATAGTGTCGTGCTATCGAGCTATCAGAGGTGGCGCTTTGATCTTGGAGCCGTTGCGTGTTCGATTCCTCGTCTTTGAGCTCTTGTCGCGCCTCTCGGTATGGTCCCTTGGTGGTGATTCTCGCCCATTATCACCTCGATTGTCGCCGCGATGATCTGGGTACGGCGGGGGGTGCGGTCGCATCCTATCGTGGTCGCGCTGATGATCTCGGTCGCGCCTGGCATCGTCATACCATCGCGGATCTCTATCCTGATCTTCAAAACTTGACATAATTATAATAATGGATAGTATTTACATGGCGCTTGTGCCTCTGTTGCACAAAGGAATATGCGACAAGGCGGACAAATTCCGGGATATGTTTGGTTGCGCGACAAGGAATGTTGCAGGAAACTTTAAAAAGTTGCGCCTGAATCTTGGGCCGCGTAAGGTACAAGTAGATTTCGGTTTCCGTGAAAGGCAGAGTAACGACCTGCTGAAAGTGCACAATTCAACCCCGCTTGAGGCCCTTTGGTGACGAACCGGGGCTGCTGAGCCACAGAATTGCGCCCGGCTTGGGTACAAAACTCAGAGCCTGAGACTGGATGACCCTCGCTTAAATGCGTGGTATCATTCCATTGGACAAGTAGCTAGCCTCACTTCTGAGAGCCAGCTCTCAAGAGTTCGGGCTAATACCAGTTACCCAAACCTTTGTTTTATAGTAAAAACAACAAGAACAACAACATCCCGATAGTCATTTGCGATAATGGCCTCTGATCCTGCCGTGAAGACGGGATTTTGGACCAACTACGAGCCAGACGGCAAGTATAGTCATAGGATACTCCAGGTGCACTCTGCTTACTCCAAGAACCACAATTAGGTGAATCTTATCTGTGGACCGTTTCCGAGATATGGGGAACCATTTTCAAAGTGCTCTTGGGTGTGGCCTTTGGAATAGCCTGGCCGTGGGCCAAAGTCATCCTCCAACGCACTTGGTTATGGTTCACTTTGTCGTGGCCATGGTTGAAACGAAAATGGAAGGATCTTTGGTACGGCTCTGGCTCACACGATGAAGAAGAACCATTACTTGAGCGCCCTCCGGAGCAGCAAGATCAAAGCCCAAAGCGGCGGGGTCTCATGCGGTGGATACCGGTGGAGAAAGCTGATCTCGTGCTGGCTGTCATTACTGCCCTGGTGGCCTTTCTCTACGCTGTCGCTGGAGGCGCCGTGGGTGAAATTCCCGCGGACACATTAGGAAGGACGTACACACCCAAGTCGGCGTGTGGACCGTGGGATCTCAAACGCGATGTAGACCGACGGGTAAAGGACTTTGACAAACTGGTCCTGGCCCAGAAGGAAGCGAGAGCAGCAGCATACGGTCGCGATTGCTATGGTTCACATTCCGTCTATACGCCGGGCCGTTGTGACTTTTTCGAAAGTCCCCAGATCGAGTATACCGTGGAAAAGGTCGACTGCCCATTCAAATGTTTGGAAGATCGATGCATATGCGCCACCGGTTCATATGAAACTGCCCTTCGGCTCTCAACAGGGTCATTCTCGGCCGATAAACTCGGACTAAACGGGCGAGATCTGCCTTTTATCAGACGAACGTCGACATTTGTGCCGCTGGACATCAACAATGGATTCGTTGTGGAGACAGGCAAACTGGAGTACAGATATGACCTTGGTCCAGTTTACACCTCTGAGGGCTACAGAAACTACACCTTTGACACATGGGGAATCCCCTTCAACTGGGACATTGCAGCATATTCAGTCAGGTACTAGTCTTCTCATTCACCTCTTGGTACCAAGGCAGAGTCTGACATGAATGTGGCTTGTAGTGTATACGAATCAACACCATTCCCGGAATACGATGCATGGCAGCCAATAAAAGAGCTTGCACGCCCAGAGAACACATACATGACAGCAATCTTCATCTCGCCATGTCGGATAGCATATAATGGACGCTGCGAAGACCCTATATTCCTCGCGACTGATGACCTTGGCGATATTGGCCTACCAAACAAGTTTTACCGAGAGGACACGCGGGCCAGAGTTCTCATCGCAATTGACGAAATGGAAGTGTGTCGCCAAAAGGACACGGACTGCTACCCACCCTCGGAGAGCAATCCTGAGTTTGGCATCGAGTATGAGTTTGTCCGCACTGCACTCCGACGATCCTCGACGTTCCAGTCCATCGAGAACCGCCTGGGTGAGGCTCTCGTCGCATCCGAGAGCATCAGCGACTTTGAGTCACCTCAGCTGGACAAGGAACAGTGGATAATTGAAAGCCAGGCCTTGTTCAACACCTCGCTAGCCCGCCTGCAATTCAACATGCTGGACATGGCCACCGGTAATCACCCCACGGGCGCCGCGGCGGGTGGGTTTGAGTCGGCATATGAGAACAGCACGCCGGCCTGGGCCAAGCGCCAGATGGGACGCATGTGCGACAATTACAAATTCCACATGTCGGGCCCGTACACCAACATTAGTATACCATATGCCGTGGCATTACTTCTTGTACCAATTGTACTGTTTGTACTGAGCAGAAACACCAAAGCACCATTGGATGACAATGATCCACCGCGAATCTACGGAAATTACATGGTCTTTGACAGAATCATATGGTGGATCTGTCGGGGTGCAAAGTGGGCAAGGTCCATATTCAGCAAAGGGCCAAGTGAATCCCAAGAGTCTAGATCCCAAGAATCTCAGTCACAAGAGGCCGAACCACACGATCAATCATCGTCACAGGCTTGAATCTGGTGCATTGTTAATATAGCTTGAGACACGCTATGCTTTGGTTGATTGACAATTTCAACGCTGTTATATCACCACACTGCCTGGGAGACTTTTCCTGACTGGCCTAAAGATAGCAAAGAACCAGAAAGTCTACAGTGGCATGATGAGGCATCAAGATACGGCGTTTGGTCCTTGAAGTATGGGCCTCATGGGCAGAGGCCGAGGAAACATTCGGGCATGGGTTTGGGGTACTGCCGGTTGGGTTCGATATCATAACAAATATTGAGAGGTATCCGGACCTCGAGGACACCAAATGTGGTGCCATTGACCATCGTTGTCTGGAGGCACGTCATTTCAGGCACACCAAGACTCAAATCATAAAATGTAGAAGAATTTGAGGGAATCAGCGACGTACGTTATTTGTGATGTACGAGGAACACCTTTGGAAGCATATTCCTTACCATCATCTGCGTATCACAACGGAAAAAAACGGAGTATTCGACGTCTAGAATCATACAAGGGGATTGGCTAGGCCATATTCCTTAGTCAAGTATTGGCACGGTCTTGGCCCAAACCTACGGAATACGGCATCTCTCATAAAGTCCGTCGCCGTGTTGGTCTGCGCCAAGCAATCAACATGCGATTAGTTCATAGAAATGTTTTTCGGATTCGCTTATGACTTGATGGGGCGGTAACCTATTCTCCTATAGGCCAGAGAATGCGAATCATTCGGGATATTGGCTTCCACGACAGCACGAATGGCAGATTCCTTCTTCCAACCACGGGGAATAGAACTTGCCGATACTTTCAATTTAAAGTCGCAAACACCTTCTATAGTCTAAATAATATGTAATTAGAGTCCAATGAATTGCTGTCGAAAGTTTATTTGAGTCTACCTCTTCTTCATCAGAACACGTTAAACGCAAGCGTATCAACATGAGTATCTTCAGAGACGGCGTAGCTATCATTGGTGCCGGCATTGCTGTGAATATGCATCCCAACCTCATATTTCCCATTCATGACCCGATTCTAACGCTTGAAGTAGGGTCCTGCTCTGGCCTTGGCGCTCCACGAGAAAAACATCCCCTGTCGATTGTATGAGAAGAGAAGTGCTGCGGATGCAGATGTACTTAGCAGTGGAGTGGTCATTTCCCCAAACGGATGTAAAGTACTCGACGAGTTACATATCCTCGAGCGAATAAGCTCCCGTTCTTACCGCGCCGAGACGACTGTTATCAAAAATGATGAGAACGAGACGGTCAGAAAGGTCGAGGTGGCTCCCGAGAGATTGTACGGATACAAGTACCATCGACTTTATCGACTCATTCTGCTCCAAGAGATGAAGACCATGATGGAGCAGAAGAATATTCCAGTCATTTACGGCGCAAAGTTCGAATCCATTGTCAGCGACACGGAAGAAGGTGTGGAATTCATTGTCAATGGTAGAGTTGAAAGGGCCGCCATCCTCATTGGCGCAGACGGGATCCATTCGAGCGTGAGAGAGCACGTCACCGACCAGATTCCCCAGTACACTGGGCTGGTATGCGTCTACGGACACATTCCTACGTCAAGCGTTGAATGGCCAGATGATGATTTCAAGACTGGGTGCACCATTCAAGGGAAAGGGGACGCAATCTTCATGGTACCAGAGACTGCGGATGGATCCGATCTCATGGTTGGCATCCAGCTCAAGCATGAGCTTCGGGACCGTGCGCAGTGGGATTCAATTGCTTCCGACAACACACAACTGACTGCTCTCATCCGCCAAAGTCATGGCTTGTGGAACGGCGTCGGCAAGACCTTGATTGACCAGCTTTGCAAACAAGACAAGCTCCTTTGCTGGCCTTACTTCTTGATGCCCAAGCTACCAAGCTGGTCGTCCGCCACTGGGCGCGTCACCATCATTGCCGACGCTGCTCATGCAATGCCGGCCTCGTCTGGCCAAGGAGTGAACCAGGCCTTGGAGGATGTATACTCTTTGGCAAGGGTTCTCGCTCGAGCTGATGGCTCTTCCAAAGACTTGCCTCGAGACTTGGGGATTTGGCACGCGTGGAGACAACAAAAGCTTGACGCTGTCATTCAGATGATGAACATGACAAACCAATTGAGGACGGCCCAAGGAGATAAAGCCTGCCCTGCAACTACTCCCCAAGCCTTGGTGCAGTGGATCAACGGGCTGCATCTTGAGGAACTTGATGCTTTGCTCAATGCCCCTTGAGTAGAACGCAAGGGATAAAGGTGCCACTTTCATGTTTACAGTAGTTGTACTTGTATATTAGAATGATAACACTCAACTCGGAAATGAGCCATTAGAAAATAGCTGAAAACAAACAAACACCATAAAGTTTTCACCGGGAAAGACGTTGATTGGGACCACAAGCTGATTATCACATCACTCTAAGATCAAGTAATGCCACAAGTATAAAGAAAACGAAAAACCCCTTTAAGTATATAACGGTAAAGACAGGACGCGGTAGTAGCTGAAAACAAGCCCTAACCGCAGTAAGATTCGCAGATTCTCTCTTTCTCTCTCATGTCACAAAAGCCAGTTCCAGTCCCCATCACAGCCGCCCCATTAAGTTATAAACCACCACGGAAGAATTGAATTAAAAGAGCCTCAAATCATATCAACACCTTTGCACAGCTTCCCTGTCGTCGTCGTCGTCGTCGTCGCAGAGTCCGTTTCTGTTCCTGTCGACCGCTTGCTGACTTCTTAAGCAAAGAAGTACTTGGCGGCCGGTGGGGGAGCAGGAGCTGGGGGCGAGGGGACGGGAGCCGGGGGAGCGGGCGTGGGGGCAGGAGGCGGGGGGAGAGGGGTGGTGGGGAATGGGGGCTGTTTAAGAGACTCATGTTAGCAAGTTTTGAGACTATTCATCACGCTCTGTGCAATCGGTGTCTACTCACGAAGGGAGCCGGGCTGGGGATGGGCTCAGGGCCAGGGCCAGGGCCAGGGGCCGGGGCAGGGGCAGGGGCGGGAGCCGGAGCCGGAGCCGGAGCGGGGGCACCAGGGGCCTGACGTCTCGCTGGGGGAGGCTATATGAACTGGATTAGCTATTGCTATCCTGAAAACTCAACCAAGTAATCTTAGATCATGACTTACAGCAGGGAAGGGAGTAGTAGTGGGTGGCGGGGGAGGGAGAGGAGTAGTGGTGGGCGGCGGGGGAGGAGGCGTGGTGGTAGGTGGCGGCGGGCGGGGGAGGGCTGGGGCTC